TAAGCTTGCAGTTGTGAGTTTACTGGCTTGACTCTTCTCTTCAGTTCTAGATTGACTTTGAGCTTCATCTTTTCTCCAGTTCTTTTGAGTTCTAGAAGCAAACATACATTCTTTTGAGCTAGATGCATGTTTTTCTTTGCAATTAGAGCACTTAAGCAGAGTATGTTGACAAATTTCATCTCTTTTTGAGCATGTTTCACATTTATACTCACTAGTTTTATGATCTCTGGCACAGAATGCACATTTTAAGTCTCTAAAACATGAGAGTGCAAAGTGTTCATATCTTTGACAGTTTGAACACTGTGTTTGAGCTTTGAGATTCATTCTTGAGTCTTTGTATTCATGAACTCTCATTTTCAAACCTGCTACTCTTACTTCAGAGATCTTTAACTGTTCAAGTGTTTTTGTATATACTAGAACAGAGACATTTCTCCTGCTTTGTCTGAACTCAATTGAATTTAGTCATACAGACTTCTTTCTCAGTTAAATGAAGTTATATTCTTTCAATTCATTTTTAAGAAGTAGTATTTCTTCTTCACAGTCAAAAATTTCAACTGAAATATTATGAAGAATGAATTTGTCTCACTTTTCATCTCTTTCAGATAGAATTGTTATGTTTAGCAAAGATTCTACTGCTGACTTTCAGAGATTCTCATTCTGAATAAGGAATTCAGCACTGAATTCAGGCATTGTAGTCAGAATGATGGAGTTTTCAAAGAATAATAACTCAATTGAAGCTATAACTGGTTTTTGAACTTTAATATCAGTCATTAACTGAGAAAAGAACTACTGATTAATTTCATTTCTAATTCTGAAAATGAGATTTGAGTTTAGCTTGTTTCTTTGCAGAATGTTCTGATTTGAGACTTTGAGAATAAGTCTTCTATTTCTGGAGATTTGAAAGTTTTTCTCTTTTTACATTTTCTTTTTCACTTTTCTATGAATAGAGGCATGAGCAGTATTCTTCTCAGTTTTCTCAGGATTTTGAGCAGGTTTTGAGACAGTAGGTTTAGAGACAGCAGATTCAGCTGCTTGAGCATATGTTTTCTTCTGATTCAAAGAAGAAGAAGAAGTAGGAAGAAAGAAAGAAGAAGAGTAAGATGAAGAGTCAGTGATTGTACTAGGAATTTTCAAGGTTTTTTGAACTGTGTTTGAGATTTCAAGTTTGAACTTGATCATCTTCTGTAGTTGTCTAGTCTAAGCATGAAGAATTAACAGAACTTCTTCATTCATCTCACTCAGACACTGCTTTTCAAGAATCTTGCTTGCTTTTTCAAGTTCCTGTATTTCAAGAACTTGTTATTTCTCTATTTCTTCTTTCTTTCTTCTCTTCAGAATTTCAATCTCAGGAATAGCATTTGAGAAAGCATCTTTTTTCACATCAACTGAGTGTATTTTTGAACTCATTGTTTTCACTCAATGAAAAGTTGATCAGACTGTTTCAATTGAGATATTTCTAAGTCTGTTTTCAATTGAAAAGTTGATCAGACTGTTTTAAAAGAAGAATAAAAGACTTTTATATATAAAACACCTGATTTTTTTCACACTAGTTCAGTAACTAGGTTAGATTTTTAAAGAGAATCTAATAAACTAAAATTGATTTTTAAGATAAATCAATAAAATCTTTACAATCTCTTTCTTGAAATACAGTGAGAAAAAGTATGATATCAATTGATAATAAATCAGATAATATGACAGTTTTTGAGAGAAAAACTGATAAAAAATAAATCAATTTTTTACAGAGAAATTGATTAAAACTATTCAATTTTATTCTAAATCATTCAATTCTTCTCACACAACAAGTGTGCAACTCAAATCAGTTAATAAAGAGTGTAAAAAAGAATTAAGTATTAATGAAAGCTCTTCAGTCACTGAAAAAGTAATTCTTACTTAAAAGAATATGAAATTATGACAGAAAACAACTCTGTTTTTAATTCTTTGTAAGAATATTGTATAAAATCTAGAGAAAAACACCTTACTTTTTCAAGAGAAGTAAAAAACTATTTCTAAGATCTTTTTTTTTGCATTAACTGCTGCAGAAGAATGACTACGGGCGCTAGTCACCCGCAGAATGCATCTTAAGCTAATTACATTTAACTCTCTATAATTAACTGATCACTGCGTCCATCCTCTCAGATCAGTCACTAATTTCCAGAGGTATTAGTTAGTGACTGTCATCACTCACTTGATGATGTATACATCAAGCTTTCAGTTACTGATCTCAGCCTTATTAGATGCTCATAGACCTATTAATCAGCTGTCATGATCTCACTCTGTGTTAGAGACTAATCATAGACTTAATGACTGCAGTTCTCCCTGTCAGTATTAGAGCTTAGCAGTGAGCTTACAGACTTGAGCCTATCAGAGTGCTCTGTCTAGAGCCTAGATGCATATCTAGACCTGCTAGTCAGATGATTTTCAAAATCATTCTCTGTATTTAGAGAGAAGCTAGGCTCTGATGACAGTTCTAGTTAGAGACTTACTTAAGTAGTATATAATCACTACATTAGGCTTGACTCTATATCATTAGAACCTTGACAGATGTATAGTAGAATAGTGAGATATTAACATCTCATATCAGCTCTGATAAGTGTTCACAGAATCTCACTTAACTAGTAACTTGACTTGCAGTAGAGAGTTCTACCCTGCATCAAGCCTTACTAATTAAGCTCAGCTTCTATTACATGAGAGCTTTCATGGATAAGAAGTGACAGGTGTCAGTGATGAGATTCGAACCCACGCACCTCTAATGTATGCAGTCTTGATTACCAGTCTTATCAACTGAGTCACGCTGGCTGAGAGAAGCAGTGAGACATTTCATAAATTAGTTACAGATAAGATATTGTAGAACAATATTATATTATTCACAGATAAATAAGAAGATAAAACACTTAAATGAAATCTTGAGCAATATGCTGATGAAATATCTAGTGAGTAAGTCTATAAGACTATGAGATGAATATTAAAATATTAAAACTAGATTTAATATATCTCTCTGTACAGGGATTAAAGGCTTAATCAGATCTTGAGATATACTGATTTTATAGTTGTTATATCTGCTAATTATGTATTGAATACAGTTGTCAAGGTATCTTTTTGTATTTTTCTGCCAGGAATGGGCCAGATTGAAAGAAGTGATACAAGAGTGAGACTTGACATTGATGTCTTGATATATCAAAGACAGACAGAGTTTTCACAGAGAATGAACTTCAGATATATCTGTTAATTATGTACTTAATATTATTACCAGAGTATCTTTTTGTATTTTTCTGCCGAAGGTGAGCCAGATTGAGAAGAGTGGTAACTACATGAGTGAGACTTGATATTAATGTTTTGAAACATCAAAGATAGACAGAGTTTTCACAGAAGTTACTTCTCAGATATCTTTAGAATTACAGATCAGAAATCTTTCAAAATCAAGAAGATTAATGTATATGACTAGGTCTCTTCATCTTACAATTTGTATGGCAATTTGGCCCGGGCTTGTGATGTGATAGAGGTGAATGAGGGATAATCCCACAGAGGAGTTTCAAACAATGTCTGGTTCACACTTGGCTGGATAACTTCACCACCACACGGGGTATGCAGTCGGCGATGGGGTCAAAATGCTTGTATGATCGAGGGCTTTTCAATGAATCTATCGGCGGGTTCTTATTCAAAAAATTGAGCGAGTTTGTGATGAAGCGGTTGCATTGAAAGAACTGGCTGTATCTGATTAATTATATAGACTATTTTATTACACTTCATAGATTTCTGCTAAAAGCTTCAATTCTCAGTTGCTAATTCTTAGCTGAAAAACTCATGAAATTTCTATTCTTACATTCTGAAGCTTTATTATATATGTATATAAATATTCACTTTAATTATTAATTTTCACACTTTCTCTTTTTTTCTTCTTCAATATTTTTCACTTTTGTATTATAAGATCTATATATTATACTGATCTATTTAGTGTAGATCTCTTACACTCTCTCTCTTAAACAGTGAATAATTATTAATACTGACTCTTTAAAAACTTTCATATCAATTTGCAAGTTTATAGAAATAAATGTTAATATTAATATAAATATAACATAAAATAATGATAATGAGATAGAGATTATTCAAAGAATTTAGAAGAAATTAAATAGAAATATAATAGATTTTTAATAGAGAATAATTTCAGCAAATGAGACATTTTTTAGAATTAGTAATTATGTAAATAGAAATCAGTGATATTATTAATATAATAATAATTTTTTTCTTTTTATAACTTGTTTACAATGATTTCACAGCTAGACTGACTGCTAAGATTATAAATTTCATATTTAATTTTATTTAATCTGATCTCATACATTTCTTGATATGAATTCTACTGAGATTAATTATTAAAAAAACATGTAAAGTGACTATATATCAAATCTTAAAATAAAACTATAACTTAGAAAAAATAAGAAAGTAGTTTCATTTAATCTTATTTAGTTTCATTCTTGATATAAAGTTACTATTTTTAGACATTTTAAGGTTTTTTTAAACTATTTTTAATTTTTTAAAAAGTAACACTTTTTGATAACACTTAAATGAGATTTAAAGTTATTTAAAGTAATAAAAATAATGTAAATTGAGAAGTGAAAATTATAATCTCATTTGAAAAATGTAATAAGAGTAGACAGTAAGTCTCACTGAGACAGTATTATTATAAGATACTATTTAATGTTAAAACAGTGTAATAGGATCAGTTGAATTGATAATGAGATCATTAAATATTCTGGTCCTGGTTCCAGACACGGTCACACGGTCAGTCTATTCACAGCTTATCCACCATTATATTAAGATTTACAGTTCAGTGATGGTGTCAGTGACTGGCACGGCGGAACAACCATAACCCGGTCGTATAATAAGCCTACGTTTTTCCGGTATGGTAATATAGTGGTTGGTCACGTGATCTAGCGAGATCGCCACAGCCAATAGCCGCAGCGGCCGCAGCGGCCAACATAAACAGATCTTGATTTCAAAGCTCTATCTTTATTCTCTCTTACTCTCTTTCTTTTATACTGATATCAAATATAAGCTTAAATAGATGACAGAGAAATTTGATGGTAAGAAATAGAAAAATTAACAGTAAGCGTACATACGCAGTTATACTAACTACTCTGTATAACAGTTAGGAAAAAAGGAGAGGGTTATCACTAAGGATTACACCTAGAAGGAACTGGGGCTGATGTGGCCACTTAGTCCTTGACTCCTTCTCTTCCACGAGAGTACATTATTCCATGACCTTACCGTGTGCGCGTGCGACTTAGAATGGTTGATAGAAACCACCATCGGATTGACCGGATGCTGGGAGAATGAAGGGGGTGAAAATAAGAAATTAGATAACGAGGAAGCTTGTATATGCGCGCGCCTGGCCTTGCCAATGCATTCTAGAATTGGTATCTGTTAACAAAAATAAAACAAGCAGAACCAAACCATATACAAAGCAGAACATGACAGAAGTATGAAGGTAGGTTATAAGATAAAAGACAAATTAGAGCGAAGCGCCGCACGCGTTCTATCCAGTAACCTCAACCCTCCGCTCAGACTCAACCAGCCAACTCCCACTACTACTACCACTACTACCACCAACACCAGCACCCGTACCACCAGAAACATCCAAGTTAACCGTCGTCTTCTGCAAATTAGGCGACACAAGCACCGTCTCCGCATGGTTCTGATAATCAACTTCGCACGGCACCACTCGCCGCTGCACAGCACCCGAGACCAGCTCCGCCTCGCCACCCGCCGGCGCCTGCGTGACAAACGTCTTAACCTCCAGCCCGGGCAGTAGTAGATGGCCCGGTCGCTGCGGGAGGAGCATGACGGTGAAGGTGCGGCGCTCGCCTTCTGTGGCGGTAAAATTGCCCCGTCGCCGCCCTCCCACGAGCCATATGTCCGGGTTCACGAGGAGCTCGTAGGAGAATTCTAGGCTTGATTCTGGCTCCCGGTGCTGCGGGGGGCACCAGCGCCGTGTATGGTGGATGGCTAAGGTGGCGGGGATCATCTCGCCAACGGTCGCGTGGGTGAGGTGGTTTGGCTGGGCGACGGTGAGGTTTGCGGTGTGGACGATTTGAACCTCGGGGATGTCGACCGGGATGATTATTTGGCGGTTAGGAATCGTGGTGGTAGTGGTGGTGGTTCCGTTGCTATTGTGAGGGAGCGGTAAGGTGGGATTTTGCTGTCGTTGGGTTTTTTTTGTAAACAAAGGATCATCATCACGCGGCAGCTCCCATTAAATCGCGCATCAAGTGTGACACGTTGGGATTGGACTGTTCTTAAGAAAACCTACCATGTGCCATTCCTTAAGCCACGAGACAACTTCCTTTCCGAAATTCCCGCTCAATGAGTTGGTTACGGCTTCCCACTGGACACGCTCATATGGCAACATATCGATCTCCCTGATTAGACTAATAGTCTCGAGATCGTTGGCAGTCCACGCAGAGCGGAATGCGTCAAGAAGGCGAGGGGTCAGGAGTCGGGCTAGTTGCTCAAATTTACTTGAGCCAATATCCCGGACAAACCGGTCCTCAATGGCGTGAAGGCACTCCTCATCAAGACAGGCAAAATCGATTGTCAATGCAAGGGACCGTTTTGAGGCATCGGCTTGCAGTGGCTTATCTTCACGAGGAGTTATTTTGTAAAGCAACGACGCCGGCTGGCGAGGGAAAACATCAAGGACCTCCCAACGATGAATACTAGATTGCACCTCATATACCTCTGAACTGGGAATCTCGCAGTTCAGTATCCGGAGAGGGGTCACCATTGCTGGGCTGATTGTGAATCTCGACATCAGCGAGTCGTCCTTGAACATATCTTGAACGTTGACGCTAACTGGCAACATCGATACTATCGAGGTCGAAGAGAAGTAAGAGAATTGACCCTCGGGCGTCTCATAAATGACTTCCAGACGCGCAGACAAGGACGTTTGATCATCCTCGAGGGTGTAGGGAATACTCAATCTGGCGGATGAATTGGGCCCGAAGTCTGTAAAGTCAATTTGGCCAGATTCTGCATTCTCTGCCAATTTTATAGGGCCATCCACAATGTTGGCTTCTGTAATTCGGAGCCTGAGTCCAGCAGTTGCAGGTTTTACTCGCAGAACACCTTTGAGAATATTGTTCCAGCCACTTTTTAGCTCGATTTCTATCGTTCGTAGGTCGCTCAGGTTTATGCGATACGGCGGGGAAATCTTTGCCTGAAGCCCCTTGGCAGGAGGGTAGCAGAAAACAAATGGGCGCTCATCTTCTTCGTCAGATTCATCCGCGTCAGGTTCCCGTAATCCTGGCCGGAATTGTGGCGGTAACCCATGGTGTTGGACAAACACGAAATTTCCGACTCGTACCTCAATTCGATCGACTAGATATTTTCCATGCACCGAAACCTGAAGTGTGTTTTTACGGTTGGATAAATATATAAATAAGTAATTGTAGAAAGGACACGGCTAGGAACTTACAAAAGAGTGTAGAAGGATTCTCGACGTAGTCGACTTGACAACCACATCGTCCACATTTTCCAACCAGATTTCGCTGTTATGAACACCTGCAGAGTTAACAAGTCGCATCTTCACATTGTCAACATCGATGCTACTTCCAAGAAGAAACCTAAGGGAAAGTTCAACGAGAATCCCATCCTTATCCTCAAAATGATGAATTGTCGGGCTGATATCTATGCCACCGAAAAATTCATTGAGAGGTACGGAAAATTCCGTGGGAAGACTCTGAGATACCTCAAATAGGTCATCGACATAGCTTGAAGCCAAAGTCCGGGCAACTGGTGAGAATGATGAGGGTGCAGCCGAACTTATTCTTTTGCCCTGAGGAGCCCCTGTCTTCCGTCCGGACTGCGCGACCCCGGCATAATTTCCAAGTAGCTTAAGTAGGACTCTGACATAGTCATCTTTACGTCCCAGATGCTTTAGGCATCTTCCGTACAATTCAAGCATTACCCCTTCCAAAACACCCCAACGGCAACTAGCGTAGAAGGGAGCCATTTGATGGAAGAATGAGGCCGCCGTAGCATAGTCGCCTGCGCGGTACCTCAGGACTGCAATATCGGCCATCGCCATCTCAGCAGATCTAGTTCTATTTGCTGCAAGGTAATGGCGGAATATCTGATCGGTTAATCCTTCGTATATGGAGCCAAAATGTTTTTCAGATCTACAAGCTCTCATCATTGATGGATTTTCGATCGCTCGTAGTACCGGTACAACTTTCTGCTCCGTGGTTGTAGAGTCTTGTGTTTCTCCATCCTCATCTAAAGCTACGTCCTTCAGTCCCATTATAGGCGCATTATGTTCATCAAAGAGCAACCCCAGATCCCGCCACTTCTTCGACCAACCTCGCCGTTGGGCAATGTTTTCCAAGGTCCGGCGCGCATAGAGGAATAGGTCGCCGCGGGAAGATGCAAGCTCGGATTGCCCAGTCCTCTGTTGGACTGAACCGTCCGATTTTAGGGAAGCAAGCGGGGCTCTAGGCTGGGCTCCGCTATAAACTCCCGGGGACATGATGTCCAGGCTAGTAGGTCGACTACTGATAAGAGTATTGGCGGTTAGCGAACTTGACCGTTTCGGGACGCCTGGTCGGGACTCTGCAACAAAGTTTGCCAGTACGGACGCATTCACTAGATCCCGTGTATTTCGAAGGGAAGCCTTTGGGATGTCAAGGGAGTCCGTAGCGGTTTGGATTAGTACCTGAGAAATTGCAGAATATGTCCACGAATATACTATGTTGTTAAGGATGTCCACGACACTGGATTCGTCGCATTCATGTTCCAACTCGTCCAGGCCAGCATACAAATCGTGTCGCAATGTTCGTGACCCAATACTAATAAACTCACTTGCCCGTTCACATATTTCCGCAAGCAGTGTTAAATTCACAGCTTCCTTGGCTGGTTTTCCGGTAGTTTGACTGCTCCCACTCTGTATTGAAGGGGCTCTAGCAGCTTTTAGCAGCAACATCATCTGTCGAGCGAAAATGTACACTCGAAAATCGAAGACCGAAATATTATTGGCAAGGATCATTTCCCGGTATGGCTTCTTGTTTGGATCCAGAGGAAACAGCTCTTCATTCAGGGCAATGTAGGGAAAATCATCAGTTGCATCGCTGTCCTCGCTGTCATCTTCGTGTGAATCGTCATAGTGTTTCCATTCGCCCTCATCATCCTCCCCAGGTATTAAACCAAGAGCCTTCTCAGCTTTCATCCTCAAATCCTTGGTGCAACTGAGAAATGTCCCGCCGTGTTGGTCACCTTTAGCAACAAGCTGGTCACGAAGGGCCGCATCCAGTCCAACAGCAAGCTCATCATATCCAACTAACGCATCTTCGTATAAACCAACATGTTCAAACCCGCGCGCAAGCCCCTCCTTTAAAATAAAGAATGTGCAGAAATTCCATCCAGGCAGGCTTCTTTGCGAGTCCTTGTGCCGAATATCTTCTTCATATTGACTGACGCGATGATCAAAAGATGTGAGGATAGAAGATTTCAATTTCGCAACCAGGTCCTCGAGCTGAGCAGCAAGTTCTGGGGGTCGCTTATCCAACTCTGACTTGGAGATGCGCAACTGTACCACACGGTCAATAGACGACTTCGACGATCCACCGAAGTCAGCTTTTACTTTTTCTTGCACCGTAGTAGATCCTCTGCCAGGCCATTTCGATCCTGTCCCAGGTTTCTCAGCCACCTCTGCAGGGCCGGAAACGACGTGTATTATAAGCCACTCAAATGCATCATGATTATCCTGTGAACCACCCGAACTACTACTTTGCGGGGACGTGCCGTGAGTCTTGATCCATTCCCGGACAGCCTTCCTTGTAGTGGACTTGTAGGTATCATTATCGTCGCAAGAGAGCAGGTATATTTTCAAATATGGCGTTTGGCGAAGACCTGGTATCTGATGTCTTCTGCGGGGAACTACACTGCTAGCTCCATCACTGAGTCGTCTCCGCTCCTCGTCTAAGCTCTTTGCGGGGACAAGGTCCACGTGGAGGGAGTCGATGGACCGAAGTGGGCGAGTGGGGGACTTCCAGTGAAGGTTCCGGAGGGGAAGCGCTTCAAGGATAAGGGATTTGATCGAAGGGAAGAGCCCGGAAGGATCGGTGTATTCAACTAAAGGCTATGTTTTCAGTTAATTCGTTCAGGGGAGCATTCCAGGAAGGGATAATGAGGGACGGCACCACGAACCGGTTACGTTGGAGCTTGCGCGAGGGTTGGCGTCCATGACGTCCGAAATTTAAATGGGCAGAAGGTAATCATAGTATGTATGTACCCATCACGATCACTCCTTTGTATTTATCAACAGGAGAATATGCAGTCTTGCAGTTGCAGCTCGCGCATGGCAGTGTGAAGATCCTTGAATTGCATTGCGCTGGAGGACGCTCGCCAGTACTTATCTTGGCATGATTAGTTGCCGCTTTAACTTAGGCCAACTTGGTGTTGTATGGGACTAGGTTAACTTAGTTAACTAGTAACTTAAACAAGCATCAAACGCTCGCTTACGCTCGCTTTGCTGCTTGCGCAGCCCCCCCTACCACTTCCACCCCTTCCACCCCCTACCCCTTTTACCACCGCCCCGCAGCCCCCCCTATCACTTCCACCCTCTACCCCTAACCCCCCCCTACCACCCCTTCCACCCCACCTCTACCGCCCCTACCACCCCCTTCCACCCCGTATCACCCCTATCACCATTATCAGATTAATCAGAGCTGTACAGGCTGCAGAGCCAGTTAACACAGAGATCAAAAACAAACATAGAGAAGAGTATAAGAAATGTAACTACTGTAAAGAATGTATGAAAAGAGTAGAATGAAAAAAAGAATGAAGATTTGAAGATTGATCTGAGCTGTATAAGCTGAAAGCAGAGCTGAGCATTCAAATATTTTGTGAAATGATTAATCTTCTATTCATTATCAGAGGAGCTAGCTACATTATATTCCATATGAAGCAATTGCTAGGACAATGCCACTTGGCAGGCATCACTACATATTTTGTCACATTACAGTGTTTTTTACATGGAAAAGTTGGTTTTCCTATAATAAATAGAGAGATATAGTTCATCTCATCTTAGCTATTCTAGCTACCTTTCTTCTCCAAGAATCAGTACATCAATATGTGCACTATACCGCTTTTCTCCACTGATATCCAACCATAAGAGCATCTAACGGGTACATATTGGTATTTCGCCTTTAAAGCGTAACTGACAGCCTTCCTTCTATCCAGTTATCTACAAGACCTTCGACCAAATATACTGCAAGTGCGTGGGGAAACGATTCAATTCAATATAAAAGTTGGAATTAGATATCTATCTACCTATGTATATAGAGAAAATATCAGAGAACGAAGAAAAAAGAACCCATCATAATCGACGTTTATGGAATGAAGGGCATAGAAAAAAGGTAATGAATGACTCGAGCAATGATCGAAATGTCTTTCAATGTTACATAAAAAGGCATATTAACTCCATGCAGCAGACACTATCCAGCTACAGCAACGAGGGAAACAAACAAGACAGAAGGCTCATATTCCAAAAAACATCTACCAGGGCATGCCATCCAATATCAGAAGTGTAGCAGAGCCATATTAGTTGGGAACCATATGGGACTCTTGAGCTCGAGGCCGGCTCCGTGCTTTGAAAAATTGATAGCCTTGAGAAATGCCGCGCCAAATATCGGGCACAAGGTTCTGCAACATTGCAATAGCAATGACAACAAGAAGCGGAATCTGTGCCAAAGAAATATTAGTATTTGTGCGGTGTGCAAAAACTTAATAGAGAAGTTGAGTATATGCCACTTACCCAGATGAAAAAGAGGTTTCGATCGCTGCGGATCCTCTTCATCTTGCGAGCATGAGCCTGCCGCAGCTGCTCTTGTTGCTCACGAGGAATATTTGCACGTCCGATTCTGACATCTCCAATCTCTTTGGGGATCGAGACGGAGCTAGAGGATGACGCCTCGCCTTCCGAAAACGTTTCGAAGTGCCGATCGAGTGCCGCGTCCCTTGCAGCCTGGACCATTAACGATTTCTTGAGTTCATAATCCTCCTCCGCTTCATCAACTGGATACAAATCCTCGTAGGCTGGCGGGGAGGAGTTGCCAGTTAAGCGGTCCCAGCTATCCTTAACCACAGTTGTAGACCATGACGTAGTTGGCCGCTGCGGGACGAGGGATGTAATCCGCCGCATCATAGGATATGTTTGATAATCTGGAAGCGTCGGCATCGGAGGTAGAGCTGGAAGGTTGGGAAAAGTCCAATTGACACTCTGCTGGAATTGGTTGATTTGAGCCGCGAGTTGGTTGCGCCAGGCCATAAGCCTTGCAGGTGACGACACATTACTCTCATCTGCAACCTCGATTTCTCCATCAGCTGGTGGTAGTCCACCGCTAGGTTGAGAGCTAGATTCGTGAGAACGGGAAAAGTAGAAGCCAGCATTGCTGTCCTGGCGAGTACTCGCTCGTCGGGATGGTGGGTAGTAGAAGGCAGTGTCAGAAGCTTCCCCTGAAGCGTCGGGTTCTTCACTTTCATCCGATGAATCATCCGATGAATCCACCACAATATTTTCGGAACCGCCGGATGAAATTTCCCAGGACATGTCAAGTGATGCAGTACTTGGGCGACGGCGCAACGACCGAGTTGAACCGACACTACGCGATCGGTAGTGTCGAGCAGGTACAAGGACTGCTTGATGCGTTTCTAATGAGGTTGCAAGATCAGCCGGTGTGAAGTCGCGCAAGTTCGTAGCAGCCGCGTTTGCGTCAGCCAAGCGTAGACGATGGACAATGTGAGTATGGCCACTCAAAGCCGCCAAATGCAGGGGCGAGTTGCCATTATTATCTTGTACATTCGGATTCGCACCCCTGGCAAGCAGTCCAGCAACAAATCTAGTTAACCCAAGTGAAGCTGCATAGTGAAGAAGGGTCTGTCCAGAAGGAGACCGGCGATTAAAGCGTGGTGACCTAGGACTGTCATCCAAATCCATAAACTCAAGATAAACAAGCATCTTCGCATCTAAATCATTAATGGTTTCCTGTGAATTCTGGTTTCCATGACCTTGGTGTCCATTGCCTTGGTAATTACCCTGCAAGTTCCACATATTGCTTGATCCTCCGCCCATGATTTGCTGAGCGGTCTGAAACGCGTCTGCAGGATTTCTCAGCTTCTGGCCCAGAATGCCAAGTGCGACGCGGTACATCTGAAGCTCTCGATCATCCACGTAGCGGAAGAATATCGGTTGCTTCGGAATTATGGGTTGAGTCGATGGCTGGACCTGTCCAAAAGTTGGGTGTTCATGTTTGAAAACAACAGGTACAGTGCCAGGCTGCAATGCAGGAGGAGTAAGACAATTCAAGCATTTATCTCCCCAAAATGTGGTTGTTGTCGCTAGCGTATCGCCAAATACAACTTCCATTCCTGGATAGAACCCGCTACCTAGCAGTGTTACCTCACTTCCGCCCGTGGTTGAGCCTTCGGAGGGGACAAGTTTGTGGATCATGGTGGGTAGTCGATTTGGAGGATTGGGTGGAGGAATACCCCACAACTGGCTCGACATAACAGGACCGGCCGGGGGGTTTGTAGGACTCTGGAAGTGGTTACCGGGGCCTGGGCTTCCGGGCCGACTTGTTTGGGCTGAATTTGGGGCAGATATCAACTGTTGCTGGGGAGGGTTTTCAGATGATCTGGGCCGATCGATGGGGCTGAAAAAGGCCATATCGTTGTTGTTTGGCGTGGGTGGACCGTTTCCGAATTGCGGGGTCATCGAGGCAGGTATCACAAACGGTCTCTCAGCTTGTCCATTGAATGGTTGTTTTCTAGACGTTTGAGAGCTCTGCTTATTTAAAGCAGGGTTTGCGGCCGCAACTGCGTTGCGAGAGCTCTCTACTTTTGTCATTGTCAACCCAACAGGGAGTTTACCCGAACCACTCTGTTTACGTCGCTTGCTGGAGGGACCTTGGAAGTCGGTCGGCGAAGCTTGTCTCGAAAGGTTTCGAGGTGGGAACACAGCAGGGGTGTTGGATTGCATCTTTTGGGTTGTGCTGGAGGGTTCCCGAGAAACCGGGAATTGGTTCTTTCGTAGTGCTTGCAAATCTGTCGCTGAATGAGATAGCCGGAAAGGGGGTTGAGCTACCAATGAGGCGGCCATGTTCGGGTTGGCGCTGGCAGGGAACACTCCAGCACCAGGAAGTTGATGTCCCCCGAGAAGCGTAGAATTCTGTGGAACGGAATTTGCAGGTGCGTGGGTTTTATGGTCGTCTGTGATCATAATGGAGTTCGTTATCGCTTGAGAGACGGTGTTGCCGAGGTGATCTTTGATCGTAAAAATCACCCTGCAATTCATCTATTAGCAATGCCTAGTCAAGTAGACTGAAATGATACTTACTGAAATCCGAGCTTCTCATTCTGGTGTCGGCAATAACAGGCAATTCGCATAGGCAGCTCGACCTGCATCGCACCGAGAGGGGTAATTGCAGCAGGAGATTCAGTACTCCCTGCCACGGTTCTGGCGGGTTCTACCCAATCTTTCAGTTGCGTTGTGTTGAACACAATAACTCGTTTATCTTCGTCCCGTTGGAACAATTCGTCCTCTTCAGGCTTCCTTTGCTTTTTGCGCGAGGCCCGCTTTCGTTCTCTTTGAATACACCCAGAGCATATCTTGACATCTCCCCCCTCTAGCGGGGTCTCCTCCTTAGCTTCCCCTTCTTTCTTAGAGTCTGACTCTGCAGGAGTATTTTGAGGTTCTTCCCCTCGTGCTCTTGCATATGCTCGTTCCAGTTTCTTCTTATCCTGCATAGCACTGGTACAGACTACGTTCGTACGAAGTTCAAGGATCTCTGGCGAAGGGCCAGAGGAAGGTTTGGCGAGGAATTTTGGCTTGGAGATGGCATGGCTTGGGAGTCGCAGCTTTTTAATACCGGGCGGCAACGGGCATAGCGTAAGCTTAATCGGAATTTGAGTTTCCACTCGCGACTTCAAAGACGTTGGGTGAACAATCAACTGTGGCTGACGGTAGTTGTGCTGACTCAAGGTCGTAGGGAACGATGCAGCGTCACCGTTGGTGGGTACTTGGGGAACGGAAGGTTGTGTCATCGGATCGAAGCTAAGTGCATTCACTCCGAAATTTAGACTTGGCGAGAGTGTAGAGCTTAGAGGAGAGGCGGTGCCGCTCATGTTAATGCTTCCAAAAGTCTCCTCTAGTTCTGAACCTGACGATCGACGGTCCCACTGGTTCGTACCGGATTGGTTTTTGTTGTAGAATACTGAGGGTTTCGACGCATCTGATGAGCCACGGAAGTAGAAAGGGTTGGCTGAGGTAGGAGGGAAATTCTGGTGTGAAGGATGTCAATAGCTTGGCTTCATAAACGAAAGGGAAATTGCTCCACTTACGGACGGTGGTGAATTGGATTCAATGACTTGATTTATTGTGTTTGATGGGCCTCGAAATACCTTTTTGGGTCGTTGAGATTTAAGATTAGTTTCTGGAGCAATCTCCATCTTAAGAGGGCTGGGACTGCTGGCGGCACTATCAAAGTCGAATGCAGAACTCATAGCCTTATTGCTCGTTTCCAGGTCGGTATCCAGTATATAATCGCCATTAAATGATGGGGTGTCGTTAGTTTGCCCAAACAAAGGCGAGTCCCCCACAGTGAAGTCGTCCAAGCTCGGCCACCCAGGAGTAGAGAAGCGTTCTCCTGCCCCGCTGTGCTGGCTAAACACAGCAGAATTGTTAGACGCCAGAGAACCGGTCCGCAAATGTCCAAGAGGCGAGTCGGCTGACGAGCTATGGCTCGAAGCTTGAGGAGAATCGGAGCGGGTATCGGATAATGGTGAATGGGTTTCTGCAAAATTTGCCGTGGAGGGTTGATGTCCTGCTTTCATTAACCTAGCTGGCGACAAGCATGACGTTGAGTTGGATTCTTGAGTGGCTGTCGAAGGCCGTAGGAAGATATCATCGAAACCATCTCCCCCATTTGTCCCTGATGATTGTAATACAGCAGGATCAAAACATTTCATATTCCCATCAACATAGGGATTTTCCATGTCGCCGTCAAGAATGACTGGTTCGAGATGTGGAAATAGAGGCGATGAGGGGTCACTGGGCGGCCACATTGCACCCTGGCGCCCTCTGTTCATACAAAGCTATATAAGGGGCAGCGAATCCCGTGTGGCAGATGTAGGTTCGGGTTGATAATCAAGAAGGATCGAGGATTCGAGGTAGGTGTGGCGGATGCGGTGAAGGGTCCCGCTGAGGCAGAGGGCGTCGTTCTGGCGAAGTGATGAGTTCCGGCATATACCACTGCCCACGAAACGTAATCGAACACGAGATATTTAGCAAATGGGTAATCAATACGGAGTAATTGAACAGATTATAACAAGGAGATCGAGCGGAATGGGATCAAAATCGATAAAACCTCCGTCACGGTTCGAAGAAAGGCAGTTCAAAACCACTCCACCAGGGCGCAGGGGTCGTGGCGGTTATTGCCACAGGCCACAGCTCACAGAAACGGTAGAATCAGCAGCGACCCGACCAAGGCCATAACTCCTTGCGCGGGTGATGGAGATGACTGCGGAGTAGGACGGGCAGAACGGGGAATGGAGATAGCAAACTGGTCAGGTCGGGTCGGTGGTGAGTGAGGCGTTGGAACGGCACTAGCGCGCTAGTCCTAATTTGGATCTGAACAGACCTAGCCTCCTCGACGGTCAATAAATAAGAATACACCAATATCAGCGCCACTGTGGGATGATTCATAACAAACAATGGGCCTTGGAAAAATCCACTGCATGCATAATGACATATATGATAACTATAGAATTATTGCTACTATTGCTTTACCCGCCTCAAAATCTCTGCGTTCTTTATGTTGGGGGTCCCGCGGTTGGTCGGCCCTTCTACCAGCAGGCGCTGGTGGTGACCGAGCTCTTTTGCCCCAGTAGCCTACAGGTTATGAGACCGTTAAGCGTGAGCCCCGCTGTGATCAACATGCATGGGTTCAATCCCAGAATGGACTTAAAAATTCCTAACAAATACCCTGGACATTTTAACAGTGCCAAGAGACATCCCAGGAGTGTGCCCTAGAAGTCCCATTAAGCCCTAGGACTGAGTGGTCCAGTCCATTATTAAAAAGGAGCCATTGTGGGGAGGCCACTGAAGGGAGCCACTGAGGGGAAGTATTGTACTCTGTGGTAGCTGGTCCGAGGGGGGGTGTTGGGGGTCCCGCGGTTGGTCGGCCCTTCTACCAGCAGGCGCTGGTGGTGACCGAGCTCTTTTGCCCCAGTAGCCTACACTTTATTCCTCGAATCTGCTGAATTACGGTGTGTGCTGCGGCGACAGAACTCACTAGTTTCAGGGAATAGCCCCGTTCTAGAGGCTAGAGAGCCATGGTGTTGACGAGCATGATAACTGGGAACAGGTAATCGACTACGGATACTGTCTGTGTCTTTCAATATTCAATCATCTTTCCTTGTTATGATTGAATGAGATGTGCTCTGAAATTTGCCTTCTCGGCGAGTCCTCCTCGCAAGCCCTCTTGGACGAAAAATTTGATAATAATAGTCATAATGGCAACCACAAATGCATCTGCCGGTTCCTGCGAAACTAATCCTTTTTAGCACTAGCTAGCTGCTCGGGATGTTAGCTGACAACACGCTGCTTTTGTTTAGCATCCTACGCAGTCTCCACTACACTACATCAAAGGAGGAATATCGAGCGTGCACCCTTATGGGGCAGCATCGGGCCCATAGTTACGTTTCAATGCAGGTACTACGCAGTAGACACAATACTTGAAACGACGAGATTGCCAAGGAAGCCAAGCGGCACTGCAGATGTCCACGCCGGAGGTTGATGCAGCTGGCTACGATTTGCTGATATAGGAGTTGTCTGTGTTACAAAGATGATATGGATGCTGAGGATTATGACTTGCAACTTCCGGTTCCAAAGCCCCTGCCTGATCTTTCATAGCCTAGGTGGTAATTTCTGTGACTCAATTGTGGGAGAGAGCAGTGCGCATGTCATTTTAATTAATATCTATTCTCTACGCTGGCATGTGCAAAATCCAAATTTCACCCCCCCCCAGGAATCGAGTGAACGAAGCTAGTTCAGTTCGGCAGCCTGCCTCTATGTCATATACAGGGGCCGCTGTGAAATCGATTCGATTGCTCTGACCCCATCCGCACCCCTGCCTGAATCTCCACAATCCTCTACATCCCTCGGCTTTTTCTGGGAAGGTTGCATATCATGTTCCTGGTCGATTGCTCCTCGAGACCCCTGGGACCCGAACCATCTTGGTAAACACCAGGAATTCCCTTTGGAGCCGCCTCCATAAGCACGGTTGCTCTTCGAAAATATGTTTGGGAACATTCGGGTTATAAGCGTCCGTAGGGTGGGAAGAGAGCAACATATTCTCGCGACATCGCATTTGACAGCTGACCAGGAGGCCGCCGCGTCATTGCTTTCTGAATCTTATTGGGATTAGCTTGCGGGAACCAGTGGAATGTGGTCAACTCTACGAGTACAATATATACGGAGACCATGTCAGCCAAGGTCGCAACCTGACGTACGCTCTCAAGACGAAGACCACTTGTGATACAAACACATATTGAGAGCTGAATTAGCTGTCTGAGCCAGGAATATATTTCGGCGGACATTGGTGAAAACGAAGAGAAGGCGAACCTACGATCCTCCAAGAGCGAAACCAATACGAGGCCGATTCTCTTCCTTTTATGAAGATTCAGCCTGATGGGAATCGGCATGGGGATCGCAAGCAGAATGATATCCGTGACGATGTGCACAATTGCAGTGGAGAGCCAGAGTGCATCCCGACTCATGCAGCTGCGTTCTACCGTGTCATCCCGTGTCATCCCAGAAACGTTTCACTGGGGACGCAGATGAGAAACGACCCGATAACCACCCAGAGGCCGTATAGTGTTAAGAAAGCGAGGGCGCCATAGCATGCTATACGTATTCGACTCCCCGGGAAGCTTCTGTGGTACTGCAGGCTGATCGAGGCTTTGTTGCAGAAGAGACTAGCACTATGCACTGGGACAGAGGCACAAAGGAGCTGCAGAATTAAAATCAGTTACCTCATGCGAAAAAGACGCCAAACGTTATCACCTTTGAGACTTACTATCACTTTTTTCTTGATCGTATCAAACAAAATTTAAGTCTTACTACCACCAGGTGCGGATTTCCGTTCTACTTGTTCGTTAGCGTTTTCCTTCCAATATCCAAAGTCTCCTTCGCCGGGGATGAACGGAAATGTGCCACGTTCAAGGAGTTTTCGGTGGCATACCATACCACCAATGAGCAGTCCCATGAATACAATGGGGAGTATCTGGTTGCGGTGGTCAGCGAGCTCTTTTGTCCATCCCAACTTCGACCTGGATCGACTCATTAAACATACCAGAGATACGATACTAGGCACGTCCAGTCATCAGAACCGATCTTTTTAACCAACAGACCCCATGTATAAAAATGAGCGGCTACCAATGATGCTGCCAGCGACGTGAATGTGGTAGTGACGATAAGGGCGTGCTCGCCTTTATCCTCTGACTCCTTCCTCAAGCGAATGTACATCGTCCTATTGGACGTTTCCATCTCCACCTCCAATTTTCGAGTTCATCTAACGTAGCGAGAGTTATGTATGTCGATAACATCTGAAATGTAATAGCGAGAGACAAAATAGATCCACGGCTCCGGCGCTAGCGATAGCGAAGAACCATTTGATGAGCTTGGAGTGGAGACCTTATCAATTCATGGAACGAAGATACAAGTCTTCTGTAGGCACTGTACTGTACTGTACATGAGTTTCCACATATCATTGTTACTGGTCTAAACTCGGACAAGGCGACTGTTTTCAATAACATTCTCCTCCACCCAGAGCTGTGTTTCTCCCAAAGAAGAACCAGAACAGTAGTGAAGTTGGAGACTATGACAGCCATCTAGCGGTCGTTAACGATGCCGCAGAATAAACATCATTGAGAGTGGCAAATCCCGAATTATTGCCGAGGCGCTTCACATAGCTAGGCGCTAAATAATTGCGCTTACGCGTCTAAGTTACCGCGTAGCCGCGATCTTTCAACACCAATCCAGGTCTACTACTCCGTACTACCGCTCCATATCCGGAGACGAGTAAACAATAACAACAACAATAATAATAATAATAACAGACAAACCCCACACGCTTTGTTTTAAACTTGCGGGCCCAGCTACTGACACATCAGATCACCCATATGACGGCCCTCACGCCCCGCAACCCCACGAATCCCGTGGTCTTCTTTGATATGACGCTTGGAGGTATGTGTATAGATTACCTTGCATAAGAGGTTTGATGATATTTCTTTTCTTCTTCTTCCTTCCGTTACACACGTGCCCCATGAAGACGAAAAAGCAAAGGGGGAGAAATCAGTGCTGCTGGTGGGTGTTACATTACATTTCTACGAGTATCAATGCTTCACCACCAGCACTATACGCGAACCAACCTTCTTGCATAGACACTTCGTTCAACCTTTATATAAAAATTGATGCTAACCGCTTGCCTCTAGGAGAACCATTGGGCCGAATCAAGATGGAGCTCTTTGCAGATGTCACGCCCAAGACGGCAGAGAACTTCCGCCAGTTCTGCACGGGTGAGAGCAAAAATCCCCGAGGCCGACCACAGGGTTACAAGGGCTCCAAATTTCACCGAGTGGTATGGAATCCCTTTCAGCCGATGTTTCTGGCCTTACTTTCAGACTTTTCTTTCTCACCTCATCTCATGCCTCCGCGACGAGCTCCCTAAATAACCTGGATTATGTTTGACTTTTGCTCGTTCAGCTTTCATTATTTTTAACTCGTGCGTGTCTAACCGATGACCTCCAAACAGATCAAAGATTTTATGATCCAAGGTGGCGATTTCATTAACGGCGATGGTACCGGCAGCACAACCATATATGGCACGAGCAAGTTTGCCGACGAAAACTTTAACCTGACACACGATGGCCCGGGTCTTTTGAGCATGGCTGTAAGTCAGTCACACAGCTACTCTTTTCTTCCCCCCCTACTTCCCCCTTTCAAAATATATATACCTAGAGTACATGTACACTACATGTGCATATACAAGTCCAGAAAGGCGCCATTCCGCTGGTACCAAAACCCAATCGAACTACTAGGGTAACATCGCCTCTTTTTTCTTGTCTCTTCTAACTATTTGTCAACGTAGAACTCCGGCCCAAACACTAATGGTAGCCAATTCTTCATCACGACAACCGCCACACCTTTCCTGAACAACAAGCATGTCGTTTTTGGCCAGGTACTTGACGGCATGGATATCGTTCGTATGATTGAGAATACGCGGACGACGAGAGATAAACCGAATCAGGATGTGGTTATTGCGCAGTGTGGGGAGATGTAAACGGGGCGGATGGTTGAGGGATGTATTAGTATTCTTGCGACAGGAAAAATCAAGACGGACTGATGGGATGAGACGAGATGAGATGAGATATAGAATACAGTAGACATGGGATTTATCCCCGTTACGATATACTGCCTCGTTGCAGCCACTGAGAAGGTAATAATGGGCACTCTGGAGGCACTCGTGGAGAGTCGCGTGGTTCGAAAATATCGCCTGGGGGGGCCTCTGGGTGCTTTCTTATGCTACATAACGAAAGGACATATATTTAGAAACCCGGGATAAGGTATGGCTGGAGATGGAAAAGAAAAACAGGGTAACTGTGCGCTCAGCTCTCAATGAATTGGGTTCGTAGTAAAAGAGGAAATATATGTATATATATATATCTATATGTATATAAAATAAAAAAATAAAAAAATTGACACAGCGAACGAACCCCTTTGACAATTTCCATGAGAACACAGCTTACTCCGCTGAGTCCCAAGCCATGGATAGACATGAATGAAAGGGTTAGTTAAATGATTTGATATTTTTAGTAACTATCAACCTGGGATATAAGTATTAGAAACCCCGTTCGCACAACAAATCAAAATCAACTCCCATTTCGAAAATGAAAATAAAACAAAGATAAAAAGAAAATGACAAAATAGAATAATATAACATTTCTATACGGAAGAGAAGAGTAAGAGAGAAAGGAGAAAAGAAAAAAAAAAAAAAATCAAAGTTTAAACTTCTCCAGATATTCCGTAGCAGCCTTGATGGCGTCCTCCAATTTCTCAGCCTCCGTACCATTCCCGATGGCGACAGGCGCTTTACCTCCTGCACGCCCACCCACAATGCTCGAGACAGTATTGGCCCACTCATTAGGTGTTGCACCCTGCGCACTTAGAGACTGTTAAAACAACAAAGGAGTCGAGTTAGCTTGGAATCATCAGGGACCAGTATCTTAAAAAAAAAAAAAAAAAAAAAAAAAAAAAAAAAAAAAAAAAAAAAAAAAAAAAACCCGGACACATGTACGTACCTGCGCAACATGGCACCCATGCACAACCTTCCCAGCCCCCTTATCCGCCGCAAACACGTAAACAGACTTATTCTGCATCTTCGTCTTGACGAAATTCAACGAATCGCTCACTGCCTTGGGATTCGCCGAGATGGGCAGCTGCAGCACCAGATGCGGTGCATCTTTATTCTCAGGTGTCTCGAAATAGCCCGTGATCGCATCAAGCGCCTTCTTCGACTCCAGTTTCTGCGCCGCCTTCTGCCCCTCGACGACCTTCTTGTGAATCTGCGTAAACCGCTCGCGGAACCGGACTTTCTCAACGGCAGATATCGTGAGCTGGTTCAAGTCCACCTGGAGCAACTTGGCCTCCATCTCCTTCTGCGGGCCCAGTTCCATCTTATCGAAGCGTTGGAGGCGCTCACCGAATTCTTTCGCGATGCGTTGGACCTCATGCGCCTCTTCGCCTGTCACGGCGATGATGCGTCGGATGCCCTTGGCGATACCGTTCTCTTCGAGGATGACGAGATCCTTGATATCCCCTGTCTTCTGGACGTGGGTACCGCCGCAAAATTCGATACTGATGTCCTTCCAGCGCGGATCATGGACGTTTTGGAGGATCTCTTCGAGCTCGACACCAACGGAGACGACACGGACGGGGTCTGGGTAGGTTTCGCCGAAGACGGCGCGGACGCCGGAGATCTCACGGGCGGTGGAGAGGGGGACATCCTTGGCATATACGGCGCAGTTTTGACGGATATAGTCGGTGGATATCCGTTCGATCTTCTCGAGGTCGGAATCTGAGACGGCGGATTTGTGAGAGAAGTCGAAGCGTAGCTTCTCCGCGGCGACGAGGGAGCCCTTTTGCTCAACACCCTCACCAAGGACCTGGCGGAGGGCGAAGTTGAGGATGTGGGTTCCTGTGTGGTTGTTTCGGATGGGCCATCTTCGGAGTTCGTCGTACTCGGCAATGACGGAGTCATTGACATTGAAGGAGCCGTATTTCATGAAGCCTGTGTGAAGTATGTATCCTCCGTATACCTGGACATCTTCAACGGCAAGCTCTGCCTTGCCATCGATAATGATCTTTCCGGTATCGTTCTCCTGGCCACCTTGCTCCGCATAGAAGTTGGTGCGGTCAAGGATAATACCAAATTGTTCACCCTCCGGGATATCCTTGGTTGAATCAACAAACTTCTTGTTGTGGTAGATCGCCTTGATCTGAGAGGTGATGTTTCCTCTACCAAACTTCGCATCGTCGTTCGTCTTGGGGACATTGTTCATGGTCTCGAGGAGGCCAAGATCATGAACGGTCAGCTTCACTACATCAGCAGTTTGCTTCCCTTGGCCCTTGCTTGCCTCCTTTGCCTTTAGCCGGGCTTCTTCAAATTCGGCATTATCAATAGTCAAGCCCCGTTCCTCAGCCATGAGCTGGGTTAAGTCCACAGGGAAACCAAAGGTGTCGTAGAGTCTCCACACATCCGCTCCATGTAGGTTACCAAGTCCTTTCTGCTTAGCCTGGAGGGCATATTCTTCAAAGAGACGCTCTCCACGGTCGAGTGTCTTGGCGAAGGAGATTTCCTCCTCGTCTAAAATCTCCATCACATCTGTCTGTTTCCGTCTGATTTCAGGGAACATATCGCCCATCTGCTCAACGAGTGTAGGGACAATTTTCGAGAAGAAGCTTCCGATTTCAACGTTTAAATATTTGCGCGCATATCGAGCACCGCGCCGGAGAACTCGTCGAACCACATAGCCCCGCCCTTCGTTATTTGGAGAAGCTCCATCAGATATAGCGAATGTGAGGGTTCTGATATGATCAGCAACAACGCGGTACGCAGTATCGATTCCGTCGGTATCCTCTTCGCCGAATTTGCCAGTATACGGTCGGCAACCTGTAATCTCCCTGATCTTATCGAAAAGCGGGGTAAAAACATCCGTATCGTAGTTTGATGACTTGTTCTGCAGGATCGAAACGAGGCGTTCGTAACCCATACCGGTATCAATGTGCCTGTTGGGGAGAGGCCGTAGGGATCTGTCTGGCTCGCGGTTGTATTGGATGAAGACGTTATTCCAGATTTCTAGGACATTCGGGTCATCTTGGTTGACGAGGTGAGCCGCATTACGGCCTCCGATTCTATCGTAATGGATTTCGCTGCAGGGACCGCATGGGCCTTGCTCTCCCATTTCCCAAAAGTTATCTTTCATATTGCCTGAGAGGAGATGATCCTCTGCAACGCCAACGGACAACCATAATTCCTTAGCCTCCAAATCGGGACCGATGCCCGCATCGGGATTCCCTTCAAAGTAGGTCACGTATAGGCGGTCGGGTTCTAGGCCGTAGACTTTGGTGAGAAGATCCCATGAGTAGCTGATAGCTTCCTTCTTGAAGTAGTCTCCGAAACTCCAGTTACCGAGCATCTCGAAGAAGGTCTAGAGAAAAGCAGAAATATGTCAGTATCGCCACACATACAGCAAAGCGATGACCACTGTCACCTATAAACTTACATGGTGATAACTGTCCTTCCCAACGTCGTCAAGATCCTAAAAAAATCTGTCAGTATAACTCCGATTGACAAACCCCGCACAGTCATGCACATACATTGTGTTTTCCGCCGGCACGTATACACTATTTCCACACATTAGCAATCTATATCCTTATAATAACCAAGAAGAGGGTATAAGGCAAAATGACCCACCTTCTGCGAGTTATGCGCACGTTTCAGGGTCGCAAAGTCTGAGTTTGGATCAACAGTACCCAGGAAGATGGACTTGTACTGGTTCATTCCCGCATTTGTGAACAGTAGAGTAGGGTCTGAGAGAGGCACAACGGAAGAAGAGGGCACTGTATATAGTTTCCAAGGTGTTAGTGTATATGTAAAGATATATAAAACATGTTGCCCGCACATGGTAAAAAGGTCCAAAAAAAATTCGACAAAGGAAGCCAGGCCACTTACCAAAGGTATGGCCATTTTCCTTGAAAAAGTCCAGAAAGGCATTCCGCACGCGCAGAGCAGACCACTCTGGCTGCTCGACAGTCTGCGCCGAAGCCATCTTGAAAGCCGAATGAGCCAGACCGTGGTGGTGGAAGCGGGCAGGGAGAGTGGCGACGGGGGAGGGCGTGGATGTCGAGGAGTTGCAGATGGCGGGGGAGGGAAAGCGGCGGCGGGCAAAGAAGCGTGTCGAAGGCGGCGACGGACCAACACCAGAAACACCACGGGGGGCACCACCAACACAAATACCAGCTGCACCGATACCTGCAACACCAGCACCAGCACCAGCACCAGCGCCAGCACCAGCACGAGCACGGAGTCTAGAAAAACCCAATCCCCGACGCAGCACCACTCCACTCGCTACTCTCTCTCCTCCAACTCCTCTCATCCAAACCGAGAAGAAAACAATCGAGACACGAACGGGGCGGGCTAGAAAGAAGCGGGAACACGATGCCTGTTCCTCACAGCGCAGTCTGAGTCCCTGGGCACGCGATTACTGTTGTTCTTTTTTTTGTTTTTGTGTCCTCATCAAAGGTTGCTGCGACAGACAACCCACAACAAAGGAGCTTTGCTCGGGGTGGTGGATGGCGCCGGCGAGCGTGGTGTCTGCGGGCGTGCAAGGCCGTGGCAAAAAGAGACCCGCCGCGGACGAGCTCGAGGGAGAGCAACGACGGCTGGCCAAAAAGTTTGGATTGCTACATATCGGTATGTTTACTGTTGTTTTTTTAATATATTATCCCACTACCATTTATTTATTTATTTATCTATTTAATTAATTAGCTGAAATGCATGCGTTAAATTTACTTCAAACAACTCTCTTCTTCTCTCCCCTTTTTTCCTAGTCCAGTCCTGTTTCGCTTTCCCCAGCTCAACCATCTTCTATTCCAGCTCATATTCCCAACCCGCTCAATCCTCAAAATGACTCCCCTCACACATCCCTGGTCTTGCCCCAACCAGCTCCTGGTCCTGGGGCAGATCAGCATCCAATACCCGTCGCTGCTGGCCCAGCTGCTGCCGCTCCTGCTACCGCTCCCACTACCGCTCCAGACGAATTCATGCAAGTAGACGAAACAAAACACAGAGTCTACATCCACGATCTAGACAGCGAAATCGCAGAGATCGAAGCGCACGAAAACAACGCCAACAACAACACCCCATTCATCCGCGCCGATATTGAGAAGAGAGTCATATGTGTTCCTAAGTCTGTGCTAGGGGCCAACAGTGGTAGTAGTAAAAGCGTGCCCTCTACCACTAATGCGCTTGTCCTCTACCGGCTGCCGTCGTCACTGAGCGTGCCGGAGGTGGAGGACGGTGTGCGCATGGCTGCTATCGAGGCTAGGGAGCGGGCGCGGGCGAGGGCCGAGGCTGCTGCTGCTGCTGAGAAGGAGAAAGCGAAAGAAGTGGAAATGGAGAAGGAATTGGAAACGGGGCAGAGGGATCCGGGTATGATTATCTCGCGGTATGGCTCGTCATTGGATTTACTGGCATCCTCGACGTCTGCAACGCTCCCGTCGCCTGAACCACTTGACTTGGATTCACCGTATGACGCTGAACCGATGGAGATTGATGATAGTTGAGCGACGATCGTTCTTAAGGAGGGAGGAACCAATTTATATATATATAGTTTCTTTCTATTATTAAACAGATTGTCTTTGCGGCCGGAAGAAGGGGATATTACAGGTAATTTAATCATTAATTTATTATCAGATCAGGGGAGATAGAGATACGTGCCGTTAGAAGCAGTGGGTTCTACCCAGGTATCAAGGCCTTAATTGGTAAACTGCTGGGGCTGTGGAAGTGACACTCTAGCTTATAGGAACCTAAGTCCGCCGTGGAACAAGACCCCATATTCCCATAGCTACTATTCACCGGGTGTAATGATGAGTCCCTGCGTATTACGGGGCGCACAGCGATCTGTTTACACAGTCTGAGTTTGATTTAAAGAAACGTCCACGTTTCGTCCTCCTTTTTTCAGTTAGATTATTGGGATTTTTCTTATATCCATCTACGTATATAGGGATTTTCTGCTGGGTTGTGGCAGGTGCTAATTTTATTTTTATTACGTGGATATCCATAATTTTCGTCCATGTAAAGCAGAATCGAGTCACCAGTTTCATATGATCTAGGATTTTTCTTTATCCCTGATTGAGGAAAAGTAATTGAGAATAAATACTAAGTTAAACGTTATAAATATAGCAGACAGTAGAAAAATGGGAATCAAGTCCCCTTCCTGGGCAGCGGGAGGAGGTAAAACTTCTCACAACTTCCCCCTTAACTCCGGGCTGAGCGCTGGCTTAATCCATGTGTTCCACGCCACCTCACAGGTACCCCCAGCTTGCTCCATCCCCCTATTTATCGGCATCTGCCTCGTCCATGACATCAGCGTCTCATACGCATTCCCATCATACTGGCCAATGGCGGAGCGCAAACTCGCATTCGTGAAATCCCACGCATCCGTGAGCGCAATGGCATCCGGCAGAAGCTGGTCGAGAAGGCCGTTGACGCAGCATCGGATATCCCTCATCTGCTTGGCGTTTAGATGCTGGTCTTCCACAAATGAGATCGCGTCGTAAGACTGAGGGTGTGTAATGGTCGTGAGCGCGAAAAGGGAGCGAAGGCGTGAAAGGGCTGCGTATATGGCTGGGTCAGTGGCGCTGGTGGGTTCGACGCTGTTGATGAAATCTTGGAGAACGAGGAGTTCTATATATGCGCGAGCTGCAGCGATGATTTCCACTAGGTTATGGTTGAAGGCATCTACGGCGCTTTGACCTTTTTGTTCAGCGTTCTCGAGCTCTTCGCTGCACTGATGTAGCAATCGGAACGCGCGATGTTTGAAGATGGTGCATTGGATATCTGGGTTTAGGAACTCGGTTCCGAAGGCTTTGCAACACTGTTGCTTTCCCCGGGTGGTCTGTAGCCGGGTGAATGCTTCCCGAAGAATGCCCAGGCGGGAATCTATTGGATTTCCCAGCTTAAGATTCTTCCAGCATTTAAGCAGATAACGTCCGACTTGCTGATACATGACATAGTTCTCTCCTTCAAAGGTAGCCGGCGCTGTGGCTTCAGCCACAATTGATGGCAACCCGCTGGTCAAAACGAATCCATGACCTCCACAGCTTTTTCTCGCATCCTCTGCCCCATCAGCAGCAACTTGTGTGTTCCATGCCTTGAATCCCGCTAAGAGAACATGGTCCAGGTGGATTGAGGTATAATCATGGTTTGACGCTATGTGCTTCAGATCTTTCTCCAAGTATTCCAATGTGTTCCTCGTGAAATGTATAGCATATGACCTCGCAATGATGGTAAGGAGACGAAAGTTTTGAGAACGGTAATGGATGATGGGCATTTCGGGGCCATCGCCGATTCCTGCCCCCTGTTCTCGCACAACTGAATATCGCGTTGCGATTGTAGCTGCTTGAGCAAGCTTGAATCCTGCTCCGGCAGCAATGGTGGAGCGAGCGTGGAGCATAGTAAGGTACGCCGCTTTGTCGTGTGGAGCACGGACATAAGTCCCGTCCCTGTGTACTTTGGTGTGGCCCATGAGCAGGTGGTTTCGGGGTATGCGCAAGCCCGAGAATAGAGCATAACCATTCGTTGTGCCGTTGTATCCCATTTTCATCCCCAAGTCGCCAAACTCAACGCCTTGCACGGGCTTAAAACCGTCAACGTTGCGAAGGGGCACAATGAAGGGGTGTACGCCATGATCCTCCCCTCGAATAACCAGCCGAGCCATAAGGATTCCATGGGTACAGGACGATGCCATGGCTCCGGGCCAAAATTTTGCGGACGTCAGCGTTGGAGAGTTGATGATGAACTCGTCCTTCTCAGTATCTAGTGTGGCTGTCGTCTCTATACCTCGTACAAATGTCCCATGAGCCAATTCCGTCTGACAGTAACAGCCACAAATCTTCCCCTGTTTTGCCAGTGGAACCCAGTATTCAATTTGCTCGGACGAACCCTGTAGTTCAACAGTCGGAATAAACATCATGTAATGAAGGCCATAGGGCGTGCCGTTGCTGAGGGTGTAATACTGGTCTAGGCCATAAAAGAAGTCGTGATTGTATCGAATTCCATCGACAAACGCGGCAGTCCCTGCCTCAACGCCTTGTAGGTATACTGATTCACGGTCCGCATTGGCATAGGCTGCGGGTAACTTCGACTGGTCATCTGTACCCGTTGCCTGCTCCACCCGCCAAAAGGCTTCTCGCCGCCTTTGGACAGTTTCCTCCCTATTAATAGCTCTATCAGCAATGGCATATATATTTCAAGAGAGGGTAATGAAACAACGCTTTCCGGGAGTCCTTGTACCCCTTATGGAGGATGCAGGTCAGTCTATACGGATCAAAAGTAGCCGCCTGTCGCGCATTTCGCATCAAAATCAGCTGTCTATTTAGGGATGCCATGATCGTATAGATATCGACCAACAACTTAGTTTTTCATATTCTTAGGGAGAAAAATGTAATAGAATCTGTTCTGCCGTTTCGCCTGATTTTACAGGCCAAAGAAAAGGATGGCATTAGCGAGGCGCATGGTATAAATATGGAAAAATCCTTTCCATTTACCTCTTCCAGGGGGGTCGCAATGATATGCAACCTTCATACTCGAAGTGGGTCCCGTTCCAGTTAGCATTTGAGTATCAACCAGTCCAACATTAGACCGGTCGTGTAACGCAGAGACAAGAGAATTGAAATCGATAGTAACGACAAATAAAATCTTTGACGGATGCTTTTTGTGCGACCGCGAAGAACAAAGTTGACGCGCAACAGAGTCGCCCAGCTTGCATGTGCATCGTTTCTTACATTCTGCTCTAGCCTTATGGAGCAGGGTTCACGGCAAGAAGTCTGTCCGCGATGGTTCTTGAGCTTCATTTGCCTGGTTTCACCCAATAATCTCTAGGCGAAGCTCGGATGAACTGGCGGACATATCACCGTCCACACCTCTCGAGGTCGATTCCAAAAGTGATGCACGGTATGGTATGCAGGACAATCATTGCCCAAAAATGGGTAAACCGGTGTATCGAACGTATTTGAGCAAGGACAGGTATATCTATCCTATTTCTTGTTTGTTGTAGGCAAATACATGCCCAGTGAAATCCGGTCAAGCTTGGACTCACAGGTTGGCAACAACCACTCTGTTGTATCGAAATGCTAGTTTGAGACATATGGGGTATTTCTGGTAGTTGAAGCAAAATAACTAAAGCATGTGGCAGTGGTCCAGTGGGTCAACAAGATGCGATGCCGATACACCTAGTCTGTAGTTGCAAGGAGGTTGAGCTTGTTCCAAGTGCGTGCTGCGGAACAATAATTTTCCGCCATCCGGGAGTTATTTAACCCAAACCTCCGTCATGCTCGAATTGCACGCAGAGAATATTCTTAAACAAGGAAAAAAGACCTACCCACGTGCAGCTCGATTCTCGATTCTCACCATAAACTCTTCTTATATCTGGCGCCTCTAAACCTTTATAACTCCAGGCGGACCACCCTAGGAACATAAAACATGTCACCGGCAGGCACACGGCGGCCGGCCTCTCCTGGAGACAAGCGCAAGCGCAATGAAGACGATGAAATAGACCATGATCAACACACCTCTGGTGAGCCTCAGTCCAATGGCACGGATGAACGGAGCAAAAAAAAAAGAGTCATCGGACCGACGCTACCACCCAACTTCGGAAAAGAGGAGGACAGCGGCAGTAGTGGAAGCGAGAGTGATGATGATTATGGACCGTCCTTGCCTCCCACAGACACAGCGTTGACTGTCGTGGCAGATAAAGAGGAAAATCAGAGGAATTTAAATGAGGAAAAGCCAGGAGCTGCACAAAGAGACGACTGGATGCTTCACCCCCCAGAGCATGGCGACTGGTCTTCACGCGTCGATCCGACAAAGATACGCAATCGGAAATTCAACATGGGCAGGAGTGCGGTGCCTAAAACTTCGTCTGGGATCGGCACTTGGACCGAGACAGCGGAGGACAAGCGAAAACGGCTAGAGGCTGAAGTTTTGGGCGTACAAGCCCCAGCAAATTCCACCGCCGCGCCAACGGTACAGGGCTCCGAACATGACGTTGCGATGGCGAAACGGGTACGAGAATATAACGTATGTCTAACCAGTGTACAACGCGAATTGAGGGTGAGAACAGCTAGCTGACGGCTTCCTACAGGAAAAGAAGCGGAGTAAGACACTCTATGCCCAACATCAATCCCAGCCCTCAAAGGAGGAAGAAGATGACCCCAGTGCCCGCCCGTTCGATAAAGAAAAGGATATTCGCGGTCCAACAAAGATCAACCATGCCCAGCGGCGAGAGTTGCTCAACCGCTCCTCTGATTTTAACACCCGATTTTCCGGAGGGAAGTTTCTATGATGCTTGCTCTTTGATTGCGAATTCTGGATCACAACACCACTTGGCCTCTATGCCTTGCACGATGAAACCCTACAATCCCAGGGCTCAAGATAAGGGATAAGGTTGGAAGCTTACACCCTGTACCTGGGCTGGACCAAAACAGTGACCGAAACAAAGTTGTTTGTCCCACTGTTTTGTACGACACGCATTGAACCTCCCAGTCTGTCCGGCGCGATACTCTCGGCAAGTGCCGAATGGATGTGTTGTCCATCAACAACAACAACTCTGTTGTACCGGAAATTCACAACCCCCCCCCGGGCCCGGAAAACCCGTTTTACATACTAATCGGACGAGAAGCCAATGCAGAATGGATTCCTGTTCCCTACATATGATGCCTGTGGATGCGAGAACCAGGTACTGGAGGGCAACAAAGAGCTATCTTAGGCTTTATTGGTATCGGAGAGCTTACCAAGAGGAGGAATTCGGCGAGCGCAAGTGGCGAGGAATAGGATGTAGGGCTGCTTCTATGGATATGGATGACTCAATTAAGGATACATATAAATCCAAGAATACCATGGGCGAATCTCCGGTCCATTCGAATACTGAAGCTAGGAAGGAAATTCTCCGACGGAAATGGGATTAAAATCTGGTTTAGTCCACCAATTGTATAGCGTACGTATAGGCACAACTGGTTCACCCCACTAAGTGACGCTTTTCACGCACTTTACCCCCGGACGCTCCTGCACTATGCGAGTGCAAATAATAATAACGTGACAGAGTCTCGCCCTCATGTGCTAAGGGCTAAAAGGCTAAGGGATATGCGCCTGCCCTCGCTGTTACAAGCCGACAAATGTCGCCTAATCTGGAAACTGTATGAACATGGCCACCGGATGACGCGCCGTCGACGTACTATAATGAATTCGCGGGCTAGATATGGGGAATCCAGTGTTATATAAATCTGTAGTGCCGCGAGCTGAAATTGCTGAGCTACTGGCCATAAATTGCGGTGTTTTTTAACATCTTCCCGATAGAATTCGGTAGCTAGTCGATATACAGGCGTTAAATCGCATTTATTCCTGGAGCAGTTACTCTTAAAGTTGAAGGGCTGTCCTATTCCTGCTCGACAATTGCTTTGGCTCTATATGACGCCGCTTGGCGTGTCTGTTCTTCGCGATGCAGGCCTTTTCTATATGGCTTTTAACTTTCTGGACTACCGTTACGGCTTCTGCTGCCCAATTAACCAGAGACGCTGCGTGGCTGAGAAATGAAGCTTTACACAGGGAGAGTCGTTACTTGAATGAAAAGTCCCGAGGTTTGAATTTTACCCAACTACTTATTTCCCTTGGATGGCATAATCGGTTGACGTATGCTAGTGTTTTTGCTCAATGGCGAGAATATCCCAGACGTTCCATTTGATATTGGAGAAGCATATGCTGGTCTTCTGCCCATCTCTTCCGATCCATAGGAGTCCCGCAAGCTGTACTTTTGGTTTATGCCCTCTTCGGATCCGCTCGCAGTAGACGAAGTTACAATTTGGCTCAATGGTGGGCCTGGTTGCAGTTCGCTCGAGGGCCTGTTTCAGGAAAATGGCCCCTTTATCCATCAATATGGAACTTTTGCTCCTGTGCGGAACATGTGGAGTTGGACGAATCTTACGAATATGATCTGGGTTGAACAGTAAGTGATGGCTGCCGTGAATTGATCCAGCTTTATATAGATGAGTCCCACTCAGTCCTAATACATTAAACCTTCGTTAGGCCTGTTGGGACCGGTTTCACGCAAGGAAGTCCAAACATTACGAATCAGGAAGAACTTGCGGCACAATTTTTGGACTTCTTCAAGAATTTCCTTGATATCTTTGGGCTTCACAGGAAAAAGATCTACTTGACTGGTGAGAGCTATGCTGGGAAATATATACCCTACATTGCAGACGCAATGTTTAAAGAAAACGATACAAAATACTTCGACGTTCAAGGCACTCTCATCTATGATCCTTCCATTAATGTTGATGAAATTATGGTGAGTGGTATGCAATTCGTCCGAAATTCTCACACAATTGATCGAATTTCAAAATGACTAAAATCCGTATCCAGTACCCGCCGTGCCTTTCGTCGACAAATGGAGTGGCTTATTCCCTTTCAATTCCTCTTTCAGCAAAGAAATACACTCCCTCGCCGACTACTGCGGCTATACCTCATATCTAAATCAGTATCTCGTCTACCCACCAAACGGCAAACTTCCCCTACCATCCCCTAATGTGTCTTGTAATATCGCCTCCTCCATACGGAATGCCATATCCTATATCAACCCTTGCTTCAACGCCTATCATGTAGCGACAACCTGCCCTGTTTTATGGGACCCCCTGGGATTCCCCGGTAGCTTCCAGTATGTCCCCGACGGCGCACAAATCTACTTCAACCGTTCCGATGTGCAACAGGCCATCAACGCCCCCTTGACCTCCTGGTCAGAATGCTCGCGTGGAAGTGATCCAGTTTTTATTAATGGAACCGATACGTCACCGCCACCTTCTTACAGTGTTCTACCATCCGTCATCGAACAGTCAAAACGCACTATTATTGCTCATGGAGATCTGGATTTCATACTTATGGCCCAGGGGACTTTGCTAACTATCCAGAATATGACTTGGCATGGTTCTCAGGGATTTACTGCTGAACCGACAGATCCTCTTTTCGTCCCTTATCATACTGGCGATCCCGTATCGTCTCTGGCGGGGGCAGGTGTCATGGGTAAACATAGGACGGAAAGGGGCCTTACGTATGCGGAACTGTTTTTGACGGGACATATGGGACCCCAATATAGTCCTGCTGCATCGTACCGGCTTGTTGAATATTTGCTCGGGAGGATTGATGATTTGTCGTCATGAAGTGGCTTCTTTCGTTTCAAGCGCCCCTTAGATTCGGTTGGCTACTATTTGTATTTGAAATATCTATTTCCGGCGCCAATTGCAAAGAGACCCTAAACAACTCAGAATCTGCCACACGTATTGTAACCACAGACGCAAGAAAATCCAACCCAGTAAACATAACTGCTAAATAGAGGTCATCTATGTGTCCAGGGGCATATCATTATGTTGGAATTTACTTGAGATTAACTTGTTATGAATTGTTGCATATCACATGATAAGACACGGGGCAAACAGCCAATCAAGTGCTCGGGATCCAATTCTCCAACTTCCAACGTCAATCCTGCACGATGGCTAGGCATATATCTGTCATATACCCAACCAACGTTGGTGGCGTTCATTATTGGGCCCCCTTTGAGCAAAATCGCGGGTCTTAGGCCGCCGGCACCATCCGAAGAAAATGTGACTGAGACAATTCCTTGCAGTTGAAACCGAGCTCACTCCCCGGTGGAACAGGAAGATCTCTTGTCAGACAGGTTCAGTAAACTGAGTTGTCAAGGGGAACAAACTTATCTCTCCATACGTTATTAGCTGCGTCCAATAGACAATTGTAAGTATGTAATGTATGTACATGTACGTACATAACTATGCATTGCAGAAGCAGGAAAGTTTCACCATTTTCTTAATTCCGGAACTATGAATCGTTGACAGAGCTAGGTAGGTAATCCATCCCCAGCGCATCCAAACCCTGATCCCCCGCAAGTTCTCCTGTTCATCACATCATTTTCAGCTCCTTTACTGCCCTACTTCGTCATAAGTCTTGCTACACAGCTAGAATACATAGTATGGTGCCAGCCAAAAGAGCTCGGGGTATCCATTTACCATTCGTTACTACTAGTAACTTTTTGAATACAGGGCCCATGCCTGCCCAACTCACGTCCAGAATGAATTCTGGGATAATACCTTGCAGACGACGACCGCTGTGATGATATCCCTGGGCTATGTGAGGGATACTATATGTGCTGCGGGCTTAATTGTACTGCACTTTGCCATCCGGATTGGGATGGACAGAACCGGGCCCAAGGGTGCAGTGTTATTCGAATTGAAGTGTGTTGGTGCTCAGATCACAGGGGTATTGGCCAGTTGGTCGTGGTCTGTCTTCGATTTCGTTGCGGTCAGGGCTGGGGGACCGTGGCCATGCTTATACTAAACATTCTCGATGTTTTATTGTACGATTATGGAGTTATCAGATACCATGCTACAACTGTGAGGTCGTTGAAATTGGAGGTATCAAAAAAATAAAATAAAATAAAATAAAATAAAAAGAAAAAGAAAAAAAAAAGTATGCCATTACAAAAGGTGTTCATGGATAACGTTAGAACTATATATTATGTAACGGACACTCGCTCCGGAGCTGGCAAAAATCCGACCATGCAAATCATGATATCAAAAAATAGGACGGAGCGAATGCGTATAGCATCTGAACAGACCAGCTGTTACGTGTATATATATAAATACATATATTAGATAACAAAAGTTCCTCCAAACAAATAAGAAAGCAAGAACCATGAAGAATGGCTGTTATCCTTGTGCAAATCAGTAGCCAATAATACTAATTGTATGAGAAAGAAATACATTTCACTTCCATGGGAGCATTAAGTTCGGGAAATGACTATGGCGGAGCATTCGAGCAGCCCAATATTATAAATAAAAATAACAGACCCTAATACCCGCGCCTCGGACGTGTCGGTGGGTCGAGTTCATCAGGCCGTCGATCACGCCTCATCTCGACCACCCGCGGTCGCTCGGAGTGGGGGCCTGGGGTACGGGATCCTGGCACCGGCCTGCGTCTTGAATAACTGCGTTCGCGGGGCGGATCGCGTGGATACCGCTCGTATCGATCTGGACTGCGAGGCCTAACATAGTGGTAGTCAGAATGATAAGGGGTATCGGGCGGATCATAGTACGTGTCGGGTACATTCACCCCTAAGTAAATGGTTAGATAGCCTTCTACAAGATCCTAAAGGGGCCGAAAGATATGGGAGAACTCACTTCCAGGGCTTCGCATACGCTCCTCTTTTGGGTATCGTAAATCGTGGGTAGCAATCGGCGTAGGCGTAGGAGAGCGGCCACGCCTTCTCCTCCTATGGCTACGTGAATCTGCTACCTCACCGTCGGTGTTCGATTCATAATTCCTTCGATCATCATCGTAATAAGTTCGTGCAGCCCATTCCGGAGCTGGTCGATGCGAGGGTTGATAGGTGGGTATCGCTGCGTTACTATCTGGATGAGGATGGGGTGGCAGATGAGGTGGGTAGTATCCAGGAGCATATGCCAAATTCTGTTGTGTGGGAACCGTCGGTTGGTTTGCGTACATGCTCGCATCAACGGTAGGCACAGGTCTGTGGCCTGTTCCATCTGTGCGATTAGCGTGATGCACAGTACCGGTCCTTGGGTCGTATATCCCGGAGCCAACACGATTAGCACCATGCCTATCCGGCCGCACTGGCTCTCTAAAGCGCACACGTCCGCTCTGACCCTCTTCATCACTGCTGTCGGATACGTCGTTGGCGGACTTCTTCAAAAAACTCTTGTTTCTCCCTTTTCCTTTTCTCTTGTGTTTATGGCTGTGCTTCTTAACCGGGACATCGCTTTCACTACTGCTGTCCATACAACTATCTTCTCTCGTACAGCCACAGTCGTTCCTGCGCGCAATGCGATCGCATCCTCTCTTGGACCCGTTGTAATCTCGGTTTCTCCGGCGCCTCCTGCAATCACAGGAATGACAACACATATGAGGGAATCGAGTTGAGCAATGACCGCAGAAACCTTCTGCAATAACCAAAAGTGCGGGTTTACCTATCTTAGGTTCCCATTTGGGGAACGATGCCTCACAAGGATCGGTGATTTGCACCAAATTCTGCGCCATGTCGTTCGGGAACGAGGCTAGTGGATTCGGTATTGGGTGCTGCTGGGGAGGCGGATATTGTAGAAACTGTTCATATGATGGTACTGGAATCTGCTGGGGTTCAGGAGGGCTTGCTGGTTCAAATCTGTTGGTATCTGGCGCTTGATATTGGCTATGCTTCTGTACGATAGGGCGAGGATTAAATAGTGCATCTGCTAACAAAGAGCCGGGGGTCTTGTATCTTCTTGACCGACGGACAAATGCGGGTTTGCCCGAAGGTTGCATTTGCACATACAGCGCTCCCGGTTCCATGTAAGATGACGAAGAGGTACTACAGAGGCGGATAATATCGAAAATTAGAAAGATCCCGTACTTTCAGCATACCTGCTGATGAATGGAAGGTACCGATACAGACCATGTCGGGGTACTCCCGCCTGAACTTTCACTGGAGTCTTCTGGAATGTGCATAGTCGACCAGCTGGAAGATTCCGGCGATATACCTCGATACTCTTGTAGTCAGAAGAAACTTCGGCGAGTGGCCAAGCGTGCTGCTCCCTGGGGGCCCTGACGACGGGAAGGTCAGAGAGCAATGGCGTCGGGGTTCAAAGTCTTCAGATCATAACTTCCAGGAGTTCCTACAAGAAGATGATGAGCTGGAAGCTGCAATTGCCGCAGTTTCGCCTAGTCAAGCGGCCACGCCGGGGAAGTCTCGACTCTGGTGAGCCGTCTTTTCTCCTTTCGCCACGGTATTTGAGAAAGTTCGAATGGGATACAGCAGACCGAAGCCCTCAAAGCTGTCCTGAAACAGTAACTCAGGCGAAAGAAAAAGAGACACATGTTGATATGGAAATGTTCATCGCACGGCATAGTTATAGCCATCAGAGAAAAGCGTACATCCATGCTTTGTAGCTGGACAAAGAAGCAACGGAAGCGCGAAACTTGTAGTTGCTATCTACAGGACTCTTGAAGAGCCTCGAACAGAACTGACAAAGAAGCATTGGGACGAGAGACGGGAGGGGAGTCCTCTTGAAAGGTAACAAGCTGCAACACCAGAGCAAGCTATCCTTCACCCAAAAATGGAAAAGCAGGTATAAAGAGAACTCCCAAAAGGTTTCAATTTTCCTCAGAGAGCTAGAGAACTTCTAAGAATTCTTCAGCTTTTGGTTTTTTTGTTGGCTTTTGAAACCAGAGCTGCATTGTTCCTTGGATGGAACAACATGGCCGAGGACGGACACCTGTATCCCTTAGACTCGGCAGTGTAACTAAGCGACAAGCAGATGCTGAGATGGTTCTTTGATCGAAGCCTCTTTATGCGCATAAATTAGCTTGGTTCTGGATGGTATTGAAGATTTGGCGAAAGCGGCCAATGAATTGGACAAGCATTGCGGTGGCTTGGTTGGCCTTTGGGCTGTTGGGAGTTGGTTTCTTTGGTGCTTTAATGGCGTTTGAGATAGATGGTTGAAGCAACATGAAAAGTGAAACGCCTTAAAATAGTTCATCCAGAGGTAACTAGGTCAGTCATCATCAGGAGAATGGCGTATGGATTGAGCCACTTCACCACCTAAACTTGAGAAAAAGTCAACATTAATAAATTTCCTTTCTTTTGAAGATTCTCTGACTCTATTAAACTAAATAAGCTCGATCAACAGCGAATAATATCAGCTGAGAAACATACAGTTTAATATAGGTCGATGTAACTGCTGTCCAAAATCGCATTATTTATATACGTATGCTGCCAGTCCTATTTGTTTGTCTTTGCCTGCTCTTCACCCGCATTACACATTCTTCGTGCAGACTACTCTGCAATAGAATAACAGAATATATTAATCTCTAGCTGCCAAGCTGTCTGCTTGTCTACCCGCCTGCTCGCAAGATATCTGCTGAATCTTATGGGAATAGAGATATATAGCTCCCTGCCTGCAATATATCCGTCAGACCTCTCATGGAATGGAGACTTCTGGTCATCTGTGAGCTAGAGCTATTTTCTCGTTTTTAGCTACGTGACATGGCAATATAGATCTTCGATCGACTGACAAGCTTTCCAAGGTTAGTAACCCCCCCCCCCCGACTGTTAGCTTTAGAACTAACAGGGGTAAATCAACGAATATTTATACAAAGGCTCGAGATATAGGGCTTGTGACGGGCTGGATTGATATTAAAAGACGGGCAGATGAGGCTGACATGGCCCTTCCGACCTCATCGACCTAGATGCCGGGGAAATTAACAGGACATATGCAACCACCTCTATGCTGGATATGATCTCCTGTTACTCGTCAGAAACATGCCTATTTCTAATATCATATAAATGTGCACTCGCTCACCTTCCGCCGCCATCATCTACTCTGTCGTGCGTTCGTTCATTATCCGCGGCCATTCCCCTTATGCACTCGCCAGGATAGAAAACATGTCGGGTGGGGGTCGGGGGAACCACGCCCGCGCAATATGATGGATACTCCCTATTCTGCATTCCACAAAATCCGCTGGGAGCAGTCTCAACGAAACAAAACCTGCTCGCTCGTCTGATTCCGCGCTCACATCCTGCTCAATGATTTAGATTCAGCTGCCCGTCTTCCCTCGCTCAAAATGAAAAAAATGAATACAAAAACCTTTAAAATCGCCTCTGCTGTTAAATCGCTCCAGTTCTTCCCTCATCCTGGTATCCTCGTTGCTCTTCTTCCGTCTCCCTCTTTTCCACGAATAGTTCTAAGCCCCTGATCCTCAAAACTATAGGGCCTTCCATTCTCGCCTTGGATCTTTTCCGTTGGCTTTATTTGTTGCGGGAGATTATCCTTTCATAGGTTGGGGATGTCTTATTGTCTTGTAATTCTGTTCCGCTTGTGGATCAGGCAAGCGTTCGTGACTTCCTTTTCTTTATATTTAATTTTATTAATTTTATTAAATATTCTGTTTATTCTTATTTATGTATTTATATTTATATTTATTTATTTATTTTATTTTTATTTATTTTCTTCTTCTTCTTCATCTTCTTCTTTCTCTTTTCCCTTCCGCTTCGTTTTCTTTCGGGAATTTGATGAGTGATGTACTGTACATGTACATGTACATACGTATGATAATCCCGACGAAGGTCGGGTTGCCTTCGAGGATGCGGAAGGTCGGACGGTGATGATGTAGGTAGTTTGATAAATTTCTCTTTTTTGCTGTGCTTGTTTTGATGGTGAGGTAGCTGACTGTTTGAATAGCATCATGGCTAGTTAAATGCTCGTCAGCGTACTGAACAGTCGAGTGCCGGGGATAACCTTTCACGTGTACATTCATTCATCCCGATTTAGAATCGAAGGGATGGATCCCCGGATGGAGGTTGCAAGATTTTGCGTGGCCTCTTGGAGGGTGTGAAGGCCCGGGCTGGCTGTATCTTCAAATGGTTTGTATCTCAACTTCTCAAATTAGTTCAACAACTGGGCGGGAATGTTCCACGGCAAGCTAACTTACATACTAATAAGCGTACAGGTTCCATGGCTGACAAACGCCTACATAGGTTGGCTGACGGCTTCCAAATTCGCCTGGGGATTGGACCAAGAGTTGAATCACAGTCACCGTCCATTACGGACGACGTGGGTGTGTGTCCAAATGTCAGCATCCATTCCATTGATGAGTCTTCTTGAGGACAGAATCCTGTCTCTGAGCAATCATCGTGCAATCATCACGCCTGAGTATATGTTTATTCCTTTCACGTTGCCCCTATCTCCTCGTCTGGAGGCGAGGCAACTTGAGCTTCCTTATGTACAGCCCGGATTGGCAATATGAAGCCAATGAGATGTCTCAGAACGTATGGCAGAAAAACAGACGAGATAGCTCGTCCACGGGTAGTTATGTGCAGTAACATACGACGCAGCGCACGTCGAGCAGTCAAGGCACCAGCAACAACACCAGCACCGGAATAGATCCCGCTTAAGTTCAAGTTCACGAATCATATTGTTTTGAAATTTGACTCATGTACTGTACTGCAGTCTTTATTGGTTCCCTTTTCATTCATTTTGTTATTTTGTTTTATTTTATTTTGGGTGGGCTTCTACCTTTTGTTTCACGCTTTACAATAATTCCAACTTTCGTTTCATAAGAGGGTATTTCTTGTCATAATTATCTACTGCTCCTATGGTGATTGTATCGATACTCCTCTCCGCCACCTCCAGGCGTCCTACCCTACTTCCAGCCCAGTGAGACCACTACTTCAGCCCGAACGTTGAGTATCATCTGTGCTTGTCAATCATTGTCATTTTGCAAACCCCCCATTCCCCTAAATTAACCACTCGATTACCAAAGCATTCCCTCTTCTCCAACATGGGCATCATATGCCGTTTGTCTATCCCAACTTGGCCGGGAATCGTTATTATTATCATAGGTGCCATGGAAACCGTTATCGCTGTTCTGACTCGTGCACGATGCCTCTCCATTACAGCCTCCGTTACCCCCATTGCTACCTTGCGTTGCTTGTCCCGGCTTGAGGTTTGATGAGACAGGAGGGCAGTTGTCAGATTGCGTAGTTACATTCCCGCCGTCGGAGCCACTGCGCTGCATCTTACTGCATGGGGGAGGGTGAGGGGCCCCGCTGGTAGCGAAGCTAGACCGATTTCCACCGCCGGCATTCTGTGAACTACGGCTCATATTTGGAAACCCATCACTGGGCGCCATTCGTTCATTGGGTGATTGGGGATGTGCGAACGGGGCCGGTGGTGAGGCTCTGGGGCTAAGATTGCTGGCCATGTTGGAAGTTGAGAGGAGGCCCTGTGAACGTGGTTAATCAAGTTGTACATTACATTCCCACAATGAATATTATGATATTAATAAGGCAGATATTGAATAGCTTACCTGAGCACGAAGCAGTTGGTTTACAATTTCAACTCTTGGTAGAGCCTCAAGTTTTCTTCTCTCCTCCTCAATATCCGAGACGACAGTTACCTGGAATTTTTCTTGAATCACGTCTAATAGTAGAAAAGAAATCCTTCAGTGACACGAACCGGGGCTGATATCACACTCAAGAGACTTACCCGCAGCGCGGTATTTAAAAACAAACTCTGCATACGGCTTTTTCATAGTATCCAAGTACTTAGGCGTCCTGATCCTGTGTACATATCTTGCCTGTGGCCCTAATTGAACCTGATGGGTAAGGGATTCCGCATGTGCCACTGACTCAGGAACTGTATATAGCGGAGGCTCGTCTCTAACAGGCTCCGAGAGCACTGGAGAAACGAAAACAGGTTGTTGTGAGACCCAACATTCGCTAAAATCCTGAATCTGCGTTGTAGAAGGTTCTTGACATTGATTCGGTACTGTTGGGGATGGTTGAACATTGGGATTAGAGTCGTCATTTTTAATCCTAGTTGGACTATGATGATTTTCGTCACGAATATTCCAGTCCTCGGGAAGCAGTGGAATGTCATTATCGGTATTGTCCGCCTGATTGCTCTCGGTCCGTGGGCAGGGAGTAGCCTCGCCATCGACGCCACATCGGTCCTGGTTGCTACTATTCCCATCCCATCTTGAGCTTTCGTCTTGCTGGTTCAAATCTGCTTGATATTCCTCTTTCTTGTTCTTGCCACGAGACCGTCTCCTCCTTTTGGACTTTTTTCTCCCGTTGTTGTCTGCGCCACTGCGGGAATCTGTGGGGTTATGCGGGTAGCGGCCATAGTCTAAACTCTCAGGGACCCGTTTGCCATCAGAAATCACGTAGTAGTCATGATCATCTGATTTTATGCTTTTTTCGTCCCTCTTATTGAGGGAGGGATTGACGTCTCCAAGTATATGAGGGCTAATATTCAATAGAATAGGTGGCACAAACAACAGACTGTCAGCTTGCACCTCTCCATGAGGAATTGTGGCTGCTGGGTTTTCTCTGCTTGTGGACCTGATGTTATGTAGATGCCTATTCGGAGGCAGGGAGGGATGAGAATCACTTTCACGAGTATTCAGTGGTAAGTTTGATCGATGCATGCAGCATCCACTGTGGGAGTGTAGGTTATGACCCCTTGAATGTTGCCTGCGGCATGGAGGGATATCGGGCGCATCTATTACCGTTTCTTGGCGGGTATGGTCCAGATGGCAATCTATTTCAGCAAGCCTGGCATGCTGACACGACCCTCCAGTATGGTCAAGGGGGTACCCAGAAGGCCTTCCTTTGTTATTATCACGGGGGTGGTGGCACGCAGGGCAGCAATGTGGGTAACTATATTTGTGTGGAGCCCCCAGGACATGGCATGTACTGTCATGAGGCCCGTCAAACAACCCTCCGAGGGCTCCCCAAATTTCGCCATTTCCTTCCTGAAATCGACCGCTGTGATGTTCGTATATGAACGACTCGTCGCTTGAGACGGAGTCATCATCTAGATGAGCTTATTGTTAGAAAACGTGTAACTAGGATGGAGGTCTGCGAGGCAATACCTTCAACCCCGGAGCCAGGAGACATCCCGGATTCTGGTGTCTGTGCACCGTCTGATATACCATCATCTCTAGCTATGTTTGTCTTTGGATGCGCCGCGCAGCGTAGAACTACCACCTGTATAGTACCCAATCTTTTAAAGTGTTTTGTAATATCATCGTTGTTGCCGGAAAATTTGACTGTAAGATCGTGATTTAGCAACTTCAAATCAATGATTCGCTCGAAACAGTGGATTGTTTCTCTTTTGACATACCCAACTGGAAACGCTCGAACCTCCAGTGCCTTCCAATCCATTCACCGTCAGGCAGCCGCTGTTCCCTTTGGCGGACCCTAAAGCTAATATCTCTAAATTTCCTAATTTCCTCTAGTGACCTGGGGATGGGCCGCAGGTCATCTCTGTTCCGATTGCATTGGTATACTCCATCCATGAAAACAAACATAGCTAACCCTGGCGCAATATAGCCGCTTGATCTCAAATTAATTGAAAACGGAGTAGACGAATTGGGGATCGCTATATAGCACTCCACAAACCCGTCGCCATAGGTAGTGCCGTACTCCTTGAATGGAACATTCGAGCCGGCCCATTCTATTTGACAGGAGAGCTGCTTTAGCGTGGGCATTGTTGGATGACCTTTTGGAAGTGATCAAGGAGACGAGGCAGAGAGATTGCCTTGAGAATTGTGTAAAAGGGTGGGGAGAAGAAAGAATGCAATGCATGAGTGAATTAGATGGGATGTGTGTATGAAGTTGAAAATTGCCTATTTTGGCATGGCAACCACTTTTGTCCATCCACCCCCATAAGTTTTGAGCGCGTGAAACATTTAGTGAGTTCTATCTCTTCAGAGAATTGCCAGAGCCATTCTTTAAGAGCTAATTCATATCTTTGACATGAGTTACGTCTTAGCTATCAAAGCAATTAGGTAGGTGATCAACTGCACCCAAAAACTACAAGACTTGAACAAGATTGCACCCAGAATGAAAGAAGAAGGCGAAATAAATGAACCTCTCACAGGAGCAATTGAAAGGCTTCAAGCATCAAATGACACATACACAATCGATCTCATCTCGAATATCGGTGAGTTGTACAATATGTCCTAGAGAAGTACAGGTGCATTGTATCGGATATACTACCCAAGATACAATAATCACCAAGGATTGACGCGGTATAATGAGGACATTATACACTTGAAAACATAACATGCGAACAGCTACATATAACAACTGGCATAGATATAGGAGTCCCCCGTCTTCCAAAAGTACTCCATGCGGGTACCTGATAGGACACCCTAGTAAACTTGAAGTTCTAGATAAGCCAAAGAAGGGGGAATATTGAGGAATGAGGAAAGCTTCAAATGCCAGCCAATAGCTTCAATGAGGAATAGAGCAGCCTACTCAACATTTTACAAAGAGAGCCTCTACCCACGCGAATTGATTCGGGATGGGTAACACCGAGATGCATGGCTGCATTTTCAAAACCACGTCAGAATTGACACGTTTGGTGTCAATCAACATCCCCCCGTGGCCGGAGGATAGAAACTTGCACGAATAGAATTCCGTACAACGGGGTTGCACGGTCAAATACGATCTCCCGCACGACATAAGTGGCCGATCAATCACGAAACCTAGTTTGAGCCAGCGGGATGACAGGAGTGACTCCATCCTTTGAAGCTCCGGTGAGGCGATCATGTATCGTTTCTTTCTTTGGTAACCTGGACTTTCAGGGCAGCTAGGAGAAATTCCTCGGTATAGAATCCGGGGTAGCAAGCACGGGATCAAAAAAATTAAAAAGTTAACTATCCTCTTTGTCGCCTTCGGTGTGGTGTGGTAGCTAGGCATCGGAGCAATTACTGTGCGAGCCGGTCGACTACGCATAGTAGTGCCTCTCCGGGCGGTTAGGTTCGCAAAAGACGTTCCCATGCGGATCACTCCCTCTCGTTTTCTCCCGAGATTGATTAATTGGACAGCGTCCGACATACACTGCGTATATTTTCAGTTCAAGCTCAGGGCTGGGGCCAATCGGCTTTTCGGGCCGCGCCTCCGGTTTGGCTAGTCACCCCGCGAAGAACAACACCCAGGAAATGCCAAAATATTCGACCTCTCAGTTTTTTTTATATTATTACGAAATTGGAGTGCAGCCGCAGCCTGTGGCAGAATCCTAAGGCAATGAGCAGCTAACTAAGCGCTGCGTCAGGAGGCATATTAAAGTCCTCAGGGACATCCTTTTTGCCTCTCACATGTCAAGAAATATGCCACCTTGGCGCACGACACAAGTACGGAGCCAATCAGTCATACATTTAAATCCAGCCTGAAGTTCGCATATGAACCAAGCATTGATTCTTTCTCCTAAGTTCTTATCTCAGTACAGATTGCGTTTGCCGAACTAGGTGCTGGCAAGAATTTACTCTGCTACTGTACGGAATGTCCGCCCGCTTCGACGTCTGCCTCTCTAAGCTCGAGCTCGATTCTGGATTACTAGCGTCTACTCCATCTCTTTTCGTCTCGACGCAATGTTTGCTATGGCAGATTGAGGAATAAATCCTGTTCTTCTGGCTATATGCGATACTATTTGTGACCAACACTTTCATATCCCTTTCTCGCCCCAGGACGCCAACCCCCCTTTTCAGCTCGCGTGGGATTTCTTTACTGCCAATGGTGCTGTATCACCCTTCCCGGGCGAACAATGCGTTAATATGCAGCCCACCCGCCAATTAGCCGTCGAGGCTGAGAAACCTAAGATGCCGACTGCCTCTGTGAAAACTAATAGTTGTTTCAAGTTGCAGCCATAGTTGCAGGGAGACCCTGGGTCAAGCGGTGACTGCTTAGAAAGAGAAATTTGTGTTCTAAAGCTCCAAGAAGAAATTTTTGAATATGGCGTTTGTAATATCTGAGCCTTGAGGCTGGTAGTTACGCGTTAGAGTGCAGATCAGCAGCTGAACATCTGCGGAGGCGGTCAATACATGGCTCATATCCTAACGATGCTAATTATTAAAGATGATGATGCACCAGCCACCGTGTGGGTTCATTTAAGGGTTTGCTATTCCTCGCCGTCCGATCAGACGAACCACAGCCTTGCACATCACCACCCCAAATTGAACACACTAGCTGGGATTATGGAAGCCCGCTAGAAACACCCTTCCCTTCCAGTTAGCCAATTAGCAACGGCGGCTCAACGAACCGACGCAGATGACCTCGAGCGCCAAGGTATCATTGTGCCCGACATGTCTTTTTCCCACCCTCCATGTCAAACGAACAACAGGCCATTCGCTGGTATTCAGCCGCCTTCTGAATTCTCCTGATGGCACTTTCTAGTGCGTCTTTTATGGAGACTGTTCTTGTCAGTTTTCTCACCGAGAAGTTAGGGAGCTCGGGGACACAGGTTGCTGCTGAAGCTCATGCAATATGTAGTCGCAAAAAAAGGTACGACATTTACGTGGATGCAGCTTCTTTTCCTCACCTTTATTTCCCTAATTAGTACGTCATTAGACCGGAGTCACTGCCTAAGTTTTTGATATAAACTGGCATTTCGTGGCGTGTTTGAGGTATTTTGCCCCTTCGATTTTCAAGGTTCAGTACAGGCGTCTCATATTCACTTTTCGACCATAGATTATCTTATTTCCGGCTTTGTACGAACTTTGTACACGCAGGGCCATGTAATGTGCTGCTGTACCGCCATATGCATGTGCTCATACCGATTTATTGTTCTAATAATTTCAAGATGACGTGAATTGTTACTCGACCTCGAATAGACTACCGTCAAATTGCTGTCACCCTGAAGTCGATGAAGAAAAAGAAAGGAGAAAAAAGCCCAACCCTGCATGTGAGAGAACCAAGGTTTACCCCGACCGGAATGAGCTTTGCAATTAACCCCGGCTTTGAAAGTAATTTCTTTTCTTTTCTTTTTTTTTTTTTTTCCTGCTTGACAGAAAACCCAGGCTGGAAAATCTCAATATCGCTGAGTTTGGGCGGCGGAAAACGGGGCGACTCCAACAATCCAATAATACGAAGTTTCTATCTTTTCAACACCCTTTTCCCAAGCTGCCCATCGACGGGTACTAACTTTAGTATGGCATCGCTGGTGCTATCCCAGCATTTTAACGCGTTGCATATCAGTTTTGAGGAGGCTCAGCAGAGGATACCCCGGCTCTCCAGGAAGGCATGGCCGGCCAGGGAGACACTCTAATAAGCACTTCACTATCAATGGATGAGCACTTTGGCCAATACTAGACCTTCGTTGTTCAAGTGAGGCGAGTGCTCTCACGCAAAATTAACATACATTTAGTAGAGGCCTCGATAAACGACCGGGATAATTCATCAAGCTAGCCTTCTTCCGTCTTTACGCTAGCGCAATGAGAAGGTAGCGGCACTCTGAGAGCCTACCCCAGGCTCGATGCCCGGTCCCAAGTTGCCGCGGAACAAGGATATGCCTTGGGCTCCAAATTCAAAGCGATCGGGCCTCCCGAAGACTGAGTACATATAAGAGCTATTTTCCTCTCAGGAAGAGACGCATGGAAGTACCTTTTCAGGTTAACCATCGAATTAACAAGGAACCCTCCCTGGTTCTGTTCACTTGGCCTACCTTTCCTTCATTTTCCAGATGATCCTGCCTATTGGTCTGTCCGATACGTATTTGTGTATCAAGTGTCAAGTTTTATTGTTCCTTGCTTTTTAGGTCGTTTATATACATAACTTTATCTTATCTAGTACTTTCTTTTCCTCTCTGTTTATTTTGATATCGACCCTCCTCATAGTCATTCACAGTCCCTCAATAGTACCACTAGGTGTAATATATCGCCTGTTGTTTGAGCTTTATACGGACAATTCTAGTACCTGTCGCCTCCTCCACTCCTTGTGCCTCCCCTCACCTCCATTAACATGACTACGCCAGCCTCCATGGACAGGATACTGCAACAGGATGAGGTTCCCCCCGTGCACACAGCAAACCGCCCACCGCAGCTCAATCCGACAGTCACGGGTCCTCAGTCTCGCTGCGACCCCCGTTCTTCTTTCTCCGACGACGACCAAGCAGAGGCTGACTTCGAGATCATCGAAGTTACCTCGGCCTCTGAAAATGGCGGGAACGATGAATTGGCCTACAGCTCATCAACCTTCAGTGACATCGACGATATCGAGAGCCCCAACCCTTACCTATTTTACGTTCTGCCTCTGATGGAGGAACACGATAACGAGGAAGATGTCTTCTTGCTGGTCATCCCATATTGGTGTGATGAGCAACCCGGCTTGTCACACCTTCTCGATGAGGATCGGGTATATCCCTGGACCCCCGCCAACCCAGATCCCACCGATTCTGCGAGCCACGATGATACGGATACTGAAGGCAACTATAGCGTGCCGTCCAGCAGGGTGAATTCCGCAATCTTAAATCCATTTGATTTTGCCGCCCATCGGGATGTTTCGGGTGAAGATAGGATATGGTCGATGTCAATGTCCATCATGTCCTCGTCATCAAGCAGCTCTTCGGGTATGAATTGCAGTGGATGGAGCGAGTCGGCGAGCATTTTTGTTAGGTACGCCGAGAGCCATCTCGACGATATGGTGGATGGGCGTATAGGACGCTCCCCAGAGAGACTTGCTACCATCTAGTGATATGGAAGAAACTTTTACGAGTAAACGTCGGAAGGTTAGTGAGGGAGAATAAAGGAGGTCGCATCCATACCTTTATACAAGCGATGCAAGCTCCCTACTACTCACATTCATCTAAATGTCTCCTAAACCTCTCGCCTGTCCTTCATGGCTCGATGCAGCGCCACCTTTTTTTTTCTTTTTTTCTTTTTTTTCCTCGCTGTCCCGTCCCTCTATTTTCCAGTTTCCAGCTCTTCCTCTTTATTATACCCCCTTTTCATTTTGTCTTTTTATTATATTCAACATCTATCGAAATATTTGCGAAGCGGAACGGAGTACAACCATGGGCGGCATTTTGTTCAACTCTTTTTATATATTTTTTGTGCGTATGATTTATATGCTGGCTCTTGGATAAGGAGGGTACTCATCATCAGGGAATATGGATGGCATTTATGTTCGCGGCGTGTCATCTTGTATTATCTATGGGCATTCAGCATGTACAGCGTTTGGGATTTGGGCATGTTTTTTTCTCTTTTTTTTTTTTTTTTTTTTTTTTTTTTTTTTTTTTTTTGACTGAAATTTCCTTATTTCACTTTATTTCTTTTATTTCATTAAATGTTTACTTTTTCCTATTATGTCTTTTTCTGACGTTATACCTACATCACATCAGACCCTGTCTGGCATGTCATGATTCAATGGCCTGTGTTCTTCTTGTATGTATATACCCCATTTTCGGTTATCTTTAGCTACTTGTATGGATTATTCTTTATGTATCTATTATCAATGTTATTGCAATGAATTGTCCATGTCTTTTTGTCCGATGCGTTTTGCTTCGACCCTTATCATTTGTATGTAAATAGATTGCCAAATAAAGAATAACCGGGGGACCATATCCTCCATCATTTTGTCCCCTTTCCCCATTTTCCGTTGTATTCAGAGTGATATATATATACCACTAGCGTTTCGTGAAGCTATACTGATCTAGCTGCCACTATCTCTGCAAATTTCAAATGCGGTTCAGTTTACATTCTCCGATGGAACTTTTAGTTCAACAACATACCAGGTTGCCTTTCCCCCCTTCAACCAGAAATCAATGCACTAACAACCATTTCCTCCAGTAAGGATGATTGAACCTGCATCAGGACAGAGCAGTTCCATTGTTGGGACAGCGTGTGTTGCCTAACAAATTGTGTTGAGCACTGGCTCAGGATGCCTTCACTCATCAAGATTGGGGCCATGCTCCTTTGCAGCTGCACCACCACCACCACGACCGACACCAGGGTTTTAAGTCTGTATGTACATACATACATGACATGGCACCTATATGTAATTAAAAAAAATATAAAAAAAACAGCCCTGTTGATACATAGGGCAAGTCAACGGCTTGTCCCGCACGGGCTGACAAGAAATGCGGGCAGACATGTTCCATGAAGCTTCCTGCTGGACGCACGCCACGAAATTCCCGTCGCCCCGTCGCCTTAAATATTTAACTATTGTGGCGGACATATTACTTGCGAAAACAGAATTTTCCCAGCCCCCCCTGAAAATTAGTAGCAAAACACCATCAAAAAATCAAAATATCCGCATTTCTCTAGAATCATTCAATATCATCCAATATGCGTCTTTTTCAATCAAATATCATCCAAATATATGTCTTTCTTACCTTTATCATCAATATGTCACCTCAACTCTGTGATTTCACCATCAACAAGATTGTACACCTTCTTAAGAATGATTATATATCTGCTGAGATCATGTGAAGCATTGATTATCATCTGTGTATATTGAATTCAATGAAATCTTCACTGCTTTGAAACTGCTAGAGAATGTCAAAGATCATATCAGATATCTCTTCAATTCTGAAGAGATTTGATGAAGATTTTGAAGCTTTTTTTTGCATCATACAGTTGAGAACTTCATAAGAGAAAAAGATATAAAAGAATATTTCAGATCTACTTATATAGAATAGTATTATAATAATTAGAAAGATTCAGATTACAATTCATTATAATATAAATTTAGAAGTGAAAGCAGTATGAGATCTGTTCTCATCACTATAAATAGTGAATAAAGATGATTTGAATTTCTGCAATTTTGTCTGTTATAATGGACTTTTTAACTCATCTCTTATAATTTGAAATATACTCTTGTCAATATTCATATGAAGCAACTGTTCCCTTGTCAATCAATTGAAGTATTCATCAAATTGAGGTATTGGACTGCTTTGAATTGGAGATGGAACAGCGGATTCGATGGAAGATTTCAACGGCGGATTCGATGGAAGATTTCAACGGCGGATTCGATGGAAGATTCAACGGCGGATTCGATGGAAGATTTCAACAGTGTATTCGATGGAAGATTTCAACGGCGGATTCGATGGAAGATTCAACGGCGGATTCGATGGAAGATTTCAACGGCGGATTCGATGGAAGATTCAACGGCGGATTCGATGGAAGATTTCAACAGTGTATTCAACGGTGGATTCGATGGAAGATTTCAACAGTGTATTCGATGGAAGATTCAACGGTGGATTCGATGGAAGATTCAACGGTGGATTCGATGGAAGATTTCAACAGTGTATTTGATGGAAGATTCAACGGTGGATTCGATGGAAGATTTCAACAGTGTATTTGATGGAAGATTCAACGGTGGATTCGATGGAAGATTTCAACAGTGTATTCGATGGAAGATTCAACGGCGGATTTGATGGAAGATTCAACAGTGGATTTGATGGAAGATTTCAACAGTGTATTCGATGGAAGATTCAACGGTGGATTTGATGGAAGATTCAACAGCAGATCTGAATGTGGATGATAATGAGATTGTGAATTCAGTTCTTCTATTCCTTTCATCATATATTTCATCATCATCACATTGATTATCTCACTTGAGAATGTCATATTGAATGAAGTTGAAGCTGCCAGAGCTGAAGAAGGGAATATAATCACTGACATTTGAGAGATCTGTATAGAAGAATTGATTGTAGAAATTATAGATTCATTCTTCTGATTCTTCTTCTTCTTTCTACTCATTAATCATTTTGTCATCTCTCTTATTCTTTATCTCATTGATAATCACCTGTTCATACAATCTGTATGAGATATCAGACTCAGGTGTAGGGATTCATGGATATCAAGGATCCTCAGACTGAGTCTCTATATTCTTCTCATTCATCTGCTCCTCTATCTCATCATTGACTGGATTCTCTCCATTATCCAGAACTTCTGAAACAGGTAGTTTGAGGAGACTGAGGTGCAGAATAGGAGTCTTTGTACAGGCTTGCAAAGCAGCAGGACAGCGGGCATTGTGAGGCATATTGAAAAAAGAGTTGATTGATATATGTGAATTTGATGATAAAGGTAAGAAAGACGCGTATTTGGATGATATTTGATTGAAAAAGACGTGTATTGGATGATATTGAATGATTCTAGAGAAATGCGGATATTTTGATTTTTTGGTGGTGTTTTGCTACTAATTTTCAGGGGGGCCTGGGAAAATTCTGTTTTCGCAAGTAATATGTCCGCCACAATAGTCGAGCGAAAAACAAGCACCCGGGTTATTTAATCCTCCTTTCTCACAGAAGGCGAGAGTTCTCAAGAGAAATCAGTCACTTATATTGTATTCTACAATCAGCTCTTGGTTTCTGAATGCCATCTCCAAACGCGCTAAATTCAACAATCCGCTACATAAAATTCTGCAGGCAGCTCTGTCAAGCATGAAATCCATGAAATCCATCATCAGCCTGCCGATCCTGCTCTCGTTCGCCCTCTCCGTTTCTGCAGCACCACTTGAGCAGAGTATCTTCATCAATCCTGGCAATGACGGACTCAGACCGATGGAAGAGGTCATGATCTCAACACTCTCAACTGCAGGCATATTTATGTGACCGTGCTGGTTTTGAGGGACATTGCGTACACTACGCAACTCCCTTTGGACAGTGCAGTAAGCTTCCACATAGCGGCCTCAGCAAATACCAGCAGTCTATGTCACTAAAGTCCTTAACCCCTTCAACACACACACAGTTACCATCATCGATCAGTTCCCTCGCAGCAAGGGAGTCAAATCGGCTAGTTCCGACCGAGGAAGCTGGTGCACGTTGTACTCGTAAGATTTTCCTCCTTCTTCGCCGGAATACCATAAATACTTACAATCGGGGCGCTGGTTGTTTAAGAATGCGCTTTTCCTGACTCTTTCTTATTTCGCGCTAGGCAATCTGAATGTCATGGAGATGAGCTTCAGGTCCACCACCCTGGGTATCCGGATCTGCGCCATCAAGACTGGGGCGATCGGGCTCATAGCTACAGTTGCAGAGCTGCGGAATGACGGGCTTGGCCTGGGGTTAGCTAGAGCAGCAGGGGCGTCATAAGATAGAATTTTGGAGCGCAACGTTCGTTTGGTATTCCATGTTGCGCATGAATAATGATACAAATATATTTTTTAGACAAGTTATTTCGAGCTCGAATGCATGCTTTGATTTTACTATGACACAATCAGTTACTAGGATTTATGGTTATGTCAAGGCTAATCAACTTCCGCTCATATTATAGCTAGCTATATTCGGAAGAAAGTCTGGGAAGCCAGTAAACCAGAGATCTCGCCAGTATACATACCATGGATTTGCCCTTGGATAGAACCGACTTGTGGGGGTTGGTTGCTATGTACTGTATGTCGATACCATACCTTCATGTGGGCTGCTAGCGGCGCCATTAACTGAGTAACTTGACTAAAACTACTCCGTAGTTAAGCCTGGGGGAGCTTGCTCAAGCAGGGGTCTTCTGCTGGGGGTTGACCATTATTAATTAATATTATCAGAATGGAATACAAGAGAAACTATATATCAGCCATTGGAACAGCATAGCACAAGCGATAATTTTAGAATGCCAATCCGAGTACCTATACATCGTCTGCCGCCCACATCCACGCGGCAATAGCTGTCGCCAGCTGCGTGGCCAAGTACCGGTACACCGGGCCCCACCCGGCACACGGACCAGGCCAAGTCATCCAGCTCATCATCCCCAATTCCCAACCCATTCCCATCCCCCATCCGCATAACTACACACTACAGCACTCCGGTTTTCCTGCCAGCAACATCTCGCTCTCTTCCTCTTTCTCTGCAGTTAGCCAGTCTCTCTCTCTGGGTGTTGTTCTTGCATTTCGATTCTCTATATCAGTCTGTCTTCTCCATCCTTTTTGCCCTGTTGTTGCGAGACATCTTAACCGCGCGCTCTTTGGCATCCATCCCCCGCCGCCTCCCAATTATTGTTTCACCGCAACACCCCACCCCTCCCAGCCGCTGTCAAGCGCCACGTCTAACTTGCGAGGGTTTCGGGCCTAGACGGGGCCTATCAATGACTGACGGAGTCGGGCTTCGAGGCTCTAGTCAGTCACAACCACCGCATGACTTTTTCCCTTAAAGTTCTAATCAGGTTTTCATCCAGGGGCCAAATAGCTCTTCTTCCCTCCAAACTCTATACTCTCTCTATGATGTCCCAATTGTAGATGACGGCCTTATTCTACGGAGCACCCGGCCTGTTTAAAATATCAACAGGGCTTGTGCTTCGCTTTCCGCCCCCATGATGGATGAGACCCTTCCCGCTCCTACAGGACGGAGAGTGCTTCCCCAACCCATCGAGGTCTCGTCCCGCTCCTCCAACCCGTTTGCATCCAATTACAATCTTTCCAGGATATCAGCAACAAATGATCGATATCCTGAAGCTAAAGACCAAAAGACTATCGTTCCTAACCGGCCGGAACAACCCTCGCCAAACGACCGCTCCGACCCCGCCGCCTCTCAACCTACATCTCCCCGGCATCTTCCGCATTCACAGGGACCTGCGGAACAGGAGACGAGATCAACTTTGCCGCAACCGATTGAAACTTCTACGAGCAGCTCAAGGAATAAGAAACAACGCCTGCAGAGCGTCAAAAGTTCGGAAGATGGTTCTCCCAAAAGGAAATTTGTTCCTGAGCCTATCGAGACCACTTCACGGTCCTCCAGGGGCCCTAAGCCCACCTCTGGGTCGGCGGGTCGAATAGCCCCACAGTTGGTTGAGACTACACTGGACCACCGCCGCCAAAAATTACAAGGAACCGACCCAGTTAATCCTCCCGATAATGCCGCTGGAAATGGAGAATCGAAATCTGCTTCTGGGCATCACATGCCTCGCCATCAAAATCTCCCAATACGATCGGGACAGTCATCATCGGGTTCAGACCCGTCCGGAAAATTCACCCCGCAGCTAATTGAAACTGCAACACGCTCAGTGCGTCAGAAATGTCTTGTACGCGGCACGGCGGAATACCCAGAGCATAGGCTATCGTCTCCATCCGCAGCTTCGCAGCAGAAGCTGTCCGCCCCAGAAAGTACGGAATCCCGATATTCCTATGCTAATATCCTCCGTCGGCAAGAGGAAAAAGGGCGGACATTCCAAATCCCAGCTCTTCCAGCAATACCATCAATTAGCAGCGAGGAATCTGAGAAATCCCCAGCTCCGTCGCCTCCTACTTCTCCTTCTACTCTGTCCAATATTAGCAGCAACAGACGATACGCGGAAGAACGCCTGTTGCACGAGAGCAGTGATGAGAGGTACTCCAACTATTTACTGTCTTTGGCTTCACGTTCGGCACAAAAGCTGCTCAGGGATCAAGCCCTTGCGGCCTTCCCTAACGAACAAGTCCATCAGACTGTTTCTCACTTTGCCATCGGTCGAGAAGAAGAGGACACAACGGACGACGACGGCGACAGTATGGGTATATCACTTCGCGACATGCAATTGGACTTTTTGAAATTCCGGCGTGAATCAACCATTGACCTCAGCTGGGAACTGGATGAGATGAGAAGGCACAAGGAGGAGTCTGAAATGAGAGCCCGGCAAAAGAAGTTTGAAGCTGGCCAGTCACGGTTCTCAGCTGCTGCAATAGCGTCTAGGCAGGCGGCAGAAAACGAAGTCTTAAAAGCAGCCCGTCAGGCAGGCGTAGACGGGTGGCAGAAGGCGACAGGGTTTAACCAGCTGAACGAATACACCAGCCCACCAATGCTTGGAGAAGATATTGTCTTTCCCAAAAGCTTATCACCCCAAGCTACCCGGTGCGATGTCGACCGCCCCCCTGCCCCGCACCATGCCGATAACTGCGCAGATCCCGTGAGATGCGAAGGACTATGGAGTCCAAACGCCCATACTCGTGACTGCGACGATGGCGGCCTGTGGATGGGTCTGTGTCGCCGATCCAAAGAGCCAGAGCAGTCATCCTCGCCTATACCCAGGCCGGGAATAATCACACCCGCTGTCTCCAATAATGAAAAATTCTCGTTCCAAAGCCTAAACGGCGTCACCACGTCCACCACAGCCTCCACAGCGACAATGACATTATCCACCCTCCCATTCAGCCCAGATACCCCCTCCCAACTCCCCACAACCCCACCCCCCTCCAACCCAGACCTCGACAACATCGACGAACTCCTCCTCCAAGAACAAGACATCAAGCGCGAATTCACCGACACCTTCGTAACACAAATATACAACTACCTCTCCCTCGGCTACCCCTGTCTAGCGCGTGACTACGACGAGGAACTCAGTAAGATCTCGCGCATCCCCGTCGAGGAGCTACGGAAGGACGACAAGCGCGCTAACGCGAAGGGATACGTGGGTGCCCCCGAGGGCGTTGGCATGGGTGAGAATGCGATATCGTCGGGGGCGTGTATGCGCTGGACAGCGCTGAGGTTGTATATCTATGAGTGGGCGAGGCAGCAGCCGAGGATGGCGAAGGCGGATCGGTATCAGCAGCCGAACGACGGGTCTGGGATGGATGCGTGGGGGGCGAGGGCGCGTAGGGGCAGTTGGGCTATTTGAGCGCGCTACCTGTTGTTGTTATTGTGAGTATTATTGTTATTATCCTTTTTTTCTGTTTATCCATCATAACAATGATTTAATGATGGCAGCGATGCGGGAGGATGGGGACCCTAGACTCCTTTTTTGCTTCTTTTGTCTTCCTTTTGTCTTCCTTCCTTCCTTTTTTTTTTTTTTTTTTCGGGGTCTTTTTCCAGATATTCTTCTTGTTAACAGCGGCTACCTTCATCTTCTTCCTAGAATTCTTGGGATTTTTTCCTCTTGCGTTTCCTTGTTCGTTGTTCTCAAAACAGGAAATGGGGTTTGAGTATGCTATGGGATACGCTGGCTAGGGCATATATACGTACATAACCAGCTCTGTTCCATCGCTTTTTTTCTCATTTCAAATCTATTCTTCATGCCAGGATTGGTTCCGCTGCTGTTCTCTCCTTCCGCTCCATTGTCTGTCTGCCTTGTTTTCCAAATCGTTCGTGGGAAGAAATGCATATGTCATTCCCCTGGATAAGCACTCTTTTAGTGATTTTTAATATTTATTTTTCCTGTTCTTCCGTTGCTTCCTCTTTGAAAGAATACAATGTCTATATAATTGCCAGTTTTTTTTCTCTTTTTTCTTTATTTTTTTCTTGTGGGCGGCTAGATAGATGCTTCTTTCATGGGATGAGTTCTTTTTTCCCATTGCATGTGTTCCATTTTCCTTCCGCACTTGCGCAATTATACAGAGTTAGTCAGCTAAAGCTGAGCGAGTGAGTTGGGGGTATTTATATATTTGTTTGTTTCCTTTCCTTCAATCTATCCGCACTATTGAATTACCATCTACTTTTCTTGTACATATATATGCGGCCTGCATCGAGAATCATTCATATTTCTCTGTTCATGGTAGAGTTTCTCCTCTGACATGCACTCCCAGAGCCTGTTGCTTTGGAAAGGGAAGGGGAAGAAAAAAAAAAAATTCCATATATGTCATTCAAAGGTCCCGAGGACTTTACAAAGTCAACAACACTGGTCTAAAGTTTTGCACGTTAGTTTCCATCAAATCAGCCAGCTTCCACCCCTTGTATCCATCCCCCTTCCCTGACTCCTCTCTGGAAGATTGTTGAAAATCGAACAAGATTAGAACAAGAGCGCTCCGCGGGTGGGAGAGGGGGATGGGGGAACCGGCGTGTTTTGAAAACATGAACCATAAAATGGGTCTGGGTTAACAACGGAAATATAGAGGGCAAGTGGGAAGCCTATAGGGGCGTCCTGGCCTTGAACAAAAGTAGAAATAAAAAATAAGAAAGGGGGGAAAGGTGAAGTGCAAGCCCCCAAATAAAATCGAATATGACAGAAAATCCCCATCCCTCCCCTTCGATTCACCAAGTCTTAAATCCCAGTCCAATTTATAATAAACTATACCAAAATCACCAAAAAAAAGAATCATATCACCATCATACTACACCATCGGATTCCATTCCATTCCATCGATCCATCTATCCATCTATGAATCTATACCCAGGGAAGCGCGCTATCATCATCGTCATCGTGGTGGTGGTCGTCATGATAATACCTCTCTTCCTCAGCAACCCCATCCGCCCCCCACGTCCAGTCCTTCTCTCTGTCCTCCCCATCTTCATCGTCGTCATCCTCATCCTCATCCTCGTCGCCATTCCCGACATCAAATACATTCGTTTTCTTCCCGTTCGCTTTACCCAGATCTTGCTCCTGCTGTTGGTGTTGGTCATGTTGGTGTTGGTGTTGATGAGGACCGTCTCCATCCGCGCCGTCAACAGCAGCCTCTCCGCTACCTAGGTCCGTGCCACGGCGTACGTGTGCGTGCACTATTCCCGGGAATATCCCTTGTTCAGGTACGGTGCCAGCAGCTGTTAAGGGGCCCGTGGGGAAAGGAGCGGCGGACCCTTGTACTTTCGCTTGTGCGAATGGGCCAGGGGTTTGGGCGGGCACGTGGTGCATGGCCTGGGTATTAGAAAGGGAGGCAGAGCGGCTTATATTCGCGTCTGGTATTGGCGACGCCGCTGCAGTTGCAGGTTGTCCATGTCCTTGTCCTTGTGGGTGGTGGTTTTGGGAGTGAAGGTCCGTGCTAGAGTGGGAGGTTGGGAATCGAGCAGAAGTTGTCGGGAAATTGGGGGCCGAGGGGTTCGGTTGCTGGACAGACATTGCTGGGCGCGGGAGAAAGGAGTCTGGTATTTGGCCTACCACGATGGTCATCCAATGAGTGTGTGCAAAATACACTATGAGATGGAATTCAAAGAGGTTGGTTTACCTAGTGATGCTACGGGAGATGTAAAGGAAGCTTGTGATTGCGATGATGGTCGCATTCCCGGAGTAGACAAGACCGATGCGTATCTTTCGATTCTGGGGCGTGAATAGTAATGTCAGCGCCCTCTTTCTACCAAAAATAACCGTGAGATGTTTCAGGGCTCAGGAAAAACTTACAGAGTCAACTCTCCGAGCAATGTCTCCTGCCTGAATTGCTCCCGGAGATCTGGGACATTACTCTTCGCCATATTATTGCCTTCCACACCGGGACGATGGCATGTCGGGCCCAACCATCGATGTTTGAGAGAAAGTTCGAATCCACATTGGTCCACGGAATGCTTTGCCAATTCGCACATGTCCACAGCGCTAAATTTGTATATCTGCGCGGCAACAGCATATTCCTCGATCAGCGGCTCTTTTGTGAAAGCAAACTGCAAGGGATCATCAGTCGATAAGGAAATGTTCAAACCCCTCCTAAAGAAGCTAGCGCATGGGTTCTTGTCATAAGTCAGGAACAGAGCATTGTTGCTCAATGGCGACATTGCAATACCAATTTGATCCAGATAATAGAGGTACTGGAGCAATGGTACCTTGCGCAGCAGGATACCGTGGCTTATTCCATAGCAACAAAGTACCGCAGCGGCCAGGTGGTCCGGGTCGCCCGCTTCACCACAGTGAGGTCGCAGCACAAAGGTGTTGAACCCCCGCTGCTTTCGCCAGTTGTTCAGCGATGCCATGTTAGCAAACATGAAATAGATCCAATAGCTGTAAGGTGGGTTCTGCTTGGTATTCCACTTTTTCGGAATCGGAAACTTGCGGAACAACCGACGCTCTGGCTTGCTCTCGTCGTCAACGCTGTCGAAACCAACCACGCGTTGTAGGAAGATATGAAGCTTGGGATGACTTGACGGATCTTTCGTCACCTCGAACAGAGGCTGGTAGACATTTCTGATAACTTCTTCGAAGTTTTCCATCATCCCGCTAGATTTGTAGACATCGTATAGCCGGGGAACTTGAATCAGCCAGCGGATGTTCGGGGAAAAGAGCTTATTGTCAACTACCCAAGCGGCTAGCTTGTCCCATTCATCTAGAGATCTTCCGTAAATAGATATACGCCACTCCGCCATCTGGTACTTGCTGGATTCCAGATCTGAGATTACTTCTTTAGTGATCTCCGCGAGATATCGTCCTTTGATGAAGTTGTCCGTTTTGAGGAAGATTTCTCGAAGGCGCGATTCCCCGACAGGGTTATATTTTAGATTGAATTTGTCAAATCGATGGAACGAGTCTTTATGTGCCTATGACATACAATTGGAATGAGTGTGGTCCTTAACCGGTGGAACGGAGAGTGAAAAGGAACTTACGTGCATATCGAGCGTATCAATGCTGAGATCGTAAGCCGTCAGGTTGATACTTTCGAACACCTCCCTCAATGTCAAGTGCTTGCCGTCTCTGAACAGAACGACCTCATCAGGCGATTTCTTAATCTTACTCTTGATGAATCGCAGAAGATGTTTCTGGTTCATGCAGGCAGAGTGGTGGACGTGAGTATCGACCTTCCTAACATTGTAAAAGTCCCTATGGGGTACCTTTTTGCTATCTGCCATCTCCTGGTATTCGTTGAGAAGCACATGAAGTTGGAATTTGCCCTCCAGATAGCTTAGACGCTTGAAAGCAAAACTCTTAGTTGGGCCGTCAGTGGATACTTCAGTGACGGTATCCAAATCCATGTAAAATTCTCGAAGGGAGGGAATATGGAAAATAGGCTGCTTCTGTTCGCAAGCTTCTTCACTCTCGTAAACCTGATATACACTGTTTTCGTCAAGTGCAAAGGTCATTTGCGACGGTCCCGGCACTGGCAACAGATCCTCCAGGAAGAAATCTTCGCCAATATCCTGGCCGAGTTTTCGCTTCTTTCGGGCAGGGGATGGAGGTACTGCTTCACTTTTGGGATTGGTCGCAGTGCGTTGCGCTCCACTTATCATCATACTATTCGACATGCTTCCCGTCCCAGGAGGATACGTTTCACCATCCCATGCCGGCTCAGGTGGAGGAGGGTATATAGTCCAACCCGGTTGGTCCCGTGGGTTATCTGACGATGTCTGCAATGAGAGTCGAATATATTTCTGCCTCATATCCAGAAGACCCTGGATCTTCTGGCAAATAATGCGCAGTTCAGCTGTAATTGCATCGTCGCTAGACGCAAACCCGCCAGGGCCTTGAGTAGCACCAAATCCTGCCCCAGTCCCAACCCCAGTCCCATATACCCCTTCCGCAGAAGGTAGATGTGGTTTAGGTTCATTCGGTATCGAAGATTGTGGGGCAATATTTCGACTCGGTCGATCCAGAGTCGTGAAACCGTCTGAGGGTTTACGCTGAAGAGGCGAGGTGGGCTGGGATCTTAAGACCGGACTGTAGCCAGAGCGTGTTTCCGGGACAGAAGGCTGACCGTGTGCTAATGGCGCATTCCCTTGACTACTTATGCGCGATGCTATGCTTGCTGGCCTGCTCAGATATTCGCCTTCACCTTCCCCAGCTGGCATGACGGGCACGGTCGTTGACCGGGAAGACAGAGCTGGGCTCTGGGGAATTTCGCCGTCCACGTATTTGGACTCGAGCTGATGTCGCTGGTAGAATAGTTTTGCCTCCGCGTGGCTCAGGGACTTCTCGTACGCATAGTCATACGTGGCTGTCCTCCGCTGTCTGTCGCGGGGAAGCATGGTCTGTGCCACATTGCCAGACAATGAGCTGTCGTCGCGTGTCCTATCCATGTCTTCGTCTAATTGCTGGCTCTCCGTGAAACTGGATTCTCCATTAAGGTCAGGGCTTCCTGTGGTGTCGTCGTCGTCGTCGTCGTCTTTCGGATTAGATCCAACGCCATGTGGCTGAAGGGCGGAAGGTTCGATAGAGCTGCGTGCTTCTAAGGGTTCTGGATAATCCGGCGGCACAGCTTGTGGCCTCTGTTGAGACATAAGCCCAGGCGATTAAATAGTCCGAGTCTGGGAGAACAATGTCAGTATCCACAAGCTTTCCCCGTCGACGTCATGCCAACGATTACACAGCGCCAGAATGGACTGGGTGGGGCGCGTCGAGAGGAGCTCGCTCACCTGGCGCGCTGAGACAAGTTGAAGAGCAATGAACAGCAGCGCAACAGAACGCCAAGACAATAATACAGCAAAGACAAGAGAAAGAGGAGCAAAATAGACGGTAACTATACAATCAGAAACTCGAGTCAATTGAAGAAACTAAAGAAAAGGAGAGGGTGTGAAGGTGACTCACATACGGGGACAGAAGACAAGCTGAGAAAGGTGAAAGTTCTGCGCTGTGCCACACTACTCTATTTACTGCAGCCAACGACGGCGTTGCAGGCGACTGTCAACCAACGAAAGGAAGTTAACCATAAGTAACTTACTTTTGATGGAGGAGGCACAATATATATTTTCAACTAATAGATACTTTCAAAAATCAAGAGCCTTTTAAAGAGAGCATTGCAATACGCTGAGGAACCTCTGCATGCCTGTCTAGATTACTCTAAAGTTACATCAAATCTATGCAGAAAACAGTTACCACTCTCCTTCTGTTGAAGCCTCTACTGAGTTAGCTTACTTGTTAATATATAGTAGATGTCGACATGCCTTCAATTAATTCAAGAGATCTTACAGTAACTGCTGAATGTTACATATGCTCAGACTCTATATATATCAGTATCCGGCTGAACTTGGCTGAACTTATTTTCAATTTTCAATTTTCAATTTTTTTTCTTAAAAAGAAATTGTTCCAAATATATTCTCCATAAATAAGGTAAATTATAGCAATGCTCTGTACAAAAATCTAATAGTACAGGACTTATTATTAACGATTAGACAGAGCCGTTGTGACGACGGCAAACTACATGAAAAGGGACGAAGATGTTGAGCGTACACGAAGAAAAGGAAAAACTAGAAAAAACAGTGGAATCGGCATGAAATAGTACAATATAGCAAAAGCAAGACGCTGTTGTCGTCTTTTTCTGCCCTAAGAAAAGGATACAGTAAGTGGCAAAATCGACAGGCTGGATTATATATAACATATATCTCATAATACCGGGGTTTGGCCACTATTTTGCGCCAAGTTCGAACTCCTCACGGTTCGGAAAACTGCAATGAAAACACTCGCTTTTGTAGTTTTCCTAATTGATGATTATGAAAAGTAGAAGGAATAAGATAAAACAAAAGTAAAAATTAGAAATCTTGGGATTTCCGCGAAAGATACGTTAGGGACGAGACAGTAAGGATGAAAATATAAACCGTGGAGGGAAAAGTAACTCCCAAAAATACCGATTGAGAAAGAGGCACGCAGAATCAGGAGGATACCCGATCATAGATAACAGGGGAAAAGGTTCAAATGGTTTAGGGTGGAAGTTTCCACACAAAGTGACCATCTTCCTGACAGGGCAACGAAAGAGTAACAACTAGGATAAATAAAAGATTAGAAAAGCGTAAAAATAAAGACAAGATAAAATGGCAGTAAAGATAAGAGTTCCTCCTCGCTTGAGGAGAGAGGGAAAAGAATGAGAGGAAATTCGCTTTCTTGATAGAGTTGAGCACTGCAGTAATTTTACTGACAGAGTGCAAGACAAGATGAAAAAAAAATAAAAAATAAAAGAATAAATGGCTTTGACAGGTGTGTTTTAAAACACGCTGTTATGTTAGGCTAACATCAAGAAACCTCTTCTCCTTCTTGAAGTTAACACGAAGATAGCATCATGAAAATGCTAAGAAAGAGAAAGAAAAGGATCGGCGAGAGAGGTAACAAGAGAGTCAAGTCACCTTGTTAACCGTATCGGAGATGGCGAGGCACTGTGCTGCTGCCGCCATGGGCGTTTGGAGAGACTGTCTCACCGGGGTAATATTGACCCTGGGGTTCAATTAGCCCGGGTTGGCGCGGGTAGTCTACCTCGTAGTCGACATATTCCTTCGATACTTCTCGCTGCACGGGTCGTTCTATATAATACGCACTGGTGTTTTGGTGTTCTCGCCCACCAACTCTGACAGGAATATATTCTACCGTACCGTCATACGGTGGTTCCAGATATCTTGGTTCTTCCACATACTGATAAGTTCCACGAGGGGGAAGTCGAGTGTACGCGACATTTTGTTCTGTTGGGCCTCTGTCATGGTATGGATCCGATGCGTGGGTAGCGTAAACGGGGCGCTGGCGAACTCGGGGTGGCATAGGACTACGGTCACGATAGTATGTAGGTTCAACGGGAAGCGAATCACGGGCGATCGGAGAACGAGAGCGCGGGCGGTGAGAACCTTGTCTTTGCGCTTCATACCTGTCAAATCTGCTGTGAGGGCGTCTCGTTTGGTAATCAGACTGGTGCCGAGGTTCTGAGAACCCAATGGGCTTCCTTCCATGGCGGATATCAGTAGGTTCTGGAGACCGTTCGTCACCGTGCCTAGATGAAGCATAGTGTTCATGCTTGGGTTCGTAGTCACCACGGAACCCTCCAATTGTAGGGCTTTTAACCCTATTCCAATTGCCGCGTTGTTTGCTATGAGTGGGAGTTCCTGAAACACTGCTTTCGGCTGTCCCTCCATCAATGCGCCAACGCCGGTCATCAGGCTCTGGGCCCTCAAGCCATTTGCCCCTAGGAGCTTCATCTGTTCGGCGCTCAGAACCCCGAGACGGCGCTTTCTTGTATTCTTCGGTTTCTTGGCCAGGAACGAAGCTACTCAAAAATCGTTCTGCATCTGTCATTTCTTCATGTAGGGGAATCCCTCTCGGAGGGCGACGCTCTTGCGAATGGCTTGCTTCCTCGACTTCCCCATCCTCTGAGACGTTCCGCACGGGCGTTTTAATTTTCTGGGATTCGTTAAGTGGCTCGGCAGTTACAGAACCGCTCACAGCGGAATGGGGGTATTCAGACTTTGGTGGGCGGCCTCCATATTGAGAGGCGGGCTTTGACAAAGGGTCAGATTGATGGTGTTGATGGCGATCGGCATAAGGATAAACTTTCGTACGATCCACATCGCTAGGCTGGGCTCGGTGGAATTTCGTTCTAGCTGGATAACGGTTGCTAGAGGTCTGGTCCTGGTCTCGCATATTATGGATCCTGTCTTTGGCAGGAATGGTGGATGGTTGATTTTGCCTTGATCTGCGGGTATCCACTCGACCATGTTGGTCTCTTACTGGCTCAATGAAGGCAGGTCTATGGGGATCATATTCATCGTCCTTAGGCGGATCCGGAGGTTGATTGGCATCATTGGCAGGGGACTCCACGAATCTAGGGAAGTCATCTACTACAACTTCAAGACCATGGTTTGGGCTGGACAAACTTTTTGGCTCTGTTGCCTTCTGTTCCGCAAATTTGGCGCGAGTGTTGCCGGGGTAAGAACGTTTAGACTGTTTTGAATCGCGGGGTTCGGGACGTCTCCTATCGCTCAAGTTTGACGCTGGTGTGTGACTGATTGATGGGGCCTGTGGGAACACCCACGGGAAAGCAGCCGAAATTAGTTGCATTTTGGCGTCGTCCATACCAGGGGCATCGACCAACTCTGAAATTGTTTGATTGTCTGGCACGAGTAACATGTCATATTGCCATTCCAGCAACCGAGGTTCGCGCCCAGAATGTGGGCCAGTCGGCTTAGTACGATCAACGTGCATGGATTGAAAATGACTAACAAGAGCTGGAAGCGTATATATCTTGCGGTCAGTTCGACCTGCGTCATGGTGATGCTGTCTTCCAGAAATGTCGTTGTCGTTACAAGTTTTGCATACCAACCCGCTGAGATTTTTTATTGGTCTCATTTGAGCATGGCTGCTTAACCCATCCGCGAAAAGTGTCAATTGCGGCTCGTGACCAAACCTTTCCACAAACCTGGAAACAACATGATGAATGAGGACATGAGCCCGGACATTATGTGGCAAGTCCTTGATACCCGAGGTTCCATTCCAAACGCTGCGGGCATTCTTGGCTACGTCATCAAGCTGGACTTGGTACATGCCAAAGGCTTGACTGTTGGGGTTTGAATTGTGCCCTTGGGCTCCACCTCTCCTTGGTGGATGGGAATTAGTGGGGTATGGAGCACAATATTGCGGTTGTCCGGTGGTCGGGGGAGGATATGGGGGCGGCTGGTATGGCTGAGGCGCCCTTGAATCAGGAGGTGGTGGGTATGGCGGCGGATAAGCTTGCCCTGGATAAGGAGAGCCATATACCGGATTTGGAGGCTGAGGCGGGCCGTACGGGTCATAAGCCCCGCTGGGGGCATAGCCAGGTTGGGGTACCGAATACGGAAAACTTGCAGGCTGGTTAGGATAAAATGGAGGGGCAGGAGATGGCGGTCTATAAGGACCTGATCCATAAGCGTACGGAGTTCCATATGGAGTGCGATTATAAGGTCCAGGTGAAGGTTGCGGATAGCCCGGCCCTCCATCTGATGGGTGATGATGTCCCTGATCTGAGCCAGGCATATACATGGCCCCAGGGTTGGGGTAACCAAGGGTATGCCCCACAGTCGGCCGGGGCATTGCAAAGAAAAGCGCTTTGGCAGCAGTAGGGTTGGGATGGAAAGGGGAGTGTTCAGGCCATTCAGCGCGCCAATGAACAACGACACTGCCTAAACTGAGCACATTGGTGTGTTTGGCAGCATAATGCTGGATTACACCCTCAAAACCATAAAATTTGGTATTTGCTTCGCAGCCATTGCCATTGCACAAGAAGAGTTCTTTTTGAAACTGTTCTGTCAGTGGTTTGATCTTGGTATCAAATATGAATTTCATATTTTCGAGTATCAGTTTGCGCGTTGGTGGAGCACCTGGAGGATCCTCTGGAATAGGTTTTCCTGCGTTACGGGCTTTGGCGTCCTCCTGAGCCAAGTCCCTGTAGAACTTGTCCTTGACGTAAATAAGGACATCAGCCGCAAATTTCGCGCTTTTTTCTTTGGTAACTGCATCACCGCCACGCCAACCTTCACGGATTATCTCATCTGCATACGAGGCCATACGTTCTCGAATAGGCTTTTGGGCTTCATCCCATTCCCTGTCCTGCTGCTCCTTGGCCTCTTTGAACTGTGCGTCATGCTGACGACGCTCTTCCGACTTGGCCTGAAGAAGCTGGTCCTGTTTTATCCTGTAACGTTCTCGACGTTCAGCAACATCCCTTTGTGATAGTAGACGAGGTTTCAAAATATCCCAGTCACGGTCAGTAAACGGGTGTGGAATTTGAATGGCAGCTGAAAACGAATCCATGTGGCTCAGAACAGCGGGTGTTAAGGGAGGTACAAGCTCCAGACAGCGTCGTTCTATTTCTGCTTTGCGGCTTGCTTTCGCTTCGTTTACTTCTCGGAGGCTACGTTCAGTGCGTGGGTGATGTGCGGAACTCGATGAAGGTAGAGGCTGGCTTGAATCGCGACTCGAGGAAAGTGGAGGGAGTTTGGAGCCTAAAAGTTTGATTTAGTACAATGCTTCATAAATATGAATTTAAAGATGGGAAAAGGGAAAGAAAAGAAAAAGAGAAAAGAAAAGAAGAGAAAAGATGTCCGATAACAATGAAATAGACGCCGTCGTGGAGAGAATTCAGTGCGCCGCCGTCTGTAAATGCTTACCAGAAGTATTTGAAAGACTAGCTGGACTGCGCTGGTCATTATTGGTAACTCTGTCATTGGTGAGTGGAGTAGAATTTCCAGAATGTCCAGAATGATGTCCAGAGGTGGTATCCACAGGCTGGTGCTTTGCACCCGAGTCCATGGAAGATAACCGCAAAGTGACCTCGTTGCGGTTACCACGGGACAGTCTAACGGATCGAATACCACCTGATGCTTCCCATTGTTCCCAGCGGGCAGCATCGGCAAGTTTGTCTTTGCCATTACCTTCGAGACCTTTAATCCACTCCTCTGTAGCGGCAGGGCCAAGTGATTTAACATCCTCAAACTTACGCCTCATGTCATCAATGTGGACTTTGTAAAAACGTTTAGTCAGTGAAATGTCGCCTGGGGGCTGATTGTTGCGCAAAGTTATTGAGGAAATAAAATGCATCGAAGGAGTAAAGAACGCGAAAGGGAGTGATGGGATTAGCATAGATGGCAGATTAGAAGAGAACAAAAGATCCATTTCCTAAGTATCGAGTTAGTTGTCCGACCAAAATGAGATAGGAATGTAAGGTAGAGGAACCTTTTCAGATTTGACCTGTATGCATTCTCCGCAGGATCGAATTCCGAAGGGCCATATAATGCTGACTCCATCTAGGCCTGGCCCAGCTTCCCATATTGTACTATCAGTTAAGGATGAACAAGAACTGAGCTTTCCACAGAGCTGGCAATTGCTTCCAGAGATAAGGTTCCACATTTCTAATTCTGTTAGAAAAGACATTGGGCGTGGCATTCCCGGGTGGAACGCTCTCCGAGAAACAGACCAGATGGAATTAGGGTTTAGATATTTCAAAAGCCCTGACGCTTGAGGAAAGCCCGGTAATTCTGCCTCACTTGGGGTGAGAAGGGACCTGAATGTCTTGTTCACACACAAAAGGCGACCTAGTGTGGTAGGAGGAAGAAAAGTAAAGATATGCTGCCATATTTCTCCAGGCAACATAGATCCAAAAGACGCTGTTCCCTGATTCTGGATCTTCTTCGTGGGAGGGACATATGGCCCGTTTAGTTCGTTGGATTTCAAACGTTTGAAGCTATCCTGAGGAAATTCCACTGCATGTGGCTCATGAGAGTCCATACTAGGCGAACCACCGAGTCCCTGGAGGGTTTCGACAGGATATTCGCTGGAGTGTAGGGGCATATCCAAGCCGTCTGTCGACCGCTTTCGTTTCCGAATCTGGCCCAGATGGGTATGATTATCATTGCGTTGCTGGCTAGGAAAGCGGTGATGTATTGTGAGATTCGTGTCTTCAAGATCGGCGGCATGATCAGTTGATACAGCAGGAACCTGAGATTGTTGGTGAAAACTCGGAGAGGCATTCATATCAACTGCTGAGCCATTGGATTGCTGATATGAATGAGTTTGCTCCACGGTGATATCGGATGTATATGGATCAAACGAGGAGCCGTCACTGTCGGGTGATGAAATAGCTTCTGGCATGGCTCCCAAACAACGCCTGCGGTTGCAGGTATGACTGGCAAAAGAAAAGAAATGCGAAGAGGGATCAAAACAATCACGCTCCAAGGTATATATATCCTTGAACGAGGAGAGGAAGAGTAGAAAGATAGAGGCTCAGAGGTGAATCAAGCAGACACAACATGAGAAGAGGTCCATTTGGAATCACCTAGAGCCGAACAGAGGATAGGAGGAAAGACCAATCCGAGTATACGCGTTCGATAGTCCAAGGATACTTGGATCGATCCTCCTTGGGAGGCGGCCAGCTAGAGAGGAACAAGGTGAATTAAAAGCACAAGCTGGCAAAACCAAAGACACCTTTCGAAGAGAACCAGTGAAATGTTGTTAGATGGGACGAGAAGGCAAGAAAAGAAGAGCAAAGTCGCGAAAGGCAGGAAATATGGGTACAAAAACCTCAAGGCAGAGCAAAAAAAGAGAAGATCACAGCTCCAATGATGGCAAGATGTGATTCCCTAGAGAGACAGAGAGACGAAGAGACGAGTCAAGAGAGCGAGAATGAAAGTGTATCGCAAGTTGATCTTTGGAGGAGTACAGAAATCGGGCAACAGCGCGCAAGAGTAACGTTGCAGCGAGAAAACAGAACCGGGGCAATAAATGTAGCTGGCAGCCACGCTACACCTACACCTGAAAATAGAATATTTAGATAAAATAATGTTGGCCGCTGGGCATGATCGAGATGGTAGCTGGAACGAAGGGTGATGGCAGGTTGTTGTTGGTTGATGGAGGTTGAAAGCGATCGAAGAAAAGGAGCGGAGGCTGAAAAGGAATTCCCCAAACGGGACAGTTCGGAGCGGGGTTTGTCCGGCCACGCCTCACTCTATCGACCAATCAGAACACGTGTCGGGAAGCAGGCCGGCCTCGAGTCGGCCCGGTGCTCGGCATTAAGTCACATGATTTATGCACCGCTGCTGCGCCACAAGAGGTAAACAGAATTCCGTCAGCCTCAGACGTCATGCGCCACATTATTGGTCTTACTCAGCGCCCACAACTCCCCACCCTTCGTTCCCGGGCAAATGCCAGAACCTCAACGCAACACAGTCAATACAGCCCTTGGGAAGCAATAAGCTATCCAAATTGGAATTTATCCTGAATACATCCCTACATAAGGTCCTTTACACGCTATATCTTCTGGTCTGATTTCACTCCTGTCCATCGTATACCCTTCGTACGTGGCTCCGCACCTCACGGTCTCACCCAACGATCTAGAGATTCACTAGCCCTCCTCCTGCTCCAGTTACCGATTTGGCTCCCTATCCGAGCTTAGCAATATCCATTCCATTCGCATCCGCCAGCTTGAGGGAGGACTATTCTAGGCTGCTTGACGGGCATTCTGGGGCATAAGTGGTTCCCAGCTCCTATACCACATCTTTCTTCTTCCCGTTCACCGAGCCACGTAAGTCCCAAGGCAACCATTGCGCTGAAATATCCCTGGAGAACTGGGCCATTTAATAGTTGACTCAATATCATTTACTGTTCCGCAGCCTAAAAGTATTTGCCGCCGGTATTTATTTCTCTATCATTCCGGATCTCTCCGGATACGTTAACCCCGTCCACACCTCATCATGGCGTCTTTAAACTTGTCCACCAATGGACCATCAATCTCGAAAAGCTACCGAGCTGTAGTAGAGGCTTCACCTCCAACTGGCCCGGCTGCAGCTTCACCGACATATGGACAGTGGGCGATATTTGCAGTATCAACACCTTTGGTCAACGCATTCCAGCAAGATAGTGCAGGCAAGGAGAGTGTTTTGAAGGTCCAAAGCAGTGGAGGTATGCTTTTATTCTGCCTCGTGCCCAGTTGTTATAAGGATTTACCTCGTAGCTAACAAATTCGAACAGAGGGGGAACTTGAAGACCTTATCGAGGATTTTTCCGACGGCAGGATACAGTTTGCGTATGTGAAGGTTAAAGATCCAAACACTGGCCTCCCGAAAAATGTCCTGATTGGCTGGTGCGGCGAGGGAGTCCCGGAGAAAACAAAAGGATATTTTACAAGCCATCTGGCTGCTGTTTCTAAACTCCTACATGTGCGTTATGGCGGCCTTGCTACATGTAACTTTGACTAACACATAGACAGGGATATCATGTTCAAATTTCCGCTCGCTCGGACCGGGACCTTACTCCAGAAGGTATTGTACAGAAAGTTGCAGATTCCTCAGGTTCAAAATACTCTGCAGGAGATGCCTCTGCGCCTGTTAAATCTAGCACGAAACCGACTGTCGCATACAAACCAGTATTTACTCCATCCCGGTCTGGCGGTGCCTTTAAACCTTTGGGTGGAACACCCCGCGCAGCGGCACCGACGCAAGAAAATGTTGACGACGATGGCTGGGGAGCAGATGCGCCACCAGTTACAAGAACCCAACTTGAAAAGGTCAAACCTGCGTATCAACCGACAAAGGTAAACATGCAGGAAATTATGTCTCAGAAACCGAGCACATCGAAGTTTGAGTCCCGCCATTCGGACGAACCTTCTTCAGGCGATGTTGTCAAAGGTGCTTATCAACCAGTTGGTAAAGTAGATATTGCGGCCATTCGCCGACAGGCGCGTGAATCTGGTCAGTCAAACGATGATCGTCCCGAACCAGTAAAGGGTGCCTATGAGCCTGTCGGAAAAGTAGACATAGCAGCGATCCGAGCAAGAGTACAGAGGCCGTCTGGCAGCTCTCAAGCCTCGCCTGGAAATATATCTCCCGCGATAACTGGAGGCTCAGGCGGTAGTGAAGAACGAAGGACCCTTGCAGAGCGGTCTGCCGCATTCTCTTCTTCGGATCGACTCACGAGCCTTCCCAAGCCAAAAGTTACCAACAAGTTTTCGGGCGCTTCTACTTTTACGGGTACGAAAGCTCCGGTTCCTGGGGCATTTAGCGTAACCCCAGCCACAAACGCTACCACAGTGTCTGGCGCAAGCCGAACGTTCGCTGATCAAGGGGGGAAAACACCGGCACAGCTATGGGCTGAAAAGAAAGCCCGGGAGAGAGGCGGTGCAGTGGAAACCGGCCCTTCGCTTGCTGAAAGCCAACAGCCATTGCAAAGCCAGTCCAGCGGCGGGGCTGGATGGAAAAGTTCATATACTGGCAAATCCTGGGCGCCAGTTCAAACTACGCACACGGGTGGCAGTGGTGCAGGCCACCAACGTTCTGGCAGTGAACTAGATGAAACCAACACACCACCAAAACACGAAGAGGAAGAACGAAATATCCCACGTGGAGGAATTGGCTCTATTCGTGATAGATTTGCGAACACCCCGCCAATGGGTACTACCGCCCCGGGGTCTGACTATGCACGTTCGGCTCCGTCCCCGCCCCGGTTGGATACCTCCAATAAACCTGGCGCCACTCGTGTTCCAATTCCCGGCCTTCCATCACGGCCCACAGAACCTGAAGAGCCATATGAAGATCAAGGCCAGCCAATTCCAACGCCGCCTCAGCAACCTCGTTCTCCAACCCCCCAATCTCCCGCTTCTATCCCTGGCTCCCCCATTAGAGTAGCGATGCCGGTAGGTATGGGATCCGCAGCTGAAAAGATACCCGATGCACATGAAGAGCAATATTCGCCGCCTGCTGCATTACCAGTCCGTTCCCTTGAGAACCAGCTTCCCCGCGAAGAAAACCTAGACGATGAACGTGCCCACGACGACGCCCGCGCCGTTGCTCAAGCGGGTGCAACCGAACACCACCCAGAACCACCACAGACTGCAGCGGCGAAATCTGGGTCCACTCGTGCTCTCGTAGTATACGATTATGAAAAAGCAGAGGATAACGAGATTAACCTAGTTGAGGGCGAGTATGTCACCGAAATCGATATGGTTAGTGATGACTGGTGGATGGGAGTGAATGCGCGTGGCGACCGTGGTCTGTTCCCTCAAAACTATGTTGAGCTTGCGTCAGCGCCAGACCAACCCGCTCCGGCTTCTGGGTCGGGATCTGGTTCGGGCTCTGGAGGGGGTGCACAGCCGGCTACAACTGGACGAACAGCAACGGCCCAGTATGATTATGAGGCTGCTGAGGATAATGAACTTGGGTTCCCTGAGGGAGCAACGATCACCAATATTGTAAGTTGTGCATACTTGCTCGTATCCAGCCTTTGTCCGCGTTTACGCTCTCTGAAAGCAACCAAGTGGCTAATATACCTCACCCTAAACAGGAGTTTCCAGACGAAGACTGGTGGCATGGCGAATACAACGGCCGAAGTGGTCTTTTCCCAGCCAACTACGTTGAACTGAATTGATCCGAAAAAACCACTCTTTTCAAAACATGCTCATTCCATGCCAGGTAGAAAGACCGCACTGCGGCATAGTTTACTTTCTGCAAACCACCAACCTATTCCTCACATCACCCTCAATTATGTTGCCATTTCATTTTGCATTCGGTTTTACATTTCATTTCTTTCTTTAGCAGTCACTCGCGAAAATGGCCTCTTTTTGACCTTAGACTAGTAGCTCTTGCGATTTCAACTACATTTAGTCTGCTGGGAGTGCGCTGGGTCCAACTTTGGCGTGCGTCGTTTAGTTAGTTGATCCAGCTATATAGCAAGCAAATGTACCAGCACGATTATTTGAAAAGCTATTCCTGCCGGTAATATTCTTTTTTCGATAAATTCGCTCTGTACAACACGTGCGAGCATCCCTGTACTCGCTTCTCTTCACACCGGGCAAATCAAAAGTTAATCCCACTTCCAAAAATTTCCATTTCACAATAATTGGCCAAAAGTCTAGACACAATCTCAAGGGAGCCAAAAAATAACAAGGCGAAACCAATGCCAAACAAAATATAATGTTTCTTCCGATATATACGTTATCATCAGTCAATCGTCAATTCATCCCCCTGGGCCGCCTTGGCGTAGAAGAAACTAGCCCCCACAACCTCCAGTCCATACTCTTTCGCCCAATCACGCACACCTCGCCTCACCCCTCCATATCCCCAATGTTTCCGCTTCCTTGGAGCAGTTATATTGTATGCCGTCGCCGCGTCACCCTCCAGCAGCACGAAGACATACCGATGATATTCAGTGCCTGACGGGGGTGAGGGGGGTAAGTAGGATTTCAGAACCCGCGGGATGAGGTTGTACGAAGGGGATGTGACGCTGGGATTGTTGGCGTCCTGTTGTTGAAGGCTAACGGGCCAGGGGATTGATATATTGCTCACGATCCAATGGCACATTTCGCTCCAGATGGGATGCTTGCGGCTCTTTGCATCAGGATCTGTGAGAATTATGCTGTAAGACTTTTCGGAGCGGTGGGGCTTGGATGCTGGCGTTGGATGGGGAGATGGGTTTGGATTTGTATTTGAACTTAGAGGGATGAGGAAGGGGTGGAATTCGAAGACAGGTTGTGAGCGGACGGCGCTAGGCGAAATATAGCTGCCCAGGGCTATTGTTGTGTGTGTTGACGGGTAGCTTATGAGAAGCGAGAATGTTGGTTCGAAGTCATCGAGAACTGTGAATTTTGCTGGTAAGTGGTAAGTAGGTGTACGAGATGAACTTCTGCTCAATTAGGGGGCTAGATGGAATGCGTCCTCTATGATTGCGACGCGGAACTGACCGTCGGGGATTATGGAGGCTCCAATTAGGCTGCGATCAAAGCGAAATTGGTTAGACAATGTCATCTGCTACGCATTTGAAGTTAATTTCACGATGCTCTAAGGAACAAAGGTTAAGCCCACGCATCGCGGATTGGAGAGTATATTCTGGACTCTTCCGCTTGGATAAATTGCGGTGGGCCATGGGAGGCCATTGTAGCTGGAGTGACTAAGCTAGTCGCGAAGATATAGCACAGTAATAGGGCCATGATGTCGTACTCGCAGGCTTTGCGAAGTAAAGGCATGGCAATCAGTTGAGTGGCGCTACGAATAGAGCGGAACAAAAAACACAGCGCTGGTGCGAGCAGGTGATAGATCTTATACAAATTATGAACTCGTACATAATTGCCTAGATGTTGCTCTCTCGAAACCCAGCCTCATAATCATTTAACGAGGCGGAGTTGAAGCTCCGGACATTGCCCAGTGCGGTATGTTGATGTCATAGACAACGTTGAACCTTTCTAGCTGCCGTCTGGACATAATGCCAAGACATTGATAATCACGTGAATTATAGCGGGATGTTGATGTCTTGGCATTCTCAAACCTCGGCCTGATTGGACGCGTCACGTGCTAGCCCTCCTGGTTGGGCTGGACTGAGAAATTGCAGCAAAAGATCTGAAAACAGGCCGGCAACGCCCTTGACGAGTTGCTTGTAGCGCAACGTCTCTCCTCCGGACCGCCTATCCCCCGTTTATGACTGCTTGAGGACTGAGGTCTTTTAATTTTCTTTCAATCGTTTACCTGCAACAACTGAGTTACCTCCCCGGGTCCCGCCCGATATCCTGACAAATCAAGCTGGCGCCTCGGAACCCCCCCTGGCGATCTAAGTAGCAACATACTCGGTGCAACGAAACGGAACTCTGAGCATAAGTGGTTGGTCCAGACGAAAAAATTTTGAACATGGCGTCTTTGGGCGATGACCTGTTGGTCACGGTCAACAAGCTCCAGGATTTGGTCTTCAACACCATTGGCAACGATTCCCTGGACTTGCCACAGATTGTATGTGCCCCCTTTCCCCCCAGTCATACAGCAATCTCAGGCCATAAACAATGGCCCTTATGGCACCTTTCCATTATTCTGACTGTGATCTTATAGGTTGTTGTTGGCTCACAATCCTCTGGGAAATCTTCTGTGCTGGAAAACATTGTGGGAAGAGACTTTTTGCCTCGGGGAAGCGGCATTGTGACAAGACGACCGTTAATCCTCCAACTGATTAATATCCCCAGCGATCGCGATGATCTCCCCGATAATAGTGAAGTCCATGTTCCCCATACAGCATCCAGTGTCGCTAGGCAGAGGGAGTGGGCAGAGTTCCATCATCAGCCAGGAAGAAAATATGACGACTTTGCACAGGTCAAACAGGAAATTGAGAATGAAACCGCAAGGATAGCGGGAAATAACAAGGGCATAAATCGACAACCTATCAATCTTAAGATCTTCTCGCCGCATGTGCTCAACTTGACTCTCGTGGATCTCCCCGGTTTGACCAAAGTGCCCATCGGGGACCAGCCTTCCGATATTGAGAAGCAGACACGCAATTTGATTTCGGAGTACATCGCGAAACCTAACAGTATTATTTTGGCTGTTTCTCCTGCGAATGTCGACCTTGTGAACTCTGAGGCCTTGAAGCTCGCACGCCATGTCGACCCCATGGGCCGAAGGACTATCGGAATTTTGACGAAGCTGGATCTGATGGACCACGGCACGAATGCTCTGGATATCCTCTCTGGAAGAGTGTATCCATTGAAGTTGGGCTTTATTGGAGTGGTCAATCGATCTCAGCAAGATATTCAAAGTGGTAAGTCGTTGGCCGATGCGCTAGCAGCCGAAGCGGACTTTTTCAGACACCATCCAGCCTACCGAAACATTGCTACTCGCTGTGGGACCCAGTTCCTTGCGAAAAGCTTAAACACAACATTGATGTCACATATTCGGGATAGGCTACCTGATATCAAAGCTCGGTTAAATACTTTGATGGGCCAAACCCAGCAGGAATTAGCAAGCTACGGAAATAAACAGTTCAGCGGCAAGGAACACCGGGGTTCGCTGATCCTCCAGCTCATGACCCGATTTGCGTCTTCGTTTATTTCCTCAATTGATGGAACCTCCTCTGAGATTTCTACAAAAGAGCTGTGCGGCGGTGCGCGGATCTACTATATTTTCAATTCTGTCTTCGGGAACTCCTTGGAGACGATTGACCCAACCCATAACCTTTCCGCCCTCGATATCCGAACAGCTATCCGTAACTCTACAGGTCCTCGACCTAGTCTTTTCGTCCCCGAAATGGCCTTTGATTTACTTGTTAAACCTCAGATCAAGCTTCTAGAAATCCCTAGCCAAAGATGTGTCGAACTCGTTTATGAGGAACTTATCAAAATATGCCACACCTGCGGTTCAACTGAGCTATCCCGATTTCCCCGCCTGCAAGCGAAGCTCATTGAGGTCGTGTCTGATCTCCTGAGAGAGCGACTTGGCCCTTGCTCTGCCTACGTTGAATCACTCATTTCTATTCAGCGTGCATATATTAATACTAACCACCCCAATTTCCTTGGTGCAGCTTCTGCCATGTCATCCGTGATCCAGAACAAGCAAGAACAAGAGAGAAAAGCCGCTGTGGCTGAAGACCGACGGAAACGAGAACGACGACGGATGAAGGAAATCGGGGCTGTTAACGGAATAGCAAACCCAGACGGCGAAGATGAGCAAGATGCTGATGATAAGACGCAGAATATACCAATCCGGGGCCAGAAGGCTCATAGAAGCAGATCACCACATGTCGGTCGTGCGCTAGAAAATGGCCATTCCGCCATCGCTGCCACGCTAAACGGACCTCAGTCCTCCTCGTCTGGTTTTGGAACCCAATCAGCTGGAACAGCCAGAGATTCATTTCTCAATTACTTCTTTGGCAAAGAGGGTGGTTTACCGAGCCAGGGGCAGCTACCCCAGCCGTCATCAGGACCCCCGCGCCATGTCAGCCATTCCACCGAGCCCAGCTTCAGTCAAAGTTTCCGACGCAATGAAGTGAAATCGCCCACCCCCACTCAATACCCACAAGATAATAATGAATATCAGGTATCGGTATCGTCGGAATATGGCGAACCCGCATTCCCAGTAAGCTATCATCCTGTAAAACCTCGCCAAAAGGTTAAGTCAGAAGTAATAAATAAAACTAACACTCCCTCAAGAATGATAACGTAGAACCGGCGCTCACAGACCGTGAGGCTCTCGAAACGGAATTAATCCGCCGGTTAATTTCCTCCTACTTCAACATTGTGCGCGAAACCATTGCCGATCAGGTGCCCAAGGCGATCATGCACCTTCTCGTCAACCACAGCAAAGAAGTGGTCCAGAACAGACTCGTCAGTGAACTGTATAAAGAAGACCTGTTCCCTGAGCTTCTATATGAGGACGACGGCATCAAAGCGGAACGCGAGAAGTGCGAAAAACTGTTGGGCACGTATAGAGAAGCTGCGAAAATAGTTGGTGAAGTCTTGTAGAAATGTTACCTCCTTATTTTTTTATGGTTGATATAACTAGAGGTTATTTGATACATGTATCGCATGCGGTTTTTCATTGTACTTTTTTATGTATACAAATTTCGCTTTTTCATGTTGTTCTCTATCCATGACCTACTGTATCCCCTTCTCCTTGCGTATTTTTCATGTCATTTGTCTCGTAACACACAATTTTCATCTCTTCCCTTCTTTTTTGGCCTCGTCGTTCCCCCCCCTTTTTTTTTCTTATATTCAGCTCGGCTTAGTTGGCCACAGATGCATGCCCCAGTTGGTTGGTTGAAAGAGAGGCGAACCGGTCAGCCCAGCATATAACGCAAAGAACACAGCATCATCTATTATCGACACATCAGCTTTTAGAGAAACCGTTCGTTCAGGCTCCACTGAGTACTGCACCAACCGGAACATGATGCAGAATTTTACCACCAAAAAGTGGTTAGGTGTAGATGAGGTAGGACGAGAATGTTGGTGGCTTGGGTTTGGTTACAGTTGTTCTTATATCCTTTTTTTCCTTTTCTCATTTGGCTGTCTTTTAATGTATGTTTATAGTAAATCTGACGTTGAATGAAAGGTTGGTAAGGTTTGGGCAGAGGACGTTTCCCTGATCTAACTATCAGCGACTTGAAAGTCATTAAGGTTCGGTTTCCCCTGGCACAGTCCAATGTAGGGCTAACCAACTTTCAAAGTTCCAGCATCAGCCCGCTATTGTTCGGTCATGCCCGTTGTCTTCTTCTTCATCTCCTCCTCACCTAACAGTTTCACAACCGGGATGTTTGGGTGTTCGCTTGCTCATTCCATGCCAAATGCAGGGCGCCACAGTCCCATATGGGCTAGACAAGCGGGGTTATCATTCGAGGGGCTTTACTCTCAAAGTCGGAACAGACGCGGCAATTGGCTCTTGAGATAATGCAACTGCAGCTTCAAGAACGGAACAGATTCTAGTTCTGTGGCGTTCGCGGAACAGACGCTGTTTGTTTTTGAGCAAGTTCAGATCACCGGCTTGTTGGGAACTATCTGACCATGCATTATACCGTCCGATTGTCTACTTGAGGCCTGCCTCCTATTCCCTCATCCTGTCTACCACGCGGATTCCCACCACAGCTGACTACGGCATTGCATTGTGGGTGGTGGTACTGCTGGCCCAGTCCTGGCAGCAAGGCTCTCAGAGGATCCAGACACAATCGTCGTTGTTCTCGAGGCGGAAATCAGTCATCTGGAGAACCCCAGGGCGAAAATTCCGGCTCTCTGGAAGACATTGTTTGGAACAGATGCGGATTGAGCATTTTCTATAGTACCCCAAGTGTGCTTTCCAACCAACCATCCCTCCCGCAAATACTAAGAAATCACACTCCTTGGGAGGATCGCTGATACTCCATGGAATAGCCAACGCTTGCTGGCAGGACCATCCGTGTAGCTCAAGGCAAAATGTTGGGTGGTTCCTCTGCCATCAACGGACAGGCCTTCGTTTCAGCATCAAAAGGGGGTGATTGATGCATGGTCCAATCTCGGAAACAAAGGTTGGACTTGGGAAAATGTCCAGCCATATTACAGGAAATCATATACCCTCAATCTTCCTGATGAAGAGACGCGCGAGCACCTGGGATTGAAGTGGGTTGGCCCGTCCGTCCACGGCTTTTCGGGACCTATCCAGGCCTCCTTCCCCGGGGAGGTGCAAAACCCACTTGTGAAGGCATGGGTAGATATATCCAAGAATATTGGCTACGAAGCTACGGCCGATCCGTACTCGGGAGCTTCGGTAAGTGGATTTAGCAGTCTTGCTGCTGTCGATCCTCAAACCAAAACTAGGAGCTATGCTGCGAATACATATGGCATTACTGCAATGTAACGTCCAGGGGTACATTTTGCGACCGATGCCTTCACCAAGAAGGTGCTATTAGAAGGGACCAAACCAAATATCAGAGTGACTGGTTCGATGTCGATTTTTAAGGCCAGCTTATCACGATCAACGCAAACAAAGAAGTCGTCATCACTGCCGGAGTATTGAACACCCCCAAACTACTGGAACTTTCCGTAATTGGAAGCGAGGAAATCCTGCAAAAATATAATATTCCCGTGGTTATTCACAACCCAAACGTCGGCGAAAGTCTGCAAGATCACTTGATGAGCGGAATAAGTTTTTAGGTTATCGATGGCGTTGTTACTGGAGATCCACTGCTACGACAAGAACCTGAAGCCATTCAGCCCGCGATGCAAATGTATTCTGAACACGAACCCGGCCCAATGACTATCGGAGGTGTACAATCAAATGCCCTAATGCCAATTCTCGAATTTACGGGTGCAGACGGCCAGAAAGCGCAGAAAAAGTTTTTCGATCAGTTCCTATCCACAGAACCAGCTACTTCCTTCCAGTCCGTCATCCGTGGCATCTTCGAAACTCACAACGAGGCTACATGCGACATGTTCACGTTCCTTGCCCAAGCCAACCTTCATCAAACTAACACAAGCTACTACGTGGGTCCCAGCTCCTCCCCGGAAAACTATCTCAGTTTAGGAGTGAGTCATGCAAAACATCCCCTTCTCCCGGCCATGTACATATTTCCTCCGCCAACCCCAACGACAAGCAAACAATTGACCCCCGTTACTTCTCCCATCCACTAGATATCGAAATCCTGGCCCGCAATTTGCTTGAACTAGAGCGCTTGCACCAGAATGAAGCACTCGCCAAATATTTCAAAATGTCAGATGGAAGACGGAACCACCTAGACTCTTTTCTTACTGATCTGGAATTGGCTGAGAAGTACTTCCGCGATACGGTAACGACGTCGCATCACTTTGCAGGCACTGCTACAATGCTTCCTGAGGACAAGGGGGTGTCGTTAGTGCGAAGCTGGTCGTTCATGGAACGGTTAATCTGCGTGTGTGTGACGCAAGTATTTTCCCAATCATTCCACCGGCCAATCGTACGGCGACCGTGTATGCAGTAGCTGAGAGGGCTGCCGATATTATCAAAGCGGATGCCTAGGTACCTTTTCTGTCACTCCAGGTAGATGCGTTCACCTAACGTTTAAACTATTTTTTTGAGAAAAAGAGAGAGAGAGAGACAGAGCACTGTATTTGGGCTCAAGTTGGTACTTCTTCGTCTTGGATGGGATGGGAATTGTTAAGGGCTTTCCTATTATCACAAATATTATTTGACTCGAGCCAATGTAGGCATATCATACAATTATTTCCTTAATATTAAGACTATTATAATGCTTGATAGCTGACTTGCGCTCTCAATGTCAGGACGTGGGGTGGGTAACGAGGTCTATCAGAACTTGTCAAATTGGCAAGCATGTAAAACGGCATGGGTAAAAGTGCTATATCAAGAAGCCGGAAATGTTCAACATTTAAAAGATAGGTTATAACCCAGGAAACATAGTGTAGAACATCCTCCCCCCCCCCCCCAAAAAAAAAAGAGAGAAAGAAAAAAGAAAGAAAGAAAGAACGGCCGAAGCAACGATATCCCACTACTCTAAATAGTCGTAGTCCAAAAGAGCCAATAAATCAAAACCTGGTAAACTCATACGTATGTATATCTCACTGCGTCTTCCTCTTTACGTTCGCCTCGCGCCGCAATCTCGCCCCTTCATACCCATACAGGCCCCCACCAGCAAACACCAGCACCGCGCCTACTAGTACTCCTGCTACAAGTACATTCCCAAACACGTACACAGATAGAATTAACGAGACAAGTTTGCGGATATTCAGCACCACGGTCACTGTCAGAGAAGACGACTTTGCAGAGAGAAGGTGCACACCGCGGATGCAGACATATTGCGTTAGTCCGTTAAGGATTAGATATACTACCTTTATAGGTGTTTGCGAAAGGAGCCGGAAAATAAGGGACTGATCGGGGAGGGTTTGGAGGTAAGAAACTGCGGGGTTTAGAAGACTTCGCGCAGACAGGAAGGATAGAGTAGTAGCTGTTGTCGTCGAAGGGAACTGTTTGAGGTCGCTGGATGTAGTGTTTGCGAGCATGGACGTTGACGAGAGGGAAGTGCGGACGGATGTAGAGGCGAATAATGCTCTCAACTGTGATACGAGATTTGGATAGTACGGGATGAAAAATGGGAGGGAAATAGCATGGGCATAGAAGAGCGATTCGCGCCAGTTGTTGCGGCCGTAAGTCTCGAACAGGCGGTCTGCGTAGACGCCCTGAAAAGCTCCAAGGACCATTGCCAGCCCAAGCATTGTAAATCCAGCTAATGAGCTAAGCATTGAAGGACCATCATCCTTCCCAGAGCTGAGTCCGATATCTAGAGATTTACCCTTCGCACTGGCATCTGCCAACGCGGCGCCGACCACACCAACTGTAAGCAGTACTACTGCTAGAATCTGAGTCCGTGTGTAACTCTTGGAATTGTATAGATGGCCGATTATCATCGATGCCACCGGGCCTCCGCTCCGAATTATGATGTGAAGCGGCACTGAGATCTCGAAGGCGAAGGCAGTATTATTGAGGACATTTACGGAGAGGAAGTACGCTGTATATATCACCCATGATCTTAGAGGGACTGCCCGAGGCGCAAGGAAGAATGAACGGGGTCCGGCGGTAATCGAGAAGACATTGGGAAGGGTGAAGAGCGCGGTAAAAACAAATTGTGTGAAAGTTATCAGTACTCCTAAAATGTGGTAACTGTTAGATAATTGCTCCGTATATAGTCTACTGGAAGCAATGCTGCCTTACCAGATGCTGGGTGGTCTCTGTATCGAAAGATTTTGCGTTAGCAAAGCCATATCGCGCATAACAAAGACACCCCGGCCGCACGGCAAAACTCACTTGATAATAGCCTCTAGAGCAAATACCTGTTCCCGAATCCCTTATTAGCATTTGCTTATAATAGCAAAACAAAGAAACTCCGGGAAATATCAAACAATAGCAACTAACGTTCGAACAACACCCGCCAAATATCAGGGACATCATGATTCCAATATTCAACCATGCGGGGATAGTCGTCTGAACAACCGCCGCTGTAATGTCATAGCTCCCATTCTTCGCATCCTCGCTCTCGGACTCTCTCCGTGTGGCCCTATTTTTGTTATCTCCATAATCTTTTAGCACAACATTGCGCGACCTCAGGACCGCGCCATTCGCTGAATTCCGAGTGCCAGTCGCATTGCCCCTCAGCCGTTGCGGCTTCGAAGGATCTTGTAATGAATCAGCCATGGGCTGGTCTATATTTTCGCGTGTACGGTTTAATTGGCCTATCTACTGGAGATCGGAAAGAGTCAGCGTTCATTGAGCAAGTAGTGGGAGTTCTCGCAGCCGTTGTGAATATTGAGATACCGGCAACTAACATTCTCAAACACGATAACCCAGCCGTGATGTTCGTCCGACGACCCCCTGGGTACCAATCGGGGGCACTAGCGTAGCTGTCAGGGCATTGTTGGGGAATTTTTGCTCTGTTAAGCGTTGTTGGCGCTGGGATCTTGTGGTTGATTTACTCCGTACGGAGTAGAATGTCCGCAGTTGCAGTGTGTTTTGGTACGAGAGGCTAAATATATAAATAACTATAACCACCACGGTTGCAGCTACAACAAAAGATCAGAATAACTCCTATCAATGGTAAATTACTATGTACAATCAATTTATATCCCTCGGGTATTTTGAATGCTGGCTGAACGTTAAAAATAATCTAGAATGTGACCCCGTAATTTGATTTGGATACACCGCTGTCCGTCCATACCTCTCCGTGAGGGGCGCCAGTCAAATAATATCCACGTTAAAATCACTCAATCGGGCTCGCAAGATATAGTATGTGCCGCAAATCCTATCACCAGAATATGACGCCTATTTACCCAGAATGAAATATACTCCCAAGGTGCCTTCCATAACATCAACCATGCCGAATTTTTTTTAAAAAATAAATAAATAAATAGATCCGATAAGCAAAACAATCAGACGGAATCAGATCAATCATCCTCGATATCATCGTCGCTAAGAATCAACTTCTCAACAGCATCTTGGACCGGAAGTATGAGTTGGGACCCAAACGACTTGCTCAAAGGCATCTGGCCCAACTTGCTTCCCTGTCTCCGCTTCTGCGGCGAAAACACATCCTTATCCGCAGGGGCACTCCATGGGTCCATCGTAGCACCCCCACCGCACGGGCTATCTTCCAAATCGCCATCGATAAGCTCTTCCTCGCTCTGCCCACCAACTCCACGGAATTGTGTAAGTTTTTCCAACTCCCTACATTCGACTGGGTTTCTGGATATTAGGCTCAAGTACGGTAGACGCTCGAGAAGAACTTCGTCGCGAGAGATCATTGCTCGAGCCGCCTGCGACGGATACGTAGATGTGTCCGTGGCAGACTCGTGGTTATGGTTGTGATTGGAAGATCCAGGCATCCAGCGATGATTCTTCCACGATTCCACACCGTCTAGTCGTGGGATAGGCGTTCCTGGGGAAAGCCCCATGGTGGGATCCGTGAGCCGACGCATCCACAGGCCCAGCAAGCTGTCTAGTTCTTCTGTTTGCCTCCAAAGTCTCATCGAGGTTGGGAAGAACATCTTATGGGCGTCGCTTGCCCGAGTACCGCGCGGAGCCTTCCTCTTTACAGGGAAAGGCAAAGAGAATAGCAATCCCCGTACAGCCACTTGAAAACTGATTTCATCTTGGCGGAGCATGTCGATGCTAGAGCCATACCCTTGGAAGGAGGAACGCGCCGAGCCAGCTCCACCTCGACTTGTCTGCACGTTGTGAAATCGACGTCCAGGCCCCAAAATGTCCGTTTCGGATAGGTTTGAAATGCACTTTTCAAAGTGCTCAGCGAATGCGGGGCCGGTGCAAGATAATAAATAGTTTTCGTGCAGGGCTGAAATAAATGTTTCGAGGTCTGTTCCGGTCTCATTGATCAAATCATCGATTGAAACTAGGGAAGCCTTCGGTCGGGCATGATGCTGCAGATGTCGTGGAGGCTGAGGAAGCTTAGCATTCACCCGTTGCGAAATCATAGGATCTTCACGTTTATTGTACACCACCTTACCCACCGCGTGGAAGATGCCCAGGCTCGCTTCCCTTTGAGTGACCATTTCCATTGACTCTTTTTCCATAGTCGTAAGAGGAATACCCCCGTTACTAGACCTCTTCATCCGACCGGCAACAGTCCCGCTCCATCCTGCATCGTCATCACCTCGCAAACACATAAACTCCAACGCGGAAATCGCACATCTTATATCCCCCATGTCTGTGAATGCCTTTAGAACCTCGGGTCCGGGGATTCGCCTTCTCTTTGATCGACGAGCTTCCTTTTTCAGAACTAGGTCGATTGCTTTCGCCATGAAGGTCGGCGCTATCCTGTTAAAATCGACAATGCTCACTCCATGATGGTTTGAAAGTTCAGGGCCCAGCAACCTATGTACCGTAAAGCTGTCAGAGGAAATACCTCCGGAGCCCAGCATAGTTTCTGAGACGATTATAATCAGAGGCGGGCTTGATATCGTAGTATCCTGACTGAGTTTGCTGTAGAGCGATTGCCGAGGAGCGGATGTCGCCAAATAACTCTGTATAGCGTGTCTGAACGCTCGCAAACCGGATGAACCGTGGCTCAAGGAACTCGGGAACTCTTCAACGAGGACCGCACGTCTCTTTTCCCTAGTACTAGAATTGAAGTAATCCGCCTCCCCATTTGCTATAGGCAGCTGCGGCTCGTGTCCATCACTGCTCAAAGAAAGGCTCCCAAATTTATCGCTTCTTCCAAGAAAATCTTCGAATTGTGCCCCCATGGATACATATCCTTGAGACGAATACTCAGAGCCTAAGGGATTTTTCCACTCTACTATCTCAAACCCAAGGGCCTTAGAAAGTAGCGATATCGTGGTTGATTTCCCGCTTCCGGCTGGGCCCCTGAGCACAAGAACTCTCTACCCCAGTCAGTATAATTGATGACAAACGTTGGAAAAAACAACATTCATTGGAAGGCAAGCGGGGAAAGGCGAGGTAAATAACAACGGTGGTACTCAACTTGTTTGCTCTTCCCACCGAACACATCTACCAACCACCTTTGCACATCCGAAACCTTTCTTTTATTAACCACCAACTCATCAAGATTTGCTGGCGCATACTCCTCCGCCCATGGCCGCATTCCCTGCGCGGCCAATTTAGTAGATGAATGTAACTCGCAGGCCCAACCTACTTCATCTCCATTCACACTCGTAGTCCCAGATCCAGCTGCAGAACTCCCAGGCAGTAAAAATCGCTTCCCAGGCCTGCTCGTAAGCTTCGCTTTGTTTATCTGCTGCGCAACCTTCATATCTTTCACTTTCCTCCGATCCAGCGGCGAACCTGCCTTGTTGTTATCCCCCTGCGCCAGTTCCGCACTACCACTACTGAGAACATGCCTCGTAAATAACTCATCATAGGAATCATCCTCAATGAGATCCTCAATTTCCTCCTCTTCATCATCCTCAATTTCTTCCACCATATCTGTTTCCTCGGTAATACTACTCCCCACGCCCGCACCCAGGCCCACGCTATCCTTCTTGCAACTCCACCTCTCCTCCTCCGTGGCTCTTGCAAAAAATGAATGTAAAGATTTCGAAGGTTCTTCTGAGAGCCTATGGGCTTTCTTCCCCCTCTTCTTCTCAGGTGATGAGCCGGGCGTTGTCTGTAAGGAGCGTGGCTGACTCAGTTTCTTCTGCGGCGAGCTTGATAGCTTCTGGGTTCGTTTCTGGGTTCGTTTCTGGGTTCGTTTCGGCGTTTTGGACAAACGTGAAGGGAGTGTAGTCGTACTCAACTTGGTAGTAGAGGCAGCTGTAGCCGTAGTCGTAGACGCTTCTGTCTTCGGTGTGGACGCAGCAGTCTCTTTTAGCAAGGGTGTGATCTTTCTCTTCATCCCCCGGTTTATGCTCCCGCCCAATTGTATATCACTCTGCGGTCCAGGCTCGACATAATCACTGTCAGCCCTTTTCTCCCCCTCTTCTAGAATCTCACGGTTTTCAATGTTATGATTAGTCCCTTCGTCGTCCGAAGAGAGGACTACAAGCCTCCGCTGACGTTTTGACGCTCGGCGGGCGGACATGGCGACGGCGCGAGCGAGTAATGGCGGTGGGCTTGTTGCCAATTGGACCCTGAGATCATGGTTAAGCAATTGGGTGCTTGACTTCGGTCATAGTAATTTAAAATGAGGCATGTGCCTTTACTTATTCGAATGCACGCAGGTTTGTATTTGCGTCTCCGAGAACAGGAGTGAAGTTAAAGGAGCGGAGCTCAGGTTCTAGCTCCGGGTAACGTGACGGCGGCTGTCTGGCGCTTAAGTATTATTGTTATTATTGGGTGGGAGACGCGCTGCAAACGTGTGCGTGGAGTGGTCTGGTCTACAGAGTAATAATCCCAGTCAACCCAACTTGCACCCCATGAACGAGATTGTTATAACTGAGAAAAATATATGTTTTCCTTTTATTGATTGGTATATGTGAGAAGATGTTATCTATTTAATTACATAACTCTCGGGCAGTATCATCAAAGTTAAGTCAAAAGCAGCCCCGATTCATAAGTATGAGGCGTTCCGAAAAAGCAACGAAGCGATAATCTAACATGATATATATCCTTAACAAAACATGTTGTAGCAGGGCAGGGTATCTATCTTCATATCAAAGTGCAAGAAGAAAAGTACACACGAACAAAAATTTAAAAATGAAATCGCGTAGACCCCGACAGACAAGCCAAGGATATGGCAATATAGTCCACTCCAATCTAGGAAATAATATGTTTTCCAGCTCCAACTGGGACAAACAGAAACAAGAGGTATATATTTCCACCGAATCTGAAAGAACGGAAAAGAAAAAAGAAAACCAAAACATTCTGCACTCAAAGTATGAGCCCGCGTTCATCAGAAAAGGAATCAGCTTGAGCGAGAATGCAAATCTCACCACGCCCCTAGCTCTCAACTCCCCCCAAACACATCATAATAATAGTCTTCATCCAGCCCGTCCCGACTCGGAATTTCAGGCGGATCCCCTACGAACGTCCCATCATCAAATCTAATATTCAACAGCCGAATCTTCAGTCCATAATTACTAACCAGGTTAATCAGTTTATTCGTCTCAGCAGTAATAGGCTGCTGATTGAGCAGCATTAGCAGCCCATCCAACCACTCGGACGCGATGCTATGGGATTGTGGGTGTAAAGTTAACAGGACGGCTTCTTTCTGTGTATTCTTGCTGTTGCTGCGTTGGTGTTGATGATTTTGGGGACTGTCGTTGGAGGAAGAGCCGGGTGGTCTACCGACGTAGCCGTGGATGGTTATTTTGGTGGAGGAAGATGAATGAGGGAGAGTTTTTATGGTGGAGCCCGAGGAGGCGTCTGAGGACGCGGAGACATTGGAGACGACGGAGGAGACGATGTTAAGGTCAACTAAAGTATGGTTATTAGCAGGTTGTTTCACGAAACTGAGGAGGGAAGTTCCACATACTTTTGTCAGTGAGTGTCTCTAAATCAGGCGCCTGCTTCCCCATCGATTCAAAATCGGCGTAGTGCAGGTACCGTCGATTATGTGACAACTGTACATAGCGATATATGGTTGTGGAACCCCCAGCGCGTTTCGCATCTTGCTTTCCACTATTATTCACCCCATTCTCCATCTTATTGTGAGTATACTCCGTCGGGAACCAAGCACCCTGTAATAAACATCTGATGCGCTGCTCTTTCACAAACTGCAGCGCTTCATGATGGAGCTCATCGCGAACCTGGAGGAGATGCTGGCCCCATGCATCCTCATAGGTAAGCTCCAGCAACTCCATCTGCAACTCTCTAAGACGTTGGTATTCAAACTCCGCCATCTCTTCTTCAACATCATGCACGTCTTTCGTCCGCGTGGCACCGCCAACGACAGATTCGATAAGGATACGAACTAGTTCCACAATTTTGGAAAAATCCTCCAGCTCAGCGCCGGTCGCTTTCCACAGACGGAAAAACGCATGTATCCCTGCCACGTGCAGCCTGGGCCAGTGGAGAAGCAACGGCTTGAATAACTTGTCGTAGTTGGATCTTGATTCAAGCACAAGATAGCTCTTCACATCATCCAGATCCGACTTTTCCACCTCGAAATGCTCGTAGAGAACCGCAGTGACAGCCAGGGACGCTTTTGCAATTGGACACCGCTGCGGCTGCGGTTTGGTGGACTGTTCCAACAGCATTTTCTGGAACTCATCCTGATGCTTCCTAACGTAGTCCGTCAAATCCATCATGCCCAAGAATCCCATCTCTTCAAACTCCCACTGGGGACTTTCCGACTCAAACCCTAGCCGTCTCCACTTTTCCGGGTTATGTCTTCGAGACCGTCGTGTATCGTCGCCTTTCTCCAACTCCTCTTTGTCCTTCTCCCTTTCCTTCTCAGTTTTGCTAGCCAAATGAATCCCTTTTAACGCCCTCCGATGTTCCGGCTTCTCTAATTCGACAGGGACATCCTTCCACTTTCGCAAGAGAACCTTTGTCGACGATTGGAACTCAAGGAGCGGGTGAGCCAGGTCCTGCAGTGCCGTGCCTTGCATAAGCATATATACTGCTCGAATAACACCTAGATCCTGTAACCGTTTGATAAACTTGGGCCACTCAGCCTCGCTCTCGTTGATGATCGAATCTCTCATCAATGAATTAATCAACTGTAGCGCATTGGCGCTCAATGCATGGTCCGCTGATGATAACCTGTTCACAAGCATTTCGAGAAAGTGCGGGTAGGCTGCAATTGCTGGTTTTAGAGCTTGGAATCCATACACGCCTGGTTGTTGCGAGCGGCGGGAGCTTGTATGCGGGTGAGAAACAATGGAGACGAGGATCGACATTGCGCCGCGGAGGATATTCACAAGTGGATGGGTAACGATGAGTTCAACAATCTGCAGTAGCATGACAAAAGTGAGCCACCTTCAATGTTAGCAACTAAAAAGGAAACAGGTAAAATATTCCAATCCAAGAATCAAAGCCGTCCGAACTCCCTTTATTAGAAACTCCACCCCTCCCCCGAAAAAAAATCAAAAGCAGTAATTACTTCTCAAGCCAAACTCACCCTCGTAACCAAATCCTGCTCTACACACTCCCACCCCTTATCAACTTCCAACAGCCGCGAAAACGACGTCAGACTGTACGCGAGCGTATTCCCCGTAGCCGTCAACGCCAGATACTTCAACTTCACCAGCCCGCCTTCAGATATGAACACGTCGGCAAACGACGGGTCGCCGATGTTCGATTGGAGCTTGAAAACAGCCATTTTGCGCACGGCGTCCTCGTCGCTGCCCAGCCGCTCGACGAGCTCGGAGACGTTGACGCCCTCCATGGGCTTTTATGGGAGGCACGTATGGGGAGGAGGGGGGATGTAGATGCTGGTTATAGGGGTGCAGGCTGTTGGTTATGTGCGCGGATATTTATACGGGCGCGGAGAACGCCAGGGTTCAGAGTAGCGGAGTTGAAAGAGTGATAGGAACACAAAACTGGTTCTGGGTTAATTGGTGTTATCCTCCTCACTAGCGCACCCCGAAATATTGCATATAGGCCTCGTTTGTGCAGTGTTCATCCAATTTCGAGTCCAGTTCCAATTGCCTGTCGGTAATGATCCCGCCAGTGTAGCTCCCAAGGGAAAAAGGGGGTGGGGCGCGCAACAAATTAGAAGGACGAAGAATTGAAAAGCCGAATGACGAGATTGTAAACTGACGGCATAACCAGATAGATATCGGGGACTCCCCACCCGACTAATTGGCTTTTTCTCTTCACGATTGCAAGTTGTACGGAGTAGATAGAACGGAGTTGGCTTGAGAGTTATCTCAATAAACTCAGAATCCTCGGCTCAAGAGCGGCACTAACTAGATTAGGAAGTCACAGCACATGATCTGAGCTCTACTCAAGCTAACCCAATCCGAACTACTGGAACTTTCGGCCAAGTCCTGCTAACTTCTTGAGCCAATCAGTTAACTGTCAGGAAGTTTACACTAATCCAAAATGGGACACCCCAAGCAAACTCTTCTACGAGATAAAGTTTCTGATTGGTCCAGAAGTTTAGCAGGACTTGGAGAACTCTAAAGGGGTTTAGTTGGTCGCGCTAATCCGAAAATATCGAGAGGAGAGGCTGAGCAATGCTGAGATAACCCGGAGGGGTTTCTTTCTTGAGAAGAAAAGGTTACTCCGTACTGCAAGGCTGATGAAATAACTCTTTGACTTCTAGCCACGATCACTAATTTATATAATTGATAAAAAGATATGTTCGGAGTAGTTTTATCTTACTAATATATAGAGTTGATATAAGATTTCATGGTTTGAGGCTGTGTCACTGTAAATGAAAGGAAGTGATTTTTTTTGAAGTTTGAGATATGAAAATAAAAGTCAATTCTATCAACAGATCATTGATATATCTAGATATCTAGCTCTCCTGCTAGATTGCTACTCAAAGAGAAGAAGGCAAAAAAGAAAAAAAAGTATTAGATGAAACTGTTTTTTCTCAAGACTGCGCAGATTAAGAGAAATGATTATCTAAATAGACTTATGGTGTGTTCTTGTTGCGGCCGAGATTTATTATTATTATTTATATCCTGTGTCCATTTATGAATTGGGCTATAAAACTTGTCTGGCAACTCATCACGGATCACTCCAAGTAAATGAACCAAACAATAAAAAGACGAGCTCAAAATTTCTTTTTCACATTTAATCATCTTTGTATGTACCAGAGGATTCAGCAATGGGTAGGTAGGTGACAGGTGACAATGGGAAGAAGGCAGGAAAATGGAAATGAAACAATGACAGAATCATTCAATTTCAGTCCCTTCAACATTGCCATAAACCAATACGGTTATTCATTCGCTAAACCGTCTTTCTAAATGCGTTGCCAATATGAGAGTGTATCGGGAATAACTGGTCCATTTAACTCCCTAATGACAAGGAGATGTGGGGATGTATGGATATGCGAGGACGTAGGTAAGTACGTATTTCTATGTTGCGTAAAAAAGCGGCTTGAAAGAGGATAATATAGCTGTACAAACGAGGTAGGTAGGATAAGAAAATGGAAAATGGGCGGTATGGAGTGAAGTAAATAGGGTATGGAAATGGCGGGACGTGCAGTTATATAGTCAATCAGCCAAGGTAGTCTCGTGAGGAAAAACTGCTATCCACTTCTCAAGCCCGGGAGCTGCTTTTCCAAGGATGTTTCTTTTGAAAAAAAAAAGATAAAACATCGATGTGCCGGGCAATAAAAAGGGATCCTTGCAGTCTGGATTTGCGATATCCAGTGCTTCCACCACCAACCCGGGAGGCTTTCAAGGTGGTTTGTTGTTCTCTATTATCTTTCTAACTCCGCCATCCAACATTCCAAATAACATGTGCAATATCCCTCGCAGTATTCACCGTATCAACAACCTTGCCAAGGAACCCAAAGTTCATAGCTTCCTCATCATCCACCTCATCATCATTATGTCCACTCGTATCTCCAGCATTATACAAGTCGTCGTAGTCGAAGGATAGGAACTGTTCCGGAGAGGATAGGTAAGAGGAGTTCCGGTTATTGATAGTACGATTAGTATTATTATTAGTATTGTAATAATGAGCATGGGGACTATCATCGTTATTCCACTGTCGTTTGTGAGAGTCAGTGAACCATGGTCCGTTATATGTCTGTGATGTGTCCTCAGGCACTTTCTGACCGGATAGTTGCCATTTCATATCCATGTCTGAGGTGACGGTGTTGGCGTCATCGTCGTCGGGACCTTCATCGTCTAGGAGGAAATTATCATGGGCTTTGGGCATTTGTTGTTGCTGCCGCTGCCGCTGGTTCTTCGAAGGCCGAAGCGTCTCCGTTGAGGCGGAACGGGACAGGCGCGGGACAGGTAGAGGCCACCATGAATAGTATGACGATGATTTCACTTCTGGAGAGTCGACGACGTCAACCTCGTCAGGCTCTGGTGTATCCCTGCGATATTTCAGTGTCGTTGGTGGTAGGGGCGCGATGGTTTTGCTATCGCTGCTGAAACTGCTTCGCGGGGTACTTCGGCTGCTCAACGGCGGACGTGGGGTTACCTGCCGCATCATAAGCACGCTGCATTTAGACATGTCATCATCGTCTAGGACGCAGGTACTGTCGTCCATCTTATCGTAGTAATCGTCTTTCCCTTCAAGGGCGATGCACTGTGAGACTTCGTCGTTGAAGCTAATGTGACGTCTCTCACTGGGTGATTCGGTGCCAGGAGACATAGTCGTCGCCAGACTACTACTTGAATTTTCAAAGTAGTTGTTTGGAACATAATAGTCGGACGCTGACCTCCCTAATCCGGGTCGGTTTCTAAGGCTGTCCGCTTCGCGGGCTTGTAATATAGCACCAGCATGGCTGAGGAGAGTGCGTGTAGAAATGAAGCGTTGAAGGATGGTTTGAGAGGCTGTTCTCTTTTTGAGGATCGGCTTTTTGTTAAGGAAGGGGCTGGGTGGGGAGAGCCGGGTAGGAGGCGGAGATGAAGTAGGATGGGAAAGTTTGGAGGCGGTCTGTAAGGGGCCATAGAGCCAGGTAACATCGCAATCCTTGAGCCTGTTATTATAAGAGTTATATTAGTTTTTAGAATTCCTCGCACCATGTCAGGTTATATATAGGGAAATAGAAGAAGGAAATACAAAATACGACTTACCAGTTAAGTGACTCCGGAGTGACGGTTCCAAGTCGATGCTTCGCTTTTGCCCACGTCCGCCAGGCCGCATTCTCTAACCTCACTCCATTGTTATATGCATCCCTCCTGGAAGCAATATACCTCCAAGAACTCCAGATATCTTCTTCTTGCCAATCGTGCGAGAGGTAGTCGACGTGTCTTGTAGGCTCATGCTCTATCGAAGCATCATCACCCACTATCCGAGGCATCGTGAAATCACTTCTCGATTGTTCCATCGAGGGAGGGCTGGGTGAGTCGAGCGGTGTATTCTCTTCCTCTTCATCGTAGGATGCGGTATCGAAAGAAGGGAATAATATGTCGTCATCCTCGGGTTCTTCTGGCGTCGGCGGCAGTGTGACTGCAGGAGGGCTGGTATGTACAAAAATCGAGGAGAAGATGGGAGAAGGCTGTCTCGATGATGATGTGGAGGATACTGAACTACTACGAACGGAATAGCATTCGGGTTGGGGAGATTTCAAGTAGGAGCTTTGAGATTCTGGGATAGATGGCTTGTTGCGCTTTCGCCGATGAGGGTCTGACGGCGAAAGTGAGCCTCTCTCTGGCATCACGGGTAGCACGGCGGCCATGGCTTCGAGAATCAAAAACCTTGCCAATGGCGTGGTACGCGACAGGTAGCCTGCACTGTAGAAGCTTTCTGTTGTGTCACTGCTGGAGTTTTGAGCTGGTCGACGGTTGATATCGCAGGGTAGGCTTGACGTTGACGAGTCTCCGGCGCAACGGGTAGTTAGGGTGATCTGGAACCTTGGGAGCAGATGGACGTCAAATACGTAGATCGGCTTTTCCGCGATAATGCGCGACTTGTGTCGAGAAAAATAAATGCGCAGCGTCTGGATGAAACAAAAAAACCCGCAGAAAATAGCCCAGAAAATAGCAACGTATTCCGTGCTCTGAGTAAACTAGTGCGCGATTACGGACATGGAAACGATGAGATCTACTAGCCCGCACCACGAAACAAAAACAGAAAAAAAAGACCCGCTGTCGTATAAGGGAGATCTTCTGCGGATTTAAATATTGTGTAGACTAGGAGTGTTAGAGAGTTGATAAGAGTGATGTAATTGACTGTGTCTCTTAGTAGAGCGTGGAGGCGTTTTGAATTTGGAGAGTGGGTGGAAGCGGTGGAGAGCGGAACCGACAAATAATTGGTGCTTTTCTCTAGCTAACAGTACAGACGCGGCAAAGTTAAGGGATATTAGGGAGCTAGAAATGGGGGAAAATTATATTGATAAAGATGAGATGTTAAACAAGATGGGGCAAAAAAAAAAGAACAGGAAGAAGAATGGGGACGGGAACTGCCAGTAAAAATACAGCGATAAAAGTTGGGCGGAAAATTAGTGAGTAATGGAGTCAAGTTCTAGATTATTTCCTTCTCTACTATACTTTGTATCATTTTTTTCTATCTCAACGCCACCGAGAAGGGGCTCCGGTTGTTTCTCTTGTCTCCAGCGATCGATTTTATTTATCAAGGTTCGCCTTCGACTAGTAAGCGTTCTGGTACTTGTACTTGTACTTGTTACTTGTACATGTACATACAGACATACATAAGTTACATACATACATACAGGGCATAATCGTTTGTCCCTTGTGTCAAAGAGCCCATGCATCACACTTATAATCACGGCCTTTTTGTCACTCTGTATCAGTGCATAATAGCCCTGTTTGTCTCATGTTTTTGTCCGACACGGTACGGACAATCGGGATAAGTGTGTCTCGAATCATTTTGTTATTTTATCTTCAATCTTTGACTACCTACCTGCTCTCATCGTCATTATTACCTGTCATAATTAATTCATGAACAAATCCCCACAATAATCAGGATGAAAAGCAATCCAGCCCGCAACAAAGACCTTCAATACGAAGAGTTCAAAATCAATCAACCCTTGCCCCGACGATATGTAAACAGATAACCCAGTCATGTGATCCCGAGTAGGTCACTTACTATGCGTGTTGCGCCGATGTGATGTCATGCAACGCAGTTTATCTTCCCGAGAATCTACCTCTCAGGATTACGGCAGGCTCCTTTGGTATGGTGTTTTTTTTTTTTCGCTGGTGATAGCTGGTCTTACCAATGACAATCATCATCAGGAGCAACACATCCTGATATTCATCACTCCTGCATATCATACCTGTGCATGTCTCAATCACCCGCGAAACCCAGTTTCCATGATGGCAGACTCCAAGCTCTCAGATTCCTCTACCGGTGTGACAATAGTCAGGCTTTCCCTCCCAACTACCCATAGTATTCCTGCTACTTATCCCCGTAGTTGGATGGACTTGATCTTGACAGCTGAGAGTCTCCCGAGTAAGATATGCTACCTTGGCTCTGTCTCTCCGTCAAGTCCTCATCCCTTCAGCGATGGGGAGCCGCCCGCGGCTCAGGGATCGTTTTCATGTGTATCACCTCAAAATAAGCTCTTTGTAGACGAACCAACTTGCCCACGAATCACCCCAAAACAAAACGCACAGCATACCCCTTCCCTCGGCTGCTTTTTGTGTGTAAACCCAGTATTCTGCGTTGCGTTCCAGGACGGAGCATCGCGTGCTAAACCCTCTGTTCTGTGTCTTCCAGTATTTCTTTTGACCTCGTCAAGCCACTCCCATGCACGTTCCGTACGAATGCAGCACCTTGTTGCCCGAAGACCCAGGTATAATGCGCTCGATGTTATACCCCTCTTCGACAATAACCCGCTGTGGATAACATTAATAGCATTACGCAAAGCCAATGCATGCACAAGAACCGGTTTTCGACATGGTTTAAAAAAGAAAAGTGGAGAGAGACAGGGCGGGCCAGGATAGGGTTTTCGAAATCGCCGCGCCGAGCTGGCAACTGGCAACACCCCCCCCCGCTTCCTTCTCTGGCCCACATCAAGCTCAGCTCCAACCCGATCCTTGAGCGACAGAGAAAAGGCCTGCTGAAGTCTAGAACGGCTGATTCCGAGAGGAAGAGGGAGTCCTGGTCCTGGACGTCGAAGATTTTTGGCACTGCCAGGGTGACCAGCGTGGTAAAATATGCCTGTGCTATGGCTTGTTTCACCTCGGTGGAATAAGTTCCAAATTCAACACAACCAAATAATTGAAAGGAAGAAAGAAATCAGACAGTGGGAGGGGGCGATTTTGCGCAATCAGACCGATGTTCCCTCGTCGTTGCTTCTTGGGCTTGGGCGTTGGCGTTCTTAGGCCTTGGCGTTCTTAGGCCTTGGAAGCCACTAAGGCAAACCCTAACAAACTTGGGGAGTATTAGCGAATCATTCGAGAACATACCCACAAAACGCCTCGGGAGACTCTCAGTCGGAGTAAAATACGCCCGCGTGGCTTAGTGGTAAAGCGTATCACTAGTAATGATAAGATCCTCGGTTCGATTCCGAGTGTGGGCAGATTCAAGTATTTTCTTTTTATTTTTTATTTTTTTTTTCCTTCTAATTTTATCTTGTTGGCCAGTTGCTATCTTGTGTCCCTCTGCTCTTTGTTTCTCAAATCTTCTTGTTACACTAATTTTGAACCGTGAAGGAATCTACAGACAGTCAGTTAAAGAACCAACCTCCCTCTAAGTTCGGAGTTAGGTTAGCAATGTGGACAGCCATGTTTTTGATATCCAGAGTCCTGCTTGCTGATACTTTCCGAAACTTCGGGCCTGGCAGCGGCTTCTCGGAACCGCTCTAAATATCCTCAGCAAAGGTCCCAGACTTGATCCTGAGCTTCTGCGCCTTGCAAAAGTTGGGAGAAAACCAGAGGCCCATGTGTGTCTGAGCGCGGATTTGATAGGGCGGAACGGCGCTAAATGACAATGACCCAGGTATGCAAGGAGTGCCTTTTCTTTGAATAATAAGTGGCTGAGAGTCATCTCTCAGTTCCCTTGCTAATTGTTAGTTTCCTTACAAAGCTCCATAGGAATTGATCTTTGGAAGTACCAAGTTATTATTATTCGTGAGAAAGTGTTTCCATCCAATCTTACTCCTTTGAACATAACAGGTTATCCGGTTATACTACTTTCGTTTTATATCTATGGATTGATCACCGGCTTCGGATGAATGGCTACTAGCTTAGCTATTCGTGCAATATGGCGAGGAGGTTCAACTTCTTCCCTCCTCTAATTCTGCCTCAATTCTCAAAAATAGTTATCGTTGTCCCTTCTCTGGCACTAGGTAGATCATAGATCAATTATTCATTTTTGTTTCTTTCCACGGAGAAATCTCTATTTAAAAAATCTTGTCTTCCACTGCGGAGTGGATCCCTGACATTTGTCGCTGTCATCCATTTTATTTGTTTTTTACCCCGGATTTCCATTCTTGTCGGCATCCACCAGTGGGCCACCACCAACCCCCGCTTCCGGCATTCATAAAAAATAAATAACAACCGAAAGCAAAACAAAGAAAAACAAAGAACAGGATTGATTCCTTGCCCTAGTGGTCGCTAATCGCGTTAATGCTGTGGGTCTTGGCTCATGAGGCTTGTACCTATACCGAGATAATAATGGTATTGCATAACTCCAAGAAAGGGAGGGGGAAAAAACCTGGTTATGTATGTAGTTAGCTTATAGACGGCCCTTGACAGGGCCTAAGTCTAACATCTGGTTTGATGTGAGAATCATGGCAGCCCGGAGTTGTGTTTGCGATAGGGGATATACTATTCTCTCTGTGCGGCTATTGTAAAATAATCGCTGCATTAGGATATAAATGAATGAATGGTATTTGAATTGAAACATGGGTGAGTGACCGTATCATAAAAGCTGATTTGCTTTGCTCAAGCCTTTGACATGCCCAGATTTTTATTAACACACCCCCCCCCCCCAGCGCCCAGAAGAACAGACGCACCCTCCTTACCACCAAGCGCCTCCCCACATTTTGTGGAGAACATGTTCGTCAAACAAATATCGGGTCTCACTCTATGCAAGGAACCAGAAAAAGAAAGCAGGAATTGATGAAAAGTTGGTTAGGCTAGCTTACTAAGAGAGAGATATATGACAATCTCTCCCCATAGTTAATTTATGTATGGGTGGGTAAGGATTGGCCTCATGTGTGTTTCTGAATTTCTCCTTTACAGCTGAGGAATCCTGCTTTACTAGTTTCTGGCAGAATATGACAGCCGTCTGCGTTGGCAATGATAGGCCTGCGAGGAGAATTATTCCATACATCCTGAAAATGAGTATCAATTATTCATTGGTTGTGGATGCGCAGCAGGCATCCATAGCCACGTCATCAACGGGGGGAATTTTTTCTATCTCAAATTCTAGATCTGGGACATCTAAGAGATTTTCTTCTCTAAAAAAAATTTAAAAAAATAAGGAAGGAAGGAAGGAATGGAAAATTCAATATTGGTTTGGAACAGGAATAGGATCTTGGGGCGGGGAGGAATTCAATTCACTAGGCTGCCGCACCCAGACATCCGGATCCTCTGGGTAGTCAAGCTAGGGAGGTGGTTGACACAATGTCGACTCTTGGGCCCTTTTTGATTCCCACTGGTATTTTACCTTCCGCCTGTTTTAAAAAAGTAAACAGGGAACGGCATAGTAGCCAATTGACGACCAGGGAATATATTGAACGAGTTGGCTAGACCGGATCCACAGGAATGGATGAATCGCCATCTTATGTATCTTATTTCCCGATTCAACGGGTCCTGGATTCGTATGCTATCCGATAGCCGGGATCCTCATATATATGTGTTTTGAAAGAATGTGGCCAGGTCGGGAAGGCTTCCAGGCTTCTGTCTCTCTTATACGGGGTTGGGAAGATGAGAATGTTTATTTCAGTAATCGACGGCGGATGTCCCGTATGTGACGCAATGACGTCAAATGCCTCCGGCATAGGTGCATCTCTAGACTCTGTTAGGATGAGCATGGTTGCGTAAGCTATTAAACCTGGCCCGGACTCCGTGATTTCTTAACAATTTATAATTGCAAAGTTGCGAGTGCTTTTCATGCTGGCTTCATCCCGGGCTAGAGAAGACGAATATCATTGAAAGTCGCTAGTGACCCCTCGAGGTCGAGTGAACGGCACACTGGAAAAGAGATTGAGAGCGGCCGATTCCCGGGTAGGCAATGATACTGCTGTAAAACATCCAAGTAGCTGGTATGTCGGTTAAGTATTTGTTCATTGTAGTCCTTCCGAATGACATAGCTTGAGACGTAATATGATCAGGTATATTGATCAGGTTCCGATATTTTCGCCCCGTGAGATAGATCCAAGCGACCATTTAACCGGGGGGTGAGGCGGACTGCTGCCCTCAAATAGGACTTTGACACCGGATGGATTCTCCATGCCGAACTTCCTCAACTACATTAGCGCTCAAAAGCAATCTGTCAGTTTAAACATTCTTTTCATGGCAAGTCCCCGGTAAGAAAAGGAATGAACCGACTTTAGCAAACATCTTCAAAACAATTATCCTTACCCCTTCCTCGCCAATCATATTCCTCCTCCCCTCTGCAAGCCCGCCTACAACCACAATTCTTAACATCTCAAGACCACTGTCCACCCACCAAACATCTAGCAACGTATCAACCGTGCGCGCCCACCTACTTGCCAAATTCGCAATGTCAATCTTCAACACGACCCGTCTAGCCCGCTGTAGTGCCCCTTCGGAGATGAACATCGTGATATCCACCGGCCGCCCAAGCGCCATCGAGTAAGGCGGTGGCTCGTCTATGACTAACTCCTGCGCATGCAGAACAGGGAGCGCTTCATACGTTATCTGTCGATTGAGCAGGAAGATTGTTGGCGTAGTATAGCGTGATTCTGGAATGGAGGGAGACGGGAGCGGACAAGCATTATTGCACATGTCCCCTAACCCCATTGAGAGGGATGAATGGGCGAACCAGGCTGCTTCGTCCTGTTCGCATTCTCGACGCAGGCGGTCAAAGAGGCCGCGGAGGTTTGGCCAGCTTAGTGCTAGTGTATAGATTTCGTGCCGAATCTCAGGCGGGAGATCGAGGAAGGATACCGGACGGCGACGCTTGGTGGTCTTCTTGACGGTCATAGTGCCCATTCTCCTGGTTATTTTGATATCTGCTTTTGTTTCAGAGCTTCTGCTTCTCTTGTGAAATGTAGTCAATATATGGTCACAGTGGGAAGGGCCGGTATCGGAGCTGCAGCACTTGAGTCAATGTCAATTCTGGGCTTCCATTGATTGCAGGGGAGAGGTGCTAAGAGGTAACGATGTCCCCCCACAGCACCCTTGTTATTGAAGCAAGAATATATCCAACATTATAGATGGCATGAGGGCAAAATCTACACTATCTTGCTGGGTGACCTCAATTGAGTAGCGAGCGTTAAGGGGTTGATTCCTACAGGCATGACGCAATTGGGGCTATGCGCTAATACGGCTTAGTTTGGTTTGGTTAAGCGCGAGATGCGAGCCTCAGGGTTAGCGGGCGCTTATGCGTCAAACAAGCTCTGAGAGCCTCATGAATTCTTATTCTGACGTACTGTTTACTCTAATGATTTGGTCTTCGTGTTTCTTATATCATCTTCCTGAAACATTTCTTTATTCATATTTTGGTTGTTGTTACGCTTGATTATAAAATGGTGGTGATCTATGTCTCTAGATAGTTACCCTTTTTCTGAGAACCAATTGTGTCACAATTCCATAGTTATCAGCTATTCTTTGAAAGATGTACACCGAGTATTCTCCAATACGGAGTACAGAGTCAAACTAGCTCTGTGTATGATACGCCTCAAATGGAAGCCATCCTACAAGTGTTAGTGTTGAGTAAACTCTCTTCTAATACACTAAACGCACATCTCTAACCACACTCCTGCAACAACGGCGCAGATCAAACTGAAAACTAGGTACCTCGCCGCCAATAGAAGTGAACCCATTCAATGAAACGACTTCGCCTATGAGGGGATGGAACTTATGGGGTAGATCTGCACCCCTAAAATGTTTCCAAAATATGACTGGCTGTCGCAGGCTTTGAACATCAGTGAAGCCATGAGATTGCAAGATCATTCGGGCGTGCCGCCACTAAACTTGCGTCATTGAGCACGAGGATCGTAGGAGCAGGAGTACTCCGTTACTCGTAGTTATGATATAATAATAACTGTAACTAAGCCAGCTGTTTGATTCTGATGAGTTTTGATCGTTTTGAGTTTTGGATGATGCAAAAAGCGGAAACACTATAATCCGAATACACAGACGTCCTGCTATGGTTGATCTCTCCCAGCGACAGAACCACCGACATTGTGATTAAGAGGGGATACACCTAAAATAATTTCTATTACAGAACCGCTATCCAATTCCCCAAGCAATATGCCGGGTACAGGAGACCACGAAACTTCGGCAGCGCCCCCCGAACCCCAGGCAAGACATATAGTATACTGCGGAGGTTGGTTTCCGGTTCCCGCTTTCTCGAAAGGCTGCCCCGCAACCCCTCCCCCACGGCGCATAAGAACACTCCGTTAGATGCTTTGTATACTTCTATGGCACAATTCAACTAACTTCCGCTATATTGTCCAGTTTGCTCCCTTCCACCCGAGGTGCGTAACGGTTCTTCATTATGTAGGAATCCGTACTATATATATATGAAACTTTTGGCTTCGCCGCTGTATGGAGGGGTCCTGGATGCTAAGGATGGTGATGCAGTATTGCGAGTTTGGCGGGACAGCGAAGAAGTGCGAACAATGGCTGAAAGACAATCATTCTGATTTACATCAAACGTTATACTCTGCCGGTATGCTGTCTCTTGCATCCTATTCGGTCTCGGTTCTATATCCCGTTTCATCTACCCACGCCGAACGGACCCCCTCTCCCCTCCTCCTGCCCTTTTTTTTCTTTTGCCCAAACCACTCCAACAAATGAAGCAATCCCATCAGTCCGAAGTAAAACAAAATGTAAACAGATCATGAACTAACCAACCCTCATCCCCTCCCCCCTCCATAAAAACAGAAACCATAACCGCAAACCTAAACACCCTCTCCATCTCCGCCCGCGAACGCGCCGCCAAAGACGCCGCCAAAAAAGAAGCAAAAGCCGCCCTCGCCGAATCCCGCGACCAGGAACGCAAAGCCTCCGCCAAAATCCAAATCCGCCGCGTCGAGCGCAATAAGCGCAAATACGTCACCGTCGTCTCCGGCCTGGAGGCCCACGGGCTCGACATCAAGAAGATCTCGAAGGAGCTAGGCAAAAAGTTTGCAACGGGGAGTTCAGTGACGAAGGCTGTTTCGGGCATCGCGGCGACGGCACAGGGCGGCTCGGGGGAGGAGATTACGGTGCAGGGGGATGTTAGTGAGGAGATTTTGGAGTGGTTGGTGGGAAATTATGCGGCCAAGGTGCCGGAGGATAATGTGGAGCTTGTGGAGGATAGGAAGAAGAAGGCTGGGGCGGGTGGGTGAGCGGGTGGGTGGTTGAGTGGTTTGGGGGATTGGTGTTTGTTTGATTGACTTTTGTTTTTGCTCTCAGCTTTCCTTTCCTCCTCTAGATGGGAGACGGGGGAATTTTGGGTTTGATGGATATCTGAATATCGGGATAATGACTCTTCATGACGGGAATTAAAGACGCTGGTTTGGGCTGCTTCTGTTTTTCACATTGACGGGAATAACTAGTTTGCAACATATGGACGATGACGCCTGTTTTCCCTTAGTATTATTTTATATAAGAAAATAAACTACATTTGAAAAATATATTCTTCCTCCCCTCTATGTATAATGAGCAACGTTGCGTTTACCCCTAAGCACAACCATACCCCTGTTCGCCGTCCTAGGACAGACCTGCACGAAATTCATTATCAACGCCATAGATATGTCCCTAGCTCCGCTATGCCGAACCGTCAAAATGGAAAGAACAGCGTATATATACAAACCCATCATTCATTTTTGAACCGAGTTCCTCGGGCAAGTATCATCCTCCCTTCGGATCCCACCGTTTGTCTCAAACGATTTACTAACCCAGACATCCTCCACATCCCGAAGCCCCTGTCCAACGACCCCACACGTCGAATTCCCCGTCGACACATTCTTCCCGATGACACCTTCACCCTCGCCCAAATCCCCAACCCCAATCCCTGTACCTGCAAGACCCGCAAGACCCTCGACGGGCCTCAATTGCTGAACCGCCAACGCAGCAACCAACACTACCACCGCCGTCCCCACCACCGCCCAGAAGATCCTTAAGCGCGTCGTAACCCGCCTCTGCCACTCCCCCTCCCGCCGATCCCATGCCTCAATCTTGCCCCGCACAATCTCCATGCGCCTGTTTAGGGCCGCCGCCTTCTCCGCGCCAGCGCGCATGCGGCCCTCGAGGACTTCGATGCGTTGGATCTGGGCGGTGAAGGCGGTATGGAACTCGTCGATTTGGGCTGTGGTGTCACGGGACAGGTTGTCTGTTTCGCGGGTGAAGTCTGAGTGGAGGGAGGAGGCGGCTGTGGAGAGGGTGTGGAAGGAGTAGATCGCTGAGTGGAGGTTGGAGATTTTTTCGAGGAGGGCGTAGTAGGTTGTGTCCAGGCGGCGGGTTATGTTTGTGGAGAGAGTGGAGAGGTCGCTGAGTGTGGTGCGGTTTGATCTGGTAGTTTCATATGTTAGTGGATGTGTGTCTCTGTGTGCGTGTGCGTTAGTATAGGATTGTATGGGCTCTTACTCCTCTTCCTTAATCCTCCACATCCTCTCTCTCCTCACCTCTGCCATGGTGACATTCTCCCTCCGTCTTCCAAAGGGCAGCCTTTCCTCTGTAGTGCCACTGCCACTATCACTCGCCTCTAGCCCGCTCGCCTCAGACCGTTGTCCCGCAGCAACCGTGTGAGCGACACTAAGCTCCCCCACACCATTAATACGCGACCCCTTATCCCTATTTACGTACTTTCCAGGTCGTAAACTCATACTTGCGTGATCCCTCACAGTCCTTGGAAGTTGGCCATCCCGTGAGGCATGCCGTTTATGGCGATATCGGCGCTTCTCCTTCTGCTGTTTTGAAGAAACGACGGGTTTGCTGCGGTTGGGATCCCCGTCTAACAAACTAGGGTCAAGGCGTTGCGGTTGTTGTTGTTGTTGTAGCTGCTGTTGCTGGTGAGGAAGATGGAGCTGGAGCTGGAAGTGGGGGAGGGAGCGGGAGTGGGAGTGAGTAGGGAGGAGGCTCTGGTCACGATGCCGTAGCGAATGACGGTGACGATAGCGCTGTTTACGGGGAAGCAACGAGTCGTCTAGCAGCGAGAAAGGGTTATAATAGGGAAACTGTGTGTGTATTCTCGGAGGGTGTGGCTGTGGATGCAGTCGTCGACGGCTATGGCTTGCGGAGGGGTGCTTATCGTTGTTATTGATGCTAGGAGGAAGTATGGGACCGGGAGCTTGGGCGCTGGAGGGAGATGATGAACCTTGGGTTGGCTGGGTTGACAGCGGCGGTGCGGCAGAAGCAACAGAAGCAGAAGCAGAAGCAGAAAAAGACGCAGCAACAGAAGCTGGGGAGGATTCCGCTGTTGCAGATGGATTAGACGTGGTATTCATTGTCTCGATGCCTGCGGTTGTACTTTGGTGTCCTTGGTTAGCAGAAGCCATGCGGCAACCAGTTGTGTGTATCCGGGCGGCTCTGGGTGGGTTAGTGTCTGCGGGTCATTCCTGGTGTAGATATCAACATGAACATTTTATTCACACACTTTCTTCGTGACAGGGCGATAGTTAATGATGGCAGTTTGTTAGAATCATATCTGGTCTCTTTGCCTCGAACTTGTCTCCGAATCAGCAAACCTCTTGGCGGACTAGATACCTTGCATCCCTGTACCCTGCCATGCCAAGCTATACAGAGTATCACCAGCAAAATACGGGCGAAACGTGAAGAAGGCTGGGAGGGGGGGGAGACTGATATGCTCGTGGATGTGCGCTATTCTATTCGTTTTATTATACCACCAGGCTGGGATATCATTTCCTCGTACTCCGTTAACAGAAGCCGTAAAATGCTCTAACTCCAAAATAACAAAAGAGAAAAACGCCTTGGCCAGCACTCCATAAAACAGATATCAGGGAGAGAAATACGAAATTTTAGCCCAGCCCACAGATGCAACATAACTATGACCAAAAAACACTTCACGAATTGAGCAACTTATTTCTCTTCTCCCTGCGCTTGAGCCGCTCAACCCGTTTCCTATGCATTTTCTCCGCCATCTTCTCATACCGCAACTTTTCCTCTTTGGCAGCCCGGCGATCCCTAATGACTTGAATCCGTCTCTGCAAGCAAAACCAAGTTGTCGATTAGATATTTTCAAGAAAAGCAAATCAAGGAATACAGCAAAGCATTCCTGTCGAGGTTTGTGCTTGGATTGTAGAAACACACCTGTCGTTCCGCTTCCTTCTCATCTTTCATCTCCTTCTCCCTTTCCTTCATGGCTTCGCGGGCTTTGCGCTCTTCGAGGCGTTTGGCGAAGCTGGTTTGCCCTGCTGTGGGGCGGAAGGGGGTTTTGTTGTCGTGCCAGTTTTTCCCTGTGAATTGGGGAGCGGAAGAGGAATAAGTAAGAGGCAGCAATATGGGGAGAGATACGGGGTAGGTTCGTACCATTTTTCCGCATGCCTTTGGGTGCTTGGGATGCAGGCTCGGGGATCTTCACCGGAGTTTCGACGGTAGTGGACATGGCAGCAAAGCGAGTGCAGTTACTGCCACACTATAAAACAGGGCGTAGGGAGGAGTAACAATGATAATCCTAACTGACGCCTGAAGTTTCCAGAAACCTCCTAGCAGTTGTAGGTCTTTAGTGGCGTCTCTTTGGCTGCTTCTCCCATTCTTCTGTCGGGAACGAAAAACCATGTTTCCCAAGTAGGTGGGGATTGAGGTGACTGACTAAGACGGAGCGTGATTGGGGCAGATGGAGACAAACTAGACTGGACTAGGTATAGCATTATCTTAGCGTAATCAGATAACCGGATCTCGGCGATTTATTTCACCCGAAATCACGCCGCTAAACCTAATCCACTGAGGTTGGATCGTTTTTTGCTTTTTTCCTTCTCGCCGGATCTCATTCTTCAGCCAAAGCAACCGAGAACTGTGACTCTGATCCCCACCAGCTCCAAAATTGCGCCTCTGGACACACACAAATGCACCGCAGATAGCTTCTTCTAGACAACTCACATCCACCCTTTTGCAGCGTGGCTTGCCTGTTCCTCCCGTCTCGACCCACCTGTCTCGGCCTGCGTGTGTTCTCGCCCAATTTCTGTGCGGCCCTAGGTTCCTCCTCAGGCGAACCCATCATGCTCCTCCTCTCTTCTGTGTGATGTCGCTCGACTACTTCTCCTATATCCCTCACACGCCGTCTCCTTCATCTTCACCTAGCCCAAGGCTATATATCTCCCAGAATTATACAATGCTCTTCCGATAACACTCTCTCCCTAAATTCATTGTATTTTTCCCCTCCACTTCCTCTTTCCCCTCCCTTCCGTTCTTCTGGTTCAGGCACATGCAAAGCAATGGACGCTGTGAAACCGCAGATTCCGGGTGCCATTGAAAACCAAATGGCGGTGGAGCTGGCTGATTTTCCTTCGACGACTAATCATGGCGTGGAAGCCTTGAAAGATATCGTATATGGATCTGTAGGTGTAGCCCGTTTGTCTTTTTTCCCTTTCCTACGTTATATATCATATTCAGTATTTTGTTGAAGAACAAAGAAAGACGAACACCTGAAAATCTGTCTTGTCTAAACTCTCACTGATTCTAAAACCACATAGACCGCAGGAATCGCTGGAAAATTCGTCGAATACCCTTTCGATACCGTCAAAGTCCGTCTTCAATCCCAGCCCGCCGGCCTCCCACTACTATACAAGGGCCCCATCGACTGTTTTCGCCAATCCTTCCAGGCCGCTGGAATCAATGGCTTGTATAGGGGTATCAGCGCACCCCTCGTCGGCGCAGCGGTTGAGACAAGCAGCCTCTTCTTCAGCTACCGTGTAACACAAGACTTTCTTAAATCGACACTATATGCCTCGGAGTCCCGCGATGGCGAATCTGTAGCTGCAGTGGAACTGCCGCAGTCCGCATTACTCATCTGCGGTGCGGCGTCGGGGGCTTTCACATCGCTCCTCCTCACGCCTGTGGAACTCATCAAGTGCAAGATGCAAGTTCCTGCTGGGAGCAGCGGGGCCATTTCGAGCTCGGGCTCACTCGTGTCCAATCAAAAAGCCCCTGGCCCCATCGCTCTAATCGCAGCGGTGTTCCGGCACGAGGGGCTTCTCGGCTTCTGGCGCGGGCAGATGGGCACCCTCATTCGTGAAACGGGCGGTTCGGCGGCGTGGTTTGGTAGCTATGAGGGTGTGCTGGCTTTTTTCAAGAAATATAACGCTTCGAAGGCTGCTACTGCTGCAACCACTGCTGGTACAGGTACTAGCGTTGATGGTGTTGATAGCGCACCACTGGTCTACCAACGTCTCCTCGCAGGCGCCGCGGCGGGGATTAGCTATAACTTCATCTTCTACCCAGCAGATACCGTCAAGTCGCGTATGCAGACGGAAAGCATCACGCATGCCGTCGGAGGGGATGCAGCCCGGTGCAGCCGTCCCACCTTTTGGGCTGTCGGTAACGCTCTCTGGAAACAGCAGGGTCTGGCCGGGTTGTATCGCGGCTGCGGGATTACGTGCGCACGCTCAGCGCCTAGTTCGGCGTTTATATTTACGATTTATGAGGCGTTGAGGCGGTATCTTTGAGTTACATGCTGGTGCCGCTGCTAGCTCCCCCACTGAGGTACCGAGTTTCTATTGTTGATGAATATGACGTTGCTTTTATCTTATGCTTATGAGCATAATCTTATTTTTACTCTTATTTTTGTTTACCCTATGCCGGTCATTCGTTTTTACACGCAGCTTTTATTACCCCTTCCCACGAACGCTTACTTCATATCCCCTTTATACGCATATCCTGGCATGACCGTCTTATCCCTACAGCACATACCAAACTATATATCATACCATACATCCATGACACGGGCGACTTTTTTGGGGGGATAGGGATTTTTCTTTTGTTTTCCTCCTCTCTCCCGGGGCATATCGATCGACTGGGACGCATTGGCGTTACATGTTTCATGTGTGTTTCTCTTTATATATTCGATTTATAGACTTAATCGCGGATAAAGGAATTTTGGGTGCGGTTTCTTTTTTTTTCTTTCTTTTTTTTTCCTTTCTTTTATTTGTCAGCTTCCGGCTATTCCCAGTTCGGTCCCATTTTTAGAGACCTGTTTCATTTTTCATTTTTTTCCCCTTTCTTCTTGGAGAGAGTGAGAGAATGTAAGGATCAAAATAGAAATTTCATAAAGGATGTTTTATGATTTGTTGATGGAGCAATTGTTTCATGAGCACGCCATGTTGTGCAACAAAACATGGGCCAGACCACTGCACCGAATGGGATCAATCCTAGAGGTACGGATTAGGTTCACCGTCGGAAGATATTCTATCAAGATAACTAACTGCCTTACGGAGGAGTTGTAGCAAGTTTATTCCGTCTGATGCACGGCTTGTTCTCCGCTCCAAAATGACACGTGACTTGTCCGTTTTCGGAATTTTTGTGATTAACTAACTACTTTTGGAATAATGAGCCACTAACCTGCCACTAACCTGCCACTAATATTATCAACCAATAGGAAGCCTCAGATCTTCAAAACACTCAAAATCTCAATATCATTTTCATTTACATCTGTATTAAATACTTCTTCAATCATTATAAAACTAATATATTTAGATTCTTTATCTCTCTAGCTTTATTTGGTTCTATCGCAGAAACTTTAATGATATATATTTATTGAGATGCTATAATTTGAAGATGAGCTAATCGACACACGCTTTATGATATGGGGTCGTTTGATGAGATTGACCTCCGCCTTTTAAGCCTAGGGCTGAAGCATGGTAAATCCTGCGAGCGGCTTCTCGACCAAGACAACTATAGGAGTTGGTGGAATAAGGAGCGTATCGAGGAACATAATGGAATCATTTGGATCCAGGGTAAACTGGAGCTGGAAAATCATACTTGATGGAAGTATCTGTTTGAGGCAGTCGACGAAGCCAGGAAAAATCCGAACTCCCCTGTGATATCTTTCTTCTTCCATGCGCGCGGTGTAGAGCTCGAAAAGAAATCCAATGGGCCTTTATCGATCTTTGCTGTAGCAGACAGGATAGAATGCTGAATATTTGAAGCACCTGATTGAAAATCCCACAGATAAACGACTCGTCGAGAAGAGTGGCTGGAAGTCGGTTATTCTTGAAAGAATATTCCAGCGGGTCGTCCAAGGCCTCGGGGATCGGGAATTACAAACCTACGTTGATGCACTCGACGAGTGTGGGGACTCAGAGCTTCGAGAGATTGTGACGTTCTTCCAAAACATTATGGGTGGTGTGGCAACCTCGAAAAACCCGTTCAGTTTACGCATTTGCCTGGCGAGCCGCCCGTGTCCGACAATCGGCGTAATTCGAGGCACAGAGATCGTCCTCGACAGACAAACTCAGCTTGTGAAGACATTGAGCGATACATTAAATCCAAATTGAGTCCGATTTACAAAAACGAGAATCCCAGGCGGTTTATGCACCTACAATCTTCCATACTAGAGAAATCTCGGGGAATTTTCCTCTGGGTTTCTCTTGTTATAGAAATCCTGAATGGCGAGATCGTCGAGGATCGAGCCCATGATTTAGAGATATGTCTTCAACAGATCCCCGAGGAATTGAAAGACTTATTCGGCCTGATACTGCGAAGAAATCAGCATCAGAACTACTCTTTGTGACTTTGGGAAAGGGAGTTGCAGCACCAGAAAGAATATTTTCAGCACAGCACTCACTGGATCCTGTACGCTAGACGGCCCTCGGGGTTGAAAGAGTACTATTTCGCTGTTAATGATTATATTCCCGAACTGGCAGATCATTGGGAGCTTGATGAGGAAAGGGACAGTTCCAGGCATGTAATGTGCCGATTTGTAACTTACTCATCGATGGGCTTCCCGGAGGTGGTTAAGGCCAAGGGAAAATCCCAATGGATTGTTCAGTTTATCCATGAGACAATCCGAGATCTCCTCCTTAGGAATTTAGAGTCAGGCAACGAAGAGCTATTCAAGGCAAAATGCCATAAAGTCATCAGGGACCGCTGCCTGGTGCGCTCTCCGATATCCAGTCCAGTTCGACAAGTAAGCAATTCATCGAGTTTCTGGGAAAACGCAACAAGCCTCTACCGGGACCCGTGGAGATTCGGCCAGGTCCAGGTGCTTCTGAGGAAACGCGTCCCGGCAGCCTTTTGCTAAACTAAGAAAACCTAAAGCAGCTATTAGGCCAAAGGCTATTGCTGCTTCCATATGCCGTCTCCTCGATCCTTGAGCATGCACGTTTCATTGAAAATGAACCTGAAGGAGAGGCGTTTATTGATTGCTTGCCTTGGGACTGTTGGATATATTTCCAATAACATATTCGTCGGCCGGAAAGCATGCCGTTATGCATCGGGTGAGAGCTTAAGAGCTCTTGCAAAGAATGACCTGCCTAGCCTTGTTAGAGTTGCTCTAAGACGAAGCACGTTCTTCCAATGGAAAGTCCATGCCGTAGCATTGAGAGATGCCTATGACGGCTATCATGGGAACGCGTCCAAAATGCTGATGATGCAAGATAATAGCTTACGAACCAACTCTCTAACTTACCGCCCTCAACTTAAGTGAACTACATTGAGATTTTAACCCAAGCTGCTGCAGATAACCGGGAGGCAATTGTCAAAGTATTACTCGAGTCTGGAAGGCCGACATCAACTGGGCTCAACCCTTTAACTCTCACTGCGGAGATGCTTTGTTCCATGCAATGAAGAGGGGCTTTATCGCTAGTCTCAAGTTGCTGCTGGTTACTGATCAGCTTCGGGGTTCGGTTGATTTCTTTCTCAAGCCTCTAATCTTGGAAGGCAAGGATTCTAAGTTAAGGCCCCCCTCGTTGGCTTGAAGTATTCGAACTTCTGGTTTGCAGCAACCTCGTTGATTTGAACGTCACTAATGATCTTTATTTGCGATCCCCATCAGACCCTAGAGCATTTGGCATGAGGCCACCTCGGGTGGTTGAAGCTTTCAGGATCGAAATGCTACCCTATCTACATCTCGCTACCGAAGCAGGTGATGTTGACATGGCAGGTAATGTTGACATGGTACGATTGCTACTTGCAACTGGCAAGGTTGATATTAACGTAAAGGACTTGCATATCGGCGAAACAGCTATTCTATGCTGCTGACCATGCCGATGTGCTTGAAATGTTGCTTGTCGTTGGTGCTGATGTTGATACACGTAATGGTCATGGTCAAACAGCTGTAAACGTTGCTGCTAAACAAGTCTATGGAAATATCGTTGAAAAACTACTTGTGGACATTGATTTGAATTTCGTTAACGGACGGGATCTGTCCGACCGGACAGCTCTATGCTATGCTATTTACTATCAACATCAAAACATTGTTCAAATGCTGCTTGGGGCTGGTGTAGTTGCCGTTAGACACGATGAGGATCACCACAGAGATCTCTCACCCGCTGTTGAAGATAGATGGACATCTTTGAAACGTCGCTCACCCTATACGCCACCCCCCTCTCGTAGGCGAAACTGGGGCTCAAGTCATTGAACCAGCCGATTCATGAGGTTGACTGGACTTTAAGATCGCCTTTACCATCAGCTATCTGCCCAGGCAGTCCATGAACATTCAACAATGCATCCTTGCCAAAGCGCTTGTCCCTGACCACCTTACATCTCCTTTTCAAAGTACAATACGTATTTCCTATAGTTGGCCTAGCTTACAAGCCCTACTTGATGATGATGATGATGGTGATGATAACACCCCTAACTCCTAAATAACTAAACTTGCCATGGTCAACCTGGTTTGCACTTAAATTTATATCTTTCATGTGTAGCTGAACAGTTCTCCTCAACAGCACTCTATATTGCCCTCCAACCAAGTCATGATATTGCTTTATTGCCTTTATTAACATATTCTCTATTTAATGCTCGATTATCTGATGTTTCCTACAGCTAAATATGTTCATTTTTGGTCAATGTCACCCCATGGCTTTTGAAATCTAGTTTCATAGATGTTAACCCCATATTGCAGCTATTTATAATAAGTACTTAACTAAATATCGGGACCCACTGACGTCAAACTTGTATCCAAAGTCGTTGTCCAACTTCCAACTTCCGCTGACATCTTTCCTGTGATCTTAACATAAAACATAGTTAAGCATTGAATACTTATATACCATTTCCCAGACAATTAGCAGTATCCCTCCCCGCCGGACCAAACATTAACCTTCAGCGATGTTCACCCAATTATCAGCCACAGAGCTCCACACGCTCTCCTCGAAAGCTATCGCAGCGAAGGAAGCAGCGCATTGTTCGTAGTTCATTTCTCGTCTCAAGTGTCACCCATTTATACACACACACACACACATATATATATATATATACCTAGGCACAATTTGCATCCTTTTTATTTGCTGCCGTCGAATTAACAACCGATGCCAATATCACAGGCCCGTACTCGAAATTCCGCGTGGGCGCCTGCCTGCTCACGGACGAAGGGGAGTTCATCGTCGGCGCCAACGTCGAGAATGTTAGCTATCCTGTCGGCGTGTGCGCGGAGAGGTGTGCTTTATCAACCGCGGTGGTAGGCAATCGAGATTCTGCTCGATCTTCTATCCTTTTCCTTCTCTATCTGCTGTCGTTTATTTATTTTACCCTGTTATTCCCCACGCGATATCCGTTATATACACTAAAAATCTCGATGCAATCCCCGCACATTGATTTATAGGTAGCCGGCCACAAGAACTTCAAGGCCATCGCCGTCGCGACGGACATCAATCCCGGTGCTTCTCCGTGCGGGATGTGTAGGCAGTTGTATGTGTAACCCGCACTCCGGCCGTTGTTACAATATTAATCTTTGTTACATTCGTTGAAATGATACATTATACGCTGACCTTACTACTCCGTCGGGACCAAAAGCATGAGAGAGTTCTGTGCCCCTTCTTTCCCAGTTTACATGTATGGAGGGGATGGAACGTATACAATGAAGACGATGGGGGAGGTATGTATTACTTTGGTTGCTGGATCTCCTCTATTCCTCTGACATGAATTTTCTGTCTCTAACAGTATACCTACCGGACGTGTAATAGCTTCTTCCAGATTCTTTTGGTCCTACTGACCTTCCGCAATAATTGCAAGGGGTTGAGAATATTCTCGTTCTTGAGAGGTTTGGTAAGGCTTTATGAACATCGGTAGAGTGGAAGAGAGGGAGGAACTATATGTTCTATGATTTCTGCGTCAACAATGCTTCATGCTAAATGATAAGAAAGGGGCTCCTGTGGAAAATGAAGGGAAGAAAATGCTGAGGGTATGGCACATGTACATGTAAAAAAACGTTGGTAAAGATGATTCCAATTCCAGGAGAAGCAGGCTTCATTGAAGGGAATTAAGTACATTAATGAAAACAAGATCAAGACAAAGGAATATCTATTTGATGACTTCAATTGCATGTTTCGATTGTATTGCTATCTACGCCATTATTTAGGGTCGTGAACGAGTTCTTTTGCACATGAGGTTCCAAATATATTGATATATGATATTCGCAGATTTCTAGCTTGCCAGAGTATTTTATATCAGACCGTTTCAATCAGCTTCAGAGCGCAGGCCAGCTTAGAAGAGATATCACCAAGCGGGCAAGCAGTTAAGTAGTACGCACAAGAACTTGATTTCTAGCAGGCAATCAAGCCTGTCTGCCCCTGTCTTGCGAACACTCCCCGTTCATCCAACACCTGAGCTGGATGGCAGTACCCAGAACGGGCAGGGTTAGTTCCATAAGCATCCCACTTTTGCATCCCCCGCCCTTGATACGCCTAGAGCACTGGTGGTCAGTGGCAATTGATGTATTCAGTTTGGAGGCAACTCTAGGCCCCGGGTTTTAAATGGTGGAGAAAGCGGGATGACGCCGATGTTATTTATCTTCGTATCATTATTAGCGGGGCATCCCAAACGAACCTCTGTTGTTGTATCGAATTAAAATATCGAGGCCTACTATCTACCGTCCACGCATTGTTTTTTGTCTTGAACACGGCCAACCAAACCACCAAATCCATTGTTAAATATCATGACTACAACAGCACAACCACGATCAGGTCTCGGCCCTTTCTACAAATGTGACCCGGCCATGATCCTGGGTGAAGCCCCCATCTATCGTGCCAGCGACTCCACCCTGCATTGGGTGGACTGTTTCTCCGAACCTGCAGAGCTACATATCTTGCATGTCGACCCAGATACCGGCGCTGCACAGGGCAAAGCCCGCGTGTTAAAACTCCAGGACAGCGTCTCAGTTGCGTGTTTCCGCCAAGGGAAACCTGGCAGTTACATCGCGGGCTACTATCAGGGCATATGCTTTATTGACGAGGAGACGGGGAAGTTTGAGATTCTCAAAGAAATCGTCCCAACAGACCAGAGGGACGAGTTCCGCCTCAACGATGGAGGGATAGATGCCAAAGGCCGTTTTTGGGTGGCGGAGATCGATAAGAAAGCCATGGCGTATGGGGTGGGCAAGCTGCCGGCCAGTTATGGCGAACCTCAGGGTAAAGTGTGGCGGTACGACCCCGACGGAAGCCTGCAGTCGATGGACAAGGGGTTTATCTGTGGGAATGGGTTGGCATGGAGTCCAGATAATAAGACAAGTATGCAGGCAATCTATCGAATTCCGGTGAAATTGTTGTTATTATTCACATGAGAACTCCACCCTTGATATCGTTTGCACTGCAGCTGATGTGGATTGAAAAAATGGAAATCAGTGTATATCAACGACTCCGTAGGTATGCTTACATATGCCTATGACTTCGACCTTGAATCTGGAAGCATCTCCAACAAGCGCATTTTCATCGACCATCGAGCTGCGACTGGAGAGCCAGATGGTATGGTTGTAGAGTATGTCAGGCACTTTTATCTCCCCCAGCCCCCTTCCCCCCCCCCCCCAATCCCTACTTCTAAAAGGGTCTGAGATTGGTCTCCCTTATTTAAGACAAAACTCTAAGCCTTACCCTTCTATATAGCACGCAAGGAAACCTCTGGGTAGGCGTCTACAACGCCGGCCGCATCATGGTCTTCAGCCCAGATGGCAAACGTCGCAAAGACATCCCCTTGACCGCACGAAACGTGACCTGCACAACCTGGGGAGGGTGCAACTGGGACCTCATCTTCGCCACGACGGCGCAAAATCCCGATGCGCAGGGGTCCGAGGTGGACGATGGCGGGCATATGTTTTTGTATAAACCCGAGGACGGGAGTAAGGGCCAGGCGAAGCTGGAGTTTGCGGGCTGATATACGGTTAGCTAGCTCTGTTTGACCCCTGAATGGTTTATTGAGCAGCTGATAGGTACAGTTGAGTATTTTGCTCTTCATGTTATTAGAATGGAGGGATCGGGGATTTATCCTGGCTTGATTTTAATTTCAACCCGCACCCTACTAGGATTTAACACCGGAATTCAAGAAAGGGGGAGCAGAAGAACATTTCTAGGAAAGGATAAAGCAGCAATCGGTGCAGAGCATATATGCTAGGGGATGGCAATATCCTAGGGCTGAACATCATTTTCAAAATATGACTAGTATTGTGTACAAAGTTATTATAATAGCTCAGAAGCATGAATTTTAAAAATCCGTTAAGTGTAGTACATAGTATCAATGACATATAAGAACCTCAGCAAACAAAAATGCCAAAATGGAAGAAGAAGAAGAAATGAATGATATAGCTTTATTTACATGCGTAAGTTTTCATCTAAAATAATCTCATTCTCATTTCCCAGTTCCATCAAAGAGGGAGAAGAAAAAGAAGAAAAAAATGGTTAAGAGAGCAAATGATGAACAGCAAAAAAGAGGATCGCTCATACACGCCAACACCCCCCCCCCCCCCCCAAAAAAAAAAAAAAAATAAAAATAAAAATAAAAATAAAAAAAATAAAAAATAAAAAATAAAAAAAAATAAAAAAAAAAAAAGAAGAAGAAAAGGTATTTTTCTTAAATCAGACCTGACCATTTCTCTCCTCGCCCTCCTCGTCATCCTCCAAATCATCAGTCCCAAGCAGCTCATCCTCATCATCCACAACACCCACATAATCGCCTCTCCGCGCCGCAAAGGCGCCCCTGGAAGAATACGGTTGTCGCGAAGAACCACTGCCAGGCACACGAATATACCCACCGAGGCTACGCCAGAGGCTCGATACTAGAAGTGGCAGCGCAGTAGCCACTGCGACAATACCCGCCACGATCGTCACAGGAATCGATATGAGAGGGGAATCGCGGTCGAAAAATCCTCCAGAACCCGTCTCGCCCAGACGGATGCGGCCGAATTTCCCATCCCAGTGCTGATAGACGTAATATCCAACAGCGGCAGCGAGGCCGATGGGGATGACGATGGCGAAGAAAAGACCGATGCCGCGCAGGCGCGGGTGTTTCTTCTCGAATTCCTCTTCCTTGTTCGGGCAAGGGTGGGCGATGATATGGTTGAGCTGCTTGCCACCTTGGCACTTGGTTAGGGGGATGCGCCGGTAGCCAGTTGGTTCATACCATTCGATGGCTTTGGGATCCTCGGTACAGACGAGTTTCGGGTCAAGGGGCTCGAGGCCAGGGACTCGCGCACAGGTACCGTCGGTTTGCGGCTCGTAGTTGTAGTCACTGCAGAGGGCAAAGTCAGTTCTGTTCCGTCATAGGCACACCATTGAACACTTAATAAACGTTGGGGTGAATTTACCATTCATAATCCGATCGTGTGCATTCGCAGATATCACCGATAGAGTCGAGATGCTGTATCTCTCGACCATTATAACAATCCTTCTCGGGCCGTTTGCGATGGTACTTCGCTCTGTGGCCGAAGAGACATCCATTAGGCTGGAGGGGATGCTTCGGTTCCCAAAGATAGTAGTCATCTGCCTCCGGCTTCTCTTCATTCAAAACGCACTGCTTGGATCGCTCTTTTAATCCTGAGAAGTCTATATTGACAGTGGCCAGGCCAGGTTTCTTCCCTTGTCCGACTTCATTTCCCCAGAGCAGGAAATTACGAGAAGTATCTGAGGGTACGGTAGATATATCCCGAATCTGCATCTCAACTTCTGAAAACTGGTACTCCTTCCAGCTCCTCCCTTCGTCGAGAGAATACAGGAGCGTTTTTGTTGGTGTGGACTCGGGTACGAGGACGATGATGGACCCACTGTCGCCATATTCCCATTGATATTTGCCCTTCTTCGCCTCTTCCCAGCTGATACCAGCATCTCGAGTGATAAATGTATCAGCACTGCTTTTAGGTGTCAAATACTCGCCTACATTGCCCGTTCCTATCATAATGCCAACCGCCCCGGGTGACGAGTATGTATCTCGGGGATCGACCCGCTCGGTATAACTGTGGAGGTGCAAGGCGCATGCTTTGGTTGGCTTGCCTCCTTTGGTTGAGCAACCGTAGGCGCGTCCTTCAGAGTCCTTGCCTGGTGGGGCCAGAAGTGTCCACTCGGCGCCATCGTTGTGAGTAATCATGGTCCTATACTTTTTCGCGGCACCTTTTTCAACATCGTCCACGTTCGCGACGACATTAGCCATCGCAACGCCCTCCAAACCCTGCATCTTTTCAAAGTCGGCATATCCGCGAGAGTTCCTATTCACCGCACTCAAGCTAAGAACATAGGAGGTCCCGTTGCTATTGCTCTTTATGAGACTTCCATATTCGTGGTCCTCTAGATTATTGACGGTAACATGGAGGAAGGCGGCATGCGTTCTGCTCTCTAGGACGGTATAGGCCCGCTGTATCGGAATTTTAACGTTGGCAGGGAGTTCGGCGTCCGCGAAGGTCTTCCCATCAATACTAACACCAACGCTAAGGGAGTCTTGGGGCTTCTCTCCTCGAATAGCCACGATAATGAACTCTTGCATCGTCGCGAAGTCCAGGATATTGTTATAGTGGACTTTTTTCTCCGCGAACCAATCCTCTGATGAGATGAGTTGCAAATGTTTGCTTGAAGGGTTTTCATCCTCATATTGTTCGCAGAACACGATTTTGTCACTTGAGCCGCGGGCATCTCTTTTGATGAACTCGCATCTACGGACGTATCGCATGAGGAAGTGCCACTCGGCCCCACGGTTCGTAGTGTAGTAAGCAACAGAGTGGCACTGCCCTCCGCTGCCGTTGCACTCTTCGGCACCGGTCCAAATAAGCCAATCTCTCCGATCTGGGTGGAAGGATAGGGCTGGCAGCTTGTCTTGATTAGGGGGCAGAGGTGCTTTGAATTCTCTAAAATTCTCCCCACGGTCAAGGGTGTACCACCCCTCGCCGCTGTTTGTCAGAAAATACGCCACATCATTGAAATATCTATGTGGCTCTATCCGAGTTATTGTTTCTGCCTCAAAGATTCGTTTCCACCGCTTGCCGTGATCTCTACTGATAAAAATTTCCTGCTCAGAAGTGATCATGATGACAGTTTCGTCATCGCCCCTACTGCTACCTGTGCGTTCGAGGTAGAAGTAATCTCTGTAATTGTCCGCGGTGAAAAAAGTCTTCTCAACGGCGATCTCGCCAGCGGCTGGCGTTTTCATCGTATCCGAACAAACGCGTTCTATTGGTTTATCGAGTTCCAAACCCCCTTTCTTGATGCACGCGTCACCAGGGATCAGCCTAAATCCGGAGCTACCAGTATACTTGTCGTCGGGGTTTTTGCAGGCGCCCTCAGGGGCCAGTAAGCTTCTGGCTGGGACGCAGCTCTTTCCATCCTCGCTGCGGATGAAGTTGAAATCACATTCGAAATCTTCTTCGGTGCACTTGCAAGGCTCAAAGTTAGGAATAGGATCCTCAAACTTCTTCTTGATGAAGCAATTAGCATCCGCCTTTCGCCTTCGGTAAAACTGCTTATGGCCCATCAGGCAGTCCGGCTCCTGTTTCTCGTTTAATCTGGCTGGCCACTTCTCGAAGTCAGGATCCACACAAGTGCGTTCCTCCATCTCGGCAAAGTCAATAGCTATGACATAGTGTTCCACATCGGAGTCAGCTTTGGCAGATCCCACAAGAACAAACTTCAAGCTTGTCGAGTCAGGCATTGTGGTTAGAATTTTGGCACGAATTTTAACGTCATCGGGTAAAGGTAGGGATGCCTTTTCCCAACTCTTTCCATGGTTGAAAGAGTATGAAATCTTGTTTGTTCTTCCTTCATCGTAGACGGCGACAATAACAGAGCCTTGATCGCCAAATTCATATTTATGAGCATCACTCAGAGCTTTCTTCCAGTTGATCCCTGCGTCGTCGGAAATGTATAAATCGCCATCAGAGTAGTCCTTGAGATGACCACCTGTGTTGCCAACTCCCATAACTAATCCGGGAGCAGGGCTCGAGAATACACGGCCATAGTTCGTGGCATCGGTGACGGAGTGAAGGTGAAGGTCTTGTTTGCCAGCCTTTAGGGGCTGGAAAGTCCTCCCATCATCAAATGAAATCCGGCTGACAATTTTCTTCTCGACGACAGATGATTTTTCAACATCTTCCCAGTTTTTAACCGTATTGACGAGAATAATACCCTGTATCGTAGCGATCTTCTCAAAGTCGACCAGCCCCTGCCTATTCCGGTTTGTATGCTCAATGTTACGCGTAAAGTAAGTGCCATTTGAATTTGACGTGAATAGGGTGCCCATGGCTGACGAGTCGGTCGACACGACATCGACCTGGAGACTATAATTTGTGGATTCCAGGATTGTATAGGCGTCTTCTTCTATTCTTTGCCCGTCAAACTCAGCTCGATGCCACCCTGACGCATCATCTGTCACAAAGAGAGCCAGCTCGTTCGTCCTACGCGACTTCGTCGCAGCCAGTAAGTGCCGCTTCGCACTCGCAGTACGTATGACGCCACTCACTGCACGGCCGCTGTCAAGTCCAGCTTCAATCCCAGAATCATCTTTGAAAAACCGATCTGAGTAAAGGAGGCGATTGTCTTCGGGCCATTGGGAATGCAATCCTGATACGACGCAAAAAATCCTGTCGTTCACCTCCTTAGGCAGGTCGAGCCCATCTCCAAACATGGGTGTTGAAACGGCCCAGGCACAATGCCGTCCCTTCTCCATTAAGAGGTGTAGCGTTTGGAATCCATCCGTCGTGTAATATGTTCTCTCCACACAGTCGCGCCCGGAACATTTGATGCCCTGGAGCATTACCCTGTTCGAATCCTTGCCGTGGAAAACGAGTGGAAGCTGATATGGCGAGAGCTCCGCATCGACCGTAAACTCCCGCCAGGTCATGGCCTGATCGTTGGTGACCCAATGTTTCCCTCCCTTGCCCAATACGTATGCCTTGGTCCTATCCATAGGATGTGGCATGAGGGACCAGGCCTGTCCCTTCATCTCACCCACATCGACGATATCCCATTTGGTACCAGCATTCCTCGACACGTACACATCGCCGTTATTCCCATCCTGCAACATCACGACGTCCGAGTCATCGAAGTAGAATAGGTTGACGGGCTCATGTTTGAACTTTGTCACTGTTATTTTGGGACCGTCTGCCTTCTTTGCGCTGGTGAATGCGCTGGCTAGCAGCAAGCTGCCAGCAGCCAGCAGTAGCCTTCGGAGGATCATGACGTGCGTTGATGTGGTTAAGGCATCTGTGAGAACGAACCGGAGAGGGCAGGGAGACGCTGAAGGAGTGCGGATATGGATAAATCAATGCGTTCTATTGTTGGTATGCAAACGGGTTCTCGAAAGCTCTCGACCGGAGATAATTAAATATGTATTCTAGGTGATCAGGCGCTAGGAATTGGTGGGTACCAATGAGGTAGAAACAGTGTCCGGAGCTGGCTGGAATTTAAACAACAACTGCAAAATCAAAGCAATAATGTTACTAGAGCAATAAATAGATCAACCCGAAAGTTACAGCAGCTTCTTCTCAAGTTTCTCGTTGTGATGGGGTGTATTAATGATATGAGTGTTGACAATGTGTCCTCTGAGATGTTGTGGACGTTTGTCCGCCGTCCGTATTGTTTGGCCCAGCTTGGATCCCGTGTTCCCATCGCCCGGCTGACTAATAACTAGTTACTCTTGGGCATGTTCCGTTCCTGGAAAGTCTGCCGAGCTTGATATACATACATTCTGTACTCTGTAATAACCCTTCCATGGAATATTCCGCGCAGGGGAACGAACTGTTGGGGATGAATAGAATCTGAGAATCGTGTCATAGAGCTGGAGATTTGAATGATCTCTTGTTCAAGTCATCTATCTTGTTACCTGAGCATTGTGTTAGTGATTGAATGTTATTCTAGGTCAAGAGCATATATGGCACTTTTAAATTCCGGGCAAGGTCTTCCTTTGTGCGAGTACTAGAAGCTAAGTATAACTACTTGACAGTAGACTAAACTTGACCAGGACTAAAATATCAAGAATTTAAGTCCAACAGACAGTTGAAACCCAAGGGAACTGTCTGCTGGTTCCACTGATTGAGTTGCTTGGTTCTGGTTCCGGGTACACGTAGTACAAGAAATAGTGGTCTAGAGGCCCCTGCAAAAGTATTGTCTCACACTAACTTAAGAATTTATGCTGAAATATGCTTGCTAGTGTAATGAATCTCCAGGCCACACCACCTGGGATTTGGGTAGGTAGTGAGCCAGTAGGTAAGCTAGGGGCATTGGCCTCTATAAGCCCTCTGAGACTCCCTATCCTTTTAATTAAGAGACGAAAACTGGAAGACAGCGTAGACGTATATAGTGATATACATGTACATGTATATATATTGTCCAAAATGTTTACGACTGGTAACATATCTGTTAACACAGAGATAACGAGCGGATAGACAACCATGCTACATGAAGCGTTGGGCAAAAAAGCATACAGAAATTCGCACCGGCTGTTTGCCAGAAGCCGCTGGCGTCAGATGTATTTGAGAGTCCGCTTGGAGCAGAAGGGGATCAACGATATAAAGATCGGATGAAGGGGAGACACAACGAGAAGAATAGGGGTAGAACAAGTAAAACAAGGTAGCCACAGAAGGATGAATATTGAAAGGCTCACTAGCTTGGCTGTGGTAGAAAAATGGTAAATTTGCCAAAAAGTAATAAAGTATGATATAACGCAGCAAACGCTGGCAGAATAAAAAGAAAAAAGGAAGGTTAGCCAAAAGGGGCATAAACAAATTGACAAAATAGCCGGAACAATAATCCTGATCACGGTCCAGTCCCTCCCTTTGCTCGTTTTCGATTGGCTAAAAGACGAATGTGACATCAATTAAAAGCAACTAGAGCGCTAAATAACATTATGACTGTGGCCTCAAAATATCCTTTCCCTAGGAATATGCGAGGACAGAACCTGTATAAAAAAATGAAGGTAGATAGATTAACGTATAAAACTTAGCCTAAATGGGAGAAAAAAAAGGGGGGACCATGAGTCCACATCGTTTTCTGCAAGTTTGAAGTAATCGCCGTAAAACATGCTCAACCGCGCCGCTTCCGGAGCTTGCGCCACATCTTCTTCACCATATTCGTGTCTTCGGCTGGCGCATTCCAGATTGGGTGGTTTTCATCTACCGCTGGAAGTTCGGCCAACCGCAATGGATCATCAAGATCCGGAATGCTGTGTGACACGTTCCCAGCTGAGTCCGCCGTGCGCAAGTCAGGCCTTGTAAGTGTCATTTTTAGCGTCATCTCGCGGTTGCCAGGTGTATTTTGGGCATAGCCAAGCGGGATGGGTTGTATAGATCTTTGTGGGGTGGATTTTTCGACACTGAACTTCCTACTGTGTGATTTGCGGGGAGATGGTGAGGTAGTGCCGCTTGTTGTGGTGGGAGATTTGGTATGGTGGGAATTCGGGGAAGGGAGGGTTGGGGAGTCCATGGAGAAGTCGACCAGATCCCCATCCTCGTGGATGATGTCTGGGAACTCAACGGTGCTGGCGTCCTCCAGGAAGGTTCGGGCGGATTCGAGGGTTGTCCGTGGCTCAAGTGATAGGCGAGGAGGATGAATGTTCTCCTTGTTATCGAGGGATGGGAATCCGAATTCGATCGCTTCGTCGAATTTCTGTGGGGATGCGAGGTACACTCGTAGCTTCAGACGGGCTTCTGGATCTTGGTAGTATTGTGCGGGACTATCAAGAGAAGAGAGGGACCCTTGAGATATATGTCGCAGGATGGGTACGCTGGATTTGGGGCGAGAGAATGAACGTTTGTGAGTAGTCGACGGAGTAGAGCTTATGAAGGACGAAGGGACGGTGGAAGATTGGCTAGTAGAAGGGATTTTGCTCGATATGCTGTTTTGGCCACGGGTTGTGGAACTGAATGACAATGTTCGACGAAAAGAGGGCTGTTGGCGCAAAGAGGGTGGTCGACGCTGCAACCGCAGGCCAGAGGACCGCGACGAAGGCGCCGATCTGTGCCTGTTGGCATCCGTTATATGAGTGTGGTAGTCACCAAGACTAAGGTCAATTTCCTCCTCTTCATCTAACCAGCGGAAACTATCGTACAAGCTGTCGTCGAGGCCAATGGCAGAGTCAACAGCTCGCGCGGATGACGCCATGGAATCGGAAAATGAGAAATTGGCACTGGTGGGTAGAGAGCAGATTGATTCCAAGGACTTTTTTGCTTGGTGGCCGAGTTTGTACAGTGCTCTGTCCGCTGAGTCGAAAATAATGCTGCTGCGCCAGCCCCCAAGCCGAACTCGTTCTTCTCGACTAAAATGTTGTTGTTGGACCTTGGATGGTAACGAGCGAAACCAGTCCGAGTCGGCTTGAGCGGCGAGATAAGCAATCCGCACCGATTTCGCTTTGCGGAGCCGGTGAAATGGTCGGTTTTCTTTCAGAAGTGGTTTCCCTGGGTTGTATGGTGTTATTATTTAGGGGTCCTTTGAGCCAGGCGAAAAGCTGTGGGGGTCAAGCTCAACGCCCAGGATCACCGAATGGGGTAAATGTCGGGAAGGGGAAGGGAAGAAGGGGGAGACGAGACGCCAACCATCGCTGCTACTAGGGGGAAACTTACGGGTCGGCGTTGTCGGGGTCCTGGGTCTAGCGTTTGATATGCCGGATAATAATGAGAGGTCGTCGAACGGATGGGGGCGGTTGCTTCGGCCATCGTCGTAGGCCAGCTGGGTAAGTCGTAATTGTTCCAGGCGAAATCGTTCTAAATTAGAAAATAACTATTGGATTTTAGCGAATGAATGGTCAGTCAGCGAAAGGCCCCTTCGTCCCCTGGAAGATCCTCAAAGTTGCGGCCGTTTTCAAAAAGAACTGCAAGAAAAAAAAAAAAAAAAAATGAGACATGTGCTTCCCAGACAAGCGTCAGAGCCAATCGAAATCCAGGCGCCGCCAATAATTCAGAGCCCCTGGCCACTAGGGGCAGTCATTTCGAGAAGCCAAAATAGTTATGCAATATTTTTTGCAAAATATTCAACCCCAGGCCAGCAAGACTGGTCACTCAAGCGGGGTTCCATCCACGCCACGAACGATCATCTTGACCGTGAAACAATGACCAGTTGCCAGCTGCCAAATCGCACACACAGTGATCAAGCATCAATTACTGGCAAACTTCTGGGCTCGTCCAACAGAAGTTCATGACGCTGACCTGACCTGTCGACAGTCTGGTCACCGGCATAACTAGTCTCGAGCTAAACAACGCACCACTCGAGCGATAGCGTGAGGGGCAAGAAGGCCACAGAAAAACGGGCCCAGCGCAACACAAATCATCCCATTCATTCACGCTGGGGCTTGGGTTAAGCCAGTCAGGAGCGGAGTCTCTCGATCGTTACAGGGTTGGAATGGAGCGCGACGAATTGGCAACAGCCCAGCCAACAGAGCGACAACACCACCGCCCTTGCATAGCGCCCAGCCCCTAACTGTCGCCACCAGGGCCGATGCTGATCAGCGGTAGAGATAATTTATGACGTCTCGCACCTTTGGGTGATGTGAAAAGAATCGTAGAAATATTTGTCGTAGCAAACATTTCGTAACGGCTTGCTCTGTGTCTCAAAATAAGAATAAAAAGGGAAGATGACAGCTGCAGAGAACACTCCATCCCCCGTGCTGTGAAACGGTTCGCAAAACCCTCAGACAGATTTCACATCTGCTTTGGGTTGCTCATGGACGAGGGGTTTCGGTCCCAGCTGTGAGATTTAACCGCCGGTAAAATGCAGTAGCAAAATAACGGTGAGGGAGTGATATGCTGTACGTCCGCTGCATGGAGAGCGAAGCAAATCCTGCATTTGAAACCGCGAGCAACAAAGGACCACAGTGTAGAAATTCAGGCAAAAAAATATGAGCACGAAACAAACCAAGAAAAAAAAAAAAAAAAAAAAAGGGCTTACTTTGCGCCTCAGAGCGGGTGGTAGCGAGTAGAAATCATCCGGGTGGTAATCCATCGTGTAGTGAGTAGAGTGATGCTATTTGCTTGGGGCTATCTATTGCGCGAAGCAGCAGAAGGGGGATGAGGCAGGTAAAGAGAGAGTGTGAGTGAGCCATGCATGGACAGCAACAGCTAAGGAGCGAATTCGGAAGCTTTCAACATAAACAACAAACAATGATCGAACAATAATGAAAAAGGAATGAAGCACTGTGCAGAAGGAATGTCGGTCATTAAAAAGAGAGGGAAAAGAAGGGGGAAATCAAGAAAAAATCGAGGGAAAAAAAAAAAAGAAGGGAGCGCGTGAGGGATAATTCTATCACCGCCCATCGAGGCTGGAGGAGACAGCTATCAAGCTGGAACATAAGCCCTATTTCCAGACCGCGAACCGGACTGGTCAGTTAAAAAAGCAAAGCAGTTTACATGCGTTGTTAAGCTGAACCTGTTGAACCTGTTGAACCTGTTGAACCTGTTTTCCCACTGGCCGTTAGCCGCCGTGTCTTAAGTGCTCCCGTTGACAGATTGCAGCTCATATACAACAAAACAGCTTTGCTGGTTGGCCTGTGAGATCAAGAGAATATCCACTTGTGCTCTGTGTCATGGGCCTACAAAATAGTGGCCTTCATAGCATACGTGACATCTAAGGGCCTAAATAGGTCGTCGAGGGGTCACCAGTACAGTACACTACAAATCAATTTCTGTAACGTGGATGGAGTAAGTAAGTTAGTTATTTAGTAATAGGTGCAGACAATGTTTGAGCTAAAATAATACAACTCCCTATCGAGGGGGGGGGGTGAGATTCAAGAGTGCCAGCCACGAGCGTCGAGATGGGTAGAAAACTGGCTTTTTCAAGGCGATTGCTAAATATAAAGCCCATGGTTCTATCCTTTCCCTGTTGCTAAAATGATGTGTACGGATTAGACTTCCCTGCTTGCAACCATGCCATGCAGAGAACAACCACACATATTTAGAATAATAGACGCAGCACACACCTCCCTTCTGCCAAACTTGAGCGTAAAGAGAAAGCAGTTACCAAAGATGTATCTATCTTATAAAGCTATGGAAAACTCGGTACATACAATACACCCATGGATGCATCTCTCAAGCTTCAAACGAACCAGTCGTACAGGTTGAGGGATTCCAGCATTTTTGGATCCATCATCCCATGCCATTTCCTGAATTCCAGCACAGCTGCAGCTCAAGCCCTAAAACTTTCGTGCGGAGGATGAGCTTGATTGTGGAAAGCCGGTGTGGCTCAGAAATCCACCGAACTGGGTAATTTCTTGATTTCTGCATAAACAGGAATTTCGCTCTTGGTCATATTAATTAATGCGCTTCAACGATGCATCGCGTTCGGAGTTCAGACGACTCTGGTCGACATGCGCGCGCTTTTGCTGCTGCTGGTCCCTAAAAACTCCTCCAACCCCACCACCACAACGGCCCCACGAGCTAAATAATCTTCAAACGGCCTATGGAGTAAATCTGCAGGATATTCTTGAAAATCCAAGCGAGCAGCCTTCAAGTGCATGGGTGTCTAAGCCTTTGACGTGCCGGATTTTAATAAGTGGCCATGCTGAACCGGCCAGAATCTTCCCCCTCATTTCTAGTCAAGACCCTAGATATATGTCGACCTGGCTGGCGGGGCAGAGCTCAGAAAGAGAGGCACTAATTGCCTTTCAGCCTGTGTACGCTGTGTACTTACTGTACATGTACTGTACATACAACGATTTGCCCGGACGCTTCTGGAGGAAGATTCGTTGTTCGTGCAAACCCTCTCCCTCAGTCCTGCTGCTGCAACTACCATGTTGAGAAAATAAATGGCATGCCGCTGGTTTTCAAATAAATTTCGAATCCGTCTGGTCTGGTCTGGGATGGGATGGTTGCCAAACGGCACTAGGTCCCGTTAGCGGTCATTCATTGAGTTTCGATCTGTCCCTTTTTCTTTTTGACTCGTTCTAGTGGAAACTTCCCAGAGAATGGATGTAACTCCATCAATAGTCTGAAAGCTTTTCATCCACAAGTCTCGACCTCGACTCTCGCCTGCGCGAATTTTCAACTAGTTGTGGGCGATCCGGTAACGTTAGATCTCAGATCGCCGCCGTTGAGTCGGGGATAAACATTCATATTCCCCCCCTCCAACTTCCAACTTCCCCCGAGCGAGCTGAGCGAGCCTATGGCAACGAGCAAGGGGAACATGTGCGGTTTGAAGATTTTATACATTTGTCTTTTGTTTCATGAGAAAGGGAGTAGATAGTAGATAGCATGTGTTGAGCTACTTCTTTTTTCCCTTTCCAGATTCCAGGTTTATCTTCTCCTTTCAATGAGATGGAAACTCTTTTGAAGAGGAGCATATCAATATCAGATATGATATCCCCCCTTGCGCCTCGTATGCGAGCCTTCCTTTTTTTTTTCTCTTTTCTTTTTCTGTTTTCTTTTTTTCTCTTCTTTTCTTTATTTTTCAATGAGGATTCAGCGGCGATTATTGACCGAATTACAACGCGCACCGTTCATGTTCATCCCATATACGGCGTACTCTACCTTCCGCGATACTGCAAAAGCTACAACCCAGTATCCCCTTGTCTGGGTGTGAGGACGCAATTAGCACACAATATCATTAGTTGTAACAACTAAGCTGTTAGTTCAGAAGTATCAATCAGTAATTTCTCATACTTCAATCTGATTTATTATGTGACTCTTCTCTGATCTGCCTCTCCCTGACTTCAGCTCTGACTTCTTGAGAGAGAAATATAACTTCTATGGATGATTTTCAATTCTCTAATATCTCTTCTAAATCAAATTGACCTATTCTTTTATTAGATGGTATAAAAATAGATATATAATAAAAATAATCTATCAGTTCATTTCTGATATTTATTTCATCTTTAGAAAGTATTAAATTCAAATCTATATAGTTTCTTCAACATTCTTCAGTTATTATTAATATTAATTTAAGAGATTTATATACTCTATTCTCTCTCGACATTTTGAAGCCTAATATTCAGAATATTACAAGGTTTATTAATATTTATATAGAGATATAGATATCAAAAAAAATTCAGTCATTAATTCATAGAATTAATAGTTAACTATTTCTATAGAAATAAGCATCTTAGCTTACAACTCTACATCTTACTAATCTCAAAATTGGCATAGGTGGTGTAGCCTAGATTATCAATAATTTCTGATCTGATATTGCCCTTTTTCAAGCTGGCAGTGCACTCAGTTCCTTGCAAATTGCTGCTCGGGAGATCTGAAGATGTCATGGAAATAGAGTTCTGACTGGAAATAGTAGAAAATGGATAGGTTGTATGAAGTATGCTCAGGTGCTGTCACAAGTCAATTTTTTACATGAAACCGCACAACCTGCGGTATGGCTTTTGTACTCACTGATACTGGTCCCTATTGAGAGACTTGATGTCAATGGCAACCTGTTGGTAGCATGAGTGATACCAGGGGAAGTAGCAGGACCCGGACGTCTTACCATTCTTCTAGGGCTTTGGTATCTTGGGATGTTAAGGGCGGCGGATGACGACTAGCAGCTTTAATAGGGTATAGCGTGGTATATTGGGGTATTGAGGGTGGTAGGTGACGGGCAACCTCTGGGGTATAGCGGGGGGCTTAGGTTGTGTGACACGTTGGGATGCTAAAGGAATAAAATGGGGTTATGAAGCTTGTTTTTCTTTTCCTCTTCTCTCTCTCACATATTTATGAGCATCAGAACTGCCGCCCTAGTAATATTTTGTGTTCGGTTTGAGGCCCTGTTTCTGGTCCTTTGCCTGAAAATGTCATTAGTGTTGAGGAATTAGGTAGCAACAGTTCTAAGATACTAACCAGAGATATCCCAAAGTCCTCAACACATCTAGCTTCAATCTCGATCCATCTACGTTCTCTGATCCCAATGTAGGTGATGTCAGGATAAGTGATAGCAACATCAAAGTCTATCCACATAACCCTTTCCAAATCCCCAGGGACGATCATAATGTTCCTGGGGTAAGGGTCATTAAGCTCAATCAAAGCTGAATGAACCTGCTGAATGCTGGTGACTGCCTTGGCCATTCGTTCTTGACTGTAAGTGACACAATTCATCTCCATAGGATTAGGCAGGTATTCAATCAGAACTGCATATGGGAGATGAGCATCGCGCTGAAAGACATTCAAATGAGGAGCAAAGACAGCAGGGTCCAGGGATAGCGTGTAGCCGTAAAATTGCGGCACGAAGCCCCGGTCACATACGCCATGGTGTTTGAGGCGACAGTAAGCTCGGATTTCGCAGCGAGCGTGATTCAGATCACGTACACCATCATCAGCGTAGCCTGGGTCTTTATTGATGTGGAACTGAATGTTGGTTAGATAGGAAATAGCATGTACATGTATAAGAAAGTGATGGCAATGAGCCACATACAACTTTCAAAACGCGGGGCTTGCCATCATAGTATACGTGGAAGATAGACGAGGCTTCTGACATTTTTAGTTCCTTGATGAACCTGGTCTTTTTAGGGTCAATCTCAATTTTCAGACTGTCGTCAAATCCTTTCTCCTTCTCATAGATAGTGCCCTCTGGGCCCAGCGGCAGATTGGAGTAGAGTAGGGGGGCATGAGGTCAGAAATAGATATTATTCTAGCCGCTGGGTTGGGTTGTTGCATCGTTATTGTCAAATGCCTCGTTAGTGTCATCGTTGCCTAGATGCGGCCGGAATTAGGTTATTCCCGTTTCCGACATGCCAAGGCCTGCAAAATCATGTGATCAAGTCTCTGGCTGGTCCGTGCATCTATCAGGTTTCAACCTCTCTCTCCCTCTGCGATCATGTTTCTCCGCACAGAGTAAGCACGGATGAATCTATATGTCGATATCTCAACCGGGCGTGAGAATTCCATGACATATAATAATGTATATTAGCGGTGGGTGCTTGGTGGTGGTGGTGGTGCAGTGCACTTCCGTCATCGAGATGTAGAACAACAATGCAGTTGAATCCTCTTGCGGCTGGGAATTGGCCTGTAAGTTCCAGTGTTATGATTAGCTCTTTGAAGCTCCAATATCTAATTCAATGGAGAGAGGTTTAGATGCGTACATCAGCATTTTGTTTGATTCTCCTCTATTTATATATAGGGGAAAATGCTCAGTCGCGTGAAGCGCCCATGGCCAAGGCGCGATGGATCGCCATGGAGTTTGCATTAAAGCATTATTCAGGGGAGATTAAAAGCACCTCTTACTACTACGTACTTTTACTTCTCAATGTAATCTGAAGCTACAAATACCATCCATCGCCTTAGAGAGAGGAAAACAAGGAGCACAGGGAACATACTACTTTACTCAACCGGTGGCAGAAGATAGCCAAATTTATTTAGAAAGGTAGGTACACAAAGTCAATGAACGTAAAAAAAAATCCCTTAATGTTCAAACCAAGCCATTCGAAATCCATCTCACGTAAATACATAGAGTCTCAGCGATAAGCTCTCTCCCACCCTGTCTGTACACGCTCATCCTCCTTGCCTTAACGGACATGTAAAATCCCTGGTCATACACGAACCCCCTTAAATCCCACACCGCCCTCGAATAGTCGGATATTCCGCAATAGTCGCCCGAATCGTAGCAGCCATCTCATACCCGCCATACCTCTCCAGCCCGCCTTCCTCAAACAAGTCGCAGACGGACATGTACAAGGCCAGAATGCGCGTAGTGGTCTGCTCCAGGTTCTCCGCGGTCTCCGCGACCTCGTGGGCGGCCACGGTAGCGAGGCTGTTTTCTGCAGCGACGATTTCGTTCAGGGTGCAGCGCACGTGGCTGGCGAGGAGGGCCATCTGGACCTGGGTGGAGGGGGAAATGTCTGTGGACGCGCTGGATGTGGTGCTGTTGGTGGTTGAGGCGATGGAGGGGGCTTCTTCGTCGTCGCCGCTGTCGTTGTTGGTCTCCAGTTCCTCCTGCTCGTCGTTGTCGTTGGCGGGGACCGCGTTTTCCGCTTCCACGGTGTTGTTGTTGTTGTGCGTGGTTGCAGCGGTGCTAGGAACAGCGATGCTAAGGTCATTGAGAAAACCCTCTTCGACTTTGAGATCCTAAGACAAGTCTTTTGTTAGTGATGTAGATGGTTAAAAGAGTCCGAGTCGACTTACATTCACATTTGAGAGGTTTTGTTCGAAAGCAGGCAATGCTCCTTCGACCTCAGCATGTTTCTCGGTAAAAGGTGCAAATTCATCCCCAACACCAGCTTCTACCTTACTGGAGGATGCCATGATGGTTCTAGTAACAGTGGTGCCGTTTGTAGATCCTGAAATGACCGATGAGAAATCGCAGTCTTGATATTCAAAATTGGCCGTATGGACGGATCTATGCCAGAAATCAGCTGAAGAGAATAGTCCAAGAAGAGAAGAAAAGAGAAGAGAAGACAATACAAGAAATCAGATAAATATAAATGACAGCCATGCGGTTAATCATGCCCACAATGAGAATGAAGAAGAAATAAGAATGCGGCAATGAACTCATACATGCTGGTGTTGGCAGGATGTTTGTGCAGGCAGCATACAATGGAGAAATCATGATTGTGAAAGATTTCATGATAAAGAGCTTCTCAAGCCTCAAAGAAGATATTAAGTATACAAGTAGCAAGATTAAATCACCAGACCAGAGAATGTCAAGTTGAGGTATTCTTGCCTGAAGAACGCAAGAACACCCAGCATCTGCTGTAGGGATACCAGCGGCAAACATTCCAAAGAACAGGAGACACGAAAGTGACTGGGCAACCAGATGGATCGCTGTCCAGTGGTCCGTGGAGAGAAGGCGCCGTTTTCAGCGGGACATGACGAGACGCCCTGTAGGCAGAGAAAGAAGCCCTTCTCGTGGAGATTGGATTGCTGGGAGTGAGGTGAGTGTGAGAGCTCGTAGTTCAGGGGCGGATGTGAAAACAAACAAGCCATAAAATTAACGCATGGAAGAAAAGATGACTAAAGACCAAAGAAGAAAGGGAGTGCAAACAGAGCGCAGTCCGTAGAATAAAATAAATAACATTGGATCAAGAAAGCAAAGAGACAAGGCCCGGCTCGAACGCACGCCGTTCCCGATTAGAATTGGCAGACGAGTGCAGTATAAGGGGGTCAGCAACACGGCGCGGGAAGGACGCGCCAAAAATGGGCGGGCATTCCCGCAGAAACCAGCCGCGGAGGGGATATAAGACCCAATACGGCTCTATTTTCCAACGAGAGGGGTCGGTGGCCTAGTCAGGACAAGCCAGACCCGAGTCTGGGGGCGCGAAAGCCGCCTTCCCCTCTCCCCGCCACACCACTGCACCACTCGGCTGGGGCCAGTCAGGTCAAACCAGACCCGGCTGGAAGGCGCTGGCCCTACCCGACGCATACGATCGACCGGACGGTGGAAAACCCCCCCCCCAAAAAAAATACATCGGGGGGTTTTCATAGCATCGGACTGCCCTGAAACGCGGGCACTCCGGTGTGAACTTTTTGCATTTCTTTTTTTTTCTTTTTCTTTTTATTCCTCTTCTTTTATTTGCTTCTTCTATCTGCTTTCTTAGAAAGCATCTGAATCATTCTAATTATTGCTTCTGTCGCGGCGGGGATGTGTATTTTGAATGGGTTGCAGCTACTGTTGCGATGGCTGCGAGTAGGATGTAGAATATAGCAACTCGCGACGCTCAATACAACACGTAGTCAACTTTATACACGCCTCAGTTATCACTCTATAGAACAGATAGCTTCCATCCCATGAGAAGCAGAAACATCACCAGCAGGACGTGATCCCACTCCTCGCCGCAGCAACGCGAATACTAATATATATTCACCTGCGTGATGATTTGAGCTGATCTACTATATCAACTTTGATATAGAACACTTTGAGGCCCATGTGCTGTACATGGAACGCGAAAGTACGAAATGGAAAAAGAAAATGTCCACAGGTGTGTAAAGTAATAATTCACTGCTTGTGCTGTGCACCACAGAAACCATAACCTTGACATGCCAGACTTCAGTTCACTAACTGACTTTTGTTAAAGCAATAGCTGGCCATGAAAAGAAGACAGAAAAAATTCGTGGATTTCCCACTACAAATTGCTTCCTTCTCCAGTGCCTGGAAGGACAAAAAAGAGCTGAAACGGGTAGATAGCCCATCAAACAGAGCATAGGGAAACAAAGGGTATAATATGTACAGCAGAGAAAGCGGCACATCCAAGAAGAAAACATAGAATAGTGACTTCGAGAGAAGAAAAGGAAGAGATAACGCCAATCTGATCCCAGAAGGAGAATACAATACTTCAACAGCAACGGCTGAAGCGGTTGATATAGATAAACGTCGTCGTTTGGGAAAAACACTCATCACGAAGGTGCTGAAAAGCGCGCTACAGAGCAGATTCATCAAAAACATGATAATAACATCAGTTGATTTATCATGATATATTGGTGGGTTGCTCGTTTCTCTTCGCGGGAGAGGAAGGTTGGTGGGTGGGGGGGGTTTTTACTACTAGAGTACGGGTTATTTCAATGGTTATGCAGAGATTTTTCACCTTAATAAGTCTGCTTGTTACGGCAGCCTATATAAGCTTAATTCCACATAGGACACAAACAAAACACACTAGTACTAATAGAGTTAGTATACTACTATATATAATTTAGTAACTCCACCCCGCAGCATTCTCATCAGGACCGTTACGCCTGTAAGTTGCTGGTTTGCGGCCTCATCTCTGCGCGCGTGACATTTCTGTAACATTCTTCTAACGCTAGTATTAAGACCCGAGGACGAGGCTAATAGTTGCTTGTTTTTAACTAGCGCGGGAGCTCGACTGCGACGCAACTACGCAGCGTAACCAATTACTATGTGCATGCTTTAACATCCGTCCTCCCGTTATCCGTTCTTGAAAAGCTGGCAACCTCTTAAGACCAGCCGCAGTGGGTAATGTGATACGGGGAGGCGACGCACCTGATCATCTGAATGCTCTGTTGAACCCGGAGTGTCCGCTGTGTTAACCTACATCTTTCAAGCTGATAGGGTATCAGAAGTAGTTATGCGTCGAAATGATTGCAGCTTTGCGAAATTTAAAGTAGAGGAGTACGAGTACTTATTTCATATCCCTACCATAGCGACGCTCTTCTAAACGTACAGGATTATCTTGAACATCAAACAGGAAAATTAGGAAAAGTAAATGGTAGCAAGATTCCAGAGGAACAAAATGTAGTGTTTGGATTCTTATTAATATTGTTACTCTTTCTTTCTTTCCTTCCTTTAAAAATCAATCAAATAAGCGTTCAATAGATATGATATCCATCGTCAATGAGAGTAGGTCGCTGCGTCGCCACCAGTCGCGATCTGGTCTTTAGGCACACAGAGGTCGGAGGGGTGGAAATGGGACAATCGTCGCGGATTAAGGTAAGGCCCGAAAAATTGTTAGATGCGGTTGGAGGAGGTCCCGAAAATAGCTGTGTTGAGCGGGGCGGGGCGAAGAAGAAGGCGAGCAGGCTTGCCGGATCGTTATTGGATGCTACCTGTAAGAGATGCTAGGGGTGTTCATATTGGTAAAGGCACGGGAGGATCCACGGATACGATGCGTATAGGGGTTTACTATACACACCATGCAAAAAAATGGCCCGTCGCGAGATAGCTCGCCAGTTTACCTGTCTTACTTGTTCAATTCCGCTTCGGTTTCCTTCTTCACCTGGTCCAAGTCCATGGTCCTAATTGCGCGGTCTACGTCCAGCTCTGAACCCCCCATGAGCTGGAATGTGCCATTCGCCAACTTCTTCTTGATGCTAAAGTTGATTCGAACGTTGCCGACGTCCTTAAGATCAGCCAGCAGAGCTAGAACTAGGGAACTTGACCCATCCTTCTCGTGCTTTGTAGAGGTAAAGTTAGATTCAAGAGAATACCACCTCTCATAGCGGGAAATTAGGTGGCCAGCGCTGTCCTTGGTAATAGTGGTGCAAGTCACTCCGATGTCTTTGAAAGGGTCGTCAAACAACGTGGATCCTGAACAATAGACTCGCAGAACAAACCCAAGTGATCCTGGTAGCCAGACAACGCCATTGTCAGGGCCATTATATTTCGACAAGCTCAGTGCATAAACCGGCGCCATTGGATGTCCTTGTCTCGGCAATGAAAGGGCTTAGGATTTGTTGGGGTTTGTAAGGTGGTGTGCCTGCAAAACGGTGGACGAGGGATGGTATAAAGGGTCCCGTGGATGTATTCGAAGTTGAGATTGTTCTTAATTCAAGATGGAGGTGATAAAATGAGATATGTGTGAGGAGAACCAAAAATGAGACAATTCATAGGAAACGGCGTGAGCTATATATCCCTTTCACTGTCTCTAACAACTGGTTGATTTGTCCTGTGTGACTGTAGTGCGCGGAGGCTCCCGGTAGAATAGAATCGATGGAAGAAGCGGAAGATTCATTCAAAATGGCGCTCCATCAAGAGTATCAGTCAAGAGAGTCTTAATGAATCCGTCATTGATCTCAGGGAACTAGCGTGTAGATTTCTGACATTTTGCACGCAAACAAAGTCAGGTTTGGGTCATTGATAAGGGGTGATTCTAGCATCTTGCCATACACACACTCGTTGAAGGAGATTTCCGAGATATGCACTTCAAATGATATGACGTAGGTGAAACCGCGAACTTCGCACAACTTCTGCTTGTGGAAGACTATATTAGCAGTGGAAACAGAGCAATATCCGGCAAGGAGGGAATAGGAACCGGGAATGTCCATTTCTTTGGCAGTAGACCTGAAAACTTCGAGGGGGGAAATCAAAAGAATGAAGCCAGAAGGTGAACTGGAATTCTTCTTCAAGAGCAAAAGAGGGTGTTGGCTAGATAACCATATTTCCAAACATGAATGCTCTGCAAGGAGGTGTTTTGCAAGAAAGGTTTTGTTCCACACCAGGAAGTTTCTCACAAACGCTTAAATATGATGAAGTCGACCTTAATAGTGAGATAGATTTCGAGCCCAGCATTGTCACTCACTCACTCACCCTCTCTCTCTCTCTCTCTCTCTCTCTCTCTCTCTCTCTCTCAAAACTCCAAGTAGGAGAAGGCCGTACAGCGAAGGCTAAAAGCGTGTGATGCGGTTGGATGGCCCATATATCAATGTGTAGATGACATGACCCAAAAAAAAAAGAAACCCGCAGAGAAGGAAGGTACAGCCTAGCTACCAAAGTAGGTCGGCATATTAACCAACAGGTCGTCTGCAAGCTTTGTAGTACGAGCTGTGCTGGGGCCGGAAGAGATAACAACAGTAGCCTGAGATGTGTCGATGGCGATGAGTTCGGCAGACCCCTGTCGTGTCCCAAGGTTGATCTGCGGGAAGGCATCTGCACGTGATCAGCGCATCTTCCGCGATCATCGATGGAACATCTGCAAGCTCTGTCTCTTGTGATTGGGTGTCTCCTTGTGTATGCAGGATAGGGAGCAAGAGACTCGATGTTCCGGTTCAACGGGTTTGCCCGGCTTGGTTAACTATGCGTACGGGGAATTGTCGTATTTGCACAAACCCACCAGTAGAGAAACGAGGAAGTTTTCTCAAGAAGACTCAATGTGCTGTTATTATGGAAAAATGCGCGGGATCGCCCAAGCCAATCAGCAGCTGCTATATGAATCACCATTAATAGGTTCAGTTTTGACATTTGCCCTTTATCTTATATACTGCCTTGGAATAGAGTTCTGGGAGCATTGTCTTCTCCCTCATCAACTATGAGGGTTGCCCTTGTGTACGCTCATTTGTTTGAAAAGCCAACGTTTCCGAATTCAAAGACAACATAATGCCAAAGATTTCGATAAGGCTGGCTAAAGCGTTCCTTTCAGCTAGCTCATAGCAATTCAAGAGGTTTTTGCTGACCGCAGGACTGAATATTTCACTTTCCTATCTTGCCGTTTAGTTGGCGCTTTGAGAAGGCATATGCGTATGGTTGTTGCTTTGTATTGTTTTATTTGGTCATTTAGCAATCCACAGACTGGGCAATATAGGGGGGTTGGGAAATCATTCCCGATCTCATTGGGTTGCTTGAAATTTGGCAGCGCTTGGGGTCAATACACCATAGACGAGGGCGGGAAGCGGTCAAATAAACGCGTCGATATACCTATTCATCTCTCCCCAATGTAGGAATGTTGTTGTTTTACCATTCCTATTCGTCCACCTAATCATAGCCAAGTAACATTTGAGAGGTATTCATGTGAATATTTTGGGTATATTTTCCATTTTCTTATTCCAAAGGACGCTCCATGGTAAGCCGCGCTGCAGTGTAGAATGCGACCATTTAGGTGGATCCCGCACCGCCCATACCAACCTGATGAAACAGGTATTTCTGACAGCTCGTCATCCCTACACGCAAACCTAGAACGCGAGGAAAGATGCGACAGTCTCGTTGGGAAAGAATTGAGAGTAGGCCCTGATCTTGTAAATTGATGCTCTTGTTGATGCCGTATCTTGAAGCAGCCCTATGTATTCAACAACGCGTGCTCCGTGTTATTTTCTTTTGGGAGATAATAGAGGAGGAAATCAGGCGCTCATGAAAGTTGAAGCTGACCAGGTCCTCTCTTCTGAGATGGGAGGTGATTCCTTGCACTAGGCCAGTGAGGTAACTATTGTAGCTTGGTTATTTAGCTCCAGACTAGGCAATTTTCACATCCAACACCTAGCATTACAGCAACTATCAAGTCTGATTATTATTATTGTTATTATTTATTCCTTTTACTCTTCTATTTCAGTCAGAGACTATGCAGAAGACTTCTCTCAGCAACTTAGACTGAGAGCAGAATTTATTTTCAATCACCCATCTGACTTATCTTCACTGAGATATATACAGATCTCAAGCAGTCTTTACCAATTATATGCACTACTTTTAATTTGAAATCTAGTATGATTCTAGTTCTTTAATATCTTTAAACAGAACTCTTCAGAGAAAGTCATTAAAATAAGATTAAATTTGAGTGAATATAAAGATAATCGGCTATTCTGTCTCTTGATTATATGCGGAGTATATGAAGTGAAAATCATTTTCTTCTAATCTATTGATTAACTCTCTGTAGTCAAGAACTGATCTTAGATTGTGAATGTAATTAATACATCATGATAAAATCATCTTGTGACGAAGATAGGATTTGAATCTGTAACTATGATTGGTGTCTCAGAAGAGTCATCTCTCATAGCCAGTTCCACTACACTAATAATCATTATCAGGTCTTTGGACTTGTGGGTGTTGAAAGCAATAACAATTTGATTGCTAACTATTTATGAATAATATAACACTGAGTTGGAAGCAGCAATTTTGTGAGAGTTTCTGTTCTGATCTAGTTACACTCCAAGAGCCCAGGAAATTTGGCAAAAATGCTGCGTTTTTTTGGATCTTTTGTTCATATTTTAATACATATCAAATCAAAACAATGACAACCAACCTGCAACACCGTTATAGTAACTAGGCACACTTTCCCCCATTTAAAAAACATCATTCCCTGAAATCATTTCCATACATATATGCTTCCATGCTCACAAATATAACCAAAAACAACAATATCACAGACTTAAAGCAGATGCAACTTTTCATATCAACCTCCAAGCATTACCTTAGTGCATCTTTATATTTCAATCTGTGTTCACAAATATAAATCAACAAGAAGAGGGGGAAAAAGAAAGAGAAAAAAGAGAAAGAGAAATACAAATATCAAACACGTAAAGCAGATGCAATTATTCATATCAACCTCCAATCATTACCTGAAATACATACTAACTCCCTGTTAACAAAATAAAATTAAACAACAAAATCCAACACACAAAAGATCTATGTCATAGTTAGAAATTATCAACTATCAACTTCATATTACTTTCTGGGTTGCTCTGCAAACATACCTGTTTTTGTTTAAATTCGTACCAACATACAATCCTCCACCTGGCCAGCTTAGGCAAATGCCTCCAAGGCCCTGGTGAAATCCCTAGCGATGGTCTCCCTGAGAGACGGAGCCACATTGGCAAAGTCAGCTGCCAGCCTCTGCACAACCTCCTGCACAAGTTGTGCAGCAAGTCCCTGCTGGGTGGTAAGTCTGTCTCTGACAATCGTCGTCAAGGGAAAAAGGCCAAACAACAGGCCTCTCTTGAACACTTCCTTCTTGATGATGAGCACATCCATCATCTCGGTGACTTCGGGGTGCAAGTTCAAAAACGCCATGGCAACATTGCCAGACTCGTCGCTGGTGAAGTTGCCGCATGCCTGAGTCGTGTCGACGGCACCCTGGATGGTCTTGGTGAGGGCGCCAGTCCTGACGTAGATTTTCATTGCCGTGAAGATTCCGCCGGTGAAGTCTCGGACGGTAAGTTGGAGTTTGGAAACATTGTTGTTGATGTCATTCACCACATCGGTGACTTGATAGCCATCCGAGCTGGGAGCAGTGGGGAAAGCGCTGATGATTGCGACGATCACAAAGAAAGCAAAGGCATACTTGACGAAAGTGGAGACCCTCATGATTGCAAATGTATATGCTTTTGCAAGGGGTAGAATGATTTCGAAAGTAGATATTGGTTTGATGCTTTGAACACGAACTGGAACTTAGATCTCCAGAAACGGAAAGTTTTCTTGAAACGGACAGTATTTGGAAGATCGAGATCTTGTACTGAGTTGATAGTGGACTTGTATTGAGTTGGATGTATTGGGTAGTAGACTTGTAGACGGTTATGAACGTGGTGAAAGGGTAGAAAAGTACGGTTGCGAGGACGATGGATGGAAGAATTAGAAAATTCCCCCCGGGACGGAGGGGGTCCCGGGGGAGATATATAAGAGAGGAAGGACATGAGGCAAATTTGAGTGAACTCTTTTAATGTGATATACTTTTAAGATCAAACTGAATATGGATTCTCACTTTGTGCTCTACCCCAATGGTAGAAAGCTGATATATGTTTAGGTTTAGTTTCAACGTTCTAACAGTTGGAACGGGCGGAATATAGAGTTTAGGAAGGAGCAACTAGCTCCGTACCAATAAGAAAATGAGATCTATAGGAAGTAAGTTTAGCTGGACACTGCTTAATGTTGTTTAAGTTTTGCGGAGAATTAAAGTTTACAACGGTGAAGGCAAGATGAAGTTCTCAACAGATTTTATTAACATCAAAGTGCTATAAGCGGACGTTGCACTTTTTATAGAGAAGGTATGTTTATTATCCTCTTCGCGGAGCACTGATGAGGTGAGTAATCCAAGGAGGCTGCCAGCGTGTAGGTACTATGATCCGCACACATACACAAACACACACACGTCGACGGTTTAATCGCTACTTTTCTGGTGCATATCCCATAACTTTTGAAGATAAAGCAAAATTTAAAACCTAGTTCCAATAGGTTTACTTTAGCACATGCCCCAAGTGATTTCATGACTTTTTTGTGCCATCAGTGAACACGGGGGTGTTTCCAACAGTCATCCTGGCATGCGGGTGAACTATATTCCCTGGCAGCAGTTGGGCAGTTCCCAAAAGCACCTCTGAGCCTGTAGGTGACACTTCCAGGTTTCCTGTCCTTATAAACCTAATTCTAGTAAGTTTACTCTGGCACACATGCAAGTGAGTTCAGGACTTTTTCACATCATCAGTGAACAAGTTGGCATGCGGACGAACCATAACGGTGGTAACAGTCACCTGTTTGCCAACAGCATCCATCTCTGAGCCTGTCGATGAAACATCTAGGTTTTCCTGTCCTCATAAAGTTTACTCCAGCACACACCCAGGTGAGTTTAGGATTTTTGCGTCATCGGTTAACAATAGGCCCTATCCAATAGCCATCTTAACATGCGGATGAATCATAAGCTGTTGCAACGGTTGACCGTTTCCCAACGGCATCTCTGAACCTGTCGATGAAACTTCTAAGTTTTACCGCTCCAGTAATCTGTGCTTCAACTATAGGGCCACCAGCATCTGACTTTGCAACGGCTCTATGAAGCGATGCAAATACGGATGCAACTAGCTGGGCCCGTTGGACTTGAGCTTCCCAAAAGGGTTTCTGCTGCTCGGCATGGGCTAAGGTGAGCAGACTTGCTCCGCCAAAAGAGTCTGATAATAACTTTGAACCGGTTTGTATCTGGCTGTATAGAGCCATGAGCTGCGTAAGGCGAATCAGATGGCGGGTTGGTGTTATTTCCGTTCGCCTCTGCTCGGTGGGCAATACATGCCCAATGTTAATGTTGCTGGAATCGTAATATCGAGATAGTGTGTAAGTTAACGGCCTTTGCCTGTTCTGCCATAGCGTGGCATCCACAAATGAAAATCGTGTGGGCTGTGTCATTTTAATGGAGAGCTCCTGAAGTTTAATAGCTGCATATGCCACTGGGGAGCTGCGGCACTGGAAACCGGAAGCTGAATGGAGAGCTTGAGTGTTTAGCCTAGGAAAATTCCTCTTCTCAGGGAGCCGTGTTGGGGATGCGGATAGCTTTAGTTTCTGTTGAGGTACAGTACATGTACATGTACATGTACTTTGGGATAGCAGGGGGAGTGCGGTAAAAGTGCGGTAAAAGTGCGGTAAAAGGGCATGGTGATTGGGAACGAGTTATCCAAATATGGATACCAGCTGCAAATTAAAGCCGGCTGTGATGAAACTTCGCAAACATATTCCAGCACTGGTAACTAGGTAGTTACATCAATATCTGCTACATACAAACACCCAGGGTATGCTGTTCTTCTACAGCCATGAAATCCTTACCCTCCCTTGGGTCCATCAGTAATCCGCAGCCGTATCTGGATGGAGGGATGTCAAGGGGGATTTAGAGACATTTTCTCCCTCCGCATCACAGTCGCTGATGTTAGGGCTCGCTTACATAATCAGTCCGTCGCCTTTCCTGATTCGGCATGCGGCTCCAATAGCGCATTTCGCACTCCGTAGTTAGTTAGAGCTTAGTCAGCCAACATAGTTAAGGCCGGCAACTTCGCCAGCATCAAGATGGACAGCGACATCCGGAGCAATTTTCGCAATAATAACAGCTATCGTCCACCGTCTACCTGTCTTACCTCTCCTTTACGCAGGCTCTATCGAAGTACCGCCCCTTGAGCGTATCTCTACAGTGCGCAGTGGGGTTTTTATTTGCCCTTTCGCCGTAGGGAATCTTATCCGTTCGGTAGGTCGCAAATTTCCCCGCGCTGTTTATCGTTTCTTGCACTGTTTTTGCTCCACGAATGTGCGCATTTATTTGTTTAGCAAATCTACTACAAAGGAAAAGTGCTAGCCGGGCACTTTTCGTTAGGGAGGGCAAAATTTCCCGCGATAGCACTATCCACGGGAACGTGAAACTTTGAATGTGTTTCCTATATCCCGCTTTGTGGAGATGTGAACTGTGGTCTACTCTCGTCGCCAGTCCATAGACTCTATTCCAAGAGCGTTCAATTAGATGCTGGGAATGCTCTGCCGACTGTGATGGATATCTTCCATTCATTTCCATCCTGAGCTACAGTGGATAGCTCCACCAGAGATTGGCCAATGACATTGAATGGCACTGACAATTTTATGTAACAGCGGACAAATACTCCTTTGGAGACTCCAACCGACCCCTCCTACCCCATATTCGAACGAATCCCGTTGATCACGCCCCTCCTGTACTCGAGCTCCGACAACATGGACGTGAAGGAAATAGAATTCAAGTCTAAGGCGTTGACGAAGGCTGCGACGTCCGGCGAGACCTCAGCAACGTTGATATCACTGCTCAGGGAGCTACAAAAAGGTGTGCGGCCGACAGAGGACCTCCTGCGTTCTACAAAAATCGGTATCATTGTCAACAAGCTGAAACAGCATAAGTCGCCCGACGTTGCTCGTCTGTCTAGTGAAATCGTCTCGAAATGGCGGAGCGAAGTCAACAAGCAAAAAGCCGCTGCAGGTGGTTCGCCGGCCGCAAGCCGGAGATCCAGCGATTCGCCCAAACAGATTCCCAACGGCATCGCGCCACCAGCGCCCACGGCGTCGGATAAGCTGGCCAAATCCACCGTGCCTCCAGACAAGCGCAGTTGGAAAGCTGATCAGCTTACCATCACCCATACCCAAAATAAATCCCGCGATAGCTGCATCGGGCTGATCTACGACGGCCTTTGCCTAAATTCCACCGAGCCGCCGCGCATCGTCCTCCAAAAAGCCATCGAAGTCGAATTAGCCGCGTACACTTGCCTCGGCCCAGAAACGAAGGAACAATACCGCACCAAGATGCGTAGTCTGTTCCAGAACCTGAAAAACAAATCCAACCCAGGCCTGCGTGTGCGCGTGCTCTCCAACGAAGTCACTGCTGAAAAATTCGTGCGTATGACGCATGACGAGCTCAAGTCGGACGCACAGCGCGAGGAGGAACGCAGGATCCACAAGGAGAATATGGATAAGGCTATGGTTGCGAAGGCGGAGCGGAGTGTCAGTACCAGCTTGCAGTGCGGCAAGTGCGGACAGAGGAAGGTCACGTATACGGAAGCGCAGACGAGGAGTGCGGATGAGCCGATGACGTTGTTTTGCACGTGTACCGTATGCGGGAAGTCATGGCGCCAATAAGACGTGATCAATCTCCCTCTTTTTGATTGGAGCCCTTCGGAAACTGGGGCCAATCAGTACTTCTTTGTTTCCGATCTTCCTTTGTATTTTGTGTTATTTTATTTTGTTTTATCTTCCCCTCTAACTGTATTTATTTGTGTCCTGTCCTTTTTCCATTTCTACCCTTTTTTTCTTTTCTTTTACAAATATCTTGCCTACCATGCGTCATCTAGAGGTGGCATTCTGTTTTCCATCTTTTTATTTTCCCCGTCCACTGTTAAAAGTGGGCCTCTTTCTCATTTTTCTCATACTCAGTACTTTTTAAACGGTGTTTATCATTGGGGGGTGTGTTTTCATGTCTAGTGGGCGTTTATTTTCATTTTCATTTTCATTTTATCTTTTTCATTTTTTCATTGAACGGGTTGCTTTGAACATTATTTTCCTTTCTTTCTGCCACTACTCTCCACGGCACTCCATCGCCTGTTACTTTTTAATTTCTAGGGGCTCCGGAGTTATTTCTTTTATTTTCTTTTTTCTTTCCCTTAAACCTGCAACGGCTTTAGGGAGTTTTAATTTCTTCCTTTTGAATCATTTACCTCCCTAATTGATGTATCTGGGTATGGCCATATGACTGTCGTACCTGGAAAATGGTATCTCTGGAGGATGAACATGGTTTTGTTGGCTTTTGATAAATAAAGTGGAATAATTATTGCTTGTGTCGTATTCGCCTACTTCCGCAACTTGGGCTACTGGCCTGATGGACTTTACTTTTAGAGAAACTCCTACTTCTACAAAAGAAAGCAGGAAGAAAACCCACAAAGAAAGCGTCAGTGGGGTGGACAAAATAAAATTAGTTGGTAAATCTATCTTTCAAATATTTGATAATATTGCTCGCTCTATTCATTCCCTCCCTGAAAGTCTCTTTGATTCCCGCTCTGGGTTGTCATCCATGTGCCGTTTACGTACATATCAGATCGCATCCAACACCATGCTAACAAAACTCCATTCAATCAAACCCTCTGTCTACCCCTCACACACATTGCACATATGCCACGGACAGATTCACCACCTCTTATCCACTAACATCCATCTTTTCCCCAGCTTCCTCAACGCCCCTCTCACCTTCCTCCCCAAACGCATCCGGAAAGAACCCTGGCGGCGGCCAAATATCCGCAATCGACGGTGGACACATGATCTTGTTGAGGATCGTTTGCTTCCCCTTGCCCTCCTCCTCCATTCCGTCCTCCTGGTTCTGTCCCGGGAGCTCTTCAGCACTGTTCCCTGTGGAACTGCCATTGTCATGGTCGTTGAGGAGGGCGTCGTGGGATGATTTGTCATCGTATATGTCTATGATGAGCCGTGCATGAGAACTCTCGTAGTTGAGGGTGCGGGTTAAGAAAGCTTTATGAGGTTTAGAGGTGGAGATATCACTATTGTTTGGGTTTGGGCGGTCATGGAAGATGGATTCTATATCATTAGAAGCTGGAGGGGAAGGGGAAGCAGGAGAGGGTGATTTGTGATTGGGGAATTGTGGTGTGGCCTTTTGTGGTCCAAGCGTGTATCCATCGTTTAAGGGCTGGAGGTGGTGGTAGGTCTCTTTTTGGTTGGCTTTGCACATATTAGATATATCTGACCGTGGAGAGGGCGGCGAGTTTTCTCCTTCTCTTGTTTTTGACAGGTTTGGTGTCATCCATGGGATCTCCCGTGTTGCAGGGGTTGGGGATTGCAGGCCTGCCCAGACATCGTCAAAGCCCTGCGAAGAAGGGATGATGGAAGCTTCACTCCTACTTCTACAATCAGAGGCGCTAAACTGATCCATGGGTGCTCTGGAAAGGAGCGAGAAGAAAGTCAGGTCCTCTTCGTTTGGTTGTCGGGCGTCCGCGTCTTCCTGCAAAAAAGATTCTAACACTTCGAGAATGTCATACACGCTCTCACGAGGAGGAGGAGGAGGAGGTGAGCAATGTGGATGGGGTGGAGCTAGATTGCTTCTCGAGGAGGCTAGATGCAGTATTGGCAAAGAGGGTGGTGCTACAGCCGATGACAACTGCCTCGTATCCTCAACTAGCGAGGAATAAACCGGCCAGATTCCTCCTGCTCGGGATATTTGACTGGCGACCGACTCGAGCCAGGAAGTATCGTGATACCGTGATGAGGCCTGTGAGCGTGCAGCATCAACGATTATTCTTAGAGAGAATTCGAAAGGAGGAGGGAGGCAGGTTTGAGTAAAATTTTGTGACTGGGAAGTCAAGAGAGAGAGCGTGATATCCATGACCTGGCGAAGTGAATAAGACAACTGCTGTATATGGGGTGACAGACGGGTGGAAAGCAGAATCAGCGCTGCCATCTGGGTCCAAAGCAGAAACGTCTGGTGTGGTAGAAAAGACAGGTTTTCGCCCAATAACATCTTCTTGCTAACATCAGACAACCGACACCCTGGCGGAAGCTTCATTTCCCAGTGTTTAAGATTCCTCAGGAAATACTCATGTGCCATAGCAGTGACATCTGGTGCCAGGGGAAGATTATCCCAGAGCAAATGGAGGAGTTTCGAAAGCTCTAACAGGCGGTTGAAAGTACTGCAAGAGCGGAGAGGCCCACGAGGGCAAGAATTTTCCCCTCCGTGAAGCTTGCGGAGAAGGAAAACGTCTACCCACGGGCCCCATTCTTCGAGCCCATCCTCTTCCAATAAGTTGACATTGCGTATGGTATCGGAACGCATGCGTGGGCACCTAGCGAGCCGAGCAGATAATAAGGTGTCGAGGAGGAAACACCCAAGAAATGTCTCTTCTTCCTTCGATTTTCCAGGTGATTGTTTGCTTCTTGATGCAGCTCCCAGGCCCAAATCGATAGCTACGCTTGCAGCTTGTCCACAAAGAACCCATGCGGCTGTCCAATCCCCGAATCCAATGTTTACGAGCGTTAAGAGCAGGGTAGCCTGAACATGTTCAATTTCAAATTTGCCCCTCTCATCCGGTATCAAGCTTCGCGCAACCGCATAGAACCCTTTCGCTTCTTCGCCGGGGTTTCTGAACCTTGTTCCAGCAGTTGAATTTTCTTCAGTATCTGGTGGGATCTGGGCTGCAGTATAGCTTAGAATCGCCCAGAGAGCAGCATGATTCCCCGATCCCGCAAGGTTGCTTGCCGTTTCGAAAGTTGGATCTAAGTATTGGTAGGATGCCTTGAGAATTTCATGTTTTGCTAGAATGGGGAACCAGCTGTGCGTATGTGCAAAGTACATATCGAGGAGGTGTGACGTTTGAATGGGGAGTTTCATGCGAGAGTTTCTTTCTGCAGTTGGACTCGAAATACGAAACTTGACTCTTCGGGCGTCTGTGTCAGGAGATCGGGGTGGCTTATGTTGAATCTGAGTCAATGCCCATGGCAAAATTTCTCCAACATGATGGTCTGAACAGTCATCAAGTTGAGAATCAGACGCGATGTCAGATAATGAATGTTCAGGCTCAATACCTCCCCTATCTTCTTCCATACGCGGCGTTCCAGTAATAGTTAACCCTGGATTCAACAACAACTCTTCAACACTCGCGTATAGCTCGCTCGATTTCCATATGTCATGTAGCCTTTCTGACGCTCTTTCATTGTTCCACAAGGATACAAGCCATTGTCTCCGAGAGGATTCAGCTTCTTTAGATCCCAGCATCTCAAGTATCCCCTCCTCGAGGCCCGCGATATTGGAGATTGACAAAGCCCAAAGCTTCTCCAAGCCGCGGACGTAACCCTCTGGCAGCCCTCGTTTCTTTGCGGTCGGGTCGTAGGAACAATCATGGCCGGATTCTCGACATGCCACGCATGCTGGGCGTTGTCCGTCACAACGATACTTCTTGCCTCGACATCTATCGCAGGCCTTCGATACTCGCTTTCGCTTACTGCCGCTATGTCGTGTTCCATGATCCATATTATCGAGGCTTTTTTCCAGCCACAGACTTTGGTCTTGATCTGGGATATGAGACTTGCAGCAGATTGCATGTATAAACAAACGACAAATTGGGAGAAACAAAAAAAAAAGAAACAAAGAATGAAAATTAAGAACTGCCCATCAAGCGCAGCAGCGGTATTTGAGGCGTGTCTCCTACACCCTACACCCCAACAAGTTCCCTAGGTAATGCCTTGTGATTAACCATGCTCTCCAGCCACTTACCATCTATACTCCATAACCTAGAAGCTGCCAAAAGTCGTCCATACTGTAAAGTGACGGAGACTCACGCTGAGGCTTTCCGAGTGAGAGCAGAGGAGAAGCAAGATTATTGGCCCTCTGAGACAAGTTTAGACAGTTAAAAAAAACTTGAAGCCGGCAGGAATGCCGGGTTTCGGGCGTCAGCTGTTAGTTCCTGGGTATTTGATATCATCATTTTGGCTTTTGGCGCTTGGTCTATCAGAGGGATGACCATACGGCTGTAAGAATCGGCTGATGGGGGCTGGCATTTTCTGAGGGGTTACGGATACACTCCGCTAGCTTGGATAACTATATTGCGCCACCAAGGGGAACCAAGAGCAGAAGTTTTCTTTTTCTTATCTTTTCCCTTTTCTCGTTTGCAGAGATAAATAGTTAACCTTGGAACTTCCTTATTATCCAAAGGAACCATTAGTAGAAACGAATCATGAAAAGGATTGAAGTTCACTGTGACGTTGGAGCCGACGGTGTGAACGTTTCATGACTAAGCTCTCCATCAACGCCCTGGCCGTTCACTAAAGGAATCATTTTCCAATCACCAAGTCAAGTCTATAGTTATGTAACTACCAATAATAAACCTTTGTTTGGATGAAATGGCTAGTTAAATTCAATGCATGGCCATACACACTCCTCTCCCACCCACACTCGCTCACTAGCGATATTGCGACGGTAACATTTATATGGAAGGGTAATGCTGCTGCCCAGGCACCCTAATTGAGGGATATACTATATACATTTACCCCATCCCAGCGAGGCCTTCAACAGCTTATACGGAGACAACAAAACTCAAATCTCGCCACATCGTGGTCGTCGCACTCTAGCCAACCACCATCATATCATGTCTTGACCGGGAAAGGAATGTTTATCTCTGTGACCATAAACAGGGTATCTATCTGGGCTATAACTGGCAGAAAACCCTCCAGTCCGAATTCAAGGAATTGGTTCAGCTGGCGGTAAACGAATGCGTGGAAGGGAAGAAGGACCTTGGGGAGGAGGCTCGCTGGATAATCTTTGACAAAAAAGCTTTCTTGAAAGCTCTTGTACTCTCATAAAGGCTGTCGACCCTTTTGCAAGGGGAATATTTATGGGTTAATAGAGTTGTACATGTACATGTACCTGAGCTTGCCGCAGAATTACCGCCCCTTTGCCATGGAAAGTTTTACACCTCCAAAGGTTAATTGCCAGGCAGGATATCGAGCACCTGAATAAACATGAGTTGGTAGTCACCAATAATCAAAATAGACATCATAAAACATCATAAAACATCAGTCCTGGAATCAAGTAGGAATTTCGCAACCTGGGAAAATGGGAGTGTTTCACCTCATCTCATATTTATAGGCAGGCAGGTCTCCCGCCAAGAAATGACATTTATTTATTTAGCTGCATAAATAAATAACAGCTTAAATATTTCCCCTGCCGACGCCAGCCAGCAATTCTTCCCCTCCCCTCCCCTCTCTTCCTCTGCGTCTATCACCATGCATCTCTCCTCTTGATATCTGCGTTTTGGATATGCAGACCGGTTTCTATACCACTACCTTGATCGGCCTCGTGTGTTTTGCTCGCCATGTATATCCCCGACCAGCCCCAGAATGTCTCCTTTCCCTGGGCAACGGCCACCTCAGCGTGTGAACAGCGAGGATGTCCCGTAACAGATGCTGCAAACCTGAAAAAGAGGAAGAGAGATATGGGTAATTGGGATGGCCAGATCAACGCTAATATAGGCACTTGGTGGGTTTTTCTCTTGAATTTCCTTCAGTTTCAACCTTGGTTTTTTTTTAAATCTTTCTCGGTGACTCGCAGCTTAACATATTGTCTCTCCCCAAATCAGCACCGCTTTCATCCCCGGCAATGCTCAACACATCGAGGATAGATTTAGAAATGGATACAGTCAGTTCTTGAAAGATTCCTCGTCGGGTGCAATAGCTTCCAAATTTGCTCTGCGGCCCAGCCCTGAACGGAGAACACATCACTCCCGTCCATCCTGGCAACCAGCGGCAATCAAGCGGCGGCGTTTGATACAGCACCAACAAAACCAGCAATCACAGCAGGAATGGAATACTATTCCAAGAAACATATATTTAGGACAGAAGCAACATTTCTACACTCCTGATTCTGAGAGCACCTCGCCCACACTCGCATTAAAATCATCAACACCATCGCCACCGTTTCAAAAAGCGAAATCCAATACACATAACAATAACTATGACGACGACCCCTCGATTTCGTCCGTCTCACAAATAAACAACAAAACCACATCCCACACCTCCTTATCTCCCTGCCACATCTGCCACCGTCGCCCCACAACCCGTTCCACCCTCGACGCATACGCCGACTGCGACCTCTGCGCCGAACGAACATGCTACATCTGCCTACGTGAGTGTATGGTAGTCGATTGCAATGGCCCTCGTTCCCCTTCGAATCCAGGTCCAGGCTGTGGCAAGGATAACAATCATAATAATAACGATGGTGGTGGAGGAGGCAAAGCGTCCGAGTGGAGAAGGAAGACCTCACCGCCAAATTCCAGGCCAGGGCATGGAGACGAGGGAGCAGAAGAGAATGGTGAAAGAATGGGACGGAAGGTGTGTTCATGGTGTGCGGTTGAGAGCGTCCTCGACGGCGGGGGAGAGTTTGTGAGGTGTTTTGCGTGTGTGGCTGGATGGTGAACGGCCACGTACTTGGTTGGTTCATTCCCTTTCAGTTAGGTTTGGGAAGGGGATTAGATGGGAGTATGATTTTAGGGGCATGCGGCATATATCTCTTTTGTATTACTATGCTTTATGGCTTCTTCTTCACTGGAGGGGATTATAAGAGTACAGATACCCCAGTCTCTTTTTTTATTTCTCTTTCTCCCCCCATTCTGGGACACGTGCTTGCCACGACACTCTGGACAGCATCCAGGGTGATACATTCACTCCTTCTCCTTTTCTTTTTTCTTTCTTTCTTTTCAATATGATAGAATGCCAGCCACGCATCATGACTTCTTTATGGTTTGGAAAGATTAGATCATAAGGAGCATGATGGCGGGAAATCTCTTTTACATTGTTAGTTAGCAAGCGAAGTATATAGGTAATAGGTTTTACTTTTGTATTATATTATAGAACGTCGTTCTGGATATTCCATTTTTATTGCGCATGAGGACTCAGGTGCGGTGTGTTATGTGTACTATATAGCTAGTGTCCGTTATTCTATATACTCTTCTAGCTACTATTGACTTAACAGTCAGAAATAATGTCCTTTATACAGGCAAAAAACAAAAAGCCTGAGCCTGACGGTTTGCACCCCAAAACAAGCGAGGTTAAGAGGAACCCCTTAAGAATTCCTATAGTATTAAAGCCGGAGAGCGCCGCATCAGGGCTCATTTCTACCCCTATAGACTAAGAAATCCATAAATGGAAATTCTCCCAGGCAGCCGGCCGTCTGACCATTCAATATCTCTCAAGACAAAGCACAGAAGTTAATATGACTTAAAACGAGTATATACCACAATGCAGCATTGAAGTGGGGCCCACGCAATGATACTGACTCCCAGAGGAGGAAACAAACTAATAAATACAAGTAGACGCAAAAAGGAAAAAATGGTGAAAGTAAAAGTATAGGAATGCCGGCACCCCGCCCCAATCTATCTCCCAAATCTCATCTCCGCCTTCGCAAATCTCCACAGACCCTTCAGAAACTTCTGATACTCAACCGCCTCTCCACCCCCGGTAATCACTCCCCCCTTATTTCCCGTACAATAGATCTCCGTCAGCCGCAACTGCCACGGCGGATACCCGTCCAGCCGCACAAACGGCCCAAACACCATCAGCAAATCCGGGTCAGATTTCATCAATGCCGCCGTTGCCGCATTCATCTCTACGCCGCCCGCCGTTACGGTTTCCGCAGACGACAGCGGCGGTGAATCCGACACCGTAGTGCTGGTGGTCCCTGTTCCCGTACCGGTGGAGGACGCGACGCTATTCCGCTCGTCGAGGTGTGGATCTCCCGGCATGCCGGCTAGCGGTGGTGTAGGTGCGGACGTCAGCTCGCTGAGCTCTGCGTCGATGAGTTTGGGACTTATGTCTTGCGGGGACAGTTTGCCGTGCTGGGCCATTTCTGTGAGGGTTTTTGTGAGGTCGACGAGGGTTTCGCGTCCGTCTGTGGCGGAGAGGAGGAGGAGGGTGAGGAGGGCTGGGTTTACTTTTGAGGACGGCGGGCAGAGGGTTGGAGAGTAGATGGCGTGGTGCGGGGCGAAGAGGCGGAGGGTTGGTTGGTGGGAGGGGGGTCCGTAGTACGTTGATAGCTTGCTTATGACTATTTTGTGGAGGGTTGGGATGTAGGATTTTAGGATGCCTGAGTTGTTGTATATATGTTAGTTTGGTTTGGTAATTTTCTTCTTTTTCCTTTTATGTCTATTATCGATGATGCGGAAAAAAAAAAGGGGGGGGGGGCGGGAGGTTTCGTTTGAACCGCACCTGTCTTCTCATATATACTCAACATCGGAATGCCAGCGCACGAGCTCCAGGCCACCAACTCCGCCACCTCGTCCATAATCACATCCAACGCATCCTCGTCGTTCCCCAGCATCAAGACGACGCTCAGATGCTGCGGCAATTGGCTCAGGCCACGGACATCCTTCTGTATGAGCTCCGGTGTGCGGTGATGGTAGTAGAGGATGGCCAGGATCCGATCAATAATGGCATGATAGGCTTGACGGAACCGGATGTAAATGCTGAAAAAGACATGGATTAGGAAGTAGGTAAGGTAATGTAGTTTCGACTTGAGGAATGTTCGGATGGGTTTCTTCTTCTGCTTTTGCTTCTGCTTCCCATTCCTGGTGCGTGCTGAACGGATAACAGCTGGATCTGGGAGGTAGGGTTTGAGGAGCCGCTCACGCTCGGCGGGAGTGAGCTGTGAGGGATCGACTCGTGAGTTCCGTCGTAAACGCGGGTCTGTAGGGAGAGCCATGAGAGGGTGTGCGAACTGGTAAAGGCGACAGATGTGATTTGTTTAGGAGGTCTCTTTCCGGACCAACTCTAGGGGGTTTGGGTTGAATTTTCCGTTTCAAAAAAATAGCATTAGGGGTATAATTCAGCGGCCGGTCCCCATGGGTATCAATGCATATCGAGTTCAGGCTAGGAAAGAAACTAATAGTTCCTCCGTATTGGAAGTTGTGTATTTGAGCGGAGCTGGGAGAATGTTGTCCTTGGGAGAATTGCGGAAGTAGATATTAGTTATTTGTTTATTAATAGTCTTCTGTCTGCGCCATGTTGGCGATTTGCCCTTTGCGTCATTTCCTCGGCTGAGCAGCGAACCTGCGACACACGTCCTCAATTCTTTAGGTATTTAGTTTGGTGAAATGGCGATTTATTGAGGTAAAGCCCTATTATGATCTTCTTACCGGCTAACTACAGTCCGTATCTATTTTCACGCTGTTTTATTACCTTGATATCTTCATTTGGGACGTGGCAGTAAGTAGCATCCCTATGTGGAAATATAAATATACCATCTGCAACCTTCCAACGCGGCTCCGCAGTAGATAGACAGACGACTACATAAAACCAACTGCTCAGGACAATTTCAGTACACCCTGCAGCAATGACTTACTACGACTAACGAGCATCTTCACATCGACTACTTGAATATGACTAAAACGCTTGTTCCTCTTCCCGCCCACCAATGATCCTTTGACAACGGGGCCATCACAATGCCAGATACCGCCTCCTTAAATTCGCAGAGCGCCCGCTCCACAGCCACCAGGTCCATTTTCAACAAAGGCCCAACTTTCACTCTCGAAACTTTCTCCAACCGCGATTTCATTGTCAAAGACTTCATCGAGTCCCTCTCAGACACTGCCATCCCGGCGTCCCAGCGCCGATCAGGTGGACCTGGCGGAAACCAACCCTTCGACCCCAAACCCCTTATTCGCACCTTCGAACATGCTCAACGTCGCATGGTCGAGTTGTCCGGCGACCTGGAGCTACGAGAAAATGAGCTATCCGCCGCCGTGAGGAGGGCAGAGGCCCAGCATGCGCAGAATGTCAGCTCTCTTGGCCTCAAATTAAGCCAGACCATCGAGTCGTTTCAGAAGCTGGATACATCCCTCAATGGGCCAGGCGGAGGGGCTGGTGGAAATATTGCTGTTGAGACGGGAAAGAAGCTGGAGGAACTGGACCGCCAGAGGAGGAGGGCTTTGGATGCACATTTCCTGATCGAGTGCTGGGATGAAGTTAGCAACCGCGGGGAGTTGACCCTCTTGGAAAATCTAAGGCGATCGGGAAGCGGTGAGGGAAAGGTTAGGTGTGCGCATATGGCCAGGCAATTACTCAGGATAAGCAAGAGATTGGATCCGAAAAGCTGGAGCGAGGAAAATGGCAATCCCGGGATAAACGGAACATCTGTGAACGGCTCTTCCACCGCGAAACGTACTAATACAAGGGAGATTATCGAGAAGTTTTCGGAGACTCTGGAGAAAGATCTGCTGAAACAGTTTGATGACTTTTACCGGAAAGCCAACTTTGATGGTATGCGCGACTGTGCAGCGGTACTATACGATTTCAACGGTGGCGCCAGTGTTGTTGGATTATTCGTTAATCAACATCAGTTCTTTATTGACCGCAGCCAGCTCATTACTGAGGAAATTGGAGGCGATGCCGAGACGTGGGAAAAGCTAGCTGATCCCGACGCTGAACCGCCAGTTGTTGAATCTAGCCTTCAGTCGCTGGTCGACGAAGTCAAGGTGGTGGTGCAGGAGGAATCTACGATTATCAAACGTGCGTTTCCGTATTATGAGCAGGTTCTTGAGAAGTTTTTGCAAAGGATATTCCAACAATCTATACAGCAGCGGTTAGAAATGGTGTTAGGGAAGGCTGATAGTGTATCATCATTGGCGTTCCTAAGATCTCTTCAAACTGCGCGGAGTTATATTAGCGGCCTAATCGACGATATGAAGTCACACGGCCTAACGGAACATCCGGAAACTATATCGGCCAAGACTGCTATCATCTTGGATCAACAATTGGAAGACCTTTTCGTTCCCTATTTTGGAGGCTCGTCCTACATCGAAAGAGAGAAAAAAAATTTGGAGGAGCTTTACACCTCACTCATGTTCAAATTTACGACCTTCCATAGTCGCAGGAAGAAATCAACAGCCACATTCATGTCGTCTCTGGCCAAATCTGGCAGCGAACTCATTAACTCTGCCAGGGATGCGTATGTCAGTCGGCTCGATTCGTCAGACTTCACGCCCACTCAAAAACGAATGCTGCTGCGTGTTGCTGGCCTCAAAGACAATGCAGATTTACAAAAGCAAAGTGAAATTGAGCTTACGGATGAAGACGGCCGCTTAAACGTCGGCTTTGCGAAGCGAATGTTGAAATGGCTTGCTGAAGGGGTTGGGCGCGATCTAGAATTGGTTGTCAGCAGCGATACGCCAAAAGATGTTTCCGCACTTTTGAACATGCTTCTATCTATGATGGGAGAAGGATACGTCGAGGTTGCGCTCGATGGCACTCTCGAGTCCGCGTCAAGCCAAGAATCCTCAAAGACAGAACCAGACTTTTCGTACTTGGGCAACCTACGCGGTGCGATTACCATCACACACCTAATGATGACATGCATTAACGCCGTGCTTATTCCACTTGCAGCTGGGAATATTACGATCAGGAGAGATATGGAGAAAAAGGCTGCCCTAACAATGAACCGGATCGAGGATAAGATCAATTCTATCGAGCAGAAAACTGTAGACGTGGCGCTTTCCTGGGTTTCACGACTTCTTTCGGGCCAGAAAAAGAACGACTTCCGTCCGAAGGAAGATGCCGCAGATGGTGATAGCGCATGGCTGGAGATGCTGCAGACTCCCGTAAGTTACTCTTTCCCGTCTAATCCCTTCCCCGATAAGAAAATGCAACATTGGGTCCCATCGCTGACACAATCCTAGACGTGTGCCGCCATATCCACCTTCCTTAGCCGTCTACACACCGCAATCGTCACTTCACTCTCCTCCAGCGGCCCCAACGTCAAAATTTTCCTCACTGAAATCGCCCTCGGCGTCCGCACCTTACTCCTCGAACACTTCAAGCGCTTCCCTGTCAACGGGCCTGGCGGCCTTATGGTTACGAAGGACATGACCTGCTACGTAGATTTACTACGATCATGGGATATCGATGACGCTGTTAAAGGCGTTGGCGGCGCGCTCGATGTTCTATTGGAAGTTGGCAGTCTGTTCGTCGTTGGGCCTGAAGCGTTGCGAGAGAGGGTTCGGGCAGGAACCACTAGGGCGACTGGTAGGGGTGGCGCTGGCTCTGGGACGAGCAGGACAGGCGGATCCGGGACTGTGGCGCAGGGCATGGCGGAGGCGGGGTTGACCGTTCAGGAAGTCAGGGCTTATGTTATGAGAAGAGAAGATTCAGGGACGGTGGGGATGCAGAGTGTTTTTAATGCGTTGTGAGCAATGATTGAACATTAACAAAGGGTGGTTTGGAGTGAGCTTTCTGCTTTTTATTCACATTTGATTCCCCATATACTCTTTTCCCCTATATTTTATCATTTTTATCATTTATTTTGAATTCCTTTATAATGACCCTTGGAGCAGTTTATCCCTTCTCATTCAGATCCCTCTAATTGCCCATATCCAAAACGGGGGTAAGTGACACCTATAAAAATTATATCGAATTAAATAATCAAGTCGACTGGAAGAAGCCCTTTTAGCAGGCGAACGGGGAGGTATATGTGATAGCCTTTGGCGGTCTTTCCCACTGTGAAGTCTTAGGTATTCTCATTGCCTGCTCGGTAGTCAAGTGCAAAAGGTAACCAAAATACCCATATCGACCCCTGGACGGGCGGCTACTCGTGACACGTCCCGTTGACCGCTTGAATACTTTGAATGAGGTCTTTGGGAAATCAAAAGGAGGTAAAAAGTAGCAAAATGCTAGGTAGCAGCATGCATGCATGCATAAATAGATCCGATAATTCATTGGGACTTGCGGAAGTGTTAAATTCTTGCTATGATCATATATGACTTGCTGACTTGCAGGTGATTTAGAGTTCAGGCGGTCATTGGACGGGATCAATTGCAGGTATTTCCGAGACATCCCTTTTGTACCGTACACGTACATGTTGAGTTCGTATATGGTTAAAATATGGAAACGAATGAGTGGGCGCCGGGCGGCGGACATTCCTGTTTTTGTGCTCGTGTTTTTATATGCGCTCCCAGCAGAACCGGAATGACGCAGAGAAGAAGAAAGGAAAATACCTTGGGGCCGGATAACCTTGAAGATACGGCCCAAGTATGTCTCACGCTGATCTGTTTATGTTTGATCTGGTGAGGCTGATGAGCCAGCGCACAGAAATCTTACTGTTTTTGCCCTAGTTGAGTAAGGATCGAGTTCGACAAGCCTGGTTAGGGAATATGGACCCAAATTTGAGACGCCAACAACTCACGAATCAAGGGTATGGCATTCAAGCTTCATGAAAAGAAGGTTGCTGGTGAAAGGGGATTATAGATACGAAACGATGATAGTGATGCTGGAGAATACTTCTGATTTTCGCAAGGTAAGTCTTTTAAAGAATCACAATGCCTTATGCATTTATCAGATATTTGGGGGAAGTTTCATCCACTCTGGGTCTCTATCATGGAATGAAGGAGACGGATAATCCCGATTTGGGAAACCAATGGCGTCTGCTTATGTTCTTCAGCCGCTTCTCTCAGATCTCCCTTGTGTTGGCAACGCAGAATGTCCCGTAGAAGTCGTCGTACCATGTGATGAAGTGTAACCTATCAAGTGTTAAAATCCTTTCATGGTCTGCTAGAATGTATTTTGGCCCGATTGTACTGTACATGAATTACCGCCAATGAAGGGGTTGCCATCAACCTCAACCTGAACAGCATATTTCACCAAAAACGGTATAAGGGGATTTCGGCAGACAGTACGTGGTTGCAAATCTTTGCTGCGTCACTACCCAATGACCCCAGGAACCTTCGTTGGTGCCACCCGTCACAATGACACTAGAAGATCTCACATCCGCCCGTTATTGCTCTGTTGCAATCCCAACCCTAGATTGAGATAACATCGTCCCGATCGCTATAACCTCGTATTCTGGCTGACTCGCTCCTCTCACTATTTTCAGATCTTCTCCCGAATACGATCCTAGACGGGAAAGAGGAGAAAACAGGTGAACGAAAACCAGCTCATCAAGAAAACCTATATAAATCCCCTCCCCTAGCCAGGGCAAGGGTCAAAAGAGGACCACCCAACCCTAACCACAGTCTACCCCACGGCTTTCTCAAGAAGCGATAAAAAACCAAGTCTTTCCTTGCAACCAACTTCCTCCTCATTTCCAACGAAACTCCAACGATGAAGCTCAGCATCGTCAACCTCCTTGTCACCGGTCTTCAACTAGTCACTATTGGTGTGGACGCCTGTAAATGTCGCGAAGGAACTAAACAGGGTCAATACTGCGGCCACTGCTCCGCAGTGCTCGTTACCCCTGATTTTGTCTATGATCATGTGTACGAGTGCAACCCGAGCGGCGGATGCATGGATTATGGAAAGCGCAATGATTGCGAGAGGAGCAATAACCCTTGCCCATTCTGAAGCGGTATGTTAGAGAGCTTCCCCCCCCAACTCTTTTTTTTTTTTTTTTTTTTTTTTTTTTTTTTTTTTTTTCCGGATGGCAGCTTTCCTGCTTGTAGCACATTTGGAACGCGGTCAGGGTGGCTAATAATCAGGATCATACAGAGCCCCAGAGAGAAAGCTAGTGGCGAGCGGCTTTCGAGGTAATTGGAACAAGTGGATAGCTGAGTAACCTAGGGAGGAGGAACAGGATTGTAGGAGTATCGGCAGCTTGCGAGCCCAGTTAGTTGAGGGTTGAAATGCTGAAAACTGGGAAATCGTTTGATATTTCTTTTTTCGACTCGGACTTATGGTTGTTGAGAAGGAGAACACGTATCACTCAGGGTGATGATTGAAATCTGCGCTATCACAATTAAAGTCAAAGTCTTAATTATCCTATAATTGCCTATTCATACCAACCGTTGGTTTTAGTAGTACGTCAGCAGTGTGTGCTAGTTGAAGGCGAAGCAAAAAATAAGCTTAAAGATCTGCAGAACCCGCAGGTCTTGGCGCTGAGGCTCAACCTTAATTTCCTTAAACCAATCTTGCCAAAATAGAACTAGCGCCCGTAGGCGGCTCTCCCGTTAGGTATCAGCTCCACTGATTAGAGTCAGGTCCCCGGCCCGCTACCATTGATTCCAGCATGGATACAGGCCTCATGTTTACGGGTTCCCCTAGGTAGAGGAAGGCGGTTTCCCTTTCGCCCCATCGTCCAGTAGAACAAGAATAGCTATGGGACAGGCTTTTTCTAGAGTCAAAATGGCTGATCCTGACCTCGAGAATAGCAACAATAACAATGTCGATATCAATAAGCACTCCTCAACCTTTTATGGTATATCTTTCGGGTGCAACGTACATAAGCGAAGAGCTCAGCCAAGAGCCTCAGCATCACAAGCACTGGTACACCGCATCGAGATGGAAAGTCAGTTGTTGTGTTTTTACCAGAGCATAATTACTATGGTTATGATCATGATGATGATGAGATGAAGGCGGCTGTAGTGCGTGCCACTGAAGTATATGAGTTGTCTATGTTTGAGCCACAGTGAACCCCCGAGGATTGTGCAGTAGGTTTTAGTTTGAGAGGCCCCTTACATTACTATACATATCCCTCGGCTTGGTAGAGATGTTAATTGGCCCACCTGGATAGGTATCTTTGTCGACTTAACTCCAATGTAGCAGGATTCTACCTCGAACGCTTCACGATAAACTTGTCACCGTCCGACAGAGATAAAAGCCTCCTCGCGCTGTATTCCAGATGGGTACTCCAGACCCTTTCAGCACTGCACTATATCCACACCCATTCAGTATTTCTTTCTAATTTTGGAGCTAATTCCATCTGGCTACGAGCCGATATGTCTATTGCCGTAACTGTGTTTATAGCTACAGTCATCCCCACGCCAATTCCCGGATATGACGACCTTGGTGTTGAAACTAACAACTATGAATACGTTCTCCAGACGCCAGAGAACGCCTACCGCTCCGGATCTCTAGAGTTACTTGAGCATGGTCAGCCTGCGTTCGGCGCGGCGTATGATCTATTTGACTGGGCCACATTTATGTGCCGGCTCTTGACCAACGATTATTCAACCTGCCCTCTGCCGCGACCCGGCGGCTATCATACATCGCCTCTCATGACAATGGACCCAGCGTCCTGGAAGGATTTTAGCAATGATAGAAGGCCGTGGAAATACGAAGAGAAAAGGCAAAAGGAGGGCGCGTGGCACGTACTTGAGGAACAGAGACTCGGATATAGACTTGTGAAGCGTGGAATCGATAGTATGAGAATGCGAAAGAGGCATTGGAAGACGTGCAAAAGGTTGTGCAGAAGACGGGCTTGCTGCTCGTTGGAGAAGATGAGGTTGAGCTGGAAAAAGGCACTCAAAATGGGAGAATGTTTTTGATGTAATCAGAACGGGCGATGAAGAGTTCGATCAAGAGCTTCGGTTTGCAGATAGTGCGGAGGAAAAGATTGCGGTTTAACTTTCCTTAACTTCGCATTTATTAGCCATGGCAATGCTTTAGGAGCGTAAGCATAGTAGGTGTCGTAGTAACCCAGTGGTACTTCTTGACTGCGCGCATTAGGGCATGAATTGCCCAGCTACTCTATACCAGACAGAACATCAGGTATGTATGTACGTACACTAGGTGCAAGTACCATGTGTGCGATAACCACCCTCAAGGATTGAATTTTATCAATTTCTCTCCCGAATTATTTCAAATCCAAATTCGGAAAGATTTATACTGTTTACCACCTGTGTCTGTATGTACCTTAGCTTCATTGCTTCTTTCTATGATCTTAGTCTTTCGTCAAACGTCTAAACAAGAGAGGGAAAAAGCCCAATCGATCCAAAAATTCGAACCTCACACGTCCCCAACGTTACAAATACTCGCCCACTGGATGTTCTTCAGACCCTGTGGGACCGACAGTCCCTCGACAGTCCAACTGGCAATAGCTAACTCAAACACCCAGGCAAGAATAGTCTTCCCCCAATGCGTCTCCCTGCCCCAGATCGCATCTTCAATGACAGCCCCAACGCCATTCAGCAGAAAGAACGTGTAGATTCTCGCGAGAGCATCGACTGGTAATAGTGGCTTCAGAGCATACACGTGGAAAAATCCCATAAGCGCAAACGATGCAAGGACGCCAAGGGCCCTTGCTATGGAAACTGGCACGCCGTAGCGTTCGGGTAGAGTATACCGTATCGGTCCATATGCGAGCGAGCGACAAGGGCTGGCAAAAGCGCTGTGCCATGTTTCGCTCCAAAAGGTGCTTAGGGAAGTTGCCGAGTAAAGGGGTCCAAACAACGGGGGGCTGGTGTGATAACGTAGCATGAGCTGAAGGGTCTCCCAGATCACATATATGGCTAGTAGCACTTCCAATGCAACCACTGTAGGGTTCGATTGTGGACAGAGCGTTTGTAAGATGGCAAAAAGCGCTGCGTGGAGTACTAGATTAACCGGTTCGGAAAAGTGAGGCTTCCACTGCTTCGACTTGGGACTTGATCGGCCGTTGCGATAGTAATTTCCACCTTTCCCTTTCTGAGGACTGGGTGCTGGGGCAGGACCGAGTCGGGTGGTATTTGGCGTAAAAGATTCGTACCGCAATTCCGTCAGGTAGAGAAGAGCTAACAAGCCAGGCCCAGGTATTGGATTCTGCGCATACTGCGGCGGGTGATAACGTCGCGCGAATAGGTCCAGCGCTTTCATCACGCCAATGGCAACTATATGCAGGTCAGGAAAATGGTTTATTTCGATGCTGATACTCTCCGATGAAACGATATCAAGCCCAAAAACAATGAAAACTTCATATGGATATCAAAATTTCAAGCATGGCCCACTGATTTTGCGGATACTGCTATTGGCTAGGTACTTGGTATCTGGTAGCCTTCAATCGAGCGGAACAAAACGAAATATACACCATTCCAAAGCTAGAAACCAGAAGCCAAAAACCGCAAGAAACATTCTAGAAACGAAAAAGATGAATATCCTTACCAGCAAAAAGCTGTAAGCTCCGAATCATATTGCACTCCAACACCACCAAACAACTGCTCACAACGAACCCGACACTCGCCAACAGGCTCAGGACCTCGAATTTCCTAGTTTCGCGCTTTGCGAGCGCATACAGTGAGAAATAAAGCAACAAAGCAGGTACCAGTAGTGATGAAATGCAGAAGCCCAGGTTGATTCCTATTTGCTTGAATGCTCTGCGAGCCTCAGGGGCAAAGGCGAGAGAGTAAAGTTGATAATCGGTCATGACTCCGGGGCTGATTGATCTGCGATCCTGTCGCAATGCCTCCCTCCCTCCTATCTGTCTGTTTCCTCAAGCGGATATCAAGGAGCGGTTGAATATGCAGCGATTGGGGAAAGTCGATACAGAGTTTCCAAAAGTGAGAGAAAGCGAGGCAAACCAGCGATGCGATAAGTGGAAGGCACAGGGGCATCAAAGAAAAGACGGAAATCATAAGAAGAATAGAATAAACAGGAAAATAATGATAGTGATAGAATATGCAGTTATTGTAACCTGAGGGAATTTGGCCACTTGGCTTGAGCATCAGAGGTCTAAGAATAAAATTGGCCGTGACAATGACAGTGATTGACAATGACTCCAAGTCAAATCGCAGACAGCATTCAAACCTTGAGGGCCAAAAAGCAGCCCTTTTTCCCAAAGCAGCACAAACAAGAGAGGGGATGGTAGAGAAAAAAGCGACTTCAAAACAAGCATTTATGATACGAGGGGATACATCAAAGTTGCCACACTTTTTCTCTCCACAAAATAACTTTGTAGGCAGCAGTCCTGCGTGTACGCTGGCGTACATGCATGTGCGTGCTGCTGCAGTAGGAGGGAATGATGTAGTCAAAAGGAAAGGAAACCATGTATCATCTCATGCATACGAAGATGGGAGACAATACAAGTCCCCTCTATTCCTCAAAGAGGTGTTGGGATGAATGATGGGTCTTCTTATGTAGTTACATGTACATACAAAACATGAACAGCGGTCAAAGGTCAAAGACATCTAACTGTTTGAACACACAAAGCCGGACGTTCCGGCGATCCCTATGCCCTAAACACTATGATTTGCTTTTTTCTTGTATCCCGAAAATGAATGTGATATGCCGACAGCAATTCTAAAAAATAATTAAAAATAATTAAATAAAATATAAGATGATAATAACAATGATATTTGTTGGTGCGGCTACTACTCCGTACTTTAATAGTTAATGGATAGAGAGGAACTCAATTGAACTGGCATGGAACGGATACGCTGGGCTAATTCATCGCTTGTTACAGTAGCTAGTTAAATTCTAATTCTGCCAAAACTAAACTTCGGGAATCGCTCCCGAGATATAGAAAACACGGGGGCTAATGCTCAGGGGACGGCTACTATTCAACTCCAAAATAACAGGTCATTCACGATGGCCGCACAGCATCTGCACGTTTGGGTCTTTCAAACCAAAAGCCGAAAGGCAAAGAGTAAAGTAACAAGCAATAAGGAGGAGAGCATGATTATGACGTGACAAAAACGGGAGAGGGATAAGGTGAATCATCCTCCGCTCGCTCCAACACCATTAACCAAGCTATAATAAACGATATCTCATCGCATCGGGGAACTAGATTGTTGTTGATTTCAACTTCTCGCCTAGCTCATCCACGGCTTTATCCACGTCCTGGGCAACTGGCTCATTTTCGGCCAAGTCGGCATCCTTGAGTATATGGTCAGCCTTCGCCCGAATGTCGATCTCGGCCTCGGCCTCATCTGCTACGCTTTCCCATTCCCATTCCTCCTCCTCTTCTTCTTCTTCCTCTTCCTCCTCCTCTTCCTCTTCCTCGCCTTCTAGCTCGTCAAGTTCATCCAGACCCCACGCATCATCCTCATCATCTTTACCGAACAGTTCCTTACGTCTCCTCAATAGCTCCACCAACCTCTCAATATTCTCATTATCCTCATCGAAAGCATTCGCATTAAGGAGAACCTTCTTAAGCGCGGGGAGACTCGTTTTAGCAACGTGGATCAAAGCCCGCACTCCCTTGCCATTTATCTCGTTGCCCTTCAGCTTCAGGACCTCAATCCTCTTGTTCCCGCCGGCAGATAGCGCCTTCGCAACCCGGAGCCAGCCCTTGGCGGTAAGAGCACAGTCATCAACCCCCAGTTCGCGAAGGGATGGCAATCCCGCCAATACCGCGGCTAGAGCGACAGAGCCGTCCTTCCCATATGTATTATCTTCGAGGTCGAAGACCTCCAACTCAGGCGCGTGACAGATGCCCGTGTTCAACAGTTTTACAACACCCTTGGAATAGATGCCATTCTGCTTCATTCTAATTGTTCGGAGGCCCTTGCCGTTTGCCTTGATAGCCCGTCCCCATGCCTCCATGCTCCCGGCCTCCAGTCTGTTCCGGCCGCAGATGATGGTCTCCAGGGCTGGGACCTCATATTTTATTTCGGGGTTGGATCGCGCCTTAAGTTTGCCCTCGCTGAGCTCCGTTAGCGCATTCGCGATAAAGGTGCCTGCCTCTGGGCCTAGGCCGTTGTTGTTCAATATCAGATGGCGGAGGGGGAGGTGTGCTCTGAGGAATTCGACGAGGGGTTCTTTGGTATTCACGCCGAAGGCATTGTCGCTGAGATCGATGGTTTGTAGGGTGTGGACGTCAAGGAGCGGTCTGAGGATCGAGTAGAGCGCAGTGGGTATTTCGTTAAGGAGGCGACCCGTGAAAATGTCGTCAAGCCTTATGGTTTGTAGTTTTTTCTGTTTGCGCAACAGCAGGCCTAGTTTTCTGCATGCGTCGGGACTGTATGAGTTGCCTCCCAGGTATATCTCAGTGAACACATCGTCAGTTTTGACGAGGGGGTCGATATATTGCTCAAGCTCTTCGAGGCCATCGCCGTCCACCTTCTGGAGCTCAGCGTCGATCTGCTTAATCTCGTCTTCTAGGTTCTTCAATTCTGCATCTTTATCTTTTTTCGCTTGCAGCTGGGCTCTCTGCCCTTCAAGTATTCCCTTCTTCTTTTCAAGTAATTCTTTCTGAGAGTCAAATTTCTGGCCCTTGACCCCAATGACAAAGATGGTAGATGGAGGGGCCATGGCGGGGTAAAATATCGGTGTGAGCAGACGCGATCATTCAGGAGGAGGTAACTATGTATTTGTGTTTCCAAGGAAGTGTAGACAGGCGGTTGTATGGATCCAAATAGGGCCAGCGGTATGAACTGATGTAGCGAGAGGAGTAAGAGTGCACAGGTAGCAAAAGTAGTGAGCCTTTGTTTATTTGAATTTTTGATGTTGTCCTGATCCCTCGTGCTGAGGGCCTCGGCACGACTGATATTCCGACTTCCGCAGAATATTCTCCGCTGATAAAAATTTCAAGGCCGCCGGAGATCCATTTCATTAACTATGATTGATGAATTATTATAATTTATATCGCGAATTCTACAACATCACTTACAATCCCTCTTACATCCCACCCTCGCTTTCTCATCGCGATCAGTTTTCCGTATCTGCCTCTCAAACATGTCGTCCACCTCCGCCTCGTCCATTTCCATTGGTGAGTCGCAATTATGATGCTGCTACCTTCCACCCCGGCCCTATCAATCAGGTTGTAATCCATGAGCAGCACGACGAGTTAAGCTAACCAATTTCCCCGTTCTTCCAGGGTCCTCCGCAGCCCTCAACTCCTCCACATCTACTTCCGCAGAATCATCCTCAAAACCCAAGGTACGTACGGTCGTCCCATACACTCCCACCCGCGAAAACTTGCACCGCCAAATCCACCTGCCATTACTCTGCTTCCACCCTTATCCAAGTCAACCCATCATCTGACTCAGCCCACAGCCATGCTGCGTATGCAAAGACGAAAAAGCCTCCCGTGACGACTGCATGCTCTTCTCCAAATCAGACGACCCCGCGGAACAAGAATGTCGACCGCTCGTCGAGCAGTATAAGAGCTGCATGGCTGGGTTTGGGTTTAAGATTTAAAAGAAAGGGAAGGGGAAAAAATATAATATGGAGAAAGAAAGAAAGAAATGCCGGTTGGGGTTGGGACATGTTCTTTTTTCTCGCTCATGTTTTACTATAGAAGGCAGGGCGGAGACTATCGGGATTTACATGATGGAGTGAATGGAAGCTGCGAAAAGCGCATTTATAGCTTGGCTATTCGGCGAGTGTACGATAAGGGCTTTCGCTGGACTTTGGAGATGGATATATAAATCATATCTTCCTCTGGGTGCGTTTAATTACGGCGTTATCTCAAACGGAGGGGTCTTGTTTTCTTTTGGGGAATTTTGTACATGGGCGGGTTCATCATCTTCATCTATGTCATTTGGTGTATATTATTCGAGAGAGTGTCCAAAATAGAATGTCTCCACTTGCTTTGCGCCTGCCATTTGGGATAATCTGGGTCTATTCTCGCTACGTTGCTACCAAACCGATGCTCAAACCCTCCCTGTAGAGCTTCAAATATAGGCCCGATGATTCAGAAAACTAGGGATGGGGAGGGTCCGGGAAAGTAGGATATAAATTAAGTTATATTCGTAAGAGCATATGTATTAAAAGCCAGGCATTGACGTTCGCTCAGTTATGTGCATTTTTTCCTGACATTTAGATGAAAATAAAAATGAAATGGATAACACCATGTAAACATTAACTATGCAAATGTGGTGCAATGCTCGCAAAGACGCAAGAATTAAGAGAATTGAGAAGGATGGGGAATGAAGAACGGAAGTATAGAGTGGGAATAGAAGATGAGAGAAGGGATTGGAATAGGCGAAAGAAGGTAAAAGAGGAGCAAACGTCACATCATAACATAAAACTAAGCCCCACGAAGAAAGGAAACACTGTAACAAAGGAAATGAATAACTTGGAAACCAACAAAGAAACACGAGACGAACGCCTGAAGGGATACTAGGAAACAACAACAACCTCCTCCTCCCAAATTTGAGATTAAAAAAGTAATGACTCCCAAGTATGCGGTCCATCTGCAGTGGCCGTCGAACAGCAATAGAAAACTCGAAACCAGTCTATCTCCTGTCTCTATGGTCGTTATCTCGGACAGATATCGTTATTGTCGTCAGCAGGGGACTGCGGTCCGTAAATTTAGATGGGTGTTGGCGAAAACTATGGTTAAGTTGGATTGGTAGAGTGGTGTTGTGAAAAACTCGATCGTTCTTGCGAGCGGTAAGTCTTTTTTTACTCGATGTTTGGTCGGGCAGACATTTTAACGTCTTTTAAGCACTGATGCTGGACCCTGCGCTACCTCCAACCCACCGAAGTCTTCTCAATCCGCCTTTGACCGCTTCCTTCCCACACCCAGCACCGGCCCTGATACCGGATACTTGATCATCCGCTGAGCTACTCCCATTGAGGAACCCACCAAGCCCATTACTCCCAAGTCCATGTGCAGTTTCAGTGTGGCCCACTTCTCGCCCAAGAACGTAGCCAGCAGAGAAACTAATGGCAGAGAACAAAACAACCACACCAGCGCTGATGACCCACGTCATAACGGTGGGAGTGATGATCGATGAATACTGGGACATAGAGACACGGCGTGATCGCTTTGAGGATGGAGAGTGATTGCGAGATGGGCTTGGTTTTCGTCTTGCTTTGTGGGCTGAATTAGGCGATGCGGCACGTTTGGAGGACGCGGAGCGTGGAGTGCGACTCTGTTGTCCTGCGATGTTATTAAACGTAGGGACTGTTTCCCTGGCACGTTCTTGACTGGGGTCTTCTCCCAGAGCAACAGATTCGGGAACTAATCGGAAGGCAGCAGGTTCAGGTCTCTCGGCTGTTGGAGGCTGGGTGTCATGTTTGGGCAAGCCACGGGCTGCGGCCGCGCATGATAGAAGTGTGGAAAGGCTTGCGCGAAGAGCAGCGTCGTTATCAGCTTGGTATGACGGAGATATCATATTGTAAGGGGAATGCTGTTGTTGGCGGTGTCGCGCAGAGTGTATACTGGAGCGCGAGTTTCTTCTTGTTCCCGGCCTGTAGCTTGAACGTGTTGATGCTGGGTTTGTAACAAAGTGGGACTGTCTTGGTCGTTGGGTTTGCGAAGCGGGAGGGTGCGAGAATGCATTTGGCTGTGGAGTGAAGGCCGGTGGGTTCGAGTTCAGTCCAAGAGCGGTAGAGTTATCATCTTCATCGCTAGAAATCGTAGCCTCAGACGCGGACGAATTCCCACGAATAAGTACCACATTTCCACGACTTCGAGCAGCGATATCTTCGTTAGAACTGCTTAGCACACGATCTGACTCGCTCTCACTCTCTTCATATTCGTCTTGACTACTTCCCGGAACACTAGGTGACCGACGCGAGTAATGGATGTTAAAATTATCGGATGCAGAAGTGTGGCGTTGGATCCTATGGTGACGGCGTTGCCGTACCCGAAGCCCTGTTGTGATAATATCATCGTTTGCGGTGACAGACGACAGGGAGGAGGATGACGGTTGAGACGCCACTTCTATCCAGGAGTCTGTGTAATAACTAAATGAGTACATGGTGGACGAACAGAGATAAGAGTAGTAAAAGATAACCAAAAACATCGGGGAAAAAAGAAGAGAGTATGGCGATCAACATGCATGCTTGATACTCGATTGGGAGGGTATATGCCTGTGTTCACAGATTTTGACAAAAATGGCACCTGAACACGTACCCTCTGATCTGTTATGTCGTCCACCAGATGTATTTCGTGATTGAATAACAGTTTCTCGTGGGGGAGGGGCCGTGACAGCATCTCTGGCGCCATGCATTATACGTTCCTGGTTCCCGTCGGAAACAGGCCGGTGAGGCTCAAGGTGGTTTGGCTGCATGCTGTGTCCTTGGGCCGGCTGATGTGGGATCATGCAACAAAAGGAGTTGAGACAAGTCGAGAAACCAGAGGGACCCAGTTAAGAATGTGCCACCACTTGGTAAGACTCTTGACACTAAAGTTTAAATAACGGCTTCTGATCTGACTACGTGGGCAGAATCGAAGGGGCGGTGGGCGGACGGGGAGGAGATATGTATATGCCCGTAACCCAAGGGCAAGATATAGCGGTGCACAGACAATTAAGTGACGTTTATAACGGGTAGAGGACAATAAAGGGGAGCCAATAACAAAGAAAATAGCCGTTAAACAAGAGGGGATTGTATGGTTGATAGTAGTAATATAATCTGTAGAAAGAGAGGGAAACCAGACGCCAGATGTACACCGGAGGTCCCGTGTTGTTTCTCAGCTGATAATAACAAGCAGGTTGGGGGTGGAGCACAGGTGAGGATATCAATCGGGACTATGCATTTCAAGAGCTATAAGGGTACGGAACCACCACCCTGGTAGAAGATCTAAACAAAGGAGACAAGGAGAAGAGAAAGAAGACCGGATTGATGAAAAGGGAGTGTTGAAGAACTTGAAGTCGAGGATAGAGATAAAGACGGGGAGACGAGACGTTGGTGAGGAGATGAGAGACGATGAGGCTGGGCCCAAAGAGGAAACGGGCGCTTGATGACGCAGTGCGTGGTTGTTTGCCCAAAGTGCTAGGGCTGAAAGCTCACTCCTCCAAATTCCAAATGAAGGCACAGGGAGCTTGGGGTGCGTGCATTTAGCGGGGAAAAGGTGCGTGGGTACATTGCTCTTTACGCTATCAGCTGCATCACGTGAAGTACCCCGCAATCCCTGAAGAAGTTTAAGGTTAGGGCAGCCAATTAGGGCTGGGCCCGTGTCCGTGCAAAGGGCAACGATTTTGATATCAGGAAGTTATTATTATTGCACGGTACGACCGATACATTAACTAAAATCGGGTCCATAAAATCGTCTTTCTAGCCGGACCGGAGGCGTTGCATCTGTATTAACAACAAATAGAAACTTTTGGGATTGAAAACAAAAAATCTCGAACAGAGAACAAAGCACCAAAACAAAACAACACAAAGCACATATCATACATTACCTACGGCAAAGAGGAGTCAATCCATAGCGCCTATTGAATAGTTCAATTCAAAACTTCTTGTAATATGAAAAGCTCAACATCGAGGATATCACGTGTCATGGTCTAATCGAATGTAGTCTTCTTGCCGCTGTAATCACCAAATCCACCACGATTGGTGCTTCCACCACGGCCTCCACGAGGGGCACCGCGACCACCACCACGACCACCACCACGGCCACCACCAAAGCCGCCACCACCGCGAGGGCCACCGCGTCCACCGCCACGACCACCACCACGGCCACCAAAGCCGCCACCGCCCCCAGAGTTCTGGCGAGGGGTGCTGAAGTCGAGGCGCATCGGCCGGCCTCCGAGATCAGCGCCATTGAGGGTCTGGAAAGCGGAACGAGCCTCATCGACAGATGAAAACTGCACGTAGCCAAAGCCCTTCGGGCGGCCGGACTCAGGGTCTGTGGGAAGACGAACACCAAGGATGGATCCATGTTCCGAGAACGCCTCGGAGATCATGTTCTCGTCCGCACTGAAGGAGATGTTACCGATGAACAAGGTATCACTCTCAGGGCTCGCTTGGTCCCCAAAGTTCTGAGCGCGGGATTGAGCACGCTCTCTTGGGGCCGCATTAGAACGAGCGTTAGCGAAATCAATGTTCAGTTTACGGCCGTCGAGCTCAACGTCCTTCTTGGCCGCGTGAGCCTTGGCGGCATCAGCAGCGTTGACGAACTCAACGTATCCGAAACTATTCATAGGGGATCAACCAGTCAGTTTACATATTACATATACTCATTAGTAGAGTTTTCCTGCTTACCCCCTCGACCTGCCACTATCGCGATCGGTAACAATGCGCACACCAGAAAGCTCGCCGAATTCTTCGAACTCGGATCGGAGCCACTCTTCGTCGACGTTCCATGACAGGTTGCCGACGAAGAGGTTTCCACCTTCGCTGGACTCCACCTTAGTCTTCTTGGGGGCGGCAAGCTCCTCATCGTCTTCAGCCTTGCGCTTCTGGAGCTTGGAAGACGGTTTCTCAGCCTCAGCGCTTTCGGCTTCTTCGGATTCCTCGGCCGATTCATCGGAAGATTCATCAGATGAACTTCCCTCGGATCCCTCGGAGGACTCCTCGCCGCTCTCAGCGTCAGATTCCTCAGTAGTGGATTCCTGTGGAGTATTAACAAGATGCTTTGACAAAGTAGGTAACCAGTAAGGATATTTCTTACCTTTGCTACAGCCTTGGCAGCTGGTTTCTTTTCTTCGATGGTGGAATCTTCGGAGTCAGAGTCAGAATCAGAATCAGAATCAGAGTCACTCTCGGATTCAGATTCGTCGCTCTCACTTGTCTCCACTTTCGCACCGTTTGTAGCAGGCTTCTCATCCTCAGACGAAGATGATCCCTCCGATTCAGAATCAGATTCAGATTCAGAGTCGGATTCGGATTCGGATTCGGATTCGGCTTTGGCGGCTTTGGCGGCTTTGGCAGGTTTGACGGCGGCTTTGGCGGCGGCAGGTTTCATCTCAGCCTCGCTTTCACTCTCGCTTGAGCTATCGCTTTCACTAATGGAGGCCTCGGAGCTGTCGCTAGCCTCGCTCTCGGACTCAGATTCTGACGGTGTTGGAGCCTTCTTCTTTTTCTTGTCTTCCTTGACAGCCTTCTTGCTCACCTCCTTGCCCTTCGACTTTGCAGAGACGGCTGCTTTTGTTACAGAGCCACTCTTCACCTTGGACACAGCCTTGTCGCCCCCCTTACTAGCTTTCGTTGTTGACTTGGTTTTCGACATCTTCATCTACCAGTGGTTAGGTCTCGCGATGCCAAAAATTTGGGATAACGGAGTTAAATCATCCGGAGGGAAAAAAAAAAAAAAATAGAAGGAGATAGCAGGGGGACGGAGTGTGTAGCACTCACCGTGTAGTGATTTCAAGTCAAACGATATTACAACAGAATATGTGCGGCAACCTCTGAAAGTACCCTCAGTACCCACTGTGTGTATTTGATTTGCCTTCCGACAATTCAAGCCCTCAGTAGAACAAGAACCAATAAACAGCTAGCAGACAGCTGTTATATGTACTATTGAACTCGAGATATCTTTCTCGAATATGCCCACGAGTATAATTTACCCTCGATAACCCACTGAAAGCGGACAGGACAGTCTCAAGCCCACAGTATAGAACCCACAGGTGAAAGTCCCACAGATAGATTTTGCAGTATAGTTTTCAAAAGCCCACAGCCCTCGGCGCTCAGAAAAGCCCACAGGTATGTATGTTCTTGCAGCAAGCCTCCTAAATAGGAAACTAAAGGAAGAGGGAAAAGACGGCGCCTGGTCCAATCTTTATCTCTCTAGATTCACAGGTCAAATCCCACAGATATCTTGGTTCGAGAGGAAGGAATTTGTTTAAAGAAAAAAATGGGAGAAAAGGATGGAATAGAGAAGGATGAGGAAAACAAAAGGGATGTGAGCGCAGAAATAGTTTTTTCTTTTTTCTGAAATTTTCAAAAAATTAATTATGGCGGCTGGAAATTTTGCCCACCGCCTTCGGGTAACTTGACGCTAGAGTGCTCTGGGACTAGCGCCGGCAGTTCCAAGATTCTCCGCCTTCTCCTCTCCTCTCCTTGCTGCTGACTTAGTTATCCTACCAGCATCTGGAACGACACTGGGTACTGCCCATATTAGCTAGATCTTCCCCTTTGTCTATTGTGCAATTCAAATGGCCATGTTTGATGACATGTTGATAAAGCCAGACTCGGAGATAAAGCCAATTTCTGTCTCCCTGTTTATTGGCAACCGCCATCTTGCATCGGTCGGCCCAAAATTCTCCTGGCAGGCAAAGCGCACCCGCTGTGCTTTCGGCCTCGTCTTTGTTTGACCTTATGGAAGCCGCCAGTTCCCAAGCTCTTCAACCAATTCTGTCATTTTGTGCCATTTCTGTTATGGCTCGGATGTCTGTTGTCCATTCCGCACCTAGAACTCTTGGTGCTACTATCACAGCCGCGGCACACTACCAAGGACGAGAAGAAGACCACTTCAAATTTGAAATCGTAGCTTCTGATGCTGGCGGTGAGGTTGGTCGATCAATATTCTGGCACTCGATAGTGTGCAAGGAGAATCTTGAAAATATGGCTTGTCTCCGCGGCCCCATGGCGCGAACCATGCTAGCTGAAAAGAACTCACGTTTTCGCTGTAGTGGTGAAGGAGACAAAGACTCTGGCAAATGCAAAATGTGTTATCCATTCCGAATGGCCACGTGGGACTGGAAATCGAGCGACATACTGCATAATGGCTACTCTCGTGGCTTCCATCATGCGGTTCATCATGGATCCACAGCGCTGGTGCGGTTGTGGTTAAGGTGCGGAGTAGACCTATCTGCTCTCTGGGAAACTGCACTGTATATCGCAGTCTACTCTGGAAGGGCCGATGTGCTGAAAATGCTGATGGAAAAGGGTGCCAACCCCAAAGAGTGGCGGGTTAGCCAGATCGATTCCCCAACAGTATTGCACATAGCATCTAAAGGGAAAAGCGAAGCGTGATTGCTATTCTCCTAGAAGCAGGTCTAGATCCGAACAAAACTACCTGCGAGTATTATTGGACACCCCTGAGCTATATGATGCTTTCCACGAAGGGAAGTTCCATCTCCAGAGTTAATATGGCAAAGTTACTGCTTGATGCCGGAGCAAACCCGGATTTGGCGGATGATATGAACTGGACTAGTCTTCATTTAGCTATTGAGCGCGGTGATGCAGACATGGTTAAAATTTTAATTGAAAGGGGCACAAGTCTAACGGTCATGACTGGGAAAGGGGATACGCCATTATGTCTAGCTGTAAGACTGCAGGATAAACGCATGGTCAGAGCCTTGCTGGACAATGGCTGTAATCCATCCCTTGGTAGTGGACGCTGTTCCGCTTTGGACTGGCTGCAGGGTCAGGCAGTCGACGATTTGCACCCTTCTCAGGCCCGTTCACTCCACCCTTAGTAGGCCCTGCAACCATTGAATTTTACTTTTCCGATCAACACTCTTTGTTAGATGATATTTCACGGGGGATTGTGCACAAGTCGGTGGGTTTGCGCTAGAGTAAATAAGGTTAGCGTCTTAATTCAAGCTTAAATGTTTAAACTGACCCAGCCCGGACCAGCAACAACCAACAACATCCACCACCTATTGACCTGCGCACACCCGTATATTATTATCGGGCCTTCAGACTTGCAACACCCACCAATGGTTCTCGTCAATTGATGCGCAATGGGCCATTCCGCAAGTCCGTCACCGTCGCACCGGCCGCGGAAGAAGAGAAGATTGCTATCCACGGCTGCTCCCCACTCGAACGTCGATCTTATTACCAACGCAGACTCCAGCAAGCCTTCCCCTGCCTTCCCGATTGTGTCGTTCCTATGGCCCGCGCGTGCCGGCGTATCCCAATGGGTCGTGCTACCTCTGATTCTTATGGTCGTTGGGCTATTCCGCTGGTCAGTCAGCCTATGGGGATATTCGGGTGAGTTCTAACTAAGCCCCTTGGTTGAATTTCGTTGAATTTCGGAAATGAAGCTAAGTATCAAAACTTGCTCAGGCCAAAACACTCCTCCAATGTATGGCGATTTTGAGGCCCAGAGACACTGGATGGAAATTACCACTCATCTACCTATATCGTTTTGGTACTTCTACGACCTACAATGGTGGGGTTTGGATTACCCTCCTCTTACTGCTTACCACAGCTGGCTTCTAGGCAAATTGTAAGACACGGAGCTTGCTGGAATATCTTTAGTATGTTACTGATATTAGATAGCGGTTCGGTCATTGAACCTTCCTGGTTCGCCCTGGACGACTCGCGCGGAATTGAAGGACCGTTACTCAAAGTTTATATGCGCGCCACGGTCGTGGTCTCCGAATACCTCGTCTACGTCCCTGCTGTTGTTATCTTTCTTAGGAGATACTCCCGAATGCAAGGCACTCACGTTTGGGCTTCTTCCATTGCGCTGGTCGCCATCCTTATGCAACCCGCCACTATTCTCGTGGACCATGGACATTTTCAGTACAACACCGTTATGCTTGGACTAGTGGTAGCTGCATTAGAATGCATGTTCGCCGGACGGATGCTTTGGGCTTCTTTGTTTTTTGTATCTGCCCTATCCTTCAAGCAAATGGCATTGTACTTTGCCCCCGCGATATTTGCCTTTATGCTTGGCGCCTGCTTTTCACCACGCGTCAGACTTGGCCGGTTGATGTGCATTAGTCTCATTACGATTCTTGCCTTCGGTCTAATGTTCGCCCCTTTCATAATCACGCCGCTCTATAACAAATATCGTGGCATTGAGCTGGCACTGCCCAGTCCACCGCTCCTTCAGAATCTTCCAGTGCAGCTGGATGAGTCCTCGTGGGTGTTCCCTCCGGTGCTGCAGCTCGCCCAAGCAATCCACCGCATATTCCCGTTTTCGAGAGGCTTGTTCGAAGACAAAGTTGCTAACGTCTGGTGCACTATCCACACATTCTACAAACTACACCGTTTTCCCTCAACTTTACTCCAACGCGCGTCACTTGGCGCTACCATTCTATCAATCGTGACGCCATGTACGCTCATCGGCCTATACCCTCGACCGACACTTCTTCTACCAGCGCTGGCAAGCACAGCGTGGGGGTTTTTCCTTTTCTCGTTTCAAGTCCATGAAAAGAGCGTCCTTTTACCACTCCTTCCCATGACCCTACTTCTTGGCAACGACCGTGGCTTAAGCAAGGAAACACGAGCATGGGTTGGGTTGGCGAACATGCTCGGCGTGTGGACACTTTTCCCGCTGCTACGACGCGACGAATTGCGCGTTCCCTATTTTGTCCTCACCTTGCTGTGGGCATACCTGCTTGGCCTCCCGCCAACATCGCTAGATCTATATCGGAATGAATCGGCAGGGTCGTCTGAAGCTACGCAAGAGAATGTCGCCGGAAATTTGCATGTTCTGACGAAGATATTGCATTTGATTTATTATTTGTCTATGATATTTTGGCATATTCTTGAGGCGTTCGTTGCGACTCCGGCAGGGAAACCGGATTTATGGGTTGTGCTCAACGTTTTAATCGGAGCATCCGGGTTTGGCATTTTATATCTATGGTGCACGTGGAAACTTATCCAACACACTAGACTAATACGCTCATCGGCGGCTTCAAAGGCGTCAAAAGGCCAGCCCGTGACTGAAGAGAAAAAAAGAAAATAGAAGGGAGTCCGATGGAGGCAATAAAATTGGCTGTGTGATGATCCGGTCCTGCTGTGACTTTGGACTCGTTTCTCCGAGCCCCGTGTGATTCTATATACTTTTATTATTTTCTAATTTCCTTATTCCTTTAACTCTCTGATTCTAATATCTTGCTCTGCATATTTTGCCCCTGTGATACCCCAAACCAAAAAATTTACTTGAGCTTTCCTCAACATCAGCAGCAATCAAAACAAATTCAATGCATTTATGGCCAATAATTCTAATCAATTCGGTTTTCTCAATTCATATCTTTCTTCTGTACCAGCAGCCCAATCTTCAGTGATGAGCATCCATAAAGGGCAGGTGAGTTAAGAGTATGAGCAATGCTGAGCTCCCTCGCAAAGGTTATATGCAGCTAAAGGTAGAATACATCACTACCCGCCTTACAGGCTACACACTACAATCAATACACAGCTTTCATGTAAAATATTTAGCTTTCAGAAGTATTATTCTCATACCATAAATAAAATATAGTAAAGAGTTATCAGAATAAAAGTGATATTTTGCCAAGTGATACTTGCCATTGAGCACATGAAGATATGAATATAAACACGTTCTATCAGAAGACACATCTGCAATTCATATTCGCAGTCACTTGTTGAGCTGGCAGAGCTGTATCTCGATATCACTCAAAGCTCGTGAAACGAATTCAAATTTTTTTCTTTCGCGGATGCTCTGTCAATATTACATGATGCAGACTCACTTAACTCTCAGTAAAAATTCTTTCAGATGAAAACTAATTGACAGAGCGTTGGCCTTGACATTATAGTCGCCTCTTAATGTGTATTGCAATGTACCCAGTACGGAGTATGGACGTACAGAACATTCATACAGAAATAATGAACGAGAAAAAAATCCATTCTTTTCAAGTACATGAATCCGGTAGAACCTCAGAAGGAAGAGAACGAAGAAGAGCAAAGACAGGTCATAGGCAAAATATCCTTGTTGTTCTTTTACATACCGAGGGGAGGGATTGGCGATTCTGTCGACCCGCCAAGTAAATGAGAGTAAATATTGCCAACAAAGCGGAGTATAGAGCTGCAAAGATTGTCAGTCATGGGTACTTTTCACAGTTTACAAGAGTTTTTCATATCACGATCCAAAAAAAAATAGTAATAGGATACATTGCCGCTTCACATTCTCCTCTCACAGTCTATATGTACACACGCGCTAGAAAAACATGCAATCGCTCCCAAGCAAAGAAACGGAGGTAATGTTACAAGTCCGACACCATTCCATTGCCCGAAACAAAATAATATATTAACACTTTGATTCATCGTTTCGTCACGCTCTTCACATTCCGCGTAGGAAGTTAGCTTCCTTGATGCTCTTCCTTCGGGCCTCTCTAGCGCTCCTGGTGATTTGCGTGCGGGCGCTGATGCTGGATGCGGCCGCTTCTAGGAATTCTGGGGACTGCTCTTGCGGGACTGCATCTGCTGGAGTGATGTCGATGGCTTGTTCGTGTAGTGGGATTTTACGTGGTTGGGAAGCGGCGAGAGCGGCCATTTTTCTTTCGTGGCGTATCCGTTGCTTTTTATTCATAGCTATTTTTGCCGATGGTCAGAACACTTATTTTGAGGCGGGTGAAGGTATAAAGATAAAATGGGTATTCTAAAACAGGCGCAGTATCATAAACTTACCAGCAAGATCTGCTTTTCCGTCTGCGTTGGTCTTTGCCTTTGCCTCATCCAGGAGGCCCCATAGCCAGTCGGGATATTCATGATCTTCCATCGCAAAAACGTCAGGCTTATTTTTTATGTAATTCAAGCCCTTGAGTTTCGTGCCCGCCGGTGTCCCACTCATAACACGCGGTGGCCCATTTCGCTTAGCTGTTGGGGGTTCACTTGAGGACGGAGGCGCGACTCCCGGGAGGGTGATTGATGGGGCAGACGATGGCTGGGATGGCTCAGGGACATCGGAGGCGGGTGTGCTATACTGTTGAACATCCTGTCTGTAAGGGAAGGAAACTGCCCATCGTGATGTCTGGAGGGAGGCCCAGCTCTGTTGACGGAAAGGAAGGCGGCAGAGCAGGCTCATTCTGCAACGGGAGCACAGCATTTTGTGTGCAATTGAAGATGACCGGGACAAAATCGAAAATTAAAAACTAGAAATATTAGCTATCAAACAACCCGATTGGTAAGGAAGTAGGGGCAGGTCAATTTGACAATGAGAAGGAAATTCGATGCCGTGCCGTGGCCGTTGGTGATGTCCATAAGTTCGGAGAGGGAGGAATTTTGATGCCAAGGCCGACGAAAGATATCACGTGATACTGCTTGCAATCACCAAACTAGGTTGCATCCTACAGTCCGAAGTTCGTTAAAAACGACATTTAATCCTCCAGAAGGTGTAGTATAAATGGTAGGTTTCAGAAGCATTGTACAGAAATGGAGAGGGAAAGGAGCAATGTCAAAAAGTTAGAGAGAAAGAGGGAGAGAAAGAAAAAAAAAAGAATGAACAAGAAAAGAAGCAACTGACGGTGCTGGGAATCGAACCCAGGCTGGCACGGCCACAACGTGACGTCTTACCACTCGACCACACCGTCTTATTTGGTTTTGGTGGGCGCCCTCGAGAACTTTAGGGAATTTGGCTCATCGTTTCAGTCAAAAGGCCCTTAGGGAATCCTAATCGCCTCAACCTTCTTCCGCCTTGAATTGCCTTCCTTCATTCGGGCTACGCATTTCCTGACTCCATAGTAGTGACTACAATACAGAAGTCTCTCCGGATATAGAGAACATGCAAAATGACGCACATTTAGTAGCAATGTGCTGTAGAGCCTTATTCGCCTTCAAAAAAATGGGAAGACCTACAGCACAGTTGTATCAGTGAATCATACCTGTTTAATGCGAAGGAATTGCTCCGTTGCTCCTTTTATGAGCTGCAATGAGACTCAAAATGTCTATCTTTTGTTATTCTCCGGATCAGAAGGGAAACTCCCTAGCGATCAATCCTAACATCATCTTATGCACCGGCTATCCGTTGAACCCACTAAACTCGATATTTGACAACATTACCCTACGAAAACCACATCGAAGTGTGACTTCAAACCCCTTCCGTGACTGGGTGGAGTGACTGCTCTCATGCAAATAGTGCGACTGCATTTTCAAATATCAGGACAAGAGTTTTCATATTCAGACAGTGTGGCGGTGTCCACCAAATCCTCAGTGATTGTTGTCGGGATGGAGGACAGCTCCGAGTACGTCAATGAAGCTACGTATGCTCTGCTGACAGCCTGCCAGGAAGAAAGAACAGAAATAATGTGTCTGTTTGGTTTCAATGTTGAGACTGTGAAGCGCTTGATCGGTTATTTTGAACACTAGGTGCTGGAACTGGATGCCCTGCCACGAATCTGAATCTACATTCATGCTATTGCGAACTATCTAGGTATCTGGAAATATCGAGGCTTAGAGAGCGCGCAATAGAAAGCACCTGCCACACTCTAGGCAATCAACTACTCAACGGGAGATTTTAAATGCAATGAATATAATACTGCCGACCACCCAAGATGCGGACGTATATGACGCCATGGTAGCTACGCTGCTAATTATACTAAAGAGCTGCTGGGCCTAGAGGAGCTCATCCACCTTGATATGCCGAATCCGATGACCCTTGGTATCCCACGGAAATCAGTAAAGGAGCGAAGCCGACCTCGCGCCATCTGTGTTGTTACCGCGCTCTTTGCAAGTCTCGCCATTACCCGATTGCCATTGATTGCTAGTTGAACATTCTATGGGATCTGACGGGCAATTTTCTTTCTTACGTCTCCTGTCATATGGACTTCCCTATTTCCCCCATGACTGAGTGAGCGATGCGGCGGCCCCTTCTTACTACCCTGTTCTTATAACGTGTGACGATGTCACTGACTTGTCTATATTTTTATTGTACTTTTCGTCCAAGGTTCTATTTGATCGGTTTTGCCTGTTTTCGACTTATTTTTATTTTCCTTCAGTCAGTTATCCCAGCTTGAGAATGGCATGAGGCCTTTCGTTCACTATGAATACTATGTACGCTAGTACAAGGCACGCCCTTTCATTGTTCTAGAAATCCCCCTTTTACTCAGATTGCTTGACACAAGAAATGACTACCTGTAGGGGGTAACCCAGCTGGTCCTCAATTTGTGGTGGGTACGTACTTCTCTCAGCTTCCAGACTAATCTCCCCTTTTATTCTCACTCTGCGCGACAATATACCCCTCCTGGATATGAGTTGTGCAAATATATTTATGTCTAGGTATGCTCCTGATTTGGCTTTTTAGCGGACTCCTGTTACGAAATTTTTCTCTGGGGGAGTGATCTAATGGCTCTAGACTGCCATGAGTGAGCATCTTTATTACGCGTAATGAGTATGCTAGGCAGACAATAAAAAGAGAAGAAAAGAACAGTTCACCTGTAAGAACTCGATAGGCAGTGTTTGAGATAAAAGCATATTACGTTGAACTTTAGCTGATGGCAAATAGTAACATATATTTCGGTAGGAATTGGGGAATGCAGAGGGGTGAAATCACCAAGTCGATTTACATTGAATGAACTTACTTCGTTCGTTGTTGGAAGTCCACGACAATGGCAAGAGGGTTGAGATGTATGTTGTTATTCTAGGTGGATCGGATAATTAAACACAGCTTTTCAACTCTTTCTCCAGTCATATGTTTTGCATTGGCATATACATTAACCCCCCAGCTTTACCCCAGCGCAGGCTAAAAACTTTCACAGGACCAATGTGTTTTTCGCTCTTTACCTAGAGAGAGCAATATCATCAATTCGTAGGATCAATTTGACTGTTTCAGCTGCAAGTTCAATCGCACTCGTGCTCACAAGTAGCGGCTGCAGCACTTTCTCATCCGCAATATTGTCCTTAACCCCTCCACTTCGGATGCTCACGCCGGCATTTTTCTCTCCCATAGCGTGTCGGTGACGGAGGTCTGTGACGACCTTGATGCCGTTCAATCCGGCATTCTCTGCAAGGGTGGTGGGGATAACCTCCATTGCATCGGCGAAAGCTTTCCAGCATATCGCTTCCGTGCCTGTGAGAGCGCGGGATTGTTTCGATAAAGCTTGGGCGATTTCGATCTCGGGCGCACCGCCGCCAGCAATGAGGGCACGCTTCTTAACTAGGCATCGGATCACACAAAGGGCGTCGTGGAGGGACCGCTCCACTTCGTCGAGAACGAGGCTATTTGCGCCGCGGGCTATGACAGACACGGTCTGATTTGCGGCTGCTGATCTGATGCCGGTCACCTTGGTATAGCGGGCTCCGACATGTTGTACTTCCTCGATTAAGTCTGCGGTTCCGAGTTTGTCCTCTGTGAATGAGTCGATGTTGGCAATGGGTTTGCAGCCCAGACTCTTGCAGAGAAATTCTACTTCGTCACGTTCGATGTCCTTTATAGCCATGATCTTCACGCGAGAGAGGAAATAAAGGGAGATGTCGTTCAGGGCATCGCGAAGGATGGATTTTTGAATCAAAAGCACATTGCACTTGGTTTTGGCAATCTTTTTTACCATGTTGAGAAGATACATGCGCTCTTCTTTAATGATTTTGTCCATCTGTCGATAGTCATTGACGACAATTTGATTTTCCATCTGGGATCATGGTCAGCATTTATGATGAACTGGATGAAAAGGATATGAGCGTACATCTGGTTTGGGAGGGCTTAGTTGAAATTGAATCAATGCAATTCTGGCCTTCTCAACTCTGACGGGGCCGCCAGCGCTTTTCATGACCGGCTGATGCAATATTAAACCATCCACCATTTCGCAGTCCTCAATCGTGCCTCCAACTTTCTTCACAATACGGATATTACGAAGGTCGACATTGTCAGCTGTTTTGGGGTCTATCGTTTTTAGCACGGAGTCAACGGCAATGGGCCCGAGCAGGTTTGAATATTGAGAGACGATCTTCGAGGACAAGGACGTTGAAGCGGCTTGGAGAAGAGTTGCTCGGTCTGAAAGGGATATAGGGTGTGACATGTCGTTAAGAATCTGCACCGCCGCGGCCGCAGCTCTCTGGAAAGATTCAGAGATAACAGTTGGATGTATTCCTGGTTAAGACGTCAGCTGTTGAAAAGGATAAATGCAGACGCTAATGAGAGGGATCCCATCCCACCTTTCCCCAATAACCGATCTGCAGCCCCCAATAGACTCCCTGCAATCACAACAACAGAGGTTGTTCCATCGCCAGCTTCCACATCCTGTGCTGCACTAAGGTCCACCAGCATTTTTGCGGCAGGGTGCATAACAGCCATATCCTTTAACATCGTGTTTCCATCGTTCGTCTATGCCCTGTTAGATACCTGTAAATGATAGCGGGGAGGTCGTAGTGCGTACAATTATGGTTTCGCCTTTTCCAGTTTGAATCTACTACAGGTAAGCCTGGCAATCCAATATTATATTCATCCATGTCAGGAGTCAAATTTACCATTTTGTCCATCCCTCTTGGTCCCAATGACTGGTTATATGTTAGCCCCACGTTTCGAGTTGATAGCAGGCATTTAGGAGCGCAATACCGTTCTTATGGCATCAGCAACAGCTATGAGGAAAATCAGCAAGCAGTTATGAGTAATCCAGAAGTCATAGCCATACATACCTCTAGCTGCCATGATATTACCCGCACGGACGGCCATGGGCTTCTCCTTGTCCTATTATACCAGTGAGCACAATGTTCGCGGAAAACAAGCGAAACGCGGACGCGCAAACCTTGAAGCTATGGTTCCCGCCATTTCCAGCGGCGCTCACAGTAGACGCCATCTTGAATCTCTATGTAAGTGACGTTATACAATAAGAAAAGGGCGTTAATGGGGATGTGTTGGAGAACTGTCCAAAACCACGCACTCTTTTGAATTTCCCACTGAGATGCTTGGCGATCCCTCCACTAGCGCCGTTGACAGCTCTGGCCAACCTTACGTAATATCTAAGCTCCCCGGCGTGACCCAACACTAACACCAACGGAACCTCGTTTGACTAGCACTCGCTGAGCATACAACTCCCATCACTACCCATGCCTGACTTGCCTTATTAGTTACGAAAGAAGAATTCAGTTAGCTATCCTACGCGGCTGCTTCACGACCGTCAACCTTCACCCTTCATCCTACCCCTCACCAGCCTCTTTTCCTTCCGCCATCATGCCCAGCGCTACGGGCCAGAACTGGGAGAAGTACAAGAAGAACTTCGCAGATGATGAAGAGCCAGAGAAGAAGATTACACCGCTAACAGATGAGTATGTGATGTGCCCCGTCGTTGGTTCTATATCGTATCTAGAAGCTTCCGATTAACCTATCCTACAGGGACATCCAAGTTCTCAAGACCTACGGCGCAGCGCCATACGCGGCAGCCTTAAAAAAGCTCGAAAAACAAATAAAAGAGAAGCAAGCAAGCGTTAACGAGAAGATTGGAGTAAAGGTAAATAGGCACCATATTTCTATTTATTATTGGTGCGATTATGAAGCTCATTATTCTTAGGAATCCGACACTGGGCTCGCGCCACCGCATCTCTGGGATGTTGCAGCAGATAGACAACGTATGCAAGAAGAACAACCACTACAAGTCGCACGCTGCACGAAGATTATACAAGATGAGAAGGATCCGGAAAAAAGCAAATATGTCATCAACGTCAAACAGATAGCCAAGTTCGTCGTGAACCTCGGGGAACGAATTAGCCCTACGGATATTGAGGAGGGCATGAGAGTTGGGTGAGCCATGTTTATCCATGCGACTTCAGTCGAGGGACAGTGAACTGACGTACACTTCTTTTTCTTCTTCTTGTTTTTTAGCGTGGACCGAAATAAATACCAGATTCTTCTCCCTCTGCCTCCAAAGATCGATCCCAGTGTTACAATGATGACAGTGGAAGACAAGCCTGATGTGACCTACGGAGACGTTGGAGGATGCAAGGAACAAATTGAAAAACTTCGAGAAGTTGTTGAAATGCCGCTACTTTCGCCAGAACGATTCGTCAGTCTAGGAATCGACCCACCTAAGGGAGCTCTACTCTACGGTCCACCGGGGACAGGAAAGACGCTCTGTGCGCGGGCTGTGGCCAACAGAACGGATGCCACTTTCATTCGTGTTATTGGCAGTGAACTTGTCCAAAAATATGTTGGAGAGGGAGCACGAATGGTGCGTGAACTCTTTGAAATGGCTAGGACAAAAAAGGCGTGCATCATTTTCTTCGACGAGATTGATGCGATCGGAGGGGCCCGTTTTGACGATGGTGCCGGAGGAGACAACGAAGTGCAAAGAACAATGTTGGAATTGATCACCCAGTTGGATGGTTTCGATTCCCGGGGAAACATCAAAGTCATGTTCGCTACCAATAGACCGTCCACTCTTGACCCAGCCTTGATGAGACCTGGGCGTATTGACAGAAAAATCGAGTTCTCCTTACCGGACCTGGAAGGACGGGCAAACATCCTCCGCATCCATGCCAAGAGTATGTCAGTCGAAAGAGACATCCGATGGGAGCTTATTTCCCGACTGTGCCCGAATTCGACCGGAGCAGAGCTTCGAAGCGTGGCAACCGAGGCGGGAATGTTCGCTATCCGAGCACGGCGAAAGGTTGCTACGGAGAAAGATTTCCTAGCAGCAGTTGACAAGGTAATCAAGGGGAACCTGAAGTTTAACTCGACTGCAACGTATATGCAGTACAACTAGGACAGGAGGAATGGCGTTTTTTCCGGGGAATAGTGGAGGATTTTGTACTGTACGATGGTGGAACAAGGCATATGGCAATTCCATTTCCGGGAAGCGCTGTGATTTTGATTCTCATTTTCTTAGAGCGATGGCAATATAGTATGTTGTTTTTTGTAGACGTAACAGTAACAAATGCATCCAAAATATATGTCACGTGCATTCTTCACGTGCACGGGCCGGTGTCGGAAAGATTACCTCTGCACCCGCTGTGATTGGTTGGCGGCGTACCTCGGAACTGTGGAGAAGCCTGCTTATATAATCAATTTGTTCACCACCTAACTTACTTCCCTTCCGAAGACCAAACCCAACTTGAGATGTCCGCAACCCTGTGATTCCTATCGCAACAGCACCTCCAGTTAGTGCTTGACTTAATTGGATCTCCTAGTGTTCTGCGTTAATTTGAGACATCATGAGCTTTTCCGGCTTGTGGAGGCTGGCTCCCGCGACGAGGGTATGATACCTATCTGCAAAATATTCCATTCCGCTCGCCCTGGGTACCCGCGATTGCAGCCGAACTAACAAGTTTTTTCCGTGCAGTTCCCCAGAGCTTTAAAGAATCAAAGACGCCTATTTTCTTCATCGCGTCCTGCAGGTATGTCATAGACCCATTGCTACCATTGGGAGTGTTGCCAATTGACCCGTGTCGAACTGGATAGCCCGGATATTCGCGAATCAACCTCTGCGTGCGAAGGAAGCCTCTCCATTCGTCTCGAAAAATTATCCCGTAATCGTACGTGGTCTCCATGCTATCCCAGATTGCTTATCAGATTCAAAAAGCGAAGATGTGTCTTACGATTTATAGGACCACGAATATGACGCTGTCGTCGTTGGAGCTGGTGGTGCTGGTCTCCGCGCTGCCTTCGGCCTCGCTGAGGCAGGATTCAACACAGCCTGCGTTTCGAAACTCTTTCCTACAAGAAGTCACACGGTAGCAGCACAGGGAGGTATCAATGCTGCCCTTGGAAAGTACGTTTTTCGCAATTGAGTGACATTTGTTGGAATCAATATGAAATACGTTGTGCGCTAATTGTGAGTATGTAGTATGCACGAGGACGACTGGAGATGGCACATGTATGATACCGTCAAGGGATCCGATTGGCTGGGTGACCAGGATGCTATCCATTACATGACAAGAGAGGCACCACAGAGCATTATTGAACTTGAAGGATATGGATGTCCGTTTTCGAGAACCGAGGACGGCAGAATCTACCAACGTGCTTTCGGTGGACAGTCTCAGAAATACGGCAAAGGAGGCCAAGCTTACCGATGCTGCGCTGCTGCTGACAGAACCGGCCATGCCCTTCTTCACACTCTTTACGGCCAATCCCTCCGACACAACACCAACTATTTCATCGAATATTTCGCTATGGATCTTCTGATGGAGGATGGCGAATGCAAAGGTGTAATTGCTTATAATCAAGAAGATGGAACAATCCATCGTTTCCGCGCACACAACACCGTATTGGCAACAGGAGGATACGGACGTGCTTACTTCAGCTGCACATCCGCGCACACCTGTACTGGTGATGGTATGGCCATGGTTGCCCGTGCTGGTCTGCCCAACCAGGATATGGAATTTGTTCAATTCCACCCCACGGGTATTTATGGAGCTGGTTGTCTTATCACAGAAGGCTCTCGAGGTGAAGGTGGTTATCTGTTGAACTCTGAGGGTGAGCGATTTATGGAACGATATGCTCCAACTGCCAAGGATTTGGCTAGCCGAGACGTCGTTTCCCGATCGATGACTCTTGAGATCCGTGAGGGACGCGGTGTTGGCCCTGAGAAGGACCACATCTACCTGCAACTCAGTCATCTTCCTGCCGAAATCCTCCATGAGCGATTGCCTGGTATCTCAGAAACTGCATCGATTTTCGCTGGTGTTGACGTTACCAAGCAGCCTATTCCCGTCCTGCCAACTGTTCACTACAACATGGGCGGTATTCCAACTCGTTATACCGGCGAAGTCCTCACGATAGATGAGAAGGGCCAAGACAAGGTTGTCCCCGGTTTGTATGCTTGTGGCGAAGCTGCTTGTGTTTCTGTCCACGGTGCCAACAGACTTGGTGCAAACTCTCTGCTTGATCTCATCGTATTCGGCCGCGCAGTCTCCCACAGCATTCGTGACAAGGCAACGCCTGGCCAGCCACACAAAGAGATTAGCGCTGATGCTGGAGCCGAATCTATTGGTGTTCTTGACAAGGTCAGAAATGCAGATGGACCTAAGTCGACGTTTGACATTAGGAACGCTATGCAGAAGACTATGCAAACTGATGTTAGCGTTTTCCGAACCCAAGAGAGTTTGGATGAGGGGGTTCGCAAGATTAGCGAGGTGGATCAGATGTTTGATGATGTGGGAACCAAGGACCGCAGCATGATCTGGAACTCTGATCTTGTTGAGACTCTCGAACTGAGAAACCTGTTGACTTGCGCGTAAGTTTTATTTCTCACATCCTACGCCAACTTTTAATTGAGTTTTCTTGTACCGAGTATACTAATGGACAATAGTGCACAAACTGCTATTGCTGCGGCCAACCGCAAGGAATCCCGTGGCGCCCATGCCCGCGAGGACTACCCAGAACGTGATGACGAGAACTGGATGAAGCACACGCTGACGTTCCAAAAGGAGCCGCATGGCAAGGTGGACCTTACCTACCGTTCCGTTAATCCCAATACGCTCGATGAGAATGAGTGCAAGCCTGTCCCTCCTTTCAAGCGGACGTATTAGTTGTCTGCTGTCCGCAAATATCTTCGGTAGTGTATATCTTGTGGGGATGAAATTGCTCGGGGGTCGCCTGTGGCGTACCGGGCAAAAGTCACATGAGAATTTGTATTTCCTCTGAGTTGCATTATATGGCCAATTTCTTGTGTTTTCTTCAGCTCTTTTTTCACTTCTTCGCCCTGGGTTCTCCTTGTCCTTTCCTACTATGTTTTCCTGTGAATATTTATTGAAGCGTATATTCTTTTATCAAAATTCTGCATCGTCCGAGTTCAACTATTCCAAGTCGTGCAGGCTGCTGATTGTACCATATGCTTGGCCTAGCGTAAAAGTAAAATGGAAGGGCTGGATGTGAGATAGAGCAATGACACGGGGCGAGCAACTAAGTTACAATTATTATTATCTGTCCCTGGGGTATACCTTGCTCCGTGTGTATATTTTATTTGTGCAATATTTATCATAATTTTTGAACTTTTGTCCTTCGCTAGATTATTAAAGTTATTGTTGTATTATTAAATGAGACTAGTCTGCGCAACTATGCAAACTGGCTTCTTGGCAAATAATAAGGTTCGGTGCCAATTGCTGCAATACCTAAACGTGATTGGCGCACCAATGGCAGGTGTTATGTCCTTTCCTCATTGGGATGGCCTAGACTCAGTTTCTTTCATCAGGGCATAACAAGAGTGAGTCCCTTTGTCCCCTACATCCGACTCCTTTCCATTTACTTTTACATAGAGGCATCTGGAGGTGATTCACTGTGCTGCCCACTCCTTCGCTCACTGATATGCCTCGGTAGAATTTGGAGTCACGACTTTTCTGAAAAGCAGCCGCTACAATGGCTGGGGAGAAAGGAGGTAGCAGGGACGAGGAAAGGGAGCCGTTGACAAGAGGCAGCATAGAATTCCGTGACTCGATAAACTCGTTCGATTATTCCTCTTCCACCGCTTCGTTGTCCCTCGCCGTCATTGATAGAATAAATGGTTCCACGCAAGATTCAAGGCTAGGCGAGAAGGATCAACGTGATGATGACCATGACCAATACAGGAACGAGGAGGAATATGATGTCGAGGATGCAGACTATATCCCGTCTGGGGGGAAGACGGTACAGAAAACGACTAAGATAGTGTTATGGGCTCTTCTCTTTCTCTGCGTCGGTGGATGGTCTCTTGCCTTTGTCATTTTTTTATTCAGGGGTCACGACACGCCCCAGACGTCCATCGCGTCCGAGGAAAACATATCAAGTGGAGGTGCGCGAGGGAATAGGATAACGTTGGATGAGGTGTTGGGGGGCGAATGGGCGCCGCGTGCTCATTCTATATCGTGGTTCCCCGGTCCAAATGGCGAGGATGGGTTAATTCTTGAGAAGGATAACCTCAGTGCGACGGCCTACTTACGAGTGGAAGATATTGTCGGTCGCAAGGACCCGAAGGCGTCCAAGAAATCCATTGTTTTGATGCAGAAGAAAATGTTTACAGTGGGACGAGAAACTGTCTATTCCGCGCAGGCTTGGCCGAGTCCGGATTTAAAGACAGTACTCGTGCTATCTGATCAACAGAAAAATTGGCGCCATTCGTTTACAGGGAAGTACTGGTTGTTCGATGTGGAGACTCAAACGGGACAGCCACTCGATCCTGGTGCTCCAGATCGGCGGATCCAGCTTGCTTCCTGGTCTCCGCAGTCTGATGCTGTGGTGTTCACAAGGGACAATAACATGTTCCTTAGAAAATTAACTTCAAATGAAGTTGCAACGATAACCACTGATGGTGGCGTTGACTTGTTTTACGGAGTTCCAGACTGGGTTTATGAGGAGGAAGTATTTTCAGGTAACAGTGCGACTTGGTGGGCATCTGATGGCGACTATATTGCATTCCTTCGGACCAATGAGTCGTCAGTGCCAGACTATCCTATACAGTATTTCGCATCCCGACCAAGTGGAGAGAACCCCAAACCTGGCGAGGAGAACTATCCCGAAGTGCGCGAAGTCAAATACCCCAAAGCTGGAGCCCCGAACCCCATCGTGGATCTCCAGTTCTATGATGTTGGGAAGGGTGAAGTCTTCTCAGTGGACGTCACAAGTGAATTTGCCGACGATGATCGCCTCATAATTGAGGTTCTCTGGGCTTCGAATGGGAAGGCCCTTGTCAGAGAAACTAATCGAGAAAGCGATATTCTTAGCATTGCCATTATTGATGTGCTATCGAGGACCGGAAGGATTGTCCGAAGAGAAGATGTCAATGCTTTGGATGGCGGTTGGGTAGAGCCGACACAATCTACGCGGTTTATTCCTGCAGACCCGGATCATGGCCGGCTTGACGATGGCTACATAGATACGGTCATCTACGAAGGGCGCGATCAGCTAGCCTATTTTACACCGCTTGATAATCCTAAACCTATTATGCTCACAAAAGGTCACTCAGAGGTCGTGAATGCGCCGTCTGGCGTGGACCTGAAGAGAGGGTTGGTCTATTTTGTTGTTGCCGGAAATGAACCCTGGGAACGACACATCTATAGCGTAAATTTCGATGGGACTTCACTTCAGCCATTGACGAATGTGACGGAAAGCAGCTACTATGATGTCTCCTTCTCAAACGGCGCCGGTTACGCTTTGTTAAATTACAGAGGCCCAAAAGTACCGTGGCAGAAAGTTATAAACACTCCTGCAAATGAAAACTCGTTTGAAGCAATCATAGAGCAGAATGACCACTTATCTAGAAAGCTCCGTCTGTTTTCACTGGAGTCCAAGGTTTACCAACATGTCACTGTGGATGGTTTCTCGCTACCCGTGATGGAACGACGCCCACCAAACTTTGACCCGGCTAAGAAATACCCCGTCCTTTTCCATCTGTATGGCGGACCGGGGTCACAAACAGTGTCCAAAAAGTTCAGTGTCGACTTCCAGAGTTATGTTGCTTCGACCCTGGGGTATATTGTTGTCACAGTAGACGGCAGGGGTACTGGCCACATTGGCCGGAAAGCACGTTGCATAATTCGAGGCAACCTCGGGCACTATGAAGCTCGAGATCAAATAGAGACTGCCAAAAAATGGGCGGCAAAGCCATACGTTGATGAATCTCGGATGGCCATTTGGGGCTGGAGCTATGGAGGCTTTATGACTCTGAAGACGCTCGAGCAGGATGGTGGACGAACTTTCCAGTACGGAATGGCAGTAGCACCGGTGACTGATTGGCGGTATTATGGTATGCAACATTTTGGTACCCTTAGGCTTACTTAAGCTAACATATTTCAGATTCCATCTATACCGAACGCTATATGCGTACCCCTCAACACAACCAAGGGGGTTATGATACCTCCGCTATTTCTAACACCACCGCTTTAGCAAGCAATATTCGTTTCCTTCTTATGCATGGAACTGCCGATGATAATGTGCATATCCAAAACTCACTGACCCTCCTCGATAAACTTGACCTGGACGACGTTGATAATTACGATGTCCACGTCTTTCCAGACTCTGACCACAGCATATATTTTCATAACGCGCATAAAATGGTCTACAACCGTAAGTTTCACTCTAGGGTTCTATTACAGTTATGTTCGATTTGCGGTATTAACTAAGCCAATTTCCTTCCTTGTAGGTCTTGGTGACTGGCTCATCAACGCTTTCAATGGTGAATGGTTGAAGGTCCATAAACCTACACCGAACAATTCTCTATTTCGACGCGCCGAGACATGGGGTGGATTACCTGTATGAATTCAAACATCCTTGTTAGGGCAGATTGCTGTATGCCCGCATATCTTCGTTATTTCTTTTGCGAAGCATTCCACTTAGGCTTTGTGCCTAGGTGAGCTCGCGTTGGCGTGTATTTTATTATCTACATCGTCTTGAAGTTGACGTACTCTAGGTAACATTTCATTTCCCCGTTATTTCAGCTATCTCCATTATTGCATCTTTGTGTGTGAGGATATGGTATATCCCCGGCGTTTGGGTATACAGGTTTCGGACTGGTATATTTTGGATGGCCTAGATTTCATGATATTTTGGATAGCATTAACAGGTTGTCCTACATTGTTTAGTTGATTATTTTTTTTATAACATCTTCATTTCTTGCGTAATTAACGAGCTCTTTTCTGATATGCATGTGGCTAGCACACTGACCCATCAGGTATTTATTAGGGTTATGTGCTTGATTCCAATTCAAAATCCTTGCTGGAGAGCGTTATTCATTCACCTTCAGTTCTCTCGACCAGTAGCCATTGAAGAGAGTGTATCATCGCGGACGAGGAGAGCAAGATCACTATTATTGTTGCATTTGTCCTAGCAATCTGGAGTACTATCCGGACCTCTTCTATCAGATTTTCTATTGTGGATCTTCTAGGGTCATGTGACGAGACAACTTCAACCACACCTCGTCTTCTAACCTGCGAAACTTATACCTGGAGACTTGTGGATTGCTGGATTTTCTTGCTCGACGGACCTGGCGGGTGCAGTGTCAGGAAACGTTATCTGCGAAACTCCCAGGGGCCCTTTAGGTCTCAAGAATTCTCGAAACTTCCCGGGTGTGCTCGTAAGGGGAGTAAAGCCCTTACATTCAAACGGTCTCAATCCCAACTCTACTGGGTAAGCTTGCTTTTTGAAGTCGGATGCTGGTCCCATTGAAGTGTAGATTCAATTTACTACCACCCACTAATTTGGTGTGCTGGGTAAGGCAGAACTCGCATCCAAACGTTCACAAGTGGAAGCAGTGGGTTGACTACATGCCTGATGAAGAGGCTGTTTTTTTCACCCCTCTCCTGAAAACATTAACTTACCCATCTAATTGCAGGTACATTCTTTGCTAGTGGACTGTGTGCCTGCATGAATACTGGACTTTCGCTTTAATGTATGGAGTCACTCATAGCTTTCGACGGTTCACCACCATTGCGGTTCTCTGGGAGGAGCCACCCACCTTAAGAGAACACCAATTGGTCGTCTCAAGTTAAACTTGATAATAGATTGATAGAATTCCGCCACTGGCACCGTTCTCTTTTATCCGGAAGATGCTGATCATATTATGAAATGATTTCCATCTTTTAGAACTTGAAAAAGTGTGAGTAGGTTTGGTAAATCCCGCAAGATAGGGCCAAACGCGAGGAAGAGCTGATGGATATCGATCAAAATATGATTGTGGAAACTTTCCTGCTAGTTACTGACGAAATTATCATGGTATCGTGCAGCACTCCTGTGAGGAATATCTAGCCGATACTGCTGAAATGCGTCATGAAAGGCCAAGAGCATCCATCGCATCGCACCTATTCATAGCGGAATGCCCCTGACACTCACTTTGCAATTTAAATTGCCTTCTAAAATCTAATCCACAGTCACACGCCAAATCCTCCTGCCGCTGCTTTCCTCCCGGGCAACGCAATTCGTTGTGGAAAACCACCAGTCCTGAGATTTCTAAGAGGTGAAAATTTTTCCAACATCCAGAGTCTGATTGATATGAGTTTGGTGCTAACAGACGAACTTCCATAAGCACAGGTGTGTTCCTAAGTTCTTCTTTTGTTTTCAGAACTCTGGAGTTTATCGAGTCAAAATGCAAGATATTTTTTGAATTCATTATTTTTCACTTCTCATTTCCATTCAATACAATATCTTTACCTCTTTCATTGAATTTTGATTTTCTTGGTTCGCTCAAGTATGTAATTGGGGTTTTGGTTGCAGATGTGCTCCCGAGACTAGGATTCGGCGTTCCTTCATCCAACTCCTTTCTAGGAATGCGGAGAATGTGCCAGGGATCCCGTATAAAATTCGGTGTTCCTGAAACTGGGTTGGATAGTATTTTAAGATTTGCGGTATGTATCTATGCCTTTATATTGAGCTTTACCAGAATCATTGTCACTTACTGTGCAGCTTTTTTACTTTCCCAGGAAATGTCCGCAAATTAGTCGGTGATGACGCATCCTGATGTATTATCGAACCATTTTGGATTTGCAGAGATTAACCCACCCTTGGTGGATTTATCATCCCCAACGTTTGTCTGACCGATATTTCTGACGAGAAGAAGTGAGCTGGGCATATCTATGTCCCGTCAATAGACCGGAAGTTCGCTTCTGGAGCAAGAGTCTCTGTGAATATTTTTCTCGTCTTAGTCGTGATTTGGTGGGGAAGGTAGGGAAGCAAAAATCTCGACGTTTTTATTCACAATTGATATATTTAACACCGTGCCGAATTCACTTCATAGGTATTATTTTTCTTACCATGCTCTTCGTCAAGCTTGCTCTGGCTGCATTTTTTTCATACTTGCATACCGCGTTGCTAGGTCCTTCACGCCTTGGGACATTAATCCAGCCAAGCCATTCGCCGAAAATTAGTTATCCGCCAACGCTACTCCTGAAACTTCTACCCCGCAATCGCTGCACGCTTTGAATACAACAAAGCGAACCACAACTTGCAGCGTTCTACAAGGGGTTGTCCACAGATCATTCGATCGATTACGTTGTTAATTGTGCTGCTGCATCAAAAAATTATCGTATCACGCTCTTCTTCCATTTCTGTGCCACAGCGCCTGAAAGCCACATTGAGGCACGCCAACTGCTCGTTGGATTAACATCCTGCTTCCTGCCCACGATGTCGTCGCCTACCAAATCTAGTGCAGGGTCACCGCTTGAAGACACTAGAATTTCAGCCTTCTCCCCTCATATCAAGCGTCATCTAAAGCACATTTTCGAATCAACGGGCCAGGCCAACAATAAAGAAACATTTCTTGAGGCCATCCAGCTCGAACCTCCACAGAAGCAACATAGTATCAGCACTTATGAGGATTTTATGGGATACATGTCATCTGCGTATGCTCAAGCGCCCCCTGAACCACAAGATCTGTCGTTGCCTATGAACAATTACTTTATTAGCTCGAGCCACAATACCTATCTCACTGGCAATCAACTGTATAGCGAATCAAGCACAAGGGTTTACAAAAATGTATGTCAACTTTCAAGTCTGCCCTCCACCTTTGATTTTTCCATCATTGTTCCTTCTTGTTTCCAGTTCGGTCTTGGTTAGAACAACATTGCAATTTGTTTTGGTGTATGTGGTGTGTCGTTATTCGTAGTGGCGGATGCACTTTTCCGGGGAGAGCAAGATTTTTACTCCACAATCGGAAATGCTCATGGGTTGCCCATATTCTCTATTGTTAATTCGGGAAATCGTTGGGAGAACTCCAGTGGCCAATCGAGCATTCATACCCAGAGATGTATGGGAACTTGGTGTTCTTTGATTTTATTCACAACCGGGGACTCGTTGCGTCATTGGATGGATAATGTTCCCCGAGCATATCATCTTCACAATGACGACGGATAACATTGTTTCAGCCTGAAGGTGAAATTCCTGTTTGACGACGCACTTATGAGCTAACATGATATCCCCTGCTAGGTTCTTTTGAAAGGATGTAGATGTCTCGAAATTGATGTGTGGGATGGTGAACCGGATTCCGAGGACAGCTCCGACTCGTCGGGTTCAGAAAGTGACCGTGGCGAGCCTAAAGCGTCTCAGAAAATTGCGAAGAAGAGTCCTAAGGACAGGAAAAGTGGCCGTTTTAACCTGTCATCATTGTCAAGTCGCTTGGACCGGCTTTCTAAAGGATCGACAACGCAGCCGCAAGCTGCCATTGCCGAAGCTACCGTGGTAACTGCAACCGGAGTTGCGGGAACGGCAGTGTCATCTGCCCCCCTGCGGCTTGAACCTCGCGTTTTTCATGGTTATACTCTGACGAAAGAAATAACGTTCCGTGATGTGTGCTGTGCAATTAGAGATTATGCATTCGTCACTAGCGATCTACCAATCATCGTGAGCCTAGAGGTCCATGCAAGTCTTGAGCAACAACAGGTGATGGTAGATATCATGACGCAGGCATGGAAAGGTATGCTCGTTGAGCTTCCAGCTGATATCGAAGCTAAACTGGAAAAGGGTGAAATTGAACACTTGCCAAGCCCGGGAGAACTGCGAAACAAGATTTTGATCAAAGTGAAATGGGCACCACCCGAGACGGCGGCCGATCAAACGAAAGCCGGAGACATGCCTGGAGTGCCCTCGGAAATTGGGAAACAGAAGTCAGGATCAGTAGCTGAAGATGACACTGTGGGAGGTATTGATGGGGGAGAGAACAGCAGAGCAGCTCAGGCCAAGAAAAAGCCTTCGAAGATTTTACATGCTCTAAGTCGACTCGGTATTTACACGCGTGGATACACTTTTAGTAAATTTTCGCAACAAGGTATGTTATTAATGTTAAATTTTTAGTAACTGCCAACAAGGGGTGTGCCACACGCTGTTTCAGAGCAATCAAGAGCAGTGGGGGAGAACTACACTCATTGGCATAAGAAAGGAAAGAATCGGCTTACCAAAATATGTCTACAGAGGCAACCCACCTGAACCACATATTTTCCCTCTCAGAGAACGCTGTGAAGGACGCCCATGATAATGAACGCCAGGCTCTTTTTGACCATAATCGAGAGTATATGATGCGAACATATCCGTCCGGCCTGCGCGTAAATTCGTCTAATTTAGATCCCTCATTTCACTGGAGACAAGGAATTCAAATTGTTGCATTAAACTGGCAGAACTGTGACAAGGGAATGATGATAAACGAAGGAATGTTTGCTGGGCATAGAGGTTGGGTTCTTAAGCCGGAGACATACAGAGGAAAGGTATGGAGGATTGGAGCAGCAGGGCGAACTGAAAAAAGCCTTCAAAATATTGCGCGGTATCACATCCTAGATTTATCGATCGAAGTCCTTGCAGGGCAAAACATTCCTCTCCCTGTGGGTGATGAACACGCCAAGAGCTTCCGCCCTTATGTCGCATGTCAACTTTATCTTGAGCGACTAAAGGATCACATCCACGCCACCGAAAATGTTAAAGGCGGTACGGGTACCGCAAAGTACAAAGTGCAAACCAAGGCTGGAGTTGGTTCAGATCCGGACTTTGGAGGGCAAGTGATGCATTTCCCAAACGCACCAGTTACCTTGGAGGAACTGAGCTTTGTGAGGTTAGTCCATTCCGTAGTTCTTCCCCCTTGCCCCCCTCCCCCCCTTATTACTTTCTGATATATCCTGCGTTATTTCGATTTCTTGCCCCCCACGTCGATCTATCCCTCCTACCATCATTGATAGTTCCGAATATCCCAATCAAGGCGATTAGTGCCACGTCAATTAGGGGATATCGACAAAAAGTGTATTTCTTGTTATTGCTTTTGTAGGAAAGAGGGGGGAAAACACCACGCATTTAAAAAAGTCGGAAGGAACACGGAAGAAAACTGTCCACATATGCCAAACCATGTAAATGGGGGCGGTTGCGTGGACCTGCTGATCGCTTTGCTTTTCGTTATTGTGATTCCTCATGCATATTGTGTATCCCCGCTCTTCCTTGCAGGAACATGGCACTAATACAAAAGTGAATTGACAGGTTCAAAGTTAAGGACCGCGAGTTTGGAAGAGATGATCTAGCGGGGTGGGCTTGCATCAGACTCGATCGGCTGCGCCAAGGATTTCGATTTATACGGCTTTTTGACACGAAGGGCAAGCTGTCCCAAGGCGTCCTGCTTGTCAAAATCTCGAAAAAGATAACCTAAAACCTCTTGGTAATTTTGTATGAAACAAGCACTTCATTTCCCTTTGTCCACTGCACTCCTTCTTCAGCCTACCGAGTCGGCATATAGGGTTGGAGCATTCTGCAAAGGTTATGCTCTGCAGTAAATGACCATAGCTTTCAGGAGAAATACTTGAGTGGCCTATTTAACATCATATGGTGCTCTATTAATCGCTTAGACCACCAAATTCTCACTTAGATCGGTTTCCGAGAGTTTCTCTTAGACTCCAGTGTCGGGATGAATAAAGTTTATCTGATGCAGCCCGAGACAATTCAATCTGATAAACGTTTTAACTTTTCCGTGCATAGTTTAGAATGTATCCTCAGCCGCAAGTTCCACCTTGTCTTCGGATTTGGCGCCATATGAAGTTGTTAGATAATGAAATTGGTGATCAGCCGGCTGTGTTATGTGGGTGATAGCTCTCGTGGTCGGGCTAATTGGTGTTGCGTAAATTAACATGATTTTCGTCTTCTCATATTTTTTGTAAAATTTCAAAGGAAATAGGGAATGAGCAAGTCTTGAAAACCCGCGGATCGATGTAAGTATGTACCTAAGCATGCATGGTTCATGCATACTAAAACAAATTGTGACATGTCCATTTTTCTGCTCAACCTCGTAACCTCATTGGTTGACCAGCATCAGTCAATGTTCAGTTCCATGAGCTTGGAGATATGATCGCCCAAACGTTGTTCTGCGGGGACGACATCTCTTTGATTATCGAAGGCGGTTTGGAGGAGTTATCATCTGGAAATTAAATAAGTGGCTTGTCCGGTAGCAAACTTTTAGATTTCGGTCCGCCTGAGAGAGGTGCCCAATGAGCGGAAATACGTTCTTCAAGTTGAGTCGCCTTCATGGTCCTAACAATTAGGAGTGAGAACCAGATGTTAAAATGGTACGGAAAACCATAGTGGCAGTAGAAGGTGGGAGACGTGGCACGAGCAGCCGTTGGAATAACCAAAAATCGGCAATGTTCCCGTTTCGTCATGGCAATGATCTGCCTTCCTTTGCAGTAATAATTGGCTCAAGAAACCCAGGTCTTAGCTGGCTGCAAACGTGAGGGGCGGATGGATAGCTCTAAAATCGGCCATCGATTGGCTGCAGCCCGAGACGAAAGAACACAGTTAGTTGTGATATCAAAGTCGCGTACTTTTATCGGCTCGCCCAGAAAGCATCCCGCCTAGATGCAGCCGTGCTATTTGTGAATGACGAATCGGGTAATCTGTTTCATGGAAATATGAGCTCCATGGCAAACCTGGACTTCTCCTGGTAGGCAAATTTTCTGCTCACGCGGCCGTTTTCCCCGTCACGTTCGATTGATAGGGATGCACTATCCCTGGGTTGCCATGTAATTTCGATTTTTCGAAATGGTGTCAACCTGGCCAATCCAATTATATGAATATTTGTAAGAGCTGCGAGGTGGGATGTTGTCGACGAATTATAGAATTGACACGGTGCAGGTAGGCGGTGTAAAAGATTTCCGGTCCAGGTTGATTCTGGAGTTACGGGGAAGCCACCCAGTGAAAGGCTATCTGGTCTGGCTCCACAGTGTTGGTTCGCAGTCTGTAGATAACCAAACATCTGGCGAAATCCGCCATCTCGGCCGTAGTACTTTCAGCAGAATTGGCACGTATTTCCATTCTCCAATTTTCTCAAGAAAAGTGGACACGAATGGCTGATCACGCTGATGTTTGTTAAATGATCAAATAAACTTTTCTCCGCAAGTGGGATGGGGTAATGTGGCATACAATAACACGGACTAGGCGCCATTTATTTTCTGATGTTGAACAAAACAGAATATCAACACCTTATTCAGCGTATATCAGGCACTATTGGAACGATCCCCACCCTGCTGGATGATACTTTTAGGAGACGCTGGAAAATGCGATCGTGTTGAGCAGATTTCCACCGTATCAGAGTCAAATAGAGCAGTGATCATTGGCTTATCCTCGACATACCCGTATCTCAAATCGAACTGGTTGCGTCGAGATGTGTTGGTACTGGCTTGACCTTATGTTGCTGATCCACCAGTTCTCGCGCATTTGCTTCAAGGGACCCGGAGTGTGAAGGAGGCTACCTGTCCATGTGACAACTTCTTTATGACATATTAGTCGATCGTGGGAGATCATATTGACTTCAGGAAAGGTTCAAAATCGGTCGACGCATCATAAATAAGTCGTCAATTCTCCCCTGGGCTATTGTGAATAATCCGTGAAGCGAACCACCCAAATCCTTCATCCAAACACGCAGATAAACCAGCAGTGGTGCGCTTATAAACTTTTTCCTCCTGTCCTTAGTAAGTGAGTAATTCATTTAGGAGGAGTCATCCACTTGCACTCGTCCTTCAAACGTCACCCTATTAACAATGATGTATTAGCAAGAAGTAGCAAAGCTTCAAGAACGAGCATTTCATCGCGTTTCTAAATCCAATCAACTCAGCCAAAGATGGGCTTACAATTTTTCAAACCCGGCATGTCCATGATGTGGTCGTATGGTTCGGCGGCTAGAAGGAATGAGATGTCACCGGTGAGACCCAAAGCAACAGATAAGTAGACACTATTGTAGCAGCTAACGGTATTGTTCAAGATGCCTGGTGTCCAGTGCCCAAAGTGCGCGGAGAGTGGTAAGGAAACGTGGGTTATTCCTGGCAAATCTTGTCACGAATGTGGTACAGAGTGTTGATGCATCCCGGCTAGTAAGCATAATCAATTTTGAATTACGCTAGCCATACCTTGGTGTTGACACATTGCAGGTCAAATAGGGCGAAATGAACTGTCATCGGTGAAGCGAAGGACAAGATTAAGATATTTCAACCTCGCAATGCGATGAACTGTTCCGGGTTTTCGGCATTTTCTTGGATTGAGACACCGTTTGAGAAGATATGTCCTGCTGTCATGCTAGGAGGTTGATAGTGGAAATAGTTAATCACACAGATGAGAGGAAGGGAGCGAAGTGGAGCGAAGTTAGGAAGATTTTTCGGTTTAAATGATTTCAGAACCTGTATCACATAACTACCTCTCATGCCCAATACGTAGCGGTCAGTAGCTGTCAGGCTGCATGCGGGGCGGGCATGGGTGGAGGTGAAGAAAGAGTGTTGGGACGAAAGCAGTTCGTGCTTCGTATGTAGTTTCGTATGTAGTTTTTCCTCCAGCAATGCAGACAAGCAACCAAAAATTGCTGAAATTTATGCCGATGAAATAATATTCCTAACCAACGTGATTGCAAGGAAATAGGGATTTCTCGTTTTAAGATGAAGACAATCAAAACCTAGACATCAGCTGATTCGGCGATTTAATTTTCAAGTAATAATGTGAAGGCCTATTCAGACAGAAAAGAAGTAATTTCAAGGGGCCAAGGAAAACGAGCAGTGCTCCTTCATTATAAGGACTCAACAGTCGAAATCTCACCCGTTACGCCGACTCCCCACCGAGCAACGTCGCATGCTGGGTATGGATCAGAGCCAATAGGGATGCGAAGAGATCAAGGCAGTCGACTGCCGGAAGGCGGCTGAACCTCGGCTCTGGGACTTGTAAGGTAAAATCAGGCTGGTTCACTCGACGAGAGAGAGGCGTCTGCAACGAGCAACTCCTGACACACGGGCCTTTTGTGAATTCGCCTCCGACGATCACAGCGGCACAAAATTGAGATGGGATGGTAAACAATGAACCAAATCCCGAAATCGCGAACATTGGAGATAAGACTTTGCATGTTGGAACAAGACCAGCAGGAAATAAAAAGAGGGCATCGTGGGGGAAGCATATGCTCTGGGCACTTCTTCTGCAACCTCTCGCCATGATAGTCGAGATTCGGTGAAATTCCCCGACAGGAGGCCTGGGTTACATTCATCTGAGTGGTCGTATACCTGACTATAATCCGTAGTCAAAAATAGATGTAGCATCTGTTCGCCCGGGAGTGGGAATCGTTGGCCCCATACCATGCTATTGGTTGCGCTCCATCCACGCGCATGCTAAATGGCTGTCCATTTGCTGCGGCAAAAAGGTTAAAAAAGAAAAAAAAAACCAAGCAAAGCACAACCTTTGATATGCCAAGGTATGACAGACTGTTAGGAGATTCCCGATTTCTGGAATAATATATAATGTTGTCGCGGAAGCGATCCACCAAATAACGGCGTTTATCGGTTCTCTCTTGTTGGCGCCTCGTTCCTTTAAAACGAAAGGCCAAGGCTGCTAAACAATCACGTGAATTTACTTGTTAAACACGGCGATGATTGGGTCGGAATCAAGGGTAACGTAACTCCAATCAAACGCGGCTTCTGCGATGGATTAGGGATTTATATACTCCGTACGGAGTACAGACACCACACTTTGGACACAGACCCCACCACTAGTATTGTGATGAGAACGGGTGCTACACCTTACGCGGTAGCTAGCGGATGGAGAAAACAATTCAAGATCGACAATCAAAATCAATAATCAATATTCCGATAATAAAGCAACTAGAATTCTCTCTAAGAATGAACATTCTCGAATATAGAATGCCTGCAAAGCTCTCGTCCTTCCACATGCACTGTCTTCTAAAAATCCTTTTTCTTGATGTAACCATATGAGCGGATCCCCTATACTTATATCATTTTCTCCCGCTCATCCTCTGGGTCCGATGCTTCCATAGCTCCGCCTCTTCCGTAACATTATCATCCCCACTACAGTAGTGTATATAAGGAATAGCTTGGTAATTGATTTTCCATTAATTAATATATGTATCTACTATCCCTATCTCAAATAATTCTCATCCATTCAAAGAATGTCACTCATTATTCTCATCCTCTCATGAATTCTTCAGAACTGCCTGTTCTGTCTTCTGTGTATCAAAGACAATGCAGTTTATCAGTTGAAGCAGGGATTTCTTGAAAAATAGTCTATTAATAACCTCTTAAACTCAGCTCATAAGATAGTCATATCAGTTGTATCCTGTGGCCCCTGTCATTGACACGGGCAGTAGGGAGACCAGCAGCTGACAATCTCTATTCTCATAGAGATTCAGTGGATATGAGAAGCAGGCAGACAGACAGTGATTTCTGCATGCATATAAGATTTCCTGTTTTTTACATAGTAAATAATTAATGGAAATTCAATTACCTGGCTAAACTTGATTGATTTTAGCGGTGGTGTCTATACCAAAGTGTGGTGTCTTATAAATTCCTGATCCGTCGTTAAATTTAGGAAGAGGCTCAATTAAGCTTAAGCTCTGCTGCACAACCTACCCTACCATGGATGAAAGGCCCCACTTCCGCTTGGAAGCAGCAAACGTAGTTTCAGCAAGTTGGCCTTTAATAGTCATTTGAAATTGCAATTCCACGTCTTTAAAATAACTAGTTACAATCATAACTACTGTCTTTTTTGAAAACTTTATTTGCACAAAATGCACTCTATTTGTTGATTGGAGTGGGCGACAAATTCGCTCCTACGGGTTTTAAAATATATTGGCCGCAATGATTTCGAGGGATAAAAAAATATAGTTACATAAATGAAGGGGCCTTATCACCGCGATAAAACAATTATTATTTCTTGATCGACGTTTAAGTCGACGGTGGTTCAGAAATTGGGCTACGGGAATGCACCCGTGGGCATTTCCGAGCGTCGGACTGGTTTGGAGGAAATGGATAATTGCGGAGAGACAGTGGGAATGTTGTGTGGTCCAGATTTGATCCGGCAGTGGTCAGATGTTGAGCGTTTAAGTCCTTGGCATGCCCGGCGAAGCGACCATCAAATGGATTTTTTGAGACACACTGTTTAGGGGCGGTAGTTTGAAGAGGCGGCGAGCGATGAAGCCTGGGGCGGCTCAAGGTTGGCGAAGTGCTTGCCATTTCATATGAATAGTCGCTATCTCCATGACTTGGAGAAACAAATTCGAGAGAGGAAGGTTTTCCGGGAGGTATCGGAATAGTGGTTTGGACTTGCATCGGGGATGAAGTGGGAAGGGGAACATGACTGGATGCCAACGTAGGAGTAGACGAACAGCCCTCTTCGTTGTGTCCACTACCATCCTGAGCATTACGGCCATCCACAGTATCGGTCATGAGGGAGTCGTCATCGGAGATGATGTTTTTATCCATACTATAAGGATCGTGATTGTCGCTGTTGTTAAGGCTAGTAACAGCGGGCATCTGTTCGTCAATGTCTTCCATGTAGGACCATTCGATGTCGGAACCATCATTGTAGTCAATATCCATGGGAAAATGCAAAACGAATAAAAATGTCAATACGGTGATTTGGGAATGAGATAAGTTGCTTCAATGCGGAACCATGCGGCTGTAGTATATGGGGCAAGGGCGTCGTAAACCAAGCCCAAAGAAATGGACACATGCAGTGACTTTAACAGCAGCAGGATACTGTACAGAGAGAAAGAATAGAGAGATGATCAAAAGTGGATATCTGGTGATATGCGCACGGAAAATGCACAACTTGGCGAGCATCCGAGTCGCTTAAGGAGATGGAAGAGCCAAGCGCAGAGACTATCACTCAATGCGTCATACCCATCCATACTTTCAGACATCAAACTCAATAAGGAAGTTGGTCACCAGTCACTGTAAAGTTTAATGCATGCCCTACTTTCCTAATCTTTGCCTTCTTGCACCATGGATGTGGAGGAGAGTTTCCTCGATCGTTAAACAGGTCACGCTGGGCGCCCAGGCACCGATCATCCTATTTCCTCGTACCGAGAAAACAAGCCTACCCGCCACTCTCGAAACTGGCGCGCGGAAATGGGCAGAGTCTCCCTACTTTTCTCAAGAGCCTGTTTCATGTCATCATATATGCTAGGAGGAAGGCTCACATCTTCCAGCGCAGTTGGCGAGGGTACCCCTTGCGCTGGATTGAGCATCAACTGGATATCTGGGACTTCTTGGTAGAGTATTTTCATAGCCCGTTGGGAAGCGATAGACACGATTCCATCGGTAGTAGAGTATGAAAGCAAACTGGAATAGCGGAGATCTGGATTGAACACCCAAAGCTGCGTATTGGAACGAATTAGTAGATCGTCATTGCCGCTTAAAAATCTGGTTCACAGCGGGAGAAGGTGCGATGAGATTATAAGAATAAGCTCACCAGCAAGCCGCTCTTGTTGTCTCGACGGTCGTCCCCTGCGTATTCCGTACTATGGACAGCGAATCTCCTCGCTCCGATCCTCTCAGCTAGCTCCAACAACTGTGTTCCCACGATCATATCTACTGGGTACGTCTCCCACGCATCCTTGTCAGAATTGATCCCGTCCTTGGGCTTTCGCAGTAGAGAAACATTTGCTTTGTATAGTCTCAGGCCAGATAAGGACGGATATTCTTCTCCGACTATGGCGCTGCAGCGAGAACACGACAAATCTACCACGGGTTGGGATTTGGGGTCACTGGTTCCGATGTGCAGAGCGGTGGCCGACGATGAGCATGTCTAATGGGGTCCATAACGTCCATGTCAGCATATACGCCGTTGAAAATACGCTTTACAGGTGGAAAGAACGTTTCATGTCTAAATTAGAGAACTAATGGTATTAGGGAAGGTAGTACGCTCGTATAGAATAATGGTTAACTTCGTAGGGACGAGCATTAGCCAATACAACCTTCATGGAATATATCGGGTTTATCCATCAAAGAATCACGTCTGTGAAATATCATTTGTTATTTTCCAATCTGCGCATCAATACTGCACCAGTGTCTGCGAGTGTGTACCTCAGGTTATATCCCGCGAAACCCACAAAACCTCGGAGCGAATACTGCCACCGGACATCGTCTAGCGTTTTCTAAGATCGCCAGAAAACGGCAGGAAGAGATCCGGGTAAGTAGTCAAAATTCCGCGGCGAAATACATTCCAGGCTATAGAGATTTTCATGTATCGATTAAGTCCTCCTCTCTTCCTAGTCTCTTGTGAATCTATCCCCAGTAAAAGCCTGTATCTACAGCGAGGAAGGAAGGAAGTAAAATGAGCGAATCAAGGACTATCTCGAGTGCAGGGGAAGGGATTCCATCTACCAACCCCTAATTCGGTAGAATCAAAGCTTGATGAGGATTCTCTCTTCCGCGCCCTGCACTTGGTGTGACCCTTTCTTTCCCCAAATTCCTTAGCTCCCCTTCTCACGATAAACTGGGCTGTTATTGGCGCAAGTACCAGGCAATCGGAGGTGCGGAACCACTTGCGGTGGATTCCAGCGATTTTTATCGGTCGATAATTGATATTGGGCAGTTGTATCGGAAACAAGATCGTGGGACATGGAATCTTGGAGAAGTCCATGTTGCAATCTTATCTCCTTCTTTGCAGCCCGAAGGTGAAGTGATATAGGCAGATAGGAAGCAAGGAATGAAAACAGATAGCGCATAATAACCTGTAAATGTTGCGGTTATGTGCTTCATGAAATGAACGCTCACGAGCAACACAATGACCGGACATATTTTGAATGTAGATATTGTGCTGCGGTAATTTTTCATGGGAGCCACAAAGACAAAGGAAGAAAAGAACGAAATTTCGAACTTACCGACTTTTCTAATCCCTGACAATCGCCTTCAGCCATCACGAAGGATAAAACATCAATCAACGCTGTCCCGGAAGTGCAGACGACCTGGTTGGCAGCACCATATCCTTTGACAATTTCATTCTCATCATGAGCGTGCAGTCCGGCACCAGTTGCTGCGTCACCATGATCCTCTGCATGCGTATCAGGTTTATGACAATGCCATAAATCCATCATTTCAGCCCAGTCAGGACTGGGTAAGTCTTTCCACATAACCGTTCCCTCTTTCGACGGGATAAAAAGCAGGTTCTTGCACTGCCTGCATCGAACGCGGGTTTCAGCACACATATCCTTGGCAGTCCATGGAACCTGCACTTCATATCTATCATGGCTAGCCAGGTCATTTGCAGGCCGGGAAGCCACTACTGGTCCCGTCTCAACATCAACTGGCAGTCGGAACAGTAGTTCACCATGCCCAGTGCCAGAAGGATTAGGAGTCGGCTGCGTGGAGACAATTGTGTGTGCCGCTTCTGAAACACGCGCGGGCAGGTTTAGCGTTTGAATTGTGTCCGCGCTTGAGAGACTAACCGCGCAGCGAGACGGCAAAACAGATATGGACCATTTGCCTCCAGCAAGATTCACGGCGGTATCGGGGGTGGTAGGACTCTGGGCCAAAGACGAGGAATCGGGAAAAGACACATGCAATGTTATCTGGCGGATATTCGGCAGCAACTCTGCATAGAGAAGTGGTCCTGATCCTATTCTGGATGGCATGGCTGGACCCCGCTGGGAAGAGGTGTGTGAGGCAAATATAAATCTGGGAGTTACCTAATAGCCCGAAGATGTATTGGTGTTGTTGTATAATCCTTCGACGAGTTGTTTGCGTTAATCTTATCAGATACTACACATTTGTGACAGTGAATCTCTGATGTCGCGTCTGAGTTGATTTGTTGGAGGTTTTCCCGTCGGGTGACTCAGCTAACCATGCTAGTGGCAGTCACCTGACCTCACACATTCACCTCTAGTCTTTTTATTAACTTACTTTTACAATCTCGTACTTACTGCGTATAATCTCTTCTATCTTTCTCTCTCTCTTTTTTTTAACTATTAATAAGTCTTACTAAACTAATGAAGAATTATAAATTTTATATTTAATTTAATTTAATCTGATTTCATTATTTCATTATTTCATACATTTCTTATAAGTTATTACTGTGAATTTTTTACCATACTTTTATTTTATAAAAATATGTATTTAATAGAGTTCTATAAAGAAATATTACATATTATATTAAATTTCAATTTTTCATTGTTTAAAAGTTTTATAATAACTAGTTAACTGTTGGACGTCTGAGTGATTGTATTGTTGATAGCTATCTAGTGAGTGATATATGCTTGGTGCAGGGCGCTAGTCTGTACTAGGAAGCCTAGGGCTCTCACACCCCCCCTCAGACTAGCTACCGTGCAGCTATCCTATCTATCTTTCTCAAATCATTCAAATCCGCAATAATAATTAATTACAAAAAGCAGCATCTAGTTTTCTCATTAGGACTAGGTCTGATATATGAAATTAAATTCATCTTATTCATCTATCATATTCATCATATTCTTATCCATCTTGTGAATAACTTGATTGATTCTTCATAAGTTCATAGACATTCAGGGAAACTCCTGCAAAGAATTCATGGTCTGACTGGCTCATGAGAATATCATCTTTATCCTTATTCTTCTTATTCTTTACTGTCTTCAATGCCTTGATACATTCCTTGTTACACTTCTTCCATTCAGCATTTGTGAGGTTCAGGTTCTTAAATCAGCAGTATTTGATGATATGGCCAGTATTGTTGCAGTAGTGACACTGGTGTTTATCAAATCATTCAGTGACAGGGCTCACAGTGGAAGAATGAGTGATAGTAGCAGGCATGTTGATGATGGCTCGCGTGGCCAGTTGATTCATCAAATCATCAAGGTTCAGATTCTGAATAGGGCTCTGTTTAGTAGTATAGAATTCATCCAGCTTCATTCTAATGAATTCCTGTTGCCAATCTCTCAATCCTAGAATGAATAGATCATGATAGGTACACTCAGCCCAGTTTTTCCCCAGAGATATCAGCTTTGCCTTAAGATCTTGGAAATTTGCAAGATAGGTGTGGAAATCGCTGTTCTTGAGATGTAAATCTCTCATCTTTTTAGTGGTTAGAAGGTGTTCTTCTGTGTGAGATATAGCATAGTGTTGAGTGAGATTCTTCCATATAGTGACAGCAAGATAGACATCTTCATTCAATGATCTCAGAGAATCGTGTACAGTGGCATTCAAAGATTGGAAAATCTGGGTATAGAGAAGCTCATTTTTCTGATTTCAAAGCTCAATATTCAGAGACACTGTGGTAGAAGACACTGTTTCTCTCTTGATAAGAACATCTTTTGCCTGAATAAGATGAGCATCTGCAAGGATTGAACTCTTTCATTCCAAGTAGTTGACAGATCTGTTGAGAATGATTACATGCTTTTCTTTCAGCTTGGCTTTGGCATTCTTTCAATACTCACTAATAGGGTCCTGAGTAGTTGACAGAGAGCTTGAGTTGCTCCCTAGCTTTTGTATGAGCATTTTCATTCATTTGTCCTGTTTCTCCATATAATCCATCATCATTCGAATCATGGCATTTTCATTCATTTGACCTCCAGTTTGAGATCCCATTTCACTCCCTCTCAGCATGGGAGTAGGTGTATCCTGCCTGTATTCTTCATTCATATCCATGTTGCTTGCAGGTGTATCCAACAATCCTGCAGTAGCTTGTGTTCTTGAAGACATTTATTTACTCTCTCTTTGAATCAATCTTTTCCCGTGATCAAAGCTTTCAAAACAGTTGCTTTTTATCAGGTTCCTTCTGCAGTTCAGCGATGCAGCTCGCGAGACATTTTATACCTCAGATAAGAGAAAAAGTAGTGATTGTGAAAGGTTTAATGAAAAAAAAAGCTATCCGGGCTATAACCTGTTGAACATCTGAGTGATTGTATTGTTGATAGCTATCTAGTGAGTGATATATGCTTGGTGCGGGGCGCTAGTCCGTACTAGGAAGCCTAGGGCTCCCACATTAACTAACTTAACTAGTTAAGTTACTAGTTAATTACATAATCTTGTATTGAGCTTTAAGTTATAATAAAGTAAAATTGAGAATAAGATCATGATTCTAAACTTTAATACTGTTTAGTTAGCTATAGGGGAAAGAATTTAAATTGAATATGTATAATTTTTATAAATACAATATCAATAAAATTATTACATCAGAATATCTGATACTGTATTTAGTTCTGATTCTGTTTTAACAGAGTCTGACCTTAGCTGTATTGTGGCGGAAGCCTCTTGACTTCCACCCCTTAGTTAACCTTCCGCTCCACCCTCGGGCCGTTCCCTTCCTTCTTCCGCCCGCACTTAGGCCCTACTATCTTCTTTTCTATTATAGCCCCCGCGATCGCTCCTTCTATGACTGCAATGGGCATGTTTATTTGTATATAACAGAGAGCGTACGCCCAACTATCTTAGAAGAATCAGACATGATTATATTCTTTTTGCAGCCACCTGGGTATATCTGCTGTATCTGAATAAATCAGTTACAGTTTAAGTAAAGCTAGTCTAAGTCTCAGACTGCTCTGAAATGAAGATTCTTGAGTGATAACAGTATTACAGCTTAAAAGGATCCTCCATACCCACTTAAAATGTACAGTACTGTACGGAGGACATACGCTGTATAAATCCATAATCCATCAGTAAGTTGACAGTGGTAGCTGAGCCGATGATCATCGGGCTGCTGCTGACCAGCACTAAAGGCAACATTTTGCAATGTACAGAGTATGCGTCCATGAAATAATCACTTATTAGGCAATTTGTGTACAAAGTCCGCATATACAAAATTATGCAACACTAACAAATTTCCGACCAACTATTACTTTTTCCAAAATAAGTCAAGACCACATTACCTACAACAGACAATTTAGTATGTCGAAGCCCGCACACACTCAAAAACTCCCACTTTGTTCTCCCGTGAGAATTAATCTCTCTAATCACCAAAACCTCCAAATCCTTTGAATTCATCAACAAGCTTGACTGCGGCCTTGATGTAATATTCGTCGCTATCACCCCAAGTCCTCGCGGCCTCGTTGAGCGCCCGAACTCCTTTGATGAAATGAGTCTCTTCTGCCCACTTACCACTGGCGGCTTGGCCACCGATCCAGTCCCAGCCCCGCCCCTTTGTATTATAATTTTTAATCGTGTCAGGATCTATTTTGGGCCGTAGCTGTGCGACGTAAATGCCTACGACGATCAGCCACCATTGCCGGAGGAGAGAGACGTGGTATTTGCCTAGGACGAAGGGTAAGAGGATCCGCATTGCGTGGCTAGTGGTAAGAAGGTGAACAAGGAAGAAGTCGTGTTTTTCTGTGTCTGCGGCCACAAAAATGGCTGCTGCGGCTTCCTGAGATATTTCAAGCTGTTTGGTAGGGTCAGGGGTGATCATCCATGCGCGCCAATGTTCAAGAATTGCATCTTCATAGTTTTCAAAGACAGTTTCCAGATTGTCGCCGCCGGGTTTTTCGAATAAGTTATCGAAGCGTTTGTCTGTACGGATGTTATGTAAGATTTCCAAAGGTGAAGCCGTTTGGTATGTGGGTGGCGGTTCAAGGTAGGAAGGATCGTCTATATATTTGTGTAGGTAGTTGTAACAAGTTGCTGTCATTGCGAGACTTTCAATAGCCACATCTCGACTCGACATTTCATAGGCATATCCTAAATGGATGAGTGGGTGTCCAACTGTTCAATATTGTCAGGTTAATGCGCGATTAATTCATGTGTACATTTATACTTGACCAACTTACGGCCTGCAACGAGACAATTTATCAATGGTTTATTGCCCGAATAAAGATAGACCTCGGCAACTTTTTTCCAGTCAAAGGAATGATGGACGAGCTCGTCCTCGAAAAAGTCGAGATAGGCTCTTTGATATCTGTTGCAGTCAGTTATACCTACGAACATGGAGGGAAATATAAAACAGGAGATAGCCCGTGACCCTATGTACTTACTCTGGCTTCCCCAAAAAATCCCTCCAGTCGTCCGCTGTAATCTCTCCAGGCGAATCCCGCCACGGCTCCAGTACCTTGGCCTCCATCTCGTAAAGACGGTTCAGATGGTCTGCATCACTTCCAAATAAATACGCTGAAGATAGCAACTGATAGCAAAAGACTGTAATTAGCCATACGCCCACCGGATCAACATTTTAGATATTAGCCTCCAGACAATCTTACATGTGGCATATGATTATGGAAGCGGTCGTTATGATAGAGAATTGAATAATTGGCATGATTCAGCTTTAACAGATGTTTCAACGCCCGGGTAGGCTTTTCCTTTGCCGTCTCGACATCGTGGATTTCGACGGAATCTATTTTAATCGCGCTGGGATCACCTGTGACTGACGAGAAGAGGTTTTTGATGGAAGGGAATGAAAAGGAGAATTGCGAAAACATTTTTGGAGAATGACGACTATGGCACTGCTTATCTACTACTCCCGTCAATTTGGTCGTCTTTTTATATATTAATCGTCCACTCCCAAAGGGCCGGGAAGTAAAGTTCAAGATTGGGCCCAGGCGGCTTGCCAGCATATATTGATTGCAGTCAAGCTCCGTGCGCGTTGGCCAAGGCAAAGCAGCTTTGAAGTGATATTTATCAAATTAAGCATAAACTGGAATCACGGTGGCTCTAAGGCAGAATAGTGAAAATGAGACCAAAAATTTGTTAACATCTTTGTCCTGCTCGGGGAGTAGAAATAGCAGCTCACACAGCTTGGGAATTGATGATATCACCTCAACGTTGAGATGACGATGTTGAGGCCTGCAGGCTTGGCAGACGCCGCTGGGGTCATGTGATGTTTTCTTGTTGGGAGCCGGAGCTTGTGATCCAAAACGAAGTAAGAAACATCTTTTTTTGTTCTGTGCAGAACAGATTAATAATGGAGCAATGGCAGCCGGGGACAATTGCTAAATTGTTATTTGGATTTTGAAAGGATGTTTCTATAACACTCAAAGCATGGAGGATGCATTCAATTGGGAACAATGGTTCACCAGCGCAACAAGTACTAATCCTGCAGCCGGATCATCACCTCAGATAGAAGCCTGCTAAATCTTCCTATCAGGGGAGTCTGGGGGCCACTAATTATAAGTTGAATATTTACTTCTTATCTCTTAGGACGCTTCTTTTAGTCTTGCGGCATTCGTCGCTTCGGTTTGCTTCAACAGACACCGCGTCCATTTCAGCTGTCTCCTCACGTTCCATTCTTACATTGCACTCAGTAGATTTATTCTACTCCACCCTGACAGCTCCCACACATAAAAAGAAAACTACCACGGGATTCCGGCACTAATAATGGACCTTATCACACCGCCAATGGTGCGATTCGAAATGCTGGATACGGGTTGCAGGGTTCCGTTCTTCAGCAAGCAAGTCGGTTCGAGGCACGGCCGCACGGGACGAGGCTGGCGTTTGGAAAGCCGTGCGAGAGGCCGCGGGGGAAGAGTCCAAAAGCTCTAGCCCTGCCATACCTGACAATTCTATTCAATGGGGGCCAAATAGTGTGGAGAAAAATGATGGAAACAGGCAACTGACGATCGAGGATTAACCTCGCTAGATACACGCCTCGGCAAGGTCTGGATAACGCACAACCTACGAAATGAAAGGGTCATGATTGCTCCTCGGCAACGTTTTCTCCGTTTCGTCGGTCAGAGAATCAAGTATGGTGGCGTTGATATACGAGGCTTCACTTCCTGCGGAAACCCTTTCAATCATAAATGACAACTCTGTGTGCGCAATTGTGCAGTTGGGATTACACCTGCATTATCCCCATGCACATCCTAGATGCAACCAAGGCGCGTGCCAATTCAACTAAAAAGCGCTGCCGGCATATCCCTCGTGGCTTGGCCTAGAGCAGTGACCAACGAATCCAGTCAACCAAGGAGGATCCACAGAAAATCCCCCAAAGAGTAATTTTGTCCTCCCAATAACGTCCTTGCAGCTTGCCAACCCAGTCAGTCGCCAATAATAATATTTCTTGGGCCGCCCAGGACGGTGTCCCCGACGGTTAGGCGTGGAAACCCGATACGCCACTAGTAGATACGCGAAGAACCCCGCTATTACGAAGATTCTATCAGGCCTCGAGCGGGGAAATTATTCAGGGGATCAGGCACCCCGCTTGGTATATAACTGTTGATATTGACATGGCATGTAGGATTCAGCCCGTAACCTGCTTGCAATGGAGGCTTGAGCCTCAGGACCCCAGCTTTCGAACAGAAATGCCTGATTTCGGACCTGGTGTATAATTCCGGGGGTAGGGCCTTGCAGCAATCCAAGTGGAGGGATGAGGCTAAACTGGGCACTTGCCTTGGTGAGCACTTCCATTTTTAACACCACCTCCAAAATCACTTCGGAAATGTTCACGGCTCCTGGAACGGGAACAAGCATTTGCCATATCCGAGCCATTCCAAGATATGCCCTGCGCACAAATTGCTTAGTGAACCTTGTCATCTTTCCTGCCTCGTCTGTCCGCACAACCGGCCCGTCCCGGACCCCGGCTTTCAGCTTTTTCACCAGAACGAGGATGGAAAACATGAAGCATACCATCTTTTGCCACCGTGTAGTGACAACGCATTCTGATGATATCGATAGCGATTCCAAAGTTCCCGCTCTTCTTGGCCCCAGTTCTTGGGTAGCAATGGACCTATCTACAACGTTCCATTGCCCTCGGTGTTCGGTATGTCTACTCAACGAGAATGCGGGCATACCCAGTTTTTAAAATTCCCTCAGGAATACGATTTCTATGGAGACGCCATATTAGGCCTCGTCCAATGAAATGCAATATATCCAATCTGTTTCCTCTGCAGAATAAATACTCCGTCCAGCTGAACTGCTCTGGTGCATTATCCGAACCGAATTCCTCTCCAACACGGACGTTACATACACAAAGTGCTATTCCTGCCACGCTTCCGTCTGGGAAATGCAGCTGCGGCCCATCAGGTCTTCATATGACAATATCAGAAACTAAAGGTGCGCTTACTAAAGCACGGATTTGTGATACACCCCCCTGCTGTGAAGTTCCAGACTCGCAAGGGAATGGCCTTTTCTGTGGCCTCATATACGAGAATCAAAGTTTATTCACCCCCACTTGTCGCCTGAATTTTGGATGTCAACTTAGAAGCCTGGAGTTCCGCATTTGTGGTTAGCCGCCTTTGGGACATCCTAACATTTCTGCCACCGCTTCACCACGCCTTGCCCAATTACCAAACAAAGTCGGCGCAGTGAAATGTTGGAATTGTGCATCGGAGTCTTGAGCGTTTGTCCAACAAGACGTCGAGCAGGTAAGTCAGGAGAAGGTTCAAGGTCGTGGTGCTATTGAGCCAACCAAACGAGCTGAACTTATCAATCGAAAGTTGGCACATCACCACGACTCCATTCCATTCTAAATGTTCGCGACGCGGATGATTTCCAACGCACAGGGATCTTCAGCTCCGCTTTCTACGCTATCCGGGGAATTTACCTAATATTCGCTATTTCCAATTTCTATGCCGCTCGTTGTTTGTGGTATCTCGAACCGTCTCTCCGAAACCGTATGCGCTAGTCCCGAGATGCAGTTCTCTGCCACGCAAGGAACTGGTCTAAGATTCTTACCTTCATCTCTCCTGGTTTTGTTCTTCAACCGTCATCTGCTTTTAGCTAATTAGGGGGTACATTTGAGCATGCGTACCCTCAAGTTACCAGGTTTCCGTTTTGAAGGTTCCCTGCAGCTGTAACCCAATATCTGGTATGGGATCATATCGATGTCTTGGTGGATTAGGCCCCACCTTCTCGTACAGCAAGGGGTTGCGTATTGAGGGCTGGTCCGGTGAAATGGTAACGGAAATGCAATATCAATATCTACCGTGCTCATTAAACTGGTCGTATAATACCCTGTTATTATCAATCGCTGGAATTATATGCCATCTTCCTCAACTTAAAAGGCCCGAAGTCCGCGTGCCTGGACTCTCTTGTCCGACTGGAAATCATTCCTCTCATTCTCTCATTTCTTAGAGGAGATATATGCAATATTTCGATTAGCATTGCCATTCCGAGAAGTTTCTTCAACTCTAAGGAAGTATGGCACACTTCCCGCGCATCATTGCCACCTTGTGGCTATTGGTGCAACTCACGGGTGCAATTCCTAGGCCGGAATTACAACCTATCCCTCGCTCCCTATGGGACGGCACCTCGGAACCAAACCTCTCAACCAGGGAGGTCGTTCAAGCTGCCGCAGTAGCGGCAATCAAACCTGTCGACAAGGAGGAATTCTTTTGGGCTTCAACTGATAGTAGGTTACTCGCTTTCACCTCTCTTTCTTAGGCTCTGCTAATACATCTCTGAAGAACCGGGATCGAAGGCCGTGGTCGTCAGTTTGGTGTCTTTGTCCAAGGCATCCGAGCGTATCATTTCCTTGGATAAAATTGACTTTCTTATTCAGTCCGCCAGCTGCAATGCTAAGGACATGTCCTTCAAATTCATTCATCCCTTCGTCTATGCTGCTGTCAAGATTTACTGGGACTGGGTTAACTTCAACGATATGAACACTTTTGTTGTAATCCCTAACTCCAAGAAATGTGGAAAAGACAGAGAACAAAATCCGTGGATAGCCCGTCGTGTCATATTTGATGACAAAAACCAAAGAGTTCGTCTTGAAGCTACCAAGAGCACATGGAAAAAGGTAATGCAGACTTATACCTTGGACTTCGGCGAAGTGATTCTTGGATCGAAAGGCCTTGTCAAGCGCGATATTATTCCAGATCTTAATGAGAAATTCAGACTTGGTATTGGAGCGACGCTGCCAACTCGAATTTTCGGCTGGGAAGTTAACAAGGGCCCGCTCAAGGGTAACCTTACTGCCAATTGCAATTCCTGTGGCACCCAAGGTGCTTTGGTGTTCGCTGGCCATGTTGAAGCCAGCCTGGGTTGGACCGGCTTTGATATCGACAAGTTTGAAATTTCCGTCAAACCCGAGGGAGTTGGGGTAAACCTTGAGCTAGAGTTGCTATTTGATGCTCATCTCGACTTCCGCCGTTTCGTTAAACCTTCTCAGGAGATCAAATTGGTGGAAATTCCCATCTCAGGATGGAACATCCCTGGTATCTTCGAGTTTGGTCCTCGAATTCAACTGAATGCCGGGTATGAGATCAGCTATATCTCAGGAACTGCTTCCGCAACAGCTGGAATTTCCGCCCGTATTCCTGATAGTGCTATCGCAAAACTAGATCTTTTATCCAAAAATTCCGTGCAGGTTTCTGGATGGGCTCCGGTTGTTGAAACACAACCACTTCGAGTGCAAGCTCAAGTTGATGCGGAGGCATCAGTTTACACCGAGGTCGCATTATCAGTTAGCATTACAGTTCTCGGTAAGATCCCTTCATCCCCATCTAATACGAACCTAGGCTAACGAGAGCTATAAAGACGACAACGGATTTGGCGTTGATCTTGCCCTGAAGGTCCCGAAGGTGACTGCCACACTAGGCGCTGGTTTTGGTAATTCTTCTCCTTCTATTTTGACTGATATCCTAGATTAGCTAACATGTGTTCAAGATACCGCTGGTTTCTGCCCCAACAAGGCCAATATTTTTGGAATCAAACTTGATGTTATGGTAGGGGCCGATCTAGATCTGGAAGGCTGGCGAGAAATCGACGGCAAGAGGAAAACTCTCTTCAACGTAGATATCTTCGAGAAGCCAGATATTTTCGTTTTCCCCCAACTATGTCTCGGCTTCGATGATGTAGCTCCAGGGTATTGCCTCGGCGGTAAGAAGGAAGAGGACGACGAGGACGACGATAATCACCCAGGCCATTACGTCCGAGGACGAAGAGCACGGATTCCCGGAACTCTTTCTCCCCCAGTATCTCGACGCCAAGATCCAGACACCGGAAGGAATCCCATTCCGATGAAGTGTGATAAGAAGAAGACCGTTCAAATTCTGAAATATCCAAGTCCAGTAGACTTATCAAAAGATACCCGCGTGCCGATTTTCGTGCCAGACATCCCATGTGGTGAAGCTTCAGAGGACTGCTGGCCAAATGCAAATATCAGTGTGATCACTGTACCTCTCGAACAACGCGCCATTGTGGATCAGACTGGGTTACTTGACCAAGAGAAATGGGCCTGTAAGTGGCAGTGCCTCTGATCTTCCAAAAATACTTGACAAGTTTGGTAAGCTGACGTACATGCAACACAGCCGAACATGTGTATGAGGCCAACTGGGTCCGAGACTATCTGGATTTCCTCCAAAAGAAACTAACTGGCTCCGTGAACGGACCTTGTCATGCTGCTGTTGTGAGGTTTTGGGATAAGTTGAACCCAACGTACCCTGCGCCGGGCGGAGCACCCGCGAAAGCAAGTTATGTGGAGGCATTGGCGCAGCATTTGGGCACTGTAAACACTGCGTACGAACCCCGCATGGCCATTATCCAGCAAAGGCTCAACAATCTGAAATACCTGGTGAGTTAAACCAAATGATTTTTTCACCACTGGGAAATAGCACAGCCAACTGATATCTTCACAGATGTTTGCGGAGAAAAACCTTATCGCAGGCCGTGACGGTGTGGAAGGTCGAAGAAAGGTGATCAACAACCATGGTAGATTTGTGTGCGAACTAGCTCGCATCTCCGCCACATGCAAGTACTTCGCACACTCCGCTGCTCAGGAGGCTTTGAAAAAGTCCATCCTAGGGATTGAAGAAGTCCTGTAAGAGACCTTTTCCCGAGCTTTAATCATTTTTCCTTCCACTCCAGCATCCATCGTATACTCACAGCTTGATTAGGGGAATCGCGGACAAGGACAATAAAATGAAGGAAGCCGGCATCTCCTTCCAACAAGTCCACAAGGATTTCTACCAACAGTTCCACGACGCCGCCATCAAGTGGACTCGGGACCAGCTGCAGACTTATGCAAAATTCTTGCTAGAAGACCCTATCGGAATGGATGAGTTACCACCTGGATTTAAGGAAGAGCTTCAGCGGATACGGGACGATGGGGAATACCGGAAGGACTTGTGCCCTCAAACTAAACGCACTGGCTGGTGATTATGTTTGTGAGGTAGGCTCTGGCTATATGCCAGTTACATTCTTTACAGGGGAGAATATATATTTCCATGTTATTTAGATAGTACCTAAGAAGCATTATAAGCTCACACCTCCCTTTCGCGTTTGAAATTGATGCATTTACCTACGCTACGTAGATGCCCTAGTCGGACTAGTTGTAGATCTACGGCAGCCTATTACGGCAGCCTCCAGTGACAAATGGGTCAGATGAGTATTTTATACTAGTGTTTCAATGAGCATACATCATGATGCTGATTGCATTAGCACTCAAGATCTCCTCATTGGAGGTTGTACATGGGAGGGCTCTATACCTGGGGGACTCTATACCCGAGGGCCTCTATACCTAGGGAGGGGGCTCTATACACCTGAGGATGAGGATTCCATATGTTGAGAGATCTGTGGAGTTGGAGCTCATAGCTGAAAGCCAAGACGCACTAAATCATATATAACTAACTAGAGGTTTTATTATTATGTGGAGTTTTGCTTTTACACTGAAAAACCATTGTATGGCAGCTGACAGTTGGGATTGGAGATAATACATATTAGCGACGGGCTCATTAGGCGCTTAATTCACCATAAATGGTTCCCAAGACCTCCCTACACCCCACCCCGTTTACTAGCTGGTCTCTATGAATCAATATGTATCGGTTGCAATGATTTACGAATGGGGGCACTTGAAGCCTAGCCGTCGGGAATACAATGTGACAAGCCGTCGATGGCGAAAGGCCAATTTCCCAGGGTTGTTCCTCATTTCCAGCGCTTATGCAAAGCACGAACGGATATATATATATAAATATAAAGGAAAATGAGGTCTTTGCTTTGAGCATCAGTTCTTCAGTTCAAAAACCAAACCTGCAAATGTCACTCGCAGAGAACAGAACATCAATTTCTTCAGAGCTCACAAGTCATATAAAGTAAGTTTCTTTCAGTGCAAGTCCTTGTATTCTAGGGCGAATGCTTATGCTTTCTAGGAAATGTCTGACTATCTGAGTTCTAACACTCCGGTTAAGATGATCAGCTTCTCAGAGTACTGTAAAGTCAACAGTTGACAGTTTAGGAGGAGAAAGGGTGTGCAACAATGGACTGAGGTTTCCCCTCAAGGTGGCTTTCAAGAGAGCACTGAGTTGTCACCTCTCCTCCTCTCCCTTGTACATCAAGAACAAGCTCCTGGTGAACCGCTCCATTGGTCGTTGTTCGTCGCCCGCGAAGGCCAGACTAGTATGTATCAAGTCAACGACGATGCAGAATTCATGACATACCAGCTTGGGATAGCCCGGTTGACATCACCACCTTGACATCATTCTTCAACTTGTACAACATAGCAATTGTGACTGAACTGCAAGCTGGGATTGTGAAACAGGTTGCAGGACAAAAATCCCCACCTCAAGCACCAAGTTGGCAAGCTGTCACAGAGAATTGCCAAGGATGGGCTGTGTGTGTGATTGCTAAGCTCATCATCAAAAGAGGCATCATTGAGAACTTTGAAGCTTGAAATGACATGGTTGATGTTACAACAAGGCTGATAGTGAAGCTTCTAAAGTGGCTATTAATATATGCTATTCAGGCCATGATGAGATAGATGAAATTTGAGGTGTTCAGAAAAGAAGTTAAATATCTCAAGTTCAATCTGAGTCTGTTCTGAGCCATCTCTGTATGTAAACATTGCACTGTGTCTAAGCTTATCTGTTCTATGTTGTTTGGCTTTTGTTCATACACAGTCTGCTAGATCTGATTTAATAGTTATTTATTTTCATTCTCTACTAGTATTCAGAACCTCACCTGATTTTCTCAGGTTCATCTTTGTATAATTGCTTGCTCTCTTTGTGTGAAGATGTAATGTTAAGTAAAGCTTGATTGATTTGAAAAGTATGCTAGCTACATAGCAAGGTCTTCAAGACTAAAAATGTTTCAGTCTATTTTGAGTTTTCTTATAAAGAATGAGATTGATTCAGTTTTGATACTCATTATTTTGAGTCAACTGAATTAGCACAGATATCATACTGAAAAATCAGAATAAATGAATAAAATTGAAATCTTGAAACATAGACAACAAGATTGTAAAGATTGACTTGAGAAGTGAGAAGTGAGAACTAAGAATGAGAAGAGAACTGACAGAATATGAGAGAGAGAAGAAAAGACATTTTATAGACATCTGATTGAATAAGATGAAAAAGAGAGCATATGATGAGACTGTAAAAGAGAGTCATTTTTAGTGTTATTTTTATAATAGATTGAAATCTAGATGAATGACTGTTGAGCAGATGTGAAACATCATGACTGAAAGATGATGATTAACAGTGCTAGATGAGTACAAAAAAGTGATGATACTCAGCAATGAGTGATGAAGCACTGACTCACCCTTCAAAATTACAGATGAAAAGACAGTTATTAGCTGTTTCTGATGTCCATTTTCATGTCATTTTCACTGGTCCTCATATTCTAGGTGTTAATGTCAATAATTACAGCATGCACATGTTGACAAAACAAAAACACGAGGGAAATGCGCTACAAAATGGCCTCAACAATGTGCACTTCAAAATATATCTGTACACTATACCCAGAAGAAATATCAGTACATATATACACGCAGATGGTTATGGATTAGCGGCTACAATCCGCCAAAAGCCTCAAGGGGCAACACGATCACGACGGTTTATCACTTCGGACCAAGTGGTCAGTCCGGATAACATATTCGTCCTCTTCTGCTTCATCACCATTGGTTGCCATTGCCAGACCATCAACAACAGTGTCTTTGCCCTTCCCTTTCGACCCGCGTACGGCTGTTCCATTCACATCCCCTACATTCTCATTACCAACCGGGCTATCAAGGCCATTTTCCATATCCTCATCAGGCTCCGAATGTTGATCAAGAGAGGATGGCACTACGGCGCTCTTCCCCTTGGCCCCGCTAACATTATTTTTGCCCTTGCTCCGTGAGGCCTTATTGCCGTGTTTGGCTCGATGAGGTAAAATTGAGGAAGCGGTTGATTTGTTGGCGTTGTTTGTAATGTTTGCTAGTGTGGGGTCCTCTAGACGTGTCCCGGGTTTAAGCCCATTGACCGCTTCGCCTATTGTCAAAGGAGCGTGCGAGGAAGTTTCTGGGCCAGCTGTTATACTTGGCCTTGGTTTCTTTGCATCGTCCACTGATTCGAAGGTGCGGCGAACTCGTTCGAAATGTTCAAGCTCTTTGGCGCTGTTGACGGGTATTATGGTTAACATCATTTGTTCCAGAAACCGAACTGGCAGGGAAATGGAATATTACATACCTAACGCTGGCAACAAGTTCACTCTTTGCCGCTATGAAATCTTCTTCCGTCACCATGACTGCGATATCTTCAGGGGTCGCCAAATGATCGAAGAAATAAGCCGTCGTAACTGGTCCCCCGGGCAATTCTTTAATTTTCTCGTCCACAGCACTAGCTTTGCGTGTGATGGCCTTGAGCATAGCGTCAGAGCATAATGCATATAAATCAGCGCCCGTGTACGTAAAGGGTAGCTGCTCAGCAATCCGCCGTAGCGAAAGGTCTGGATGTAAGTTGAATTTCCGCGTGAGCGCTTCTAAAATAGTAACTTGTTTCTCATGTGTATCCGACACACCGAGATAAAGCATTTTATCGAATCGCCCTGGCCGGAGAAGTGCAGCATCCAGGAGATCAGGACGATTGGTGGCTCCAATTACGAAAACCCCGCCGCCATTTTCGTCTCCACCGCTCATCCCGTCGAGTTCGGCGAGAAGCTGGGAGACGATACGATCCATGACGCCACCGCTATCTCCTTGGTTTCCACGCTTCGGTGCGACGGAGTCCAACTCATCGAAGAACACTACACAGGGTCTGGCATCGCGGGCGCGCTGGAAGACGCGTCGAACGTTTGCTTCAGACTCTCCAATATACATATTGAGTAGTTCGGGACCCTTGACTGAGAAGAAGTTGAGAGAGAATTCTGTAGCGATAGCTTTGGCGAGGAGAGTCTTCCCGGTTCCGGGGGGTCCGTAAAACAAGATGCCACTTCGCTTTTTCATGCCCTTCGCAAAGAGCTCTGGTCGTTCGAGTGGGAGTTGGATGGTCTCCATAACAGCATCCTTGACATTTGTAAGGCCTCCAACATCATCCCAGCCAACGTTCGGAATATTGGGTGCACCAATGGCGTCTGCAAAATTCTTTCTGGCGGCGTCCACAGCGGCATCGAAATCCTCTTTTGTCACACATCGAGCTGCATCTCCACCTGCAGCTTGGATGTCTCGCACGGTGACCTTTAATCTTTCATCCGAAGTTGTAGCACTCTCTGCTAACTTTTGCAGACGAAGAGTTTTAACAGCAACAGCACGCTCAACGACATCGACAAGATCCCCCGCAACGAGAGCGGCGGTTTTCACTGCGACTGATGCCAAGTCGACGTTAGCTGAAACTTTGATGCCTTGGTCATAGATCACGTTTCGCAGGATCCCTTCTCTTTCCTTTTCCTCTGGAGCTGTCATTTCAAGTTCATGGGTGAAAACGCTTCGAATGCCCTCGGAAACTTTCTCAACGTCGGTCGTTGTAGCGATGATAACTCTCGCGTCTGCCACGATCTCCTTCATTGCTGTAACCATCCTGTCAGTCGTTAAGACATCAATATGCTGGATTAGCAAAGCAGTGCAGTTTGCTCCACAGGTAAATGCCCTATCCGCCCTGGCTTTAAGGAATGCCTCCGTCTTGACGTCTCCCCCATTTGCTCCCCCTTCGGCCAGAATATCGTAGGAATCGATCGTAAATGTGTGAATACCAACTTCGGCACATGCACGCCGAGCAACCGTTGATTTCCCAATGGCCCGCTGGGTAGAAGTAAGTAGGATAACAACTGGTTTCATACCTAGTTGGATTGCCCTAGGGCTTGTAGATGCAGAAATAAGCTCCCGAAGGCGTTTCTGTACTGCAGGGACAAATATCGTGGGAGGCTCTGTGACGAAGGAACGTGACTTTCCTATATCACTACACGTTTTGGGCAGCGGCTTCACACCCAGCCAATACTCCCACCCATTATATAATGTCCCGGGTATGGTACTTATTACACTTCCGGCCTGTACCATTCTCGTCGAAGAAGTATCAATGACAGCCACTCCCCCCCATCGCTCATCTTCAGAGCCGTTTTCTAATCCTTCTACAGGAGCAGAGACAACCTGGCTCACACGAAACCATGCAACGCCCACCTTCCTCAATGCGTTCTGGGGTCTCGATTGCGAATCAGGAGAGAAACCAAGCTGAGCCGTCACATCATCATCTTCACCAGGTTCAGGACCCTTCGTAGAGGAGAATATTGTTTTTCCTAGCCCTTCATCAACGCTTATGCCAATGAGATCACCGCTCTTCACTAGCCGTTGCTTTGATTCAAAATGGCGTTTTAATCCAGCAAAGAGAACTGGCTGGAGGGACCTGTCCATAGAAAGGGGTGTGGAAATTTTAAGTAGGGTAACTTCTTTTGCAACAGGCGGTGTTTTGGGTGAACTTGATTTTGATTGTACAATCCCAGGCCTTGAGCTCGAATGGTGAGACCCATGAACCAATATCGGAGAAAGTTTTAAGTATTTGGGGTTTTCCAGATTGTTTAACAGGATGGGTGGCACTAGCACAGTAGGAGTAAGCCCATGGGATGGCATCTGCGATATGGTTGATCGTCTCGAATATCGCGGTCTTGGAGATGTTAGTCCTGGAAGACCGTAAACCCTTACAGCCCTCCAAGTCATATCATCAGCAGCATTCTCCGTAAGCCTGTTCAGGCCATCAAACTTTAGAGAAGATAGCATATTGAGCTGAGGTTCCTCAGCAGCTTCGATCCTAACCCAGTCACCTGAAAAACAGCCGATTTTGGCAAGTGTGTGAATATCCACGTAAACGAAGGAGTCGGAATCTTCGGACTCTCGTGGCTTAGGGTGCAAAATATCATTAGGTATTCTCTCCATCAGTCCTTCTGCTCGGAATGTTTTTCCAGCATATCTTCCTGTACGCGCAGTGGCGCTTGTGAAGCTGGAGAGCATTGACCCTGGGGTATGGACATCGAATCTCTTGTCACCTGGGCGCGGAGTCGCAGAGGTCATTGCGGACATTGTCCCTGAAGGTTGTTGTGGCAGCTCGGGGGCTGCCAACGAGATCATATCATCCAAGGAGTCGTCAGAACCATCGCTGTAACTCTGAGCAGAAGTGTCTGTGTCGGATTCGTCAGGTGGTGATGTACTTTCCATATCTGTGCCGTTCGATTTCTCTTCCGCGGCCGAATAAAACTGTTCATTTGAGGTATCGTCTGCTTCATCTTCTGCCACCTCTTTTAACAGCGCCTGGCCTGGAGATGGCAGACCCTTAGATATACGAGACTGTTGCTGCGATTTGGTTTGGACAAGGACGATTCGAGTAGTAGGTTTGACTAGGCCTTGAGACACAGGCTCGCAGAAAGAAATTCTGGCAGGTGGGGGTGGTGCATATGTGATAGGATGTGAAGGTAACGGCAGAGGAAGTAAATCCCCCGCATGTAATATCCTTTGTGCGGAAATCGCCTCACGAATAACACCGATTAATCGCTCTTCTCTTTCAGCAGCAGCCTCCTTCGTCTCTTTGGAAGACTTTTTTATCAGGTTCTCTGGGCTCCGTCCCTTGGCCCAGAGGCCATTGATCCCCTGTGTTCCTGGACCGAAGCCCCCACCGAACTTATTTTGAATCTCATCCACTGTGCTGAGCAGATGGCGCTCCACCGTCACATAGACTGTATCCAGATAAAGCGGGACGACGTCCAGCACATGAATTTCGATTGCTCGTTGGCTCGATATAGAGTTGCGAGTTGGGTCAAGTGTCTCGAGTGCTTGAACAAATGACTGGATTGATCCAGCAAATGCTGGGAAATGGACGGTCGAATGGGATATTGGCGAAGCTTGGGATTTAGCGGGCGACTGGAGGCGAACCGGGAGAAAGGTCCACGGCAAATCCTCCACCGGGAGATTATGCGGTGACCATGGAGATATGGCGATATATCGCACTTCCTGTGATTCCGCTAGAGCTATGACACGATCAGTATAAGTGATCCAGTCTACATTCAGAGTATATTTCCTGCGCAAAGAGCTTGGTCCAGGGTATGATCAGAGTCACAAGGCGTAGACGTACCTTCGATACTCGACCCTAGAAACAAATATGTAGCTAAATCATCAGAAAGGGTTCCAACATCCCCTCGTGCATGATGATCAAGCACCAGTCTCCCAGATACGGCGTTCTTGTTCGCTTGTCGTCGTCGAAGGCCTTCCCTCCGCCGGCGACGCTTCAAGTCCGTAGAACCCCGCGAAATTGTCTCCATCCTGTCTTCCTCACCATACGTTCATGTAAACCCCTGTAATTCAACAACAAGGCGTAACGTAGATAAGCACGGCTGGTGCGATCAAGACAGATGAAAACCTGTAGATGCGAAGCAGAGTGTTGGTGTTGCAGCGGCGGTTCCGTGGCCGACAGACCAAGCTTGCTTCCCACGCCCAAATCCCCCCGTCCCGATGCCGAGGTTCAGCGCGCCGGCCAAACCTCAGACGCAAAAAATCACAACCGGGTGAGAATGTACGACTAGGAACTATTAAATAGACGACAATTGCCAGTCTGTAGGAATAAAAGGAACGATGAAAGCCGGATACGGATCTCTTGCGGTGTTATCGCTTCGGCAATAATGCCCAAAATTTATGAACTCCCTAGCACGCCAAGTTATTTATTTTTATTTCTGGTTGTTGCACCCCCCCCCGGCTTTCAATGACCTCCTTATACCAGGTCCCTCCCCAGCAATTCGGAGCTACCTGGTCACCTATCACATAGCCTTAACTCCTGCCTGCTAAACCTGGGCGGTTGTTTACTTATGCAAATGTTGGGTCACTCTCGCACGCGCATGTTGAAAAACGGCAAAGAGCGCGCTTCATCGCCTCAACCAGTAACGCAGTCAAGTATCAACCACAACAAATCTGGTTCTGTGAATATTTACTTTTTTTTCCCCCAAGTTGCACATGATGATTATACAGCAGTCTCGTGGGGCTGTCATGGGAATGTCAAGGTTAATTCACCGCGCTGCTGCGAGCTGTTCTCCTACAAGCTCGTCTTCACATGCTGACGTGAAATTAGTTCCCATGCTTCGATTGAAGCCATTTCAGGGCATTCTGCAGGGAATCAATGCGTGAGGTCGGATTTAGCACACTCTCTCTAAAAAGCTACAGAGTTGATAATGATCCACGCACTGTTTTTGTTGTCTATGGCAGACAGTATCGAGCAGAATCATTTCCTCCACGGGAGCCTGAAAAAGTAGACTGCAACCCAGGAAAAGGAAAATATTGGAATGCCAGCGCCAATTAACAAGCTAGGCCACAATATCCCGATGAGCCTCTGCGAAAACGAAGTGAAACTACGGTAACAGCTGGTGATATCGGAATCACAAAACAGTCTGTGTGCAGCAAATGGAGGGACTAAAAAACAAATGGCCGGAGATGGTAACCAGTCTCCCATTCTCTTATTTATTAGTGTCCGGAACTACAAAGCATTTAGGAGAGAAACATTGCGCATAGCCCATCATCACCCACAATATACTTGGTTTTGAGAAATAAGGAGGTAATGACAGGCATAATTCAATATCGCAAACCGAAAGGCCCAAAAAAATAAACATCAGGCCTCTAAAATACGGATGGGTATGTTTTTGCCCTAGATTTAAGCCGTGTACACCATGTTCCCGGCTCTTAGGCTTCGTCCTCTCTTGATACCGAAAAGAGAACAACGTGAAAAAGGAAGGCAAGAATAAATTTAACCGGAATGGAGGGAAAAGGACAGAATCAACTACAGACGTCATCTTGATAACAGTTACCTGATGGGCACATGTTCACGGGCATACGTTGCTCAAAGCAACCCAGCAACCTCGCACAATAGTCAACGTACGCCGGGAACCTGCGAATGCGGTGCCCCTCACCGGGATACAGTACGCACACAGACTCCACCCCCTTTTCCACCAATGCTAGGTGATACATCACAGCCTGCGTAGGTGGAGTACACGGATCATGCGTTCCTGCAATCTGTAAAACAGGTGTCCAGTGCCTTCCCGCAAATATCAGTGGCCTACTCTTTTGATACCCCCCCACCCACAGTGTACGGCTCTGCAACGAGCAACATGCGGTCACAGCTTGGAATATCTGAGGTACTGTGGAGCGACACCCAACCTGAAATGGGCGCGAGGGCGACTCTAGCCGCAAATATATCTGTCTGTGTTACTATCCAATGTGTCATGATGCCCCCGTAACTCCCACCCGTTACGTCAATCCGGGACCTAGGTGCCAATCCGGCCTGGTTCAGATGCTCGATCCCGCTCCGCCCATGTCGCCGTATACCTGGCTGATGAAATCCTGGCCAAGCCCTGTCGAGCCACGGGGGTTCGGGCAGAATACGGCGTACCCATTTGCGGCGAGAAAGGGGCTGATATCAATATCTGTCCATGTGTCCTTGAGGCAAGAGACAGGTCCGCCGTGACAATGCATTATGAGCGGATAGGGAGCTCGACCCAGCTTGGGAGGCGGAGGAAACCTTGGATTTCTACCCCGTCAGGGGCTTTCCAAGTCACTGTGCGGCCTTCACCTAGTTCAGACTTGAGCCAGATCTTTCCTGAGTCCACGAAGGAGTGAGTGTATTACTGTCGTTTTTCCCATATCCAGCCTAGAAATTTGCGGGTATTGAGCCCAGCTCCCTGTAAAAATGGCAAAGCCGCCACTAGATAAAGGTGCTGCTCTGTAACTTGCAGATTCCGCCGTCCACAGCTTAGTAGTTGGTTTGGTGACCACGTCGGCTTCCTCCACGACTGTACTAGGGCCATTTAGTCCGGTATAGAAAAGTTTGGTTTCATCCACCCCATGACACGCGGGTAACATCGACGCTCCCGAGTTGCAATTGCTGAGATTCGGAATTGTCAACATCCACAAGTACCACATTCCCCACAACACCTTTTCGAGAATTACTTAAAGCCTTGATAAAAAGCAACATACTTTCCAAACCTTGATGATGCGACGCCCGCTACTTGGCTGGGTGACGGCGGGCGATATATAATTCGTTCAGTCCACTGATGCAAGTCGACTATAGAAACACGGCTCGAGTACCAGGCCGATTCAGTGAACCCGTCTGAGACAATTGCAACGGCATGGTTTGGTCCGCACCACGTAGCCTCCTACACGGTAGCTTGGGATAAACGGGCTGCAGGAATTGTCTTTTCTCTCACACAGTCATACATCACCAGCGAACGCAAAGGTCCGTCACAGCTCTCCGCCTGAACCTCCGGTGCCCAGGAAAGTATATCTTCGTCACGGGCTCTGGGTTCAGCTGTCCCAAGTAATAGTCTTACGCTGTCTGAATGCCATCTGGCCCACTCGACAGCGCTAGTCGTTGTACCAGGTATTTCAACCAGTTGTCAAAAATAATCTCCAGGAAGCAAACGACATCGATATCCCACCTTTCTTTCCCCGGTTGGACAGGAAGGAAATCTGCGTCCCGTCGGGGGAAAATTGGAATTGGGTATCTTGGTAGGGTTCGGTCTGCGAGCCTTCGCGAACAATGCGCACCCTAGCCAGATTGGATCTGATGCCTGGGTGATTTTCCCAAAGCCCGGTTCGATTGAGGTTGTTGAAGTAAGCCTCGGTTTTCCGGAACAACGTGCTGTGTTATCTCAGCAAGCTCAGCCGCTTCATGACTAATGAGCTAATCCAAAAGAGGCCATTCTCTAATTATCTTTGTGTGAAGATATGTGTTTTTAGGCTTATACGCTGTAGTAGCAGGATATTGTAGAGAAATGGGAGGAAAGATGCAAGAATAGGGGTAATGAAAGCTAGGAGCTAGGGGGTCAGTTTGCATGATATAAGGGATCTTTGAAGAGGAATCAATGGGATAACCAGGCAAGGTTTGTATATAATGTCCACACCAGCTGGCAGGTGGTTGGGTGCTTGTGTTAAGGGGGGTTGGTTGAGATGAGAGCAACAACAGGAGGTGTGACATCACAGCCTCGCATGGGCCAAGGTTCGCGCTATGCCCAAATGGGGAAGACAAATAGGATTCTGCTGTTCTTCTGGGAAGTTTGTCTAGTTATATGATCCATACATAGAGTACTCCGTAGATAAAGGAGGGGTGGGATGTGGCTTTGAAGAGGAATTTTCTCTTATGAGGAGAACGGTGTTCTACCCAATGTTCTCTTCACAGGTGGAGGCCAAGACTGGGGTCGGGGGATGCAGCGAAAATGAATCTCGACAGGGAGGAGTTTGTTGTTTTTCTCAACATTCCACCTGATCCTTGTTCGATTCCAAGTACCAACTCTAACTAACAGTTAACAAAAGTATGTTCATTAAAAAAAAAAAATTAAAAAAAAATAAAAATCTTCAATCAAGAGCGTGCGTGAACCGTCGCATCACTTTCTTCCAGGTAAAAAAAAAAAAATGCGGAATCGCCCAAAATCCCCCGAACGGTCGTCGTATGCAGGGGTGGGCTCATTAGTGCAGGATGCACAAAGCTGAAATCCAGAAGCCTGATCCTAATATTTACTTTTCTTTTTGGCATCTAAAATTATCTTGTGCGCGTGGTGGGTCATTTCCCCCCGCCTCCAGGTTCCAAAATACCTGATTTTCCCCGCCAGCAGCCGCAGGATTCAATCGAAACGAAATCAAAGGGGCAGCCTGGCAAACCAGATTTTTTTTTTTTTTTTTCTTGCAGGCCATGATGCAATTGCAATGCTACCTGCCTCGAGGACTTCGTGCCCCGCGCCGGGGGGAGGGTTCCTGAGTGTTGTTGCACCGTTATTCCCTTCAATCCGAATTCAATGATTGGCCTCATAAAATTTAGGCAGGCAATTTGTTCATGTTGTTAACGGCCAATAGGAGCGTGGAAGTTGTATGTTTACATATTTTTGTTTCTCCCTTGCTTTGCATTTATGCTGCGGCTGGCTTGTTTGGGGATGAAACATTTGAAACCCCCGCTGCAGGAGCTTTGCATTCTTGTCCACGTCGCAATGTCCACATCGCAGGCATGTGTCTCCTATTCGCGGCAGCGGTTTTCTTAGTTTCCAAGGGGTGGGTGGGTTGGGTGTTCATCACGCATTTCTGTTTCGACAGATCCGCTTGGGATTGAGCTACTCACCAAACAACTTCTTTGTCAAAAGCCAAAAAGCAGTACCTAAGCCCTTACTTGGTTGGTCCTTGGTCTGCATAAAAAACAGAAGTGGCTAGAAATAATGAGGGCCAGAAATGATGTGGCCGTGCAAAGCTTCGTGATCCTGCCAGTTTCAAATTTCATATGTTGTCTCTTTTCCCCCCTTTTTTTTTTTTTTGGTTTGATATCGAGGGAAGGGTTCAACCTTGGTGGCGAAATCGACGAGAGCGGGAACTGTCCAGTTGGCTCCTTGGCATTTTGAGCCGCAAAACCTTAAAAGTCGGGGATATTCTTGGCAATTCGGACGTTGATCCCGCCAACAATGGACAGGAGATACCGAAGGATTCGATGCATGCATTTACATGTAATTTCTTATCATTGGCGGATTCATGAAATGAATTACCTTCTTCCTCCTTTCTCACCTCTCGTTCACCTGGTTCTCTTTTGTAATTTGAGCATATTGGACAGATGACGACCGCCTGGTGACGCAACTTGGCCATGGTTATGGACTTATTAGTTGCTAGCCAGAAGATGACCGGTCCTGTGTCCGAAGGATCAGTTTTAGTGACTGGACACAGTGGACAGATAACAGACAGGGAACCAATAATGGCACTACGCTAAATTAATACTGTCCGAGCCAGTCATAAGCAAAAGCCGCGAAGAACAGGAAAGCAGGGCCAGTGCTCCAACAACAGGCCAGTCAGTTTTAGGGGTTCCTGGGACATTTGTCGTATGGTATGGAAATAACTAGCGGCAGACTGTTCAGGTCACCGAACTATTTCTGCACCAGATTGAGGCGCGAAACAGCGGCTGAAATGGACTCGGAGGAGGTGTATGGCTGGTATGGAGGTGGTATTTGGTGATGGGTTTTTTTTTTTTTTTTTTTTTTTTTTTTTTTTTTTTTCGTTGTTTTCCGTTGACAGACAGTTGTGGCTGTGGTGGTTGCTTTGGCGTTGATTGTGGGCCACGGGAAGCGCAATGATGGAAGTAGATAAGGAAGTATAGCTGGGGGGGTTGTTGTGTCTTTTCTTAGGAACTCTGCAACCTAATTTGTGGGATCTTTTCATTTCTCTTTCTTTGATTTAGCTAATTTTGAACGAGTCTATAGGCAGATATATATATATATATATATTTAAAATATAAATATAATGACGATTATTCAGAAAACAGTGGGCAGATCCGTTGTAGCGATACAGATATCGTATTTTACCATCTGCACTCTTCCCGTCACGTACCGCTGACAAAGCTCATCGGAGGCACCTTGACCCCAACTCCGACCCCCAAAGCAGCCTAGCGCGGTCCGCGATGGGCCCGGCTGTCAGCTTAGCCTGCGGGTCTCTACCAATCAGCACACGTCCTGGTTCGCCTATCAGGCAGACACGATGCTTCGCCTACGTACGCGGGCAACTGGCAGGAGGCTGCGGCTCCCGCTCGCTGCTGGGCTGCGCAGTCTCGTGTTTGAACGACGACGGCTTCCCTTCGCATCCCAACTGTTCTTCTCTTCTTCTCTTCTTCTCTTCTTCTCTCTCTCTTCCAAGGTTGTCTCTCTCCCCCCGTGTACTCTCTTAACCTCAAGCATCTCCACCACCGTGTCCTTGTCTCGTCCTCATTTCCCTCCTCCCTCAGCGTGTAGTCCTCAGTCACCCCCATCCTCCGAGCACCTCTCCTCTCTCCATCCAGTAGTCAACCCACTCGTGTCGTCTCTCAAGTGCCTGTTTGCCTTGTGCTTTTTTCTTCTTTGACTGTCAAGAACTGACTCTTTTCTGAGCACTTTTTGGCTTTGTTTTTCCTATTATTCCCTCCACCTGGATTCATCTCCCGTTTAAATATTTGTCTCCATTGGATGGTCCAACCAGGGGATTTACTAGATCTGAGAAAAATTGGATCCAGTTGTCAGAATCCCACCATAGATTTGCCAGCTATCTCATCTCGGCTTGTCTCTTTGAATCGAGGGTCAGTATAATGCGATCGATGAGTCTCGAAGTCAATTGATATGGCCAGCTGGCATGTTTTATATATATTGTTCGTCCATGAACAAATCCGCTGAGATGTCGCCGTTGTGACTCCTTCTAGACGCTTCGTCTTGCAGATCCCGGTGCTCGATCCTGAATAGTGGCCTCAATTTTTATTCTTACATCCCAAGTGAGTCATAACAGTCACTACGTTCCATGTTTCCTTCTGTCGGGGAGGGGAGACGAAAGGGTGTAGGCGGGCTGCTGTGTGTATTGTTGTCGTTCCTGTGCTAACTCGTTCTATTCTCCTACATAAAGCCAGTGAATCCCCCCCCCCCCCCCCCCCGTCGCAAGTATGTCCGAACCCCGGGTTCATTCTCGTCGTCGACCTTTTTATAATACGAACCTCCCCCACCTCTCGACTATATCTTCTTCTTCTTCCTCTTCTCCTTCAGATCAGTCGTCGGACCCAGCATGTCGTCGCTCAACACTACCCCATAGCATGACGTTGAAGAAAGGTGCCACCTTCCACTCTCCAACGACACCGCCGTCCGAGGATTCTGATCCGATCCCCAACTTCCACTCGCTGCTTCGACGCTCCCCTACCTGCTCAAGGTCCCTGGAGGATGTCATTGCTGCCGGCGAAAGACGCAGGGCTCTATTCTTAGACAAGTTCGAGCGTAACATCTCCGGTCTTGGAGGCGACTTTTCTACTCCTCCTCTGGACAAATATTCTTGTGATGACGACTCGCCTCTTCCACGTGCATTGTTGGACGCCCAATTGACTAACACTGACCCTATGAATGTCGAAGTAGACTCAATAAAGAAAGATAGAGATTTCAAAGCTGTCCGTGATCAGGATCGCTCTCGCCGTCACTCCTGCGATAGTGGAATTGGCTCCTCTATCAGTGGCGCCAGTATGTCGTCCACTACCGATACGCGCGAACAAGGTAAGAGTTGCTCTTTGACATGGGTGCACAACGTTATAGATGCCCTTGCTAATTATTATACCTTTGATTACAGTTCGCAAAGCTACACATTCACTCAAAGACCAGGTGACTAATGTTATCTCAACTCAATCGGCCATCAATAGATCTATATCATCCACTGCATCCTTGCCTCAAGTCCCCACCTTTGGCGTTGCAGCTCGCAAGAACATCGATCGTTTTATCCTCGTTCCTATTCTTCGCGAAAAACGACTATCCCCATTCCACCCCTTGATTCGTACGGTGCCCAACCGGATTGAGAGCAGAGAGATCTCGTGTCTTCGAGACCTTGAAAAGATTATTCTTTTCCTAGCACCAGTGAGTGAGATTCGCAGCCTTGATAATGTACCGGACATTGCTCATACGATCCATGAACGTTTAAAGCGGTACACCCAATCAAAAGCAGCCTATATTGGATTCTGCGAATTTACTATTCAGTGCCTACACACCACCGTCGGGTACTTGAATGATCGCGACCAGCGAAGACCTTACGATCGTCCTTACACGAACGGCTATTTCCTTGACCTAGTCGAACAGATGCGTCAGTACGCCGCTATGGTCGGCGCCTCTCGAGAAAGGCAGGGCCCCCGCCCCCGCTCGAGAACCACTGAAAATAACACCGAATATTCATCGTATGTGCAACCTCTACGTATTGACAATACTAATATTTCCCTGGGCTCACAAAATTCTCTTAGTGATGAGGAAGTCACCCTTGAAGGGGGATTGAGTGTCACTGGACGCCCAGCAGAATTAGTCCGGCGAAAGAAAGACAAGCAAACTATCTCGCTACGTACGGGAAAGCCTTACGACGAAAAAGCATCTCCTATCATCCCGATGATAAAACGTACACTGAGCATGGAATCGTGCGATGATGGCGTTGCCCGTTCGATGGCTCGACGAAAGAAGAATGCACCACCCCTTGACATAAACCAGAAATGCAAGGACTGCGATAAAGTCTTCAAGAGACCCTGTGATCTTACGTATGTTCTTCTACCTCTTCTCTATTCCTTTTTTTTTTTTTTTTTTTTTTTTTTTTTTTTTTTTTTTTTTTTTTTTTTTTTTTTTTATTCGTCCTTTCGCTAATATATATGATAGTAAACACGAGAAAACCCATTCCAGACCATGGAAGTGTGCAGAGCAGTCATGCAAATATTTCAAAATCGGCTGGCCAACTGAGAAGGAGAGAGACCGTCATGTGAATGATAAGCACTCCAAATCTCCACCTCTCTTCAAATGCTATTACGAAAATTGCTCTTACCAGTCCAAGCGACAGAGCAACTGCAAGCAGCATATGGAGAAAGCTCACGGATGGCTTTACATTCGATCCAAAAATAACGGTAAAGGTGGTAGCCGTGTGGCAGGCTCAGGTTCAGGCTCAGGCTCAGGCCAGCCCACTCCTCGCACCCCTAGTATCCAAACTCCCAACTCTGGAATCATGGATCTACCAACCCCTCAGACCCACCCATCTCCGTCCCCTTACTTGCCCAGTGTCTCTCCTTATGAGCAAAGTCTACAGTATACTAGCCCCCCTAGCGGTTACCCACTGAACGACATGATAGATCCACAAAATCAGGATTTCCAACTCTTCCCGGATTCCACCACAAACAATAACCTTTTTGATGACTTCAATACCAACAACGCGTTCGCCCCACAGTTGGACTTTGGCGCTTTCCAGGCTAGCTTGGAAGCTAGTGATCCAAATGAATACGTCCCGAGCTTGGACATGCACATTCCCTCCGTGCCCTCGAGTGCAAACACGCCCAATGGATCCGGACCCATGGGATCTGGTGGTCTGCTGGACGAAACAGCCTTCGATCCAACTCATGCAACCCCAAACTTCGACTTCGACTTTGATAACCTCGACAACGAGTACACAGTCATGAACATGCAGCTGCTCACTCCAGCCCAATCAGTTGAGGTGCACGGTCTGCCCTCTTTCACGCGGAATCCGTCCCCAACATGCCCGGAGCCACAGCAGAAGCTTAACATCAACCATAACCTCTCCCCTGCTGGTCAGGGGAATTTGATGCTTTACTCTCCCAATTCGCAGGAGCGCGAGCGGAATTTAGATCTGGACTTGGATCTGGATATGGATGAGGGGTTTTATGATGGGTATGATCATTATCACAACCAGCGTATGGGCATGAACAAACCAAGTGGTGACTTTACGCTCTATGAGAGTCCGTCCACCGCATCTGTCGACAGTATTAGTAAACAGGCAAGTTACGGTTTCGGATCGCAGCAGCAGCATGCCCACAATTTTCCAGCGCTAGATAGCTTCACCAACGGCGAGAGTGGGCGGTTCACGGACCCTGGTGCGGATGCGAATGTGAACGGAGGGGAGTGGAGTGTTGATCAGATTGATCCGATGGATTTAAATAGGGATGTTGATGAGTATATTATGGGTGGTTTCTAAGTGGTGTTTTTAGCGCGTGGTGTTTAGATTTTGGTGGGCTTCGAAGACCGATAGGAAGATGGTGCTGTATCCCAAGCACACAAGGGCTATTTTTTTTCTTAATTTTAACGATGTTCAAGTGTTCCTTGTTTCATTTGGAATTCTACAGTCATCTATTCTGATCTGATCTCTACTCCCAGCCTCACAATCCGACGTTCGCAGATCATCACCAATCCCTGTTGATTTTAATTACTCAAATCTTGCTTTTGAATATTTGTCCCCTTTTGTGTCTCTAATAATAATACATTTCCGGTTTATCGTCCAGATTTGATTTTGATTTTGATTTAATCCTGAGTTTTCTTTTACCATCTCGCCTCCGATGTTTTGCTCTTAGTGCAACTGATGCCTCTCCTTAGCTATATATGACTCACTGGCTTTTGTGATGATAGTTTTGTTATTGGCAATAGGTATACAGAGCACTATGAATAGAGACAGATGAATTATGATGTGATACCTGTCTTTTGTGAGATGTGTTATGTGAATGTGAACAGATATGATGAATAACAGATTAATTGCTGTCTTTTGTTTTGTTCTCTCTTTTTCTTCTTGTGAATGTGTTTTCTCATTCTGATCTCTATGTTCTCTCTGCTGTACTCCGTACAGATGACACTCATGTCTTGTATAACTTACTAAGTTATTACTATATGCACTAGAGAATATCATCACAGATATTAAGTAGTATGAAATTATTAAAAAACTATCTCTCATTTAATATATATAAGATTTTCATCTAGATTTAATATGTCTCATTTTTCTATTCTTTCATTCTTATTTTTATAAATATTATAACTTTCAAATCTCATACTAAATATCTTCTCAGTGACTGAATGATTGATTGATACAGTTAAGTTATCTGATAGTATTTTAGTAAGAAAACATTAAATTCAATCAGATCACAATTGAAAAATCAGAACTGAATTACAGAAGAAAAAAGTTGTTTTTATATTTAATTAAACAAAGATTTTCATTTTGATTTATTCTAAATCTTGAGTAGTGTATACTTTTTTTCTGTTTTACTCAGTTCTCATTTCACTTATTTAAACAAGACTTTGATTTTTCTTTTTACAAAAGATCAGAAAACAGTTTTTTAAATAGAACTGCTCAATTCTATATCTTTTTACAGTAAAATTTACTATTTCCTTTTCATAAATATTTATATATACAGAAACTCAATATAAATGACATCCCAAGCCAAACGTTCTCCTGGAGCTCCCTGGTTATGGTGTAATAGCCTCATTTCCCCTTGGGCTGTTCCGCCCCGGGCAACTTCTCACGAATGCAGGGTGTTTGACGGAGCGTGATAAAGCAGATATCCGCTTATTTATTGTTTGATTTATAAGGAGCAAAATTCCATGCTCATGAGAGGCTGGAGCAAAAGATGTGGGATCTTCAGGCAGGGGGAGTGGAGTGGTCGATAACCACCTGTAGAGCTCCAGAGCTGGGCCTCGCGTTTGCAGGATATAACTAATTCAACAGTTTGAAGGCATAAAAGTTGCTACCCGGCTGCTGTGGCTGAGTACTCTGTAACTGCTGTCTTGGGAGGTCTTCTGTGCCCTTCAAACGGACGGCCAAGCAGTCAGTCTTGGGGAGTGTTTTCAATCAATAATGGTTGGTGGCCAACACCCTCCACGGGGCGAAAGGGGGGGAGGTGTTTGGTGTGTTTGGTGTGTTTGGTTGGGCTCAGCCGCAAGCAGCAGCTTCATCATCATCATCATCATCGTCATCATTCATCGATCATCCCAAGCATTAACTATTCCGTCTTCCTTCTTGCTGTTCTGCTTTCTGCTCTCTTGCATATTTAATAGTTTATACAACTCCCCGCCACTACGCTCCTTCATATAAAAGATCTAGAATTGGGATTCCCTTTCTTTTTGTCGTTGTGTTCAAGGACTGTTGTTGTGCTGTAGGTTAGTTATCAAAGCTAGTTAACGCCAACACCCCCCTCCCTTCCCTTCTTCCCTTCCCTTTCTCCGCTCAAGGGTCCTTGTTTGCTTCAACCTCCCATCTTTCTCGAAACCACCGCGCAATTGATTACACCACACATTCTCCTCACTCCTCACGCTTCAATCCTGAGATACCGCACCCCCATCGTTTTGCCTGCTAGAATATGGCTCCTGCGCCTGCGCCTCCCCCAGGCCAGATCCTGACCGGCAAACAGGAACACTGTACGTCACCTTCTCCCCAAGCCCTGTCTATTACCCCGCAGCCACTTACTACATCTCGCTTCCTCCACTCGATCTGTCTCTTTGTTTCCTTTATCTCACTTTTATTTCTGAATTCTCACACATTTTTCCTTCCCCGCCTTTTTTTTTTGTGTGTGTGCGTGCGTATTTTACGAATATAAACCTAACCCGATCAAAATAACAAACATTGTAGACCTCAAGCGCGAATTGATATCCCTGCAAGTCCGCGCGGAAATTGCAGAACTCAACTCCCCCACCGCCCTCCGCCGCTTCGGAGCTCCCTTCAAGTCGGATCTCGGAGAGATTGCGCCCATCGATTCAGAGCTACCCATCCTCAGGTTCATTTTCGTCCATCATGTCCGCAAGTTCCCTTTCCTCGATCAGGCCAGGGAGAAGGAGTTTTGGCAGGACAAGCTGCAGGTGGTATGTTTTGATATAGATCTATACTATTGTATACCGTGTACTAATATATACGGTAATGTAAATAGTTCCTCGAGTCCTTCGCCAACAAACACATCTCCTCCAGCGAGGACAGGCATGAAGTTACTAAACGGCGAAAATTGGCGCTGAAATGTGAGAAGCTGGTGGAGCTCATGATGGTCTCTGGCATCCCCACCGCATCTGGGTATGAAGAACGTATCCGCTTCTCGGAAATGGAGGTGGTGGATCGCGGTGCGAATGAGCAGGGGCTGCTTGTTAATATTCCCGAGGGTCATGCGATACACGGCTGGGATGTAAATGTTGCCGGTGCCCGGACTACCTTAGTTAAGCGGACGGTTAGATATCATCAGCATGCGGTATGTTGGGCGAGGGTGTCTTCTTTTCTTTCTGTCTGGAATATTTGGATGAGTGCTTATTCAGTATATCCTGAATTCAGGAATTCATCCTCAGAGTGAGACAACACGGCAAGCCGGATCGTTACGTTGGTCGACGATTCGGCGAATTCGCCAAACTTCATAAACGTCTCCGTACCGAAATGCCTGGTAAAATCCTTCCGCCGCTACCAAGGAAGAACAAAAGATCTGTTTCCTCCACCATCCTCGGAGGCGGCGACGACGATGCCTCATCCATCTCCTCCATCTCAACTCAAGACGTCAATTTCGCAGATGATTCGCGCTCCTCACGAACCCTCGGCGTCAACAACCTGGATGACAGCCGTCGCTCTTCGTCCCGCTCATCTTTAACCGGCAAGCTGAAATCAAATACGGCAACCCCACGAGCTTCAAATGCCGATCTTTCTTCTGAAACAACAGTATCCCTATATCGTGAGGAGCAGAGAGTATCTCTCCGCGCGTTCCTACGCACCCTGCTAAGGAACCAGCGGATTGCGGAGTCCAAGGCGCTAGAGGAATTCCTCACCGCGAACCCTATCACGCTGAATGAAGAGGAGCTTATGGATATCAAACGCAGGAAGTATTTGGATGCGAAACGGATTGAGGAGCAGAAACAGTTTTACGAGATTGCGAGGAAGAGGGCGCAGGAGTTGGATGTTTATATGGAACAGTTTCGGCAGGATATCGTTGAGAATAGTAAGTAGTTGCTCCGGGTGTTACAGAGGGCGCAAAAAGAATTATGGGCTAACAATTTGTTCCTTCGGTTTGGAAACTAAGATGGCTTAACGAAGCTATTTCAGGAGATCCGCGCAAAACACACAGTTGAGGAGTTAAGCCCGCAGTATCAGAAGTTTGCAGAATGGCTTCGAATTGAGTGCGTCATGCAAAACAATTAATCAGTTACGTTCCTTTGGGTATACTAATTTTTACCCTCCAGGGTTGCCGCAACGCTATACCACCTTTTCCTAGCAGAAGACAACTCGCCCGAACTCTTCGCCCAAGCAAAAAGCATCCACTCCTTAGTCCCCTACACGATGATGAAAAACGTAATCCGCATCACGAACCCAGCCGCCGTCATGTCCGGCGCGCTAAACCTCTTCCTCGCGCAGCCCTTCGGCTCCCGCTCGTTACTCCAACACATTTTCTCCCACGCCATCCATGACGGAATCAAGACGTTCCAGCGCTCGATAGACGCGCTCAGTGCCAAGATCGACGATCCGGTGCTTGTCAATAAGCTGCAGGCATTCACGGCGGCGGATGAGGAGGTTAAGAATGAGCTGAGGCGGGAGGCGAAGGAGGATGATGTTGACATCGTGGTTACGATTTTGAGGTCGGAGTATTTTGAGCCGGAGCTTAATCCTGGGCAGATCGAGAAGGTTTTTAACTCTTATGTTGCGTGGGTTAATGCGGTTGAGAATGTGGGTTTGGCGATTCTTCCCTCTGTTTTCTTCTTTTTGGGGAGGAGCTGCTAATGTATGTTTCCACTGCAGGTTGATATGCAGATGCAGCATGGAGCGCACTGGTTTGCATACCTTAAGCAGCTGTTGAAACTGCTAACCCGACAGCGTGATAAAGCGATGATGTTGAGCATTATCGAAGAGGTAAAAGAGACATCTCCCTCCTGCCGTCCTGGGTGCCTTGAGAAGAAAACTAACACCCCACAGCCCGTCACCCTCCAGCTCTTCCGCGACCTCTTCACAATCTTCTACGAGCCGCTCGTCCGTGTCTACAAATCCGCCAACGTCTACAACAGCATAACTGACTTCGCCGAATTCGCCGACGACGCCATCGCCGTCATCGAACGCGCTCAGCGCCAAGACGTATCTGCAGATCCCAACCAGACCGTCCAGGCCTTCATCGACCTCTGCGCCCGCCATCAGCACAGCTTCTACAAATTCGTCCACGAAGTCCATCTGCACGACAATGGCCTCTTCGACGCCCTCATGGGCTGGCTGGAGGATATCTTGCACTTCCTGCGCCACGGGCCGCGCAGCGGGGGCACGTTGGATATGAATGCCTTGTTCCGCGGGGCGGTTGCGGTGGGACAGATTAATGCCACGGTAGCAATGAAGGAGATTGACTCTTTGGTGAAATGGCATGCGGATCGGAAGAAGTGGCATCACGATAAGACGCGGCAGAAGATGGCGGCGGAGGGCTCTGGGTCGGCTGAGTCGGAGATGCAGGTGCCGGGCAGCGCGACGTTTAGGGGGAGTGATTTTGGGTTGGACGAGGTAAGCCAAAAAAACATATTTTATCAATCCCTATCCATACCCATTCCACCTTTGCTTTCTGTATATTATTTCGTCCTCATCATGAAAGACATCGTCCTCTCTAAAACAACAAATAAATAAATAAATATAAATAAAATAAAAGTAAATCTATATTAACAAAAAAATCAAAACAGGGCGACCTTGAAGACCTCGCCATCGATGACCTAGCCTCGCATACCTCCGACGAAGACTCCGCTGACGACGACCTCGACCCCATCTCCCTTGAGCGCAAGCGCCGCTCGAGACACCAGGACCGCTTGCGCCGCACGGCAGGTGAGCCTGTTAAGCCGGAGATCAAAGAGATTTTGAAGCTGCGGGAGTCGTTTGGGGCGATGTTGCGGACTGTTCTTGCCGATTGAGGGGTGGGGAAGAACATGGGGATGGGGACCTTTCTGGTTCCCGTTCTTCTTTTCTTTTCTTTTCTTTTCTATTTCTTTTCTTCTTTGTATGCTCTCGTTTGGATCAGGTTCCTTGTGAACCACCGGTTTGGGTATTCGGGGTTTTTTTTTTTTTTTTTTTTTTTTTTTTTTGTTGGTTTTTCGATGTGAGCTGTCATCAACGCCGGTTGATGAATACATAGATACCTGGGTGCTTGTGTTTATTATTACTATTGCTATTTCACGGACCCCGACACGGCCTTTGTTTTATATTATTACTATCTTTTCATTTTTCTTGTTCACATTTTTGGTCCTCTTTGGATCACCCGCCATTCAGTGTTCGTTTTGTTGGCGGGGGCGCATGCGGTATGGCAGGTGGGCGTTTGCCGGTTATTCTTCCACCATGGCGCCGATATTCATCCATAGAATTTTTTATTTTTATGTTTTTTGGGTTAACTATGTCTTATAATTTTGTCTTGGGATACTAACCAACCATACTACAGAGTACACTGTCTCTTACAGTCCGAACCCGAAATATTTTTTTTGCTTTTTGGGGGTTTTACTCTGTATTTACTTTACACTCATTATGTTTCCTGTTTTACAGGCCTTGGTTGATGTAAGTACAGTCAGTACGGAGTACGGAGTACACAGGCTGCCGATGACATAATCACACTTCTTCTTCTCGATTCCACGCTAGCTCTTTTTGATTTGTTTACATCCCAACTTCCAAGCTTGTTCAATTCAAGAATTCCAACACCAATTCCTTCGTCTTTGTTTTTCCAACATTCTCGATTCCGATCATCCACCTCATAATCTGTGTCCTATACGACGAATATTACGTGCTACAATAACCCCATAAAAAGATGGCCACCCTTTCAAGGAAGCGCAAGTCCCCCGAACCCGGCGACCACCACGCGCCTGAACACGACGATCCTGTCATGGCCCCTCGGACCCCAAACGGAAGCCCAACCAGAAAGAGAATGAGGATCACACTTAACCAGAAACAAGCGTTGATTGATAACTTGCAGCTGGAGGGTATGAATATTTTTTTACATCATGGAAGCGATGCAATTGATTTCACCGACGCTGCCTGATACTGTGCTGACTCGATATCAATTCTCAGTCACTGAACGCGCGCGCAAACTCCGTGCGCACTACGCGTTACAAGCCCAAGACCTCCGTGGACGCATTGAGCGACGCATAAATCGCATACCGACTGCTCTGCGAAAGCAAAGGATGGGCGACTTGCTTGCTAAATACTCGGAATCAACCAAGGCTGTGGATGCGGGGAAAAAGCCGAGGTCGACAATAGCATCCAAATCGTCTAGTAGAGCTGCGGCGGGAGGAACCACAAATTCGGCGGACGGTCATTATGGTGCGTCCACTGCTCGAACAACTCGGGGGGTTAAGCGGACAAGGTAAATTTGTTGTTGTCATTATTGAGTTTTCCACAGACAGAGAAGAGTAGGTTTTATTTTTAAAAAAGTAACTCAAGTCCCTAACATGTGGATCAGCGATGAAATGCTTGCCTCCGATAAAGAAAACGCCCCCTTTCAAGTTCAGGACCACCACAAACACCACAATCCTGCAGTGCATGCGCCGCTGTCAAACCCGAAGAAACGTGGCACGCCTAATGCACATCCTGCAGGACATCATCCCCGGGTGCTATCTCAGTTTACTGAAACGGGCGTCTTATCGCCGAAATCCTCCAATTCTAGGACATTCCCGCAATCTCCACTGCGCAATGTGACTGGGAAATCGCAAACGCAGCTTGGTAGTAGTGTTCGTCCATTATCGCCTCTGAAGCATACGAGCCCGATTAAGCAGGCCGGGGCAGGGAACGCGAAAACACGATCGACGAGATGTACTACTAGTACCACTGCAGCTAAGACACGGAAGGATTCGCCACACGCCAACGACGGAACGGGCACACGGAGACAGACGACTGCAAAATCTACCGCGTCGACGACGTCGAAGAGAGCAACGGTAGCCTCGGCAACAGCGCCACCGTCGCGACCTACTACTCGGCAAAGGAACACGAGAAGGAATAGCGGCGACTCTACTATTTCGAACATGTCATCGGGCACGACCATTGTGAAGACTACGATGAGAGGCGGCGGCGTCACGGGTTCTCAGAAAGGAACAGGCACACGTACTGTTTCTGCGGCGAGTAAACGGCCACCGGTTCCTCGGGCAGGGACGAAGAAGACGACAGCGGCAGCGGGAGCGGGAGCGGGAGCGGGAGCAGGTTCAGTGGTGAAAAAGGCCCGGGCGACGGAGGAGTCTGGGAAACGAGTTCTCAGGAAGAGGGTTTAAGGGGAGGAGTTGTGTAGTTGATTTCTCTTCTCTTCTTTTAACCATTTTTTCCCGCAAGTTGTTCGGTTGTGTGGCAATTGGGAATCTGCCCATGTTTTACATTTTTGATTCCGTTCGATACCGTTTGGAAACAAAGATACGGTAAACATTGTTGAAACAATAGTTGGTATGGAAATTATTTTTTGCTCACTCGGAATTTGGACATACATTACATCTAGGGGGGGGAGGGTGTTGGTGGTTTTAACCGGCGTCTGTCTGTCTGTCCGCTTGGAGGTTTTAATGGAGTTCCTAGAAGGGGGATTGTTTTTCTGGTTACATATTTTAATTGCCTGGATAGATTTAGCCTTTGGGAGTCTTCTTTTTAATAGTTTCGTCGTTCATTATTTTAATTTTTTCATGTTCAGCTGTTTTGGTTTTTATCTAGGTTCCAGCGCACTTAACTTCGAGGTTTAGGCTTTAAGCTTTTTCTAGGATGTGGAGAGCCTGTGGCACCGGAGCGAGGGTGGTGCCGTTTGGACCGTTTCGATCCATACATAATAGATATATAAGATATTGGACTTGCGTGAGGGGTAATGGAGCAGACGTGTAAAATAATATGATATAGAAGGATTGAAGAACGGAAGCACTTTTTTTTTATTTATATTGTCTTTCATGCACATATCATCGGTTTGAGATTGTTCCTTACAAGGGGTCCTACGCAGTATACTTGGGGAGAATTTTGCCCTGAAACTTAAAAAGACAAAGAAGCTGATATTGATATGGAAGTGCTTTGGAGGGAATGGTTCCTCCGGCTAGCTTAGACCTGTAATTGGTGCCTTAGGCGTAGTACCCACGGGCGAGTGGAAGTTGGGATAGGGCATGGTTATGGTATGGTATGGTCTATTATTCAGGAGAAGAGGGCTTGAGAGTATTTTAGCCTGATTGTGCCAAGGCAGGGAAGAAGCAGATCCATCCGGTGGCTTTATACAGAAGGGAAGGGGTAGTAAAGCGATCAGTTGCAGAAACGGCATACATTCCATGGTGTTTCCAGTCGCCTACAGCCGGCTCTGTCTTGCTGTTGCTGTGTGTTTATTTATTTATGTCTGTTTGATGTTGATTATTATTGTTGTTGATATTGCTTGGTTTATTTTATTATGGATTGCCAGAAGGTTGACGCCCAGCATCACGTGTCTTGTCCGCGATGTTTGGGTCTAACCGTATGTGGCTGTCTGGCTTGGCGCTGTCTGGTCCCGTCCGTCTGAGCATTCTTATTATTATTGGGGCTTATTATTATTAGGCTTATTAGGGGGGGCGCGGCGGCGGGCAGCATCAACTCCTCCTCCTCCTCCTCCTCCTCCTCCTGAGCCATCCTCCTCAACCTTCCAACAACTTCATCCCTCCACTCTCCCTCTTTTCCTCTTACTTCCCTCATTCTCGCTATTCTCTCCTCCCTCTATCTATCTCTACCTCCCTCTCATTCCCTCTCACTCTGTCTCTCTCTCTCTCTCTATCTCTCTCTACTCCGTATTGTTCTCTCCATTCTTTGCCCCCCCCCCCCAAGAGGCGGCTCTGTTAGGCTGTCTGTCTCTCTCTCTCTCCCATCCATCCTCTCTATATTTATCTACTCCCGTCCGCCGCTCTTCTTGCTGTCACGGCTACTTCTTCCGCCCATTGCTGATGCTCCAGGGGATGTTGGTCGACTGTCTGCGGGCCAAGCTGCTTCGCCGCCTGTTGGTCTCACACTGACTAGTTACTTACCTCCTCAACCTTGCACCGCACCCACCACCAAATAGCCCTCCACCACATACTACATATTGGGCATCCTCCTATTATCTTCTTTCTTTCTCTTTCTTTCTTCCTCCTGCACAGCCTGCCTCCGGTTTCCCTTGCCCGCAAAACCATCCCAATTTATTATTATTAATAATAATTAGAAGCAATATCCTCCCGACTGAGAAACAAACCGAGAAAACGAAATCGCCCAAACCTACGTCGTCATTGTCAGATGCTCTGCGTCCCATTCTTGCGGCACACCGTTGAAACCTATCTATCTATCTTTCGCGCACTCACTCCTCCTGCAGCTAAGCTAGCAAGGGTTGTTTGGGCGCTGTTTTGGGGGCTGCCAGGTCACGTTTTAGTGCTAGAAACAACCACCAACCGTCAGCTATAACTATACCCCCTCCTTCCCCCCCTCCCCTTCCCTCCTCTCGCTCCCACTTGTCCCCGAACGATTTTCGATACGAGGCGGAAGCTGAAAATTGCTCCCTTATCCTCATCTGGCCACCCAACGAGAGCTTACCTACCTTCCCAAAGCCAAGCAAGCTTTGCCTCCTGCGAGGGTCCCTTCTACCATCGTTTCAGCTAAATACACTTTGATTGAGTTTTGTCTCCGGATATACCTGTGATACCCGACGTTCTTCTCAGCGCCGTCTTCTCTTAACACCCCGTTTTCTGACAGCCTACATTTCCCCTTCGCATCACCTACCTACCGCATATTCGTCGCTATAAATTCACTCGCAACCTATCGAAATATAAAAACAATAATAAAATATTCCTTGTGATTCGCGTTTAGTGGTTAGGATAAATATACATTACAGGAGCTCTTTTGGTTTGGGTTGTGGGCGTGAAGGGTTTCATTACTCAAAACTACCCCGGGAGGGCAAAGTGTGGAGATGCCTCCTGCTGGTGGGCGTACGTTCCCACCGGACCTAATTCCAGGCAGCGCGCCTAGGAACAATGGAGCTCAGCCGTCAGGAAATCTAGGTGACCCAAACATGTATGGCGAAACTTACCAACCCCAGTCCCCGATAGACATGTCCAGTCCCACTGGCCCTGGCGCGGGCGCGCCATGGGATAATAATAACTCACCAT